CCTTAGTAATAAGATATTCCCTTTATACCTTCTTAAAAGACCGGAATTATAAGAGTATATTATAGATATTAAGGGAAGCACTAGAGTTAAAGATAGCTAATTTTTATAGGGGATAGTTAAAGGGTCCTAACGGTTAGTCTTAGCCTTATTAATCTATAAGGAAGATAAATACTAGATTTACTATACTAACGATTTTTCCTTAAATTTATAGCAGCGGTATTAGTTACTATTTCCTAGTAACCTAAATCTTATCTGTCTTCTTCTATAATAAGGGGTCCTCCTTAAAAGACTATTATACTATTTCTCGTAGCCTCTTTAAAGGGTTAACTCCTTTAAGTCGGTTTTCCTCGAAGACCTACTAGTAGTCTTTTAGCCGATATAGCTTTTTATATACTTAGTAGGTCGGTCGATTCCTCCTTATTTATTTCTTCGAGGAATCCTTATCTTAGTCTAGAAGGTCTACTTAAAAACCCCTTCTTTTTACCCTTTATTGCTAATTTTAATAAAGAGGTTCGATTTCGACTAGTTCCTTAATTTTTCGACTAACGGACTAATAGGTCTATTAAGGGACTAGTCGGGCCGGTCTAACTAACGGGGCTAGGGCCGGACCTAGAATAAGATATATAGCTAGGGCCGGGGTAGTAGCTATAGTTAACGACGGCGTTAAGGCTCTTAAGGAAAGAGGAGCCGAAGGAGTAATAGTAGTAGTAGTAGTAGTAGGAGCCATAGTAATAGGGGCTATAGGTCGAACCGTCTAGGTTAAGTGCTAGCTATAAAGGAATAAGACTACTTACTATTATACTTTAGTAGCCTCTTCGTTTAGTTCCTAGCTAGCTTCTTAAAAGATAGTTAAGTAACTATTACTAATAGGCTTTATTAGTAGAGATATATCCTATAGCTACTAGCTAGAAAGAGCTTCTATTAAGAAGTATTAGTTAGCTTTCTTAAGGATTTCTTCTTACTTAGCTAGCTATAAAGAAGCTAGTAGGTTCCTAGTAGAAAAGGCTCCTAGGTATACTATATAGGTCTTCTTAATACGGTTAGTTATATAGCCCCTTAAGGAAGCTATTAAGGTCTCGAGCTTTAAAAGCTACTACCTAGGAGTCTCTTCCTCTTAAAGAGAGATTAGCTTTATAGCACTAACGGATTCTATTATTACTATATAAGTAGTAGTTAGTAGCTTTATTTCGTAGAGGTATTCCTTTCGGTAACTCTCGTAGTCGCCTAAGGTAGTAGAAAAAGCTCTCTACTATATAGAGATTAGCTTAGAGAAGAGGGAAGCATTCTCTATAAATTCCGTTGCCCTAGGATAAAGAGGGGGCTCGAGAGGGTCCTACTTATTAAAGAAGACTAAATTATAAATAGTTCTATCTATACGAGCCTATAGCTCCTTTACCTACTTATCCTAATCTTAGGGTTCTATAAGAATCGTCCTATAGACCGTAGGGACGGTAAAGGAGTTATTTTTTAATATCGTTATAGGGGAAGGGTAGAAAAGTTAGTTAAAATTCGGCTTTTCTAGTAAGAAGGGTAAAAGGGAGCTATAAGGGATATAAGAAAGGTGCCTTTTATAGTAGCTAGAAGGTATAGGAATACTATTCCTCCCGGGCTTATAACTCTTATAAAGAGAGATATAAGAAGTATATAAAAATATATAAAGGTAAAATTAAAAGTAAGGGGTCGGATAGGTAAGGTAGAGAGATTTAATTCTTATAAGAGTAATAATAAAGGTAGGGGAGTAATTATTATATTACCTTAATTATCCTTCTTTCCTTTATTTAACGCCCCTCTTTATACCTATTTAGTATCTTAATTAATAAAGAAGATCTTACTTAAAGAAGCTACTAATATCCTTTTAACTACTAAGCTTTTTACCGGTTTTTCCCCTCCTTTCTAGCCGTTACCGGTATATCCGTCTTATCTCTCGCTACCTCTATAAGAAGCTATCGCTACTTTTACTTCCCCTTATACCCTTACCCTCCTTTCTATACTTTTTTTTAGCTCCTTCTTTTATTTTCTATACTAAGTATTTTTAGCTTCCTTAGTCCCTCTTACTAAGGGATATCTCTAAGAACTACGAAATTAAGCTATACTTTATAATAAGAAGAGGTATTAAAGTCAATAATTTTATCTCTATCTACTAGCGGATATACTATCTTATATAGATAATTATAGCTAAATAGAAGAACCTTTTAAGACTAAATCTAGGCTGCTATATAGCCCTAAGACTAAAGAATTTAGTAATACCTTAAGTATATCTAGAAGTATCTTAGTTCTATTAATATTTATGTTTTAAAGGAGGTTAGTTATACTAGTATTCTTAAGAGGTCTTAGCTAGTATTCTAAGCTAGCTCTATTTCTTTGATTCCTAATTATACGATAACTAGCAACCTATTTAATATATAATAATATATAAAATAACGAGCGATTCTTACTCTATAAGATAGGATTTTATCTATAGTTAATATACTACTTATTAGCTTATATAATTAAGAGAGTATATTATAGCTGCTTTATTTATAATAGGAAAACACCGTTCCTTATAAGGCTAAGCTTAGGGCTTTTTAAAAGGAGGTTAGCTCGTTAGTCTACTAAGGCTTAGATCCTTTATAAGGCTTCTTTTTTAGTATCGCTATATTTAAGGCCTTTATAAGGGTTCTTATTAAAAAGAAAGCTATCCCTTTAAAGTTATTTCTTTTTTTATTACTTTTTCTATAACTTTAAGAGGTCTTATTCCTTCTTAGCTAAGTATTTTAAAAAGATCTTTTAGTTTACTTTCCTATAGTTATATATAGTAGGCTTAGCTAGTAAGGGCCTATTAGAGCCCCTAAAGCTAGCTTTAAAGGCTATAAGCTTATAGTTTAAGCCTATAGCCTTTAAAAAGTAAAAGTTAGCTTAGGTTAGCTACTTAAAAGGGCTATAAAAAGTAAGGTTTATAACTAAGGTCCCTTTTAAGCCTCGCCTTTAATAAGTACCTTCTATAGCTACCTTAAGGTCTATTAATAAGGAAGCTTTATAGCGGTCGAGCTATTTAATAAGGGCTTTTACTTTATAGGCTTTAAAGGGTTTTATAAAAGGGTTTTAATAAGGGTAGTATAAGTTAAAGTCCCTTACTAATAAGAAGGGCTACTATAAGAGCTAGGCTATTAATAGTAGCCTTTTTATTATAAGGGGCCCTTACTAGCCTTAGCTAGCTAAGGCCCCTTTAACCTTTTTTTTATTATATAAGTTAATAAGGGTAAATAGCTCGGTGCCTTTTACCCTTTTAGCCTATATATCGGGGTCGTAAAAGAGGTTAAAGCTAAGGCTAACTTTTATTTAAGCTTCCTTCCTCTTATACGCTATAACTCTAAGCCTCCTAGTAAGCTTAGGAAAGTTAATAAAAGGGATAGGGGTTATAATATTATAAGCTAGATACTATATAAGGATATAGCTATTATTAATTTAATAAAGGTATAGCTTTTATAATAATATAAGGTCCGCTTTTATTTCTAAGGCTTACTTTAAGATTAATAGGTTAGCTATTTCCTACTTATTAGTATTATACTATATAATACTAATATAGTTATAGTTAGACTTAAGGGGCCTAGGGGGCCTAGGGGGCTTAGAGGGCCTTATAAGTAAAAGTAGGCTAAGGCTATTAAGTATTAATTATACCCTTATAGACTCTATATTATACTTTATTAGTTATAAGGTGCCCTTTCTTATAGTTATAGTATTAGACCTTAAAGTAAGAGTAGCCTTAGCTAGCTTATAGCTAGGGCAGCTATAATCCTTAGTTAGGTGCTTTTCTAAGTAAAAAGTATACTTAATAAGCTACTAGTAGGTCTAAGGATTATAGCTAAAAGAAAGGCACCTATAGTACTATATATATATAGTATATTCCTTATAGGCTTTAACCTAAAGCTATAGACCTACTATATAGAGGCCTTTTTTCTAGTATTTAGCCCTTATAGCCTTTAAAGAAACTATAAAGATAACGGATCCTACCTTCTAAGTCGGGCCTAGGGTGCCTAGCTACCTAGGCTGCCCTAAGATATCGATCCCGCTAAAAGTCTTAGCCTTTACGGCGAAGATATCGAGGATAGGGGTCTCTAAGAGGTTAGGGACGCTCTAGGCTACTAGCTTAGTCTAGCTAGTAGGAAGGTCGGCCGATTTAATAGGTAGCCCTTTTAGGTATAGGGACTACTTATCCCGCTACTCTAGAAGCTTCTTTACTATATAGGGGGCATTTATTATTATAACTATATTACTCTTATTTAAAATCAATAGGGCTAATATAGCTAGTTCCCCTATAGCCTTATTAAGCTTATTATAAAGAGCGATAGGGCTAATAGTTAGCGTTAGCAATCCTTTCTTTAGCTTTAGGATAAGCTAGAAGTCCTCCTTTATATTTTTCTTAGCTAGGGCCTTAGCCGGGGCCTTGGCCTAGTAAGTAGTCTTATTTCTTCGAAGCTAGAAGCCGACCTAATAGGCCTAACCTACTACTACTTTACTTACTCCCTTTGCCCGCGGTAATAGATATTTTTTAGAGATAAAAGTCCGATTCTTATCTCGGGCAATCCGTGCCTTGCGTCTATATAGGTGTTAGTTACGGTCGGCAAGGAGGGTCTACCTATTAGCGTTGGACTGCCGCAATATACATATATACGGCTGAAAGCAGCAGCATAAGCACCACCAGCCAAGCAAAGCGTCGAACCAAGCACAGTTCAGTTGTGCTTGTTGTTGCAGCAGCAACTCCGTGACGATGAGACGAAGAAGAATAAAATTCCTTCAATATCCAGTCGAGCCCTTGACACCCCCCTCGGCCTCCCCCTTCGCTCCTACCCCGTATCCGCCCCCGAATCCGCCCCCGAGCCCTCCTTTGACTCCGTCCTTGCCCCCCTCCCCTCCGAGGCCGCCACCGAGGCTCCCCCTGAGTCCGTCCTTGCCAATCTCGCCGTTGATGCCGCCCATCTTTTTCCCATCTTGTCCTTTCCCGATGTTCCTCCAAGCATTCCATGGATTGCACCCCTGATCCCTCCGGCCCCCTTTCCGTAGGCTTCACCCTCGGCTACCCCGTCGACTTTTCCCCTGTCTTTCTCGCCGATTTTGCCCCGAAAACTTCTGCCGTCCTCCTCCTCTTCATCTTCGTCGCAGTCTTCGTCGCAGTCTTCGTCATCTTCTTCGTCATCATCTTCTTCGTCGTCATCTTCTCCGTCGTCATCTTCTCCGTCATCATCTTCTCCGTAATCTTTTCCGTTCTCTTTTCCGTTCTCTTTTCTGTTCTCTTCTCCGTAATCTCCCCCATATTGTACTCCTTTTCCGGCCTTCTCGCCCTGTCCGCCGGCTTCACCATAGACGTTTCCATCGGCCTCTCCGCGGATGGCGTCTACGTCCCCCTTCTTTTCGCCAAAGATTTTCCCGAATGTCGGCGCTGCCAAGGACGAAACGGCACCTGGATATCCCTTGTGTTGGCGACACGAAAAGTACAACGCAACAGGGGAGTGGATACGTACAAGCCAGGACTGTGGCAACTGCAAGGCGAACCATGTTGAAGGCGTGTGAGGAATGTATATGGGCTGAGCCTGGAGCTGCTGCTAAAAATGGTGTGCCTTCGTCTGACGAAGCTGGTCTCGATGGCTATGGTAGAGACGATAGTGTATAACTTGTGTGGCGGAAAGGTAAAAGATGACAGCCACTTATTGAGTGATCTTGGACGTGAAAGATCTGGCGGAGATGTCAAAGATGACAGCCAGGTATGGGGTAGAATGGAAGTGAAAGATGAGACGAATCCTGTCAAAAGGAATCCACCATCTGTGCGAGCCGTCATCCCTTCATATACACCGCAGCCGGTACCTCGTTCTCCATTCTTTTCATCCTGTATCCTCCCTCTCGCAACCGATGGCTTCCATTGATTCTGCCTCGTCCTATGCGTAGACGGAGCCGACTACGCGCGAGTGGAGAAGGAGACTGCGGCGAGCTCAGCCCAGCTGCTTCCTGTATGATGCTATCCCACGGCCCGACTCGCGAGCCCAATCGCTCGGGTCTTCCGCTCCAAAAATAAGCACGCGTGAACATGTGCTCGCGCATAAAGATCTATAGCTAGGAACAACGAGGCTGTGAAGCTGCTGGACCGGATTCTGAAACATGGTGAGACGGTGGGTGGAGCGTCAAGCATAAAGAACATGATGGCCCTCTTAAAGATGAAAAGCCCTCCGAAGCGGCCAAGATGACGGCATGAAATAGTTGCGCGGCTTTATCCAAAGATGACAGGACGAAGACGGTTCCCTGTACGGAGCCGGGGCAACTCGACGGTGCCTCAAAGCAGCCTACGCCAAAGTGTGGTGAGAATAAAAAATGCGAGTCAGGAAGTCCGTAATACTCGCTATCTGCATGTTGGGGAAAGCAGCCGTGGCTCTGGCAGACACAGCACCGGTGTCAGTCTCGTGAGGATAACATAGGGGCTTGAAAACTGGAACCGTCATGGGCAAAGGGCAATATCGTGACCTGCTTCCCCAAGCCCATCGCCTTGCGCCTCGCATTACAACCCCATGCTCTCTGGTGTTTACGGTGAAAACGTGAATGCGAACAAGTTTCAAAAAGCCTACAAAGTGCTGCTTATCTACCCAAGGCTTGATTCCTCTTGGCGCCCGGGTCCATTGCGCTTGTCCCAAGCCTCATCATGTTGCATTTCAGATTTCAGGCCTCTGTCTGCGGCGTCATTCAAGGCCTGCCTCGGAGTTTTGATCTTCTGGCTCACTACGTCATCATATGGAGAGTGTAAATATAGACAGTCGCATAAGCAACCTGCATCGAGGAGATATGTATTGCTATACGACGATGGAATGTGTGAAAGGCCTCTAGTGAGTTGATACAACTAACTAGTCCCTATGCTGTTTACTATCAAGATAGAAAAGAAAGAAAGAAAGAAAGAGAATCTACTACATAAGAGCATAACGGCATTTTATAGCTTCGAGCCAATGGAAGGTTCTAGAAGCTAGGCGGCGCAGCCGCCGTTAAAGCGGCTTGCCCGTTACATTACCTCCCTCCCGTCCAACGTTTCCTCTTCCTTGGGATCGTGGCAATCTGTGTCAAGATGACTTGAGAAGGTGACACTCTTTTTTATGTTTCTTCCATTGCTTCCATGCATCAGTGTGTCGAATAGTGGGAAGGGGCTCCCACGTAGGCTGCGAGTAATCATGCCATTTTACGAGCACCTTCTTATGCGTACCTTCCATTCTTTCATCCAGAATCCTTTCGACGAGGTACATTTCTTGGCCGTCCACCAGCACCGGTGGGGCACTCTCTTGATCGATTTTCTGCGAAGGCAATGGGTCTCCGGGTACTGGCCGGAGTAGATCGACGTGAAAGACTGGATGGATACGTCCAGGCACATCCAACCTATAGGCATGTGGGCTGACTTCGGTGAGCACTTGATATTTGGCATGTAACCAATCGAGCTTCTTGCAGGGTCGCGATGTTTTGACATTTCTCAAGTTGAGGTATACCCAATCCCCAGGCTTGTATCTCGGTGCGGCTGTCCTGTGCTTGTTGGCTTGCGCTTGCTGTATTTCCTGGGCCATAGCTATCGCTGCTTGCGCAAACTCCGTGGCATCCTGTAGTCTCTGAATAAAATCCTCCGCTGCAGCTTCTTCCTGTGTTGTGTCTTCCGTGCTTCGATGCTCAACTAACTGGATTGGCTCATTGTGGTAGCCGTGCATGAAGAAGAACGGACTCAGTCCGGTGGAGGTTGCTTCCGCTCGTTAATTGTCGCCATCGCGACTGGAAGCAAGTCCAACCAGTTCTCCTGCAGATAGTTTGTCCATATCCGAAGAATCCTCTCTACCTCTTGGTTCATTCGTTCTGTTGCACCGTCGGTTTGTGGATGGTACGCCGTTGACAACCGCTGCTCGATCCTAGCAGCTGACAGAAGTGTTTCCACATACCACTGACAAACTGGGGACCCGATCACTGGTAATAGCCGTTGGGATGCCATGGACAGGGTAGTGTCGTTCGAAGAGTCTTCTTGCAACCGCTTCTGAAGAAATATCGTGTAATCCTTCGAGTTCGACGCCTTTGGTGAGTCGGTCCGTGACCACCATGCAGTTCGTCGCGCCATCTTTCCCCGACGGTGGGAGGTCAGTAATAAAGTCAATGGTAATTTCGCTCCATATGCGTTGCGGAATAGGGAGCGGCTTTAGGAGTCCTTTCTTTGTATCCCTCCAGATGGTGTTTCGTCCGCAAACCTCGCAGTTGCGCACAAACCGACGTACATCGCTAGCGGCACCCGGCCAGAAGAAGCGTCTCGACAGAGTCGAGTACGTGAGGTCCCTTCCAGGATGTCCGGTGATATGAGAGTCGTGAGTTTCCTGGATGATCTTCGTACGTAGCGGCTCCGAACCGGGTATCCAGACGCGTTCTCTAAAGCACAGCAGGCCCCTATTGTCTAACGAGCATTCTGAAATGCTGACAACCTTCTCCTTCTGTAATCCTGTTGGCAAACTCTTCGCTCCATCTGCTACCAGCTTCGTGAGTTCTTGATAGAGCTTGTCTTCTTGGCGTGCGGCGTGCCACAGCTGCTGTAACTCCTCATCTTCAAATATCCTGATCTCTTTTCCGAAGTTGATTTCCTGGGCACCATCGGTGTTGGTAGACAATGTCGATATTGGGACCCTTCTAAGGTGGTCGTCTTGGAATAGCCTCATAATGCGTCCCTTTAGTCGTTCATCGGAGTAGTTTGCCGGCATATCCTGGTCCCGTCGAGAGAGCGCGTCAGGCAATCCGCCCTTGCGGCCCGGCCTCCATTCGAGCTTGAATTGGAACTTGGACAGGAACTCCGACCACCGCACTTGTCTCTCTGTCAACCTCCTTTCCGAGTAGAAGTATCTCAGGTTCTTGTGGTCCGTTAGGATCTTGAAGTGCTCTACTGCCCGTAGCTCTGGTTCCCACTGCTCCAAACATCTGAGAATGGCGAGTAGCTCCTTGTCATGGATAGCGTAGTTCGCTTCGGCTGCCGAATGTTTCTTCGAGAAGTATGCGACAGGTCGTACCAGTCCATCCTTATCATCTCTCTGCAGGAGCACGCCTCCCGACGCGAATCCTGAAGCGTCCGCTTCCACGATAGTCTCCTTTCTGGATGGAAGTGTGCAGGATCGGGGCCGTGATCAACAGGTCCTTGAGCTTCTCGAAGGCTTCTTCGCACAATCCATCCCAACGGAATGGCACGTCCTTCTTCGTTAGCCGCGTTAGCGCTCCGCTATCACCGAGAAGTCTGGCATAAACACCCTGTAGAAGTTCGCGAATCCGATAAAACTCCTCACGGATTTAATATTCGTCGGGGTTGCCCATCCCTTCACAGCCTCAACCTTCTCTGGGTCGACTCGGATCCCACACTCCGCCTCGATGATGAACCCAAGGTATTTCACAGCCTTGACTTCGAATTCGCTCTTGTTGATGTCCAGTTGCAGCCCAGCGTCCATCAGTCGTTGGAGGACCTTGCCGACTTTGTCGCGGTGGTCTTGCAGGCTTCCAGAGGAGAAGATCAGGACATCGTCGATATACGCTGACACAAAATCATCGAGGTAATCCTGGAGCACGCTGTTAATATACCGCTGAAAGGCTGCTGGTGCGCCTGTCAGGCCGAATGGAACTACCAGCCATTCGAAGGATCCATAGCGCGTTCTGAAGGCTGTCTTTTCTTCGTCGCCAGGGCGACCCTGATCTTATGGAACGCTGCTATAACATCTACCTTGGTGAACCACCTTGCCTTGGCTATCGTTCGCAAGGTCTCGCTCAGTAAAGGCAAGGGATAGCGGTCCCTCTTCGTTATGTGATTCAAACCTCTGTAATCCACGCAGAAGCGGATGCCTCCGCCGGGCTTCTTCACCATAAGGACTGGTGCTGCGGCTGGCGAGCTGCTGACTCTAATAAATCCCTTGTCGAGTAGTTCTGTGAGGGTCTTTCGTAGCACCAATAGCTCCTCGCGGGACATGCTGTAAAGCGGTCCCCAGGGTAGGGGCTCCTCTCGGCCATGCTCGTCTTTCAGCACTTCGATCTTCAGGTCCACACCTGGCCGATGAGGGGGCAGCTGGTCGGCCAGTTGCTGAGAGAAAGCTCGAGACCACTTGTGGTACTGTGGTGGCAGCTTCTCCATTACGTCAGTCTTCGGTTTCGGTCTTAGGGCCTTGTCAATATCCGCCATTGTGACCGAGTGAACTCCAATGCCGCCTTTGCGTTTGTCACGGCGTGCTTCTGCTAAAAAAGGTTGCGGCCATGACATTAGAGACGTCTAGCTGAGGAGGCTGGTAACGTCGTCGGTCTCGTACTTGGACTCCATTGGACCCGATCTCGAGATATCCTTCCTTCGCATGGATGTGAACATCCTGGTCTTCCATCCATCGTTTACCCAGGATCATATCCCAGTTCAGATCGTCGATGACGTACATGAAAACACGATGCTGCTGATGTCCATCGAGGTCGATCGACACATAATTACGTGATCTTGTCGATTTTGACCTCCTTGCCGTCTCCCGCTGCATTCTCCAAGATGCGCGGCTGGACGCGTATATGTGGCAACTGGAGAGAGTGAAATGTGCGCTTGCTGACCGCGCCGTAGCAGAGGCAGCCATAGTCGACAAGAGATGGCACAAAGTCTGTGCCGTTCACCCTGACGTCTGCTATGAACGGTTCTCCGTCCATTTTTGCTTTTCCGCTCACATCCCATTCTCTCACAGCCGCCGCGTGTCCCTAGTCTGAATCTTCATCGCTATGAGAAGAAGCATCGTCTTCGGCGATCTCGGCTTTAGTGACCGCTGGTCGTGAAGGGGTCACGGCATTGACCTGAGTGCGTCGGGTCGTGTTTGCGGGTCGGATAGGCGCAGCCAATGGACAGCGCTCGATTCTGCAGTTGTCTCTTCCACAACGGAGGCAACGCCCTTCACGGTAACGGGCGTCCATCTCGGCCTGGTCGACCCACTGGGCACGCTTGCCCAACAGCGCTTGGTCTTCTGGTCGCTTGGATTGGTAGCCATATGTGTTCTTATCACTGCGGGTGCGCGCAGCGTTCACTTTCGCGGATGCTTGTAGAGTTGGCTCCCATTCCATCATATCCTCTCGTCTAACTTCGGTTTTCTGGGCAGACTGTTTCTGGGCAGACTGGCCTCCATGGTTCTGGTAGTTGTCATAGTTGTCCGAACTCTTTGTGTTGCCTCGGGCCTTTCCACTGACCCAACAGTTCCATCTGGCTGCTCAGCGAATCGCACCTCCTCGCCAGCCCAACATAGCTGCTGATGGCAGAGGGGTCAGAGCCTATGAGGGCTGCTTTCATTTTGTCGTTTAGTGCCTCCTGGAGGTAGGAAATCTTGCTGTCGTCTGGCCAATACTCGGCGTTGGCATTGGCGATCTCCCTCTCAAAGCGGGGGTAAAAGGACGTGAATGGTTCATTCTCTCCTTGCTTAATCGAATGCAGATTGCGTGTAGCTCTCTGCTTGCGATCCCTCCCCGTACAGCAATTCGAGACGGTTGAGTAGTTCAGCAACATTGAACGTTCTCTTCTCGGTTTGCATCTCCACAAATGTGGTCACGTTGTCTTTAGCCTTGCCTTCTAGGCTCATGAAGATGTACATAAAGTGGCCTTCTGCATCTCCAGGGCTTCTTTATCGACTCGTAGCTTTCCTTCGGTTTCTAGTTTCCAGCTTCGCCACTGGGCCTTGTCGCCGCCGAATTTAGGGATGTCTCGTAATTTGGGGCGCTTGGTTGGGTGAGGGTTGTGATTGGCGCCCACATGGGTGTCCTCGATGGGGACAGCCGGGGTGACAGATGGCATTGGCTCTAGGAGTTCAGACGAACGGGCTTGCTGGTGTTGTTGGAGTTCCAGGGCAATAAAACGTTCTTCAAACAGGGTATTTCTTCGGGAATTCTCTTCTCTCAGACTTCGTATCTCGGCAACCAGGGCGCTGAGGACGTCCGGCTGCATGTTGTTGTTATCTTCGGCCATCGCGACTTCGCTGAATGCTAATGGCTCCGATGGGACTCGGTTACTTTGGTGTCTTCAGTGTCTTCAGTGTCTTCGGTGATCTTGATAGTATGTGAAAGGCCTCTAGTGAGTTGATACAACTAACTAGTCCCTATGCTGTTTACTATCAAGATAGAAAAGAAAGAAAGAAAGAAAGAGAATCTACTACATAAGAGCATAACGGCATTTTATAGCTTCGAGCCAATGGAAGGTTCTAGAAGCTAGGCGGCGCAGCCGCCGTTAAAGCGGCTTGCCCGTTACAGAATGTTAGACTGCGCGCGCACCGACGGCATGGCTGAAAGTATCATGGTTTCGAAAACAGTGAAGCAAAATCAAATAAGAGTTGCCTCTGTACATTGCTTGATCATGATAAACCTGACAAACCAAGAGTCTTAAACCTCATAACTCGTCCGATCCGTTGCACGACAGGTTGTATGGAGGCTTGAGTTGACACACTGGGCTTCTCCCATCCGCTCACCGCAGCAAAGTAAAGCAGATAAATGATCCGAGTCCAGTACATTAGAGGACATCCGTCCAAGCAGCTTAAAACGGTCGCCATGAGAGCGTGAGATCCCACCTGCCAGCTCATGAACACGAGCATATGCGCCCTAGAGCGCCCGCGGAGATAAAATCACGAGAGTCGGAGGAGGTCCATCGTCACCGGATTCTGGTATGCGCCGGTTCGCGATGCAGCAGTGGCGAGCTTCATGACATCACCGAGTGAATAGCTAGTCCGTCTGCTGACTCTGGCCGTATCTACTGCATGAAACCCTGGCTCACCGGAGCAATCTCGTTGAAACTTACTCGTCGCCTTCTCAGTCTAACCGTTATAGTCTCGAAAACATCGAGCTCCAGGGCCCAGGATTCAAAGCCCTGCGCCTAGTATTGACAAAACCTTGAACATCTTTCTTTTGGTGGTGAGAACCCCACTCTCTCTTCACTCCTCCATGGCATTTTCCTGCGCGGCCGCCTCGCCTTCCTTCTTGGCTTTGTATGCCGCGGCCCAGTCTTGCGCCTTGGCCATCACCTTTTCCTTGCCCTTGGGATCCAGTGTTTCCTCCCACGCAGCCCATCTCCTAAACCACTTCTCGGCCTGTTGAGGCTTGAGTCCCTTGACCCGCAGTCTCCGTTCAAACACGTCTCGTACTGCCGTCGGCTCCGCCCCTGCCCCAGAGACACCAGTCTCGAGGTCGAGCAGTTGGCTCCAGAGATCGCCCTTCCTCGGCCACGTCGCCAAGAGGCTCTCAAACATGGTCCTGCCCCGTTCTGCCTCGCCGTTTGGCGATCGAAATTCGAGAGCGGCGAAGCGGCTGATGATGTTCTGGGGATGACGCTTGTCAAGTTGCTGCGTCGCTCGCGGCAAAAGGGCCCTGGCGCGACCAGGCTCGTTCAGCGTGGCGTGGAGGAAGTGGGCATAGTTGATCCAAACGTGGGGCGACTTGGCGCCGAACTTCTTCAGCATGGCTTCGAATAGACCATCGGCGTCCTGTAAGTCGTTAGCGATGCAAGTTCCCAAACATGTACGCGGCAGGTAATGGGCACTAACCTTGAGCTTCGAGGACTGAATGTAGATGCTGGCCAGTCGCTCATGCACTTCTTGTTCGTTATTGTACTGGCAGGCCCGCGTAAATACCTCCTCTACCGTCCGTTTGTTGCCGTACGTCACCTCCAGGTTGAGATATGCCACCCAGACGTTGAGCTTCTCTGTCTCTTCTCTGATATTGATGGTCTTGATTGCACGCTCCGCCACCTCGCGCGCCTTGGGCAGCTCACTGACTTGCATCTGGAAGGCCATGTACGCAATCCAGAGCTCTGACGAATCCGGCTGGCCCAACAAAAGTCGCTCATAGTCGCTTGTGGTCTGCGGGCCGTGGGCGTCCAGCTCGGCAGTTTTGTCGACCTCAATCTCGGCCTTTCTCCGCTTTCTCTTCTTCTTCTCAGCCTCCTTCTTTTCCTCGCCTTGGTCAGACTCGGAGCCCGAGTCATTGAACGGGTCAGCCGACCAAGCCGACTTCTTGCCGACGGCAAGACCATTGGCTTTCTTGTCGGCTGCGGCTTGTATTTCGTCGTCGCTTTCGCCGTCCTCGTCGTCGCTCTCCTCTGAATCCTCCACATTGTCTGTGCCCAGGATCTTGACCACGGCACCTGCATCGTCGTCCATGTCCGCATCCTCGTCACTGTCGTCGTCTTCAGGCAGAGGGGCCCCCGCATCCGAGCTGTTAGAGTCCATGTCTGTGTCTTCGTCCGCGAAGAGAGAAGGCTTCAGGCCAAAGTTGATTCTTCGTTTTCCGGCGTCCACTTCCAGAACCAGCGCCTTGACAGCGTCACCCTCCTTGTACAATTTGGTGGCATCCCTCACGGCCTTGTCGGCCATCTGACTGCGGTGGCAGAGACCGCTCACGTTCGCAGAGTTATCGACCAGGATAAACGCCCCAAAATCTTCGACTTTGCGCACCTTGCCCGTGATCACCTGGCCCTTCTTGATGTCGTGAAAGGTGGTCGGAGGCACGAAATCCTCGTCGACCATCGAGGCCTTGAGGCTCAGCTCGGCCTGGCGTGCTGCGGCATCGACGGCGATTACCCGGCCTTTGACCAGCTGGTCAACCTGAAACTGATCCTTCCACTCCTTCAAAAACCTGTCAGACAAGTTTGTAATCTTGACCAAGGCCGTGACCTGCCCTCCTAGAAGAACGAACAAGCCCTTATCAGAGACGTTTTTGACAAAGCCTCGAACAACGTCGCCGGCAGAGATCTGGGAAAAGTTGCTGATTTCGTGGTCAGCCACGGGTAAAGTAGAGCTCATGATGCGCGAGGGCCGCAACGACAAGCGAAGCCTCTTGTTGCTCGCGTCGACCTCGACGATTGAGACTCGAACAATATCATTCTTCTTGTAGTTCAGAGTGTTAATATCGTCGTATTTATCGACCATGTCCGGGAGGTGGACCGGGCCGGAGACGCTTTCGCTGAGTTTGACCAAGACTTGCCGCTCGTTGACCTTGGTGACCCTGCCGGGCAGGATCATGTTGGGCTTTAGCGCGCTCCAAGAGACTGCTTCAGAAGTGCTCGAGGATCGAGCAGATAAATCCAAACGGTTATTCTCAGCATCGACCGAAATGACGTTGACTTTCAAAGCGGACCCCACCGGGAAGTTTGCCTCCAAGTCATTCACTTGCGACAAGTCATCCGAAGCCTCCATGACCGAGATGCGGCCGCGCACGCTCGGCGACAGGTTGACCCACAGGCACCCAGGGCTGACGTTATTGACAAAGGCGACATAAGAGTCGCCGACCTTGACCGAGTCCAGCGAGAGCGGTTTCGGTGTCTCGACCTTGAAATCGCTCGGCTTCGCCGTCAGTTCGAGGACCGAGTGCGCCGATCTGTGGGATATGGGCAGGAAGCGGTGGTCCTTTGCGTTGTGAACGCCAATGACCTTGACTTTCAACTGCTGTTTTTTGTGAAACGCGCCAAGGGGATTCTTGGCATCGGCAATGCCATCCCAACTGTCAAAGACTTGAGACACATCGATTCGCCCCTGCGCCTCGCTGCCGACAAGCTGCACGTTGAGTTGCGTCTGCTTGACTGATGTGATTCTGGCCCTGGCCACGCTTCCAGAGGTCAAGCCGTCCGCCGGTGCCGGACCCTTGTCGGCTGACTTGCCACCCTTGGACTTGTCCGCTTCTTCAGAGCTAGCCGAGGAAGGAGCGACGGCGATGCGCTGCAGATCTTGGATAATGGATATCACCCTGACCTCAATCGAGTCGTACTTTTGCATGCCAAAGTCTGGCTGGGACTGAGCCTCGGCGGGCAGACGGGACTTGGGCAGGAGAGCATTCAGACTTCCAGCGAACTGGACAAAGACGGCCGTTGGCGTAATATTCCTCACAAAGGATGGAAACACAGCATCCATCCTGACATCGTCAAAGTTTGAAAGAAGCTTCCCATCTTTGGATGCCTGGATAAGGCTCGGTTTCTGGGTGAGGATGATGGCTCGCCGATTTTCGTTCTTGTCAATCACCATCAGATCCGACAGCGTCTGCCCTGCGGAGATGCGTTTGAGGGCGAACATGTTCTTGGACGCCGACTTGTCTGTGAGATGTCCTACCGGCAGCATGGCCTTGAGCTGGCTGCCCTCGAGCTCGACGAAGACCTGATCCTCGGTTTTCTGGATGACCTTAGCCGATACGAGATCGCCCAGCTGCAGGCTCTTCAGCGCGCTCTGCTTGTCGAGGCCAAAGGCGGAAGGGTCTTTGCACGACAGTATCAGCCTTCGCTTCTCGGGATCAACGTCGAGAACATGAACGCTGACGACTTGGCCCAAGCGGAAGTGCTCCGACGGTTCACGAATGTAGGCCTCGCTCATCTCAGAGACGGGGAGAAAGCCTCGGAGGGAGCCGTAGAACTGGATGTGGGCGCCGTTCTGCTGCAGCTTGATGATGGTACCGGGAACGTGCATGCTGACACTGACTTCATCGTAAGTCTTGATGACGGGAGCCTCGGAATTGACCAGGGTCTTCTTGAGAGTGAGTCGCATCCGCTTTTTGGAGAGATTCGTGGAGAGAACCCGGGCCTTCACCTTCATGCCTTCGCGGAACTTCTTTTCGGGATGCTGCAGTCGAACATCGGACAGGTGGCGCTCAGGAACAAATCCAGTTATTCCGTCAGCGACTTTGACAATCAATCCGCTCACCCCCTCTTCGTTGATGACGAGCTTCTCAATCTCGCAGTCAACCACTCCCCCGATGGGCACGTCCTCGAGGCGGATGTACTGCTGCTCCAAGATGGTCTTCTGGAAAGAGATGTGGAAGAGGCCGTCGAGCTCGCTGTAGCCAACGACGCGACCTTGGTGAACTGATCCGAGCTGGTAGGGCCCGCTGGACTCGTACAAGGCGTCGACCTTGCCATCCTTGACACGTGAAATGTGTACAAAGCCGCTGAGGCCGGCGATGCCTGTGTCGACAAAGAGCCCAATCTCGGCCTCCACGTGGCGTACGGTGCATTCCTTGACGAGTGAGGACACAGGCAGCACCGCAGTGGGAAGCTTGTTAGCATCCGTGTCCGGATGCTTCATGGTCAAAGACATAACGTGAGGGAGCAGGGAGATGCCCAGCTTGGGGTCTTTGGCAGTTGGGAAGTTGCAGATAATCCGGGCCTTGACCTTGGTCCCAATCTTGTATGTCGACTCTAAGTCCGTCCCGTCGGGTCCGGCACCGGAATGGACCAGGTCTGCCGTGACGTCGAGATGGCCCATGACTTTTCCAGCGAGGCCTCTCCTGTCGACATTGGAGACCAAGACACTGACGGTGGTACCGGGTAGAAAGGTGCTGATTGTCGTCGCCTCCGAGGGGACGTGCCTGATGCTGCCTATCTTTTCCTGCAAAAGAGACAGCTGGGCAACCCGGCCGTTGGAGCGCTTGCCGGCGACGTGGCAGAGGAAGACGGCGCCGGGCTGGAGTCGCTCGTGGTCGATGGTCGGGTCGATCTCGCTAGTGGGGAGGAAAGCTCGCAAATCAGGAATGCCCATGTCCATGACACAGCCACGGTCCTCAAGGCTGACCACGGATGCCATGACAGTGCAGAAAGGTGTCACGTCGTCCTTGCCCAAGCCGGAGTTGGCTTCGGCAGGGCGCAGAGAGAGCTCGATTTTCCGCCTTCCCCTGCCGGCGACGGATTCATCCAGGGTAGAGACGACGTGGACTCTCAGGTATTGGCCGATGGCGAAGATGGACTTGAGGTCGACGTCGCTTTCGTCGTCATCGGAGCCGTTTTCTGAACCGTCATCCTTTTCGGCGGCCGCATTCTGCAGCCTGCCGGTCAACTGGTCTGAGACTGCAACAATTGGGACGTAGCCAGTAAGATTATAAGGAAGGGCAATCTCGATGTCGAGGTTGTTGATCCGACAGACTTGGCCGAGGACGAGTGAGCCTTTGACGAGTTTCTGTGTATCTTGTGAGCTTTCATGGTCCACTTGGTAGGCTTCTCGAGGACAGGTACCTTGAAGTTGAGACTCTCCACCCTGATGGCATCGTCGCCGTCTTTGGAAACTGGAGCCTTCTTGTCGCTCTTCAGTGCCATTCTCCTCTTCTTCTTCTGCTGCGCCTTGCCGCCGACGTCGAGCTCGTCCTCGCGCATGGCATCCGCCTTTGCCTCGAGCTGGATCTGCTTCTGCTCCAGGGGCGTGAGGACGCTACCGCCACCACGAGGAAATACGGGCTCTTCATCCCTTAAGAGCGAGACAACAGGTGCTTTGGGGGGCTTGTTGTCAGACTCGGCGGCCTTGTTGGGCGCCGTGGTGGCGGCCGGCTTCGCATCTTTGCTGGACGCATCGTTCTTGGACGGCCGGGCTGCCTTGGAGCTCTTGGCCGACTTTGACGGGGGATGGCCACCGGGGGCATCTTTTCGCTTCAGGTTGCCCATGGCGGCGATGTGCAGCCGAGATCAACAGCGAGCGAAAACGGCTCGTCTGGCTCGACGATGGCTTATTCGCTTGCCCTCGCGACAATATAATTTTTTTCCTCTCCAGGCCGCCGATAAGCTGATAGCAGTGGGAGGGGCGGTGGAGAAAGATCCGAAGGTTGATCCGGGCCCGGCGCCAGCGTCTCCATGCCAAGCGGACCGCTGCGGGCCTCGGCTGTTTACATGTTTACAGGCGGCCGAGCGCTGGAAACCACCGCCACGAGCCAGCGGACAGGCACGCTGATAAGCTGGTCACACGAAACTCCCTTGAGCGCCTCTCCCTCAACAAAACAGGACGCGAGACGGTACCGGTGGTCGAGTAACCTGGACCCAGTCGAGACAAGGACGTCGATGGATTTTCAGACGTCTGCACGCGCGTCGTGATGCTCCCCCGAAAGAGACAGCGACCAAACCCGGCCGGGGCTGCTGGCTCGTGTAGCCTGCCGACAACGGCCTTATCGCGCGAGTTCGCTACGTCACAGGGCGCATCAGCCTCTCACCAGCCGCCGCCGACTCCTCTCCTGCGGTCCCACCGCAGCATCGCCGCCCTATCTGCGAGGAGCAACGAGAAGCAGGTATCTCGCGACAACCCTCTGCACCTCCCGCTCTACATCGTATTGGGATGCTGACTCGGCACCGTGCGGCAGGTTCGCAAGGCCAAGAGCTGGTACGGTTCCTGGCCAAGAGCACCGAACAAAGCCTGGGCCTCGACGTCGGTTGCGCGGGAAAATATCCTGGGCGGCACGCTCAGGGCAGCCAGAGCCTCGGACCTGAGTCGCTTCGAGCCGAAAAAGGGCGACGACGCTGTGAGCATGCTCAGCGCATGCACCGCTTTGCCACTGCCCGGTGTGCCAGAGAACGCCATGACGACAGACGAGAACGACCAAAGGGACGTCAAGCCCCCGTCATCAGAAAGAGCAGGGAAGAACGCATCAGGCGACGCAAAACTACGAGTTCTGTCGGCTACAGAATCGACAGCCCAAAACCCCGCAACCCCGTTGAGACGAGTCACGTCGTCCAGCTGGCTGGGCTGGTGGTCGAGAACGCCCGTTGCCGAGGACCAGGCAGAGTCATCAGCGAACTGTGCGCTGCCTGAAGCCGAGAACGATACCGATGTGCCTCGGCAGCCTGTCCTTATTCCTCCCGAGCAAACTGCACCTGATGATGCGTCTACCGTGTCGGCCCCGGCCAGCGCGCCGACATACGCATCGACGTCCTGGTTTGGATTCTGGTCGTCTTCCAGCGATGCCAAACCGCCGCCAGAGGCCAGCGCCGAAGACGCCACGGCCGAGGGGGGAGCCGAGGATACCGTCATGACGGACGCGGCCCCTGCTGCAGCACCTCCAGCCCCATCACTGCCTCAGAAGCGTGAGCCAGCGCCCAAGGCTGGCTCCACGTGGGCTTTCTGGTCGAGGGAATCGCCCAAGGCGGGCAGTGAGGTGGCGACTTCGGAGGCAGGCGAAATTGCGGTCATGGGCGAGGGCTCCGAGGCCCGTCCGCAGCCCATGGCCGAGGGCGACGTCTCGGGGTCGCGGAGCAGGGGTCAGAAGGCGGACCCCAAAGCAAAGCTGGGTCGCAAGACGACATGGCGCAGAGGCAAAAGAGCAAGGCCAACGGTGACCATCCCCGAGTCTCGGCCGGCAAACTGCCCCGAACGGATCAACCGCCGCAGCAGACATTGCGTCGGAGCCCGAGCCCGAGCTCAATGCAACGCCAGCCACGCCCAGGACGGAGACGCCGACCGAAGGTGCCGGCGACGCGGCGGCTGCAGCAACCAAGCTGCCGCCCAACCTGGTGCTGCCCTGCTTCACCAGCACCTACGAGATGAAGGAAAACCCGTCGATCCTGCGGCAAATCACAAACTTTCTGCTGCGTACGTCGCAGCCGGCGGCCAACCACGTGCTGCGCGTCAAGGACACGCCGCGGATACGCAAGGCCCTTGCCATTGGCGTTCACGGGCTCATCCCCGCGACGTACCTGCGGCCGATGATCGGGCAGCCGACGGGCACATCGCTGCGGTTTGCGAGCCTGGGCGCCGATGCGATCCGCAGGTGGGCCGACGCACACGGGTGCGCTGACTGCGACATTGAAAAGGTGGCGCTCGAGGGCGAGGGCCGCATCGGCGAGCGCGTCGACAACCTGTGGAAGCTGATGCTCAACTGGATCGACCACATCCGGCGGGCCGACCTCATCGTCGTGGCGTCGCACTCGCAGGGCGTACCCGTCAGCATCATGCTACTGGAGAAGCTCATTGAGCTGGGGCTAATCACCGACGCGAAGATTGGCGTGTGCGCCATGGCCGGCGTCGCCCTCGGGCCCTTTCCCGACTACCGGTCCAGCATCCTGATGGGCTCGGCCGCCGAGCTGTGGGACTTTGGCAACCCGCAGAGCGCCATTTCGCTGCGCTTCGAGACAGCCCTCAAGCGCATCCTCGACTACGGCGCGCGCGTCACCTTTATCGGCAGCATCGACGACCAGCTGGTGCCCATGGAGGTGTGTATTTCCCCCTTTTGTCAAGGTATCCTGCTCGTTCTAACGCGCCTCCAGTCCGCTGTCTACTCGCCGGCCAGCCACCCGTACATCTACCGCGCCGTCTTCATCGACGGACGCATCCACGCGCCCGACTTCATCGCGCACCTGGTCGGCTTCGCGCTGAAGCTGCGCAACTTGGGCATCTCGGACCACGGGCTGATCCGCGAGCTGTCGGCGCCGCTGGCCGGCTCGCTGTACTCGGGCGAGGGCCACTCGCGCCTGTACTACGACGACGCCGTCTACGACCTGGCCGTGGCGCACACGCTCGAGACGTCGGCGGTGCCCCGCGGCGTCCCCTGCCAGATGCGGCCGCATGCGGGCGCCGCCGCGGATGGTGGTGGTGGTGCAGGGCTGCTAGCGTCGCCAAATCCCTACGTGCTCCCCTGGATCATGCGCGGCGTGCTCGAGGAGGACTTTGTCAAGACGGAGCTTGGCGCCGAGACGGAGGAGCTGCTGCGCCAGTTTGACGACTGGAGGCCCACGACAAAGGCCCTGCGCGACGTCAAGTACCGCCTCGAGGCTGTGCGGTCCAAGCTATAGTGGCTGAAGCGCAAGTTGCCCGCATGACTTGTTCTTATTGGGGAGAGGGAGCCGGGGAAGGCGATCACGAAGCCATCCCCCTCGTCTGCATTTGGTGGCTTTCCTCGCCTCTCGTCTCCTCACCGAACTCTAAAACCCCCTCTCACTCTCTCAAAGCAGAGAAACATGGCCCCTCCGTCTCCGTCACGTTCGCCCTTCCCCAGGCACCAAGACGGGATTTGCGGCATTCGAAATCCTACCCATTACGAGAAACGCCGCATACGCCTTTAGACCCAATCATGACGCCTTGGAGGGTTCACACTCACACACACACACACACACACACACGCATACACACAACATGGTCCACGGGAATCGATCGGCAAGGGGCATGCATCGCGCGCCGCTGCGCAACGAGAGTCTGGTCTGATTTGGTGGACTCACACACTCGCCTCGACACTTGGACAAAAAAAAGAAAGAGAAAAATGAAGAAAAACACAAACGCAAAAGCGACGCAGTAATCTCAGAGTCTCTCACACCCTCGTTTCCAACCCACGGGCGGCGGCAAGACGACGCCGGTAGCATGGAATGAGAGGGGGATGGCCATGGGAAGTCGGCGCAGGGCGTTTTCTTGTCCTTTCCTATATACAATACACACATACACATATATAGATATACTATGCAAAAATAATAGCAAGACAAGAGACGGGCAGTTCACTGAACCAGCTAGAGTGGCTCCTTGGGCGAGCCTTGTGGACCCCGCCTTGCTCCCATGTAGGATTGATCCATGGTGGAAGACGTCTATCTGACCGACTTGGGCACATCTGCGCACCGACTCAAGGCGGCATAGAACGAGTTGCCGCTAAATTCTCAACGTTCGCGGGTGACTTGGGGGGTTCAACGCTCGTTTGCCGCGCATCGTCTATCGTACATAAAGAATATACACCTCCTCTCTCCCCAAGCAAAATGGTGGTCGCCCTTTCGAGATGAGACTGCACACCCATCACCGCCCTTCTTCCGTCTTTCTTGTCCACTACGTAGCTGCATCCTCGCCATCGTTGGCTCCGGTGCCCCCATGGCGGTTTCGCCGCCCCCCCTTTTTGTACAAACAAGTAATATCCGAGAGGAGCGAGAGGGAAAAAAGGGGTGTCGTGCCCTCCAATGTGACGAGTCGCAATGTCCAGCGCCTTGGCCATTCATCACGGAGAGTCCCGAACTCGCCGAGTAGAGAGAGTCTCAACTCCTTCTTCCCAGCCCAAACGCATAGATGCGATCCTGGATCTGATCCCACGTCAACGGCCGACTCGCCAGCCCATACTGATGCGCCTCCTGCAACACCACCGTTGGCGCACCGCTCCCGGCGCCCGGGTTCCTCACCGCGCCGCCCACCACCGTTGCCGCCACGCGACGCAGGTCGTCGACCGTCAGCGCCTCGATGCGGCGGCACATGTCGCGCACGGGCACCTTGCGCCCGTGGACCTGCACCGAGCGGCCGAGGTCTTCGAGTTCCACCATGCGGCTCTCGAGGTTCATGAGCAAGCTGCTGCGCAGCTGCTTCTTGGCCCGCTCCATCTCGCCCTCGTGCATGCGCGCGTAGCCGCGGTCGAGCGTCAGTGCGCGCAGCTGCTCGCACACGGCGTCGAGCATGTTGACGGCGTGGCCCGGTAGGCACGACGCCGAGATGCCAAACAGGCCTGAGTCGAGGTACGAGTGGTTGAAGGCGACGCACGACTCGACCCAGCCGTGCTGGTTGAGCACGTTTGTGTACAGCCGCGAGTACATGCCTTTGCCGGGTCCGCCCGCCGAAAAGGACCCGCCGCCGCCCAGCAGCGTCTGAAGCGTCGCCAGCGCGTAGATGTCGTCGGACCCGACGGGCAGGCCCTCAAAGGCCACGTGCATGTGCGTGAACTTGAGCTGGTCGGGCGACGGCGTCTGCGGCGCGAGGGCCAAGAAGCCTCCCGTGTAGTGCGCCGCCAGCCGGCCATTACTGAGCCGCGAGGGGGGCGTGCTGAGGACGGTGGCGTTGCGGGGGGTGGCCATGTTCTTGAGAAAGGGGATCTTGGATATGAGCCTTGGCCGTTGGTGTTGTTGGGCCGAGGCGGATGAGGACGAGGACGAGGGGGGGGCGGAGGAGGAGACGGAGCCCTCGCTGTCGCTCGTCTCAGATGCTGCGGTAGTCGTTGACTCCATGGCGCCAAAGTACTGCTCGGCCAGCCCAACCGCCACGTCATGCTCCACGCCGGCAAAGGCCAGCACCATGCGTTCGGGCTTGTAGAGAAGGTCGCGATACCTAACCACAGTACCGCGGTCGATGCACGCCAGTCGATCCTCCGGGCACAGCAGCGGGTTGCCAAGCGTATTATCCTTGAAGGCGGCCGAGTGCAGCAGCTCCGGCAGGATGAGCTCGGGCTTTGCCCAAATCTCGGCAATCTCGTACCGCGCCGTCTCGAGCTGCTCGGCCACCTCTTCCGACGTGAGGCACGGGTCGCGGATCGTGTCGGCCAGCAGCGCCACCGTCTCGGGCACAGCGCGGTTGAACGTGGCGGCCTGGTACATCATGGACTCGCGCGACGAGGCGCACTGGATGTTGCCGCCCAGGGCCTCGACGCGCTCCAGCATCTCGTCGGCCGAGTGGCGCGACGTCGACTTGAAGGCCAGCCGGTCCATGATGTGCGACACACCGCGCATCTGGGCGTCCTCGAACCGCGACCCGGCTTCGACGTAGACACCCACGCCGGAAAAGGAGCCGGGCAGCGCCTCCGAGGCGACGCGCAGGCCGTTTGGCAGCGTCGTGATCTGGTCCAGGTCGGTTGGTTCCTGCAGGGGAGCCGCCATGTCAGTCACCAAAGAAGCACCATATAGCATACAGCGTGGAGTCATATCTTGCCTTGGGGATTCCCTCGACCGCCACCGTCGCCATGGTCCTCGTCGGCAAAGCAAGCCCTGCAGGCCGCTGCCGCAGCAGCCTCGAGCACGAGGCCGCGCCCCTGCGTAGTGGCTGTAGCCGAGTGCTCACGTGTCGCAACATGGTCGGGCTGCGAGTTGCGACGGTTTGCCGGAGCCCTCGTTATTCATGGCGAGCTGGAAGAATGGGTTTCGCAGAAAACCCATTAATAAGCAGGCCTCCACCACCCGCTCAGCGATGCGTCGGAACATTGCGGCGCCGACACAGGCACAATGACATCAGAACAAAACTGCGTGCAGTTGATTGATTGATATTCGCAAGCGCCTATGAGAATCACCAGCAGAGACCTGAAAAGGAGCCGATCTTTGATTATCAAGCCCCTGTCCACAGACACACCGCTGTCAATACCCCTACCAGGACCTGGCCGCAGCAAATCACTCGGCAGCCAGGCCAACATGCCCGTGACCATGTCCCTGCTTTCAGTCGGCCGCATTGTACAAGATGATCGCCGCCCACGTTGTGTCAAGCCATGTACGCAAGTACTCCGCCGCTACGTACGAAACAGAAAAGGGGGGAGACCCGACCAAGTGTGAATGAAGAAGATCGTTTTGCCAAAACCCGTCCGCCATGCCAAAAAGAAGGATTCCTCGCCAGCGCGATTCGCTGCCCAGAGACTCATGACCGGCTCCAGCAGCCTCTCAACTCCGTGCCGGGACCGCAAGCAAGAAACCATGGCGGAACCCCTGCCAATTCACAGTCTGCTCGCAATGGGATCTCCCTCTGCCGCCTTGGGCGGCCACCATGCGAAATGGAAGAGTAATAAAAAGAAGGCCTTTTCGAGTCCCTGCTGTATGCGCTGTCGTCTGCGTCCGTCGAGTAGATTAGGAAGAGTCGTCGCTTGGATGGTGACTGGTGGCGCCCATCTCGGCTGCCGCGTCGAGGCTTCGCATCCCGGTAGTAGCATCCACCGCCCGGCGTCCTGCACTGCCGTCAAACACCCACGGGCCAGCATTGTTTCTCGGGGTGACCAGGCCCTCGCCGTTGGCACCCAGCGACGGGGAACCGTTTTCCCGCAGGCGTCCGACCCTGCCGGCGCCCGAAACTGGGCTGCTTATGGGCAAAGGCTCCGTAGTCGCGTGGTGCAAAGGCGGCCGGGCGGCCGGGCTCTCCGATGTGCCAACGGCGACCGTCACGTCGACGGCATCGGCATCTTGAACCGTTACGTCTGCAGGCTCTGGCGCCGATGCCGGTGATTGGCTGCCCGAAGGCTCTTCTTTTCTTTCCTCGACGTCCTCCTCTCCGCGGCCCTCCTCCTCGAGCTGCTGCCACTCATCTGAGGGCTCGTCGACGTCGGCCTCGAGGTCCGCTCCGGCTCGGCAGTTGGGGCAGACGAATATGGGATATTGCGGCGACGTGAGCAGCGACCGCACGCACTTGAAATGCCACGTGTGCGAGCACGGGGCCACAAACAGCGACTGGCATGGCTAAAGGATGAGCAAGTCAGCCGAGCACAAACTCGACTCCGCCTTGACATGAGAGAGAAGATGGGGCGGGGCGAGGCGGGGAGGACAGGATTGAGGTGGACAAACCGCAATCGAATTTAGGCAGATGGAGCAGTCCTGGGAGTTTGAGCTTGACAGTGCCGAGGCTGCACCGTTGGAAGCCATGGTCCGCAGGCGCTTGTGGGCGGCGACGCTGGAGAGAAGAGGACGGTCAGCGGGAGCGCTGAAGGGAACCGGACGGAGCCAGGGGGATGAGCGACTCACTTGAAGGTGTTGAGCTTGTTCTGCCATCCGCGGTTGAGCTCGAGCCTCATCTTGACACAGCGGAAAATCATCTCCTCGCCGCCCTTGAAGTCGATGCCGAGCTGGACAATGTCGCCGTCGTTGACAGGATAAGCCTTACTCTCCTGCGAAGGCGGGCTGAGGCGGATGTGATTGAGAAAGGTGCCCGAGGAGCTCTTGACGTCTCTGATGTACCACTTGCCGTCTTCGCACCAAAACTCGCAATGGCGGCGGCTCACCACCTTGCTCTTGAAGCCGACGGGGGCGGCCGAGGGTTGGCTGCCCAACATGGTGGCGGCTGCCTGGCCGTCGCGCTCCGAGTAGCGGCCGACGCGGATGACATCTGAGGCGGCGGGCAAGGTGCGGGAGATGGGGGCGAAGGAGAGGGACGGGCGCGTGGATCGCGGGTCGTAGTAGGCGGAGAAGCGGATCGAGGGCGCCGTGTCGGGGCTTGCGGACGAGGCAATCTCGGCGGGCGAGGCGGTTGTCCTGGCCATGGGGGCGAGCTGGGACTGCTGGGGTTGAGGCGGCGACGGGGACGCGTCTCGAGGGTCCGAAACGACGACAGCGGTCGTCTCGGGGATGGGGCTGGCCGACGAAGCTCGCATCTGTGGGGCCCTGGGGCGGAGGGGCGCGTCGGGGGTGGAATTGATGAGGGTCAATCTATTGGAGCCGTGGGCGGCCGTCGAGGCGAGCGAGTAGCTGACGGATCGGGTGAGGTTGTGCGGGGAGGCGGCCGGGGAAGCGGCCGAGTGGTGGGTGTCGCGCGACAGCAGGTGGTTGTGCGTGTAGTTGCGCAGGTAGCTGAGGCCACGCAGGCGGCTGGGGCGCGACGTGGTGACGGGCGTGGCGGACTGAGGCCCTGGCGGAGGCGACGAGACGGGCTGGGTGAACATTTGGAGATGGGAGAGGGGATTTGTCGCGCTAGCCAAGAGACGAGGAGAAATGTCTGACGTGTTTGGGTCGCGGCGACCAGCAGGAGGAGATGGAGGAGTGGAGCAAGAGCGAGATGGAGAGAGAATGGGAATGAGGCAGAGAGCAGATGGAACGGGAGGGGCGATGGACAAGTTGGCGAGGTGGAGGTGGTGGGAGAGAGGATGAAGAGGGAGAGAGACGGTGAGGAAGCGGAGAAACCAGACTCTCCACTCCCAAGTGAGGAAGGGTAAGTAATAATAATAGGTGTCGAAAAAAAAGGTTCGAAAGAAAAAGATATCCAGCGGTGGATACGGGGAACGGGAGTGGTGTGTTATTGTCTGGCTTGACGGTGGAGGAGGAAGAGGAGGAGGGGGGAGGGGAAAGGGTCCAACAGTCGATGGGCGGGTAGGGGTGGGATAGAAGAGGCAAGTTGGCGTTGGGGTTGGATGTCGAGTGGCTTTTTTCTTCTAATTTGTTAATTCGGATGGATGATGCGCTGGGACCGTGTCAGCCGGCAGCGGCTCTCAGTTGACTTTGCCTCGGGAGCGGGGGGGGAGGCGGATTGCCTAGCGAGGTGGGGGGTGGAGGAGAGAGAGAGAAGCAGGACGAGGAAGATGGAGGACCGGGCCTCGGACGCTTCTGAGGGCGGGGAAAAGGGTGCGGAGTGAAACAAGTTCAGTGGGGGAGAGGAGGAAGAGCCGGAGAAGTGCGTGTGTGCTGCTTGTACGCGTAAGAGGTTATCTACCGAAAGATGCGCCCACACTCTTTCGTGCTGTGTCGCCCTTTGTTGGCCATGGACAGAGAGCCCGAGGCAGTGGATGGACCCGCTGGCTGCAGCAGAGATGAGCCGCAGCGGAGGTGCTGTACTGTACTGTAGACTGCAGTGTGCAGCTGCTGGGGGACCCCCTACAGTACTAGCAGCAGTGCCCTCGGTTTCAACGTGGGAGGTAAGACGGCGGCCTGCAACTGGTCGTCCAACGCAAGCAACGGTTACATGTGAGAAAAATTTCAGAAAAAAATAAAATAAAATAAGGGACGCACGACACTCCCGCTATACACCAAGCTTTGCCCCTTGGTCAAGTCGAAATGTGAAGCGACAAAATGCAAATAGACGAGACTTGCACCGGGCCACTGGCGACGAGGAGCACCAGCAGTGGAGACTCCCAGCAGCCTGCCTGCACAGTGGAGTCGGGACGGCCTGGGGCCAGCACGTGGGCCCACACCCACCTCGCCGGTTACCAGCCCGGTGCAGGTGGAACACCCTCCCTCAGTGGTCCGGGGCCGAGCTCCAGCACATGCACCCACTGTAGCCCGCCTGCCAGCACAAATCTTCATCTCGACCAGCGTCACAGACACCATGGCAGGTATTTATCTTGTTCCTCGCACACGCTGCGTCGGGAGCTGGTGGCACGACCTCGCGCCACAACCAACAAGCTGACCAACAAAGCCCTGCAACAAAAGCCCTGCTGCCGGCGGCGCATGGGCGTTGCTTCTTCTTCTTCTTCCCGTCCCGGCTCATTACGGGCACTACAGTAGCATCAGTGGTATTCGTCTTATTAGGGGCCTGCTAGCCTCTACAGGGCTTATGACCAGGTCATGCCTGGGCCGAGCGTGCACAGACGCTTGTCTGTCTCGACACTCGCCCACACAAAGGCCTGTCGGCGGACCCGTGCTCAGACAAGGCCAAGTCTTTTTTTAGAGAAGAAAAAGGAAAAGGGCAGCGGTCCGTCGCCTTGCTTCGGCAGCTCGGTCCGCCGCTCGTCAGCAAGCTTGTGCTTATTATGAGACGTACGGAACACAGTAGTGACTTACGACGCGCAGTAGTAGGTACGTACTTCGTATAATTACACATCCCTGATGAATCTCTTTGAAAATGGTTGTAAGTTAATTACTCCGTAATTCCACGCCCTTTTCCCTCTTCAACAGAAGCTGATGATGCATATATGCATGTGCGCTGAAATGATCAGCGCCGCGCATGACGCTGCCGTCGCCCCGTCGAGAATCTCGATGTACGGATATGACGTGCTGCTCCTCAGCCCATCCATCCATCCAGATATGTATTCTGTACATGGCATGGCACGAGACGTCGACACGTGCGTGCAGGCATTCTCGCTGCTGCCGCATCCCTTCCCGTACATACAGAACATGCGCAGAGTCATATTGTGTACTCGTGATATACTGTAATGTAGTCTGTACTGTACTGTACATACCTACAGCAATGTCGATAGATGCTGCTTCAACCAAGTGCCGCGTAATTATTATCCATCCATCCCTTGTCGGTCCGATACTTCATCGACGACAGATCAAAAAGCCGCCGCCGCAATCGCGTCAATACTCGCGGCCACCAACGGCACCGCTCCCCATGTCTCGACATCGTCCCCAACCGATCCCGTTGGCCCTGCAACTCGCCTGCCACTGTGAGACCGCTTAAACGGGCCGTCGGCTGGGTATGGCGTCGCCTAATGTCTCGCCCTTGCCGTGGTCCAGCTATTAATGGAAGCAGCGCCATCTCACAACCAACAAACAGCTATACATACGCCTTGTCCATGGCTCATGACAGCCATCAACGCCTTCAGGATATACGTGGTAAACGGAGTGCGCTACAACTCACAAGCTGGGCCCGGAAGCTCTCACCAGCCCATCACCATCTCCAGCAATGGGGGACACCCACCCCCTTCAGCTACAATGTGAAGGGGGCAAGTGGAAGCACCAACTCGTCTTGAAGCTCGTGTACACATGTGGCCAATGTATGCCTACTGAAGTACTCCGGGCCCTGGTGGAAACCTCATCTTGGTCCGCTCGAGCCATGCGAGGCACATGCCGTCTCACATAAGCTCCGTCGAGAAGCATCATCGTCGACCTGAAGCCCTGTCTTCCAACTCAGCAACCGCCCATTACTTCCTGAACACGGCCATGCCCAGCCTCTCAATCTCCCTCCCCTCTGCTGATCCTCTCCCCGCCGCCTCCAGCAGCCTCTGCCACGCCTCGCCGTCCTTGAGCCGAACCGCCTCCTCCGCCGCCTTGGTACGCATCCCGCACTTTTCGTACATGGCAATCGTCTCCCCCGCCGCCAGGCCCGAGCATTTGGGGATGAAGACGGCCGCCAGCCGCGGGTTGCCTGCCTGCAGCGTCAGGTTGAAGAATGGCTGGTGCCCGGCGTCAGCTGTAGTCCCGCCCGTACACGGGGGACACGGAGCGAGAACACTCGACTCACCTCCCACCCAATCGGACTCTTCTTGGCCTTGGCCATTTCCTCAATCTCGTTCCATTCACGCTTCGCCACCAGCGCCCGGAGACTGCAGGCAAGCGCACGTGCGCGTCAGTTCAATCTGCTGCCTTGGTAACTCTCAGTTGAACCTACCGGATCCACCACGCCACCTTATCCGGCACCTTGAATTCGCTTTGGACCTTCTTGGCGTGGCTGTTGAACCCGAGCCGTATCAGCTTGAACAGCGTCTCGTTGACGCTGAGTCCCGTAAACGAATCTGCCAGGTCGCGCCCCAGCGACTCCTGCATCCGCAGCAACGCCGTCGTCTCCTTGAGTGCGTGAAGCTCTAGTGCCCTCTCCTTGGAGTCGGCCAGGAGCTTAGCCGCCAGTGCGAGCTTGTCCGACGCCGTCCGTGCGTCTGGCTGCCGGAGCGATTCTCGGATAAAGACGTTGGCCCCGTCTACTCGCCGGTCGTCTTGGTAGTACAAGTCTTTCAGCAGCGCATTGTCGCCCTCTCTCATCGCCGCCGCCTCCACCATGGCCGTCGCCGTCGGCCGTGCGTTGATGACGCGGAAAAACGCCGCCAGCGGCAGCTTCTTCTTGAGCTGCATCAGCACGACGAGGATAAGATCCGTGTCTCCGCTCTCAATGGCCTTGTCCAGGGCGAGCTCGTCTTCTTCCATGTCCAGGAGCAGCGGCACCTGCCTTCCACCGCGCGGCTCGTGGTTGAGGAGCTCCGTGGCCAGCCGGGCCCGGCCCTCGTGGTAAGCCGCCCGCGCAATCTCTTCGAAAGAAATACCGGGCTTGCCCGAGAGCCTCTCGACCACCAGCCGGCAGATGGTGTCGTCGTCCTCGGCCCCGACGCGGACCTTGGTAGATGCCCAGTGCACGTAGATGCGGTCCGAGGGGAGCTTGAGGTACCCGGCAATCTTGAGCGCGAGCAGGTAGTCGTGGCGGTTGAGCAGGCGCTGTATTAGCCGCTCGGGCGTCAGGCGGTGGTACTGCTCGTACGACAGGGGGATCCCAATTTCGTAGTCGCGCACGCCATTCAGCACTCGCAGCGTCTCGCACATGTCGACAAACTCGTCGCTGTTGTAAATGTCGAGCACCGACTTGCCAAACGAGGCGGCCTTGAGCAGTTTCTTCTGCCACCGCGTGTCAAACTCCCGGCCAGCGGCGTTGACGCACGTATCGACGGCCTCGGTCAGGTTGGGCCGGATGAGCTGGATGTAATCGTCGGCCTTGGGCGACTCCAGCTCCAGCTGGCCGACGGCGTCGAGCAGGATGGACGCGGGCGAGGATTCCGAGGCATGGCCGAGCACCTCGAGGGTATCGCTCGGCACCCTTTCGACGAACTCGCAAAAGTCGTTTGTGATGAGTCGAGCACCATCATATTCTGGAAAAATCAGCAACGCCTCGGCCGACAGGCACGCACGGGCTGTCGGTACCGGAAATGACGTGGACGCGGGTGCTCTCGTAGATGAAGGACGAGGACTGATCCCCTGGCCCAATAATGTGCACCTCGTCCTCCCAGGCAATGAGCGCATCGCTGCCGCACCATTCTACGTACTTGGGCGGCGTCTGCGAGTCGGCATCGTGCTCGAATATCTTGTCCTGAAAATCGCTCGAGATGACGTGCGCTTTGCCATTCTTCCCGTACAGATTCGCATACCGCCCGTCGGGTGAGACGCTGATGTGGCTAAAGGGGCCAATGTCGAGCAGCCGATCTTCGCAGTCTGTGGCATCGACGACGTGGACGGTCGAGCCGACACTCAGCAGCACCTCGACAGACCGGGACAGGGTGTGATCGGGCGAGATGATGGCCCACGAGTGGATTTCGCCCCCGGGGCAAGCGGCTAGCAGCTTGGGTCGGGGCTCGGCATAGGACGAGACGGCGACGAGCGAGTTGTTGCCCAAGAGAGCAACCATGCCGTTGTCGTAGAACCTGGGAGAGGTGAGCGACGTGGCGTGCGAGCCGGGGAGCCGCGGCAAGCATACCGGCAGGATTCGACGCCATAGTTGTCGGCGCCGTGGCCGAGGGAAAAGTTGCTAAAGTCTCCCTGGAGATCGTAGCAGCGGACGTTGCCGTCGGCGGTCACGACGAGCAACGACTCTTGTTCGGACCAGCCAAGCCCCTTGACGACCGTCTTGTCCCAGGGGATGCTGCGCAGCTTCTTGCCCGCCAGGCTGTAAATGTCGATGGACGGCTTCGAGGATATGCCCGGCTGGTGGGCCTGGAGCTTGGTATCGTCGCGCCATAATGCTATGGGCCTGTCAGTCCCCATTCGACTCGTCTCCTTTGCAGTGCAGCATTGGCCATGTCCCTGGCCATGTCCCTGCGCGTGTGCTGATCAAGACAGCAAGGACATACCTAGAGCACCAGCATAGGGAGCTCCCGCCACGAAGTAGTTGTCGAGATCCAATTCTTGGTCAAAGACGGCCGTGTACTGCTGCGTCTTGCGGAACCATTTGTCCCCCACGCTCTCCCAATCGGCTCTCGCGTGCAGCGCGTCCATCTCCGATGCGCGCGTCATCTCATGGTGGGCGTGTGCAGCTCGTCCCCTTGAGCTCTGGTGGATTGTCGGTGACGATGGAGGGATGGAGCTCCGGGTGCGCGGAGGTTATTCTTCGGCTAATGAGGGGCTGGCTCGGCAGGCCACTGTAACCAAGGGTAGCTGCTGCCCCGCCATCGATGATGATGGCATCGCTCCATTCTCAAGACGTCAGTCGCACCAGCCCGCACGCTGCGACGCCCACCATCAGCACCCTCATACGCCTCCCTGCGCGTCACTGGGTCTTCAAGGCATCAGCAGCGCCAGCAGACCGTCTCCTCTCGTCTCCTGCAGTCACCATGCCGGACTGGAGGGATGAGTACCTCGCGTCCCTCAAGGATGTCGAGCTCAACAACCCAGTCAACATGGAGCTCGTCCAGGCTTGTTCGGACTCTCCCTCTCTGCATGACTACCTTTTGCTCCGGCTCACAAGCGACAGGCTCGCAAATGGCCGACCGCATCTCCGCACTCGAGGCGGAAAAGGTAGCGCTGCAATCCCGGCCGCCGACTACGAGCACATCCAAGCACCCGCGCCCCGGTGGTACACCCTCGGACGACGCTGGTATCGCACAGCTCCGCCTTGACCTCGCCGAGACGCTGCGAGCCAAGGGTGTGGCCGAGGCACGGCTCCGCACGGCAGAGGAAGAACTCGGCAGACTGCGGGCAAAGACCAAGGAGGACGCCCGGGCCGTCAAGGACCTCACGGCTGATCGAACATCGCTCATCTTTCGGGTCAAGGACCGCGAGCACGAACTGAGAGAGAAGCGCAAGCTGCTCGAGGTACTGTTCGACCCGTGGGACCTTGCCGGTCTGCGCATGTGCTGACACTCGGACGCAGCAAGTCCAGGACGAGCATATCGCCCTGAACCTGCAACTGTCCATGGCGGAAAAGGAACGAGACAGGGTCAAAAAGGAGAACAAGGAGCTCGTCGACAGATGGATGAAGCGCATGGGGCAGGAGGCCGATGCCATGAACCTCGCAAACGAACCGCACTTGGAAAAGAATCACTGAGAATACGCAGCCGTGACGCGCAAAGCAAATGGCATGCGAGTATGACCCGCATTCAGATGGTATGTCCTGTACGCTAAACCCCATTCACATGCTCATGATGCCATGTTCCAACCCAAACATCTCGCGCAAGATCCGCTGACGAGGCCCTGCCCCCCCGGCCTACTTGCGTGTAGAGATAAAGTACGGCCCGCCCGCGTTGGTCCAGCTCACGTAGCCCTCGGGATACGCACATTCCTCCACGTTGAGAATAGTGCTCCCGACGTCGTTGATGTTGTGGTTGCTCTCGGCGACAAAGGACCGGAGCGAGACGACCTTGCAGCCGGGCTTGAGATCGAGAAACATGCGCACCAGGTCGTCATTGAGCTGCGAGGTAAAGGCCTTGTTATTGACCAGCACCACGTCGGCCCGCTTAAGCGCCTCGTGGATGGCCGTGTTCTTGCGAAAATCTCCCCGCTCGAGGTGTACCTTGCCAGGTTTGATGCCCCAGAGCATGCTTCTCGCGGCAAACTCCTTGGCCTGTGCCTCGGCCAGGTTGCAAGCGTTTTCCATCATCTCGCAGCCCCAGCTCTCACACCCAATCTCGAGGGCCGCCTGCAGGCAGACGTTGCCCACGCCCGACCCCAAGTCGACAAACACCTGGTCAGACGTCATGCTCATCTGCTCAACGAGTATCTTGGAGATGAAGGGGTGCAGCAGCTCGCCGTATACGTAGTCGGTGCCGTTTTCATACTTGGACAGGAGCTCCACCTTGGGAGCCACGGTCCGGTCATAGACTTGGTCGAGAATAAAGGCGACGAGGCTGCGGGGCAGCTCATGCATTGCGTCGAGATTCCGTTCGACGACGCCGTCCTCTATGAGGCCAAGCAGCGTCTCGTTGTACTCTTGTAGCGCCGCCTTGAACCCGGCCAAGTCTTGGATGTTGCGGTTGGAAGCCTTTTCCAGGCGCCGTATCAGGCCGCTGTGCTGGTTGGTGAAGGGCTCGGCTTCTTCGTCGTTGAGATATGTCTCGGCGACGTGGCGGACGATGCGGATGCTGGCCTCGACGGCGTCGATCTTGTCCTTGCCCCATACGAGCTCGAACCTGCGAGGCGGGGTTAGCTTGGGGGACGTGAGGAGAATACGGGCCACGTACCTTTCCCTAGGCTGCAGGCTCGGGTACTGCAGCTCTATTGCCACGTCCTCTTTCTGGGCGCCCATGACGGGGACGCACTTTGCCTCGAGGGAGGCGACTTGGACGGCATGAATAAACTGCAGCTGCTCGTTGCGGCCTTCGAAAGCCCTCGAGTTGCGCAGCTTGCGGTTGGGATCAACGAAGCGACCGTCGGCGGTGCCCTGGCGTTGCCTTTTGCGGGAGTCGAGGCTCATCCAGCCATCGTCCTCGTTGTCGCTGTCCTTGTCAAAGGCGACGCGGTCACTGGCAGGCGAGGGTCGCGACGCGGCGGCACTGGCGGCCTTGCGTTTCCGCGCCAGCCGCCTCTCGTCGGACGAGGGAGGATGTGGCGAGTTGCTGTCGTGGCGGACGGACGGCAGTCTCGGCGACGGGCGTGAGGCGGCGGGCGAGGAGCTCGAGGAGACGGAGGCGGCAGCGGCGGAAGATCGGGAGCGAGGCTTGGGACTGGGCTTGGGCTTGGGCTTGGGCGGGGCGGGACGTTCGACGACGACCTTTTCGATGCGGATCTTTGGAGGGTCGACCTTGAACTTGTTGCCTTTGCCGCCGAGAAGAGGCATGGCGGCGGCGGAGGGTGTGCGAGTGCGAGAAGCAGGGAGAAGCCTCGTGTTTCGGTCCCCTCTGGTTGTCACGCTCGTCTCTGATGCCCCTCTCTCCCTTGAGGCGTCTTTTTGCGTGAGCGGTATGCACGTGCCGAGTCGAAAGCGGTATGATGCGCGAGTTCCAGGCAAGACACGGACTGAGTCTAGGGGTCTCCGTGTGGGAGGGGGCTCCGCTGGCGGAGGTACGGGGGAGGGCAGAGGTAGATTTGATGAGACAGGTTTGCAAAGAAGGGGTTTAAAAAGGAAGACTCCCTACATGAACAGATGCAGAAGTGGAAAAAATGACGCGGCTCATGAACAATGTTGTTGGTGGTGGGGGGGGGACGAGGCTTCTCTCGCTCGGTGAGGGAGGGTGGCGGTTGATTGGGGAAGAGTGTGTGTCACAGCCGCAATGCCATCTCGCCTCGAGGCCAAAAAAAATGCTGCCTTGGGCGTGCAGGCGGCGTGCAGGCGGCGTGCGGGCCTGCTATTACAGCAGGTTCCCGCAGTGAGGGGGTTACGAGCTGGGGGGGTTGCAGCGCGGTAGAGATACTGTACTAGAGCGGATGGGGCGGTGAACTGGCAAGATACAGCTACTTGACGGCAGCCCTTCAGGCAAGTCCCCCTCACCGGGTACTACCTGAGACCCCTACTGTAGAACCCGAAGAAATGGTTGGGGGGGTCCCGGACGGGGGGCATCGCCCGACGTAACGGGCGCGAGAGCCGCCGGGACAACCGTCGGCCCGCGGCGACACAGGAAAGCCCGCAGCCACCTTGGGCGGTGGTATCTCGTGACTCGCGACAAATGCGATCCGCCGGCAAACAGGCGGGCCAGAAACCTAACATCATGCCACCAGCAAACGCACCACCCCCGGGCGACGCTCGTACATGCGCGGTGCAAGCCAGGGCAGCCGTGTAGGTACACGCTTCGTACACGTGGCGCAGAGCGTCAGCCAGGACGAGCCGAGGGCGTGCGTGCTGCTCCTGCACCTCGACTCGTTTTCCTCCTCGCGGGGCCCTCGTTCTCTCGGCCCACCACGTCGCCGCTGGCTTGAAACAGGACGAGCTGCAGCTTACTGACTGAGTCCAGGGACTACGTCAGATTCCTGGGTGTGTCTGCTTGCTGTACGTACCTCCTGACAGGCCTGTCACGGTAGCCTGTTGTTGCATGGTGTTGCTGTTGCACTGCAGCCGTTCCCGACGCGAAACAAGCGGATGGGACGACTACGTCATGCCCAGGACCTTGGCCGGCGGCATCTTGGCTGGCCCTGGTTCTGCACTCCGGTTCAAGAGCTGCTGCACCCCGGAATCTTCCCGGTAGCATTGCAGGCGACAATCTTGCACCCAGTCTCCTCCCAATGCACCTCGGAACCCGCCCAAGAGGTCTACGAGTCCGCCCTGGCCGGCGGGGTTGTCTACTCAACAAGTTCCATTCTTATACAACTCACTCTTCTCCAATTAGGCAAGAGAGTCGAGGGAACCGTGTGAGGCATGCACGACCTCTATTAAATTAGGATATACATCTAAAGTTAGATAGATGCTTGAGAAACTACACGTACGTAGTGGCCCCTGTTAGCGCGCCAGCAATGCTCGTCGAAGGGCAAAATGAGTAATGTCCAAGGCTTTGGTTGCCTCTTCATTCAAGTCCAAAACTTGGCAATCAAATCGTCGGGCAGCGCCTTGGCGTCCTCTTTGGCGGCAAAGATCTTGATGATGCGCGGTCTCAGCCCCCGCTCACAGATTGCAACGCACGCCCTGGCCCCGTTGCGCCTGACTACTTCCTTGAGCCGGACCAGCACCGTGACCAGCTTCTGCAGATGGACCTGCTGCCTCGTCTCCCAATCTGTAAACTCTGCGGCGACGTTGTTGAATGTAACGTTGGTGAATGTTCCGTCGACGTGGCGGCCGACAATGAGCCACGGTGTGCGGCCGAACCAGAGCTGCGGGAGATAGGTGCCGGAGCTTTTGTACTTTCCAGCCGTCTTGACCTCTGCTGCTGCGGATTGGGGCATAGCCATGTCGTGGTCGGATGCGGTGCTCGTCACTTGGGTGTTTGTGCTTGCGGTTCTTGGTCCGCACTTTATTGATGGTCGTCTTACTACTTGGGAGACGTTGGCCTTCGCGCCTGACTTGGCGCTGCCCGGCCCATTGTAGCACGCATCGACCTCGAAGCGCACGGCACAGCGCAAATGTCCAAGCGGGTAGAGCAGGACGCGGTGATGTCCCGTACTGTCCCCTACTCGAGGAGGGTAGTCGGTAAAGGCCCTTTCAAAGTTGTGGCCGTATCCAGAGACGAGTGCTCCAGTGGTGCGCTCGCGCGAGCTCCTTTCCCAGCGCTCAATCAGCAGCGAATTGTGGACCAGGGTAAGCTTGAGACGAAACAGTCCGTCGCTCCGGTCGGCGCAGAAGTTGAGCAGCTTCCGCAGACTGCTCCGGTCTGACACGACGTCGACGTCGTTGAAGCGGAAATCTGGGTTTGTGGAGGCGGCGGCTCGGAAGAGCGGCTCCAGGGGGTGTCGTGGGACTCGGGCAGAGTTTTGGTCGATGAAGAACGTCCCTCGATCCCTGGGGAGGGTGACTGGCAAGGGAATGTTTCTCCATGTCGGGGCGATCCCTTCAACATTGTCAAAGGTGAACATGCATGAGATGACATATTGGGGATGAGGGAGACTCTTACCAGGAACAAAGATGTGGGCATACGCGAGATTACGCCAGTTGTATGTGCAAAGCAGCTGAGCTGCCGACGCACTCGAGACTCTGGATGCCGAGGGGTAAAGGCTGCGCTGGCTGATGATTTTGACGGGGTTCTGGTCTCGTAGGCCATCACGTATCCAAGAGTCGCGAGAAGCTTGCCTGCGCGCCGTCGAGACCGCGGTACCAAGTGCGGCGGGTAGACGACCGGCGTGAGCGGAATTTCCACGTCGAGCCGTCACCGCTGCTTTCTTCCGAACCGAGCCGGCTCTTGAATTGAGTCCACGATAACAAGAGAATACGGCAGGTGATGATGAGGCAGCGCGGACTCGGCGACACATTGTCTGCCCAGCCGAGTGAGTGAGCCTCGGACACAAGACGGGGCCACAGCGTCCAATGGGCTGGACAATATAGACTGACGAGCCTGCCGGTCTCGGCACCATGATATTGGGCAACACTTGATTCATCCGAGGTGAGAGAATGCTTCAAGTCGCTTGTATCTTCATCCCAGCAAGTCATGAAAACACGACATGGAAGAACGCGGGTCCCTGCAGCCTCTGGTTGGTCGCCCCTGACGTGCGGCACGCCATGAGGGGATGTCTGCGTGGAGGCGTCCGGAGGTGTGCGTTGGTGGAAGCCTCTGATGATGTTGGAGCCGCCCTTTCACCACATGTAATTGCTTGCACGTGATGCAGCACGTGACTCCCCGCTCCTTACTTCACGGCCCTTCTGAGTTCTGACAGAACCAAACCACTCTCTCTTCGCCTGCGCAGTACATACAGGAGGCACGAACTCGTTGGTGAGTCTCGGCCGGCGGGTCTTTTAGTCTGCATCTTCGTCTAATGTGTGTGTAGTTGAGCTGACCCTCCCCCTCGGGCCCTCAGTCTCACCATCACTTAAGCCCGTTGCTATGCGTTGGGGATGCGCCGTGTTCAGCATCGCCGAGAACGGCTTGTGTTGAGCCCTTGCAGCAAGGAAGAGAAGTCTCGGGTCGCAAGCACAGTTCGCGTGGAGGCGGCATTCCGTGACCCAATAGCCACCACACTTATCACGCAGGGGGCCACCAACACGCCTGAGCTCACGCAACGATGAGTTGGCTTTAGATGAGCATGCCTGCCCTGATCAGTCTTTTTGAGACTCGAAAACAAATTTCTGTGCTTGGTAGACACTACGCTTCGCGTGTGAAGATGGACCTATTCGTACACACAAGTCTCGTTCTCAATGTCCAACTCCACCAGGCCCTGATTTCACTCTCTCCACAGTCTCGGTGTATGTGGAGGAAGAAGCAGGAAGCCAAGCATCCATCGCCAGTTCCTCCCACCATCCTCAGACTCCGAAACTCCTCCGCAAAAGACATGCGTAACGCAGAGAGCAGCCCTCATCGCCATGGCCCTCCACAAGCCTCGACAGTCAGAACAGCAAGCCCGAGGGCCGGCAGGCACAGATTCGTCGCCCGGCTGAGCACACCGTCGGCTCAAAGGCTCCGATTTCGTCGGCGAGCGAGGTGCTCACTGGGTTGGCGCGGTCTCGCCCGATCTTGCCTCGTTCGTGGACTGTGGAAAAGATTGTGGATCTGTGAATGGGGAGGAGGACGATGTAAGCTTTGCAAGAAGACACAGGGTGTGGGCGTCGTTGCCCTTTGACTCATCCCCATGAATAACAAACGTGAGAAGACGGGAGAGAGAGATGGGGGAGAGAAAGGGTAGATGCCGTACTGAAACTTGATCAACGTGATGCCCTCGCAGATGTCGACGACGAGATGCAGCCCCCCGACACTGACGTACGCGGCATCAGCATCTCGCGACAAGCCGTGCTGCGGCAGCGGATCCGAACGGCTGCCTCGCCAGAGATCAATAGGCCGCCGGTGCCCACAGACATGGCACAGAATAACCAGCCCGTCGTCCCCATGGCGGCCCTCGCCCGAGATGGACGACGCCCGGTGTCCACACCCCGGCTCAAACAGCGAGTCCCCGCGGGCCCGGTGCGCCTCCTCGAAGAGCGCCGTCTCATCAGGCGCGAGCGCGCCGTGGTCGCCGGCCAAGATGCGGTCCCGCATCGTCGGCAGCAGGCCGCGCAGGCCGCCCACGCCCTCGGCCGCGGCGCACAGCACGCACAGCAGGACGCCCCCCTGGTAGCCGAGGCCGCAGCGCGGCGGCTGCCCGGTGCGCAGGATGGTGGCGCGGCGCGCCTCGCGCAGCCTGTGGGCTGCGTGGTTGATGGCGCGCTCGAGCACGCGCATCAAATGGTCCGTGTCGCGGCGGCGCCACTCTTCGGCGTGCTTGGCAGTGCGGAGCGATGGCTGGTCGGGGTCGACGCCCGCGCCTGCGGCTCCGTCGAGGTCGGCCGGGTTGATGCCGTCGGCGGCGGCGGCGGCGGCCAGCTCGTGCTCCAGCTCGGGCGCCCCTGAGCGACGGCGGTGCCACCATCTCGCCAGGCGCAGCAAGTGGCCCATGCAGAGCGTTGAAAAGGGGTCGTGGGGATAGGCCTGGTACAGCTCCAGCCTCATCAGATCGTCGAGCTTATGCGGCACCGGGACCTGAATCACCTGGTGGAACGGCCGGCCTGACGCCGACCATCCGTTGCCCATGCCATGTTGCTGTATGCCTGCAGATTCACCGACGGGTCAGGGCTCTCGCCCTCGGTCTGGACTGAGGGCCGTGTGTTTACCTGGTCGAAAAGGCAGCGGTCGAGGCTGCGGGGAGGGAGTTGGAGGGAGAGGCCGCGGCATGGCGGCAAAGTTCAAAGGAGGAGGCGTGGTTGACGATGATGATGCCTCGGTATTGATGCCTCTGTATCGGAGAAACAATGAAGAGAAGAGACGCGCTTTCTCAGAGGACTCAGGATGCTCTCGTAGCCAAGGGCGTTTCACTGCCTGGCACCTGGTCTGGTTGCCCGGAGCGAAGCCCGGCCAACCCCTGAACAGCTCGACAACGCCACACTCGCTCTCTCCAATGACGACAGCCAGAGGGCAGTGAGCCGAACCCGGCTGCCTCTCCAAAACACATTGCCTCGGCGTTTGAAGGGGGCGAGGCGGAGAAGTCTCCCCTTCCACAGAACACGACCGACGCCCCGGGCTGAACAACGGGTTGTGTTTATTTTTTCCTTTCTTCTTTGATCTTCGCTCGTCTGGAGTCCGCTGAGCCTGGATCCGCCTGCCAGAGGCCTCGTGCAGCAAGGCAAGCAGGCGAACCGCCCTCGACGTCTACGCCCCCGGGTATGCCAGCTGGTGGATATGGTCTCCGAAATACCTGCTCCGAGTCTGCCGTCCGCCGTGGGCTCCCGACCAAACACCCGTGTAGTTTCCGTTCTTGACGAGGTAAACTTCGTCGTCTTCCCTGACGCAGACCTCGACGCGCCGCTGGATGCCTCGGCCATCCTTCTCGCCGCTCCCTGTATGCGGGCTTGCCACCTCCCCGTCCTCTACGTACGTCGTTTCGACCGCGGCCCCCTCGCCGTCTTTTCTGCCGACTTGAGACATCGGCGTCGTTGGGCTGTCTTGGTTGCCATCGCCAGACTCGCGGATCCGGCTTGGCCCTTCCATCCAGCATGGTAGGATGATTGCCATGTTTGCCGTGACCATCGCGGCAAAGGCTTCGCGCGCCTCCCATTTACGCGCGAGTCTAAGATCCCTAAAGCTCTGCGCACATGCATCGGGTCGGTAAGTAAAGAGCTCAGCTCCCCAGCCCATGGCCACCACGAAAAGAGCCCTTACCGAGACGACAACCGCGCGGTTCACCGCAGCCAAGCCAGCCAGGAAGCCACACGCCAACAGAGCGGCCGTCAGCAACTTGTGCCTCGCGGGCGCCCCCGTCTGAAACAGAGACGGGGCCGGCACCGCCATCAGGTACAGATAAGTCGCCACGCCGAGGCTCATGTATGTCCAGATGAGCGCCGGCGACGAGGCGGGCTGGCAGGACGGCTCCGGCGCCGGGGAGAGCCGCCACATTCGCGTCATGGGACGACAGCTCAGCAGCAGCGTCAGCGTTGCGCCGAGCCAGCTGGCGCCGACGAGAGCCAGGCCCAGCAGCGCGGCCGGCCGGCGTCGGCGGTGCTGGGTGCTTGCCAGCCTCAAGCACAGCACGCACACGGCCGCCTTGAGGGACCAGATGACGATGGAATGGCTGGCCCAGCTGCCGAGTTGCAGCTTGGAGCCGAGGACTCTATAAGCAGTCAGCATCCTTCGCGCGCTGGGGGCTCATGCCAGCCGGTCGCTATCAGATCACGGTGGTACCTCTGCCTATGCTCTCTGCCGCCAGTCTGCGGCGCCATGGCTGCTCTCGTGCCGTCATCCATGAAGCTGCTCGTCAAGCCATTCGCCTCATTTTCGGCAACGTATGCCAGGGCCGTCTCAGTCCCGTAAGCCACCTTTCACCCATCCCCAGTCAGTAACGAGTCTCTGACAGAACGGGGCCAAGGGATCCTCTCATACCGCTGCCAACACCACGAGGCAATCATCAGACGCCAGGCCCTTGAGTCCTCCAACGGCGCGAGCTCGCAGATACAGCCGAAGAACCACAGCCGCCAGCCCGACGGCCAAGAGGGCGAAAATCTCGGCGTTAAAGGCATAACGGGGCGCGCTCATCGTGGCCGTGACATGGGCGCCTCTCCGGGCCACAGAAGGTCCAATCACAAAGGGTTTCAGCGAGGGCCGGGCCGGGTGTAGTAATGAATGGCGCGGGGCGCAACAGTAGGCATGCTCCCCCTTTTTTCTCTCCTCGTCAACTATATCCGACGAGGCAGTTGAATCGACCAAAAGGCCATCGATGCTGGAGCTCCCAGGAGTCGTCCGGGGCCCTGGCTTATCAGGAAAAGACACGGCAGCGACGGCGCCGGTGCATAATGTCCATTATGCTTTGCCTAGCAGAGACAAACAAGCAACCATCTGCAGCTGAGCACCTGTCGACGGAGCAGACGCGTGAGAATGGGTGTGCGTCAGAGCACACAGACTCAATGCAACGGCCAATACCTTCCGGGGCGTCTCCCTCCCTGTGCGGCTGATGATGAGCTCTAGCTACGCATCAAGTCGGCCCAAGGAAGACCAGCACTAGTAATCAATAATCAAAGGCCTCAAGGCAAGGCCAGCCTATGTGTGTCGAGCTTCCATCCTCTTCTCGTCCGTCCGTCAACGTCCAAGACATTCAGCCGCGTGGCTGTTGTTCAGGGGGCGTGAAAAGCAAGCGACCTCTCGCGCCCACTCTATGGCAAGGCAGTCGCGTGGCCGTGGTCTGGGAATAAGAAAAGAAAGCAAGGATTGAGACACCACATGGCTTCGCCTTTCAACATACTGTAATTACTTGGCTACCGGCTCGAGGCGCTTCGCAGGACCGAGTGGCTCGGGTCGTCCACGTCGATGTACAGACGACAAGACTGGGTCTCATGCAAGGAGCAGCCATGCTTCCTTTTTCTTCGCCCCGGTGCTGGTCCAGACCCGGTCCTCGTCGCGCACTGATCGCTAGTGCACGAGCAAGCATCAGCATACATACAAATGCTGCACCTCGCGCTTCCCCCTTGCATCCTCCGAAACTGTGCCTGTAGCCCGGAGCCCAACTGCCGTCCAGTGGAAGCAAGTCGTCCGCCGAGCATGCACGACACTCTCGGCCCGGCCATCGGGACCGAGAGAGAGGTCATCGCTTCAGCGTCTTTTGCTTCTCTGCGTCTGTCGCGACGAGCCGGCCCTCGACCAGCAGACCCTTCTTCCGCCTGACCCCGTCCATATACCGCTTCGCCACATTCTCCTTGTCCGCCAGCTCGCCCAGGTCCTCTAGGTCGTCCTCGGTGAAGGGCACCCAGAACGGGTCCTCGTCCAGAATCTCGAACCCCGCAAAGATCAGCTGTGGCTGCGCCGCTCCGCTCGTGCGCTTGCGCATCTCGTCTGCAAACCCGAAGCTCTCGGCCACGGGGAGCAGTGCCTGGATGGTGAAGAAGGGCGTGCCCTCCTTCATGGTCTCGGCCATGACGCGTCCGCGCCGCCGGGTCAGCACGTCATACACGCGGCCGAGGACCTCGGTCGATGCCTGGATCTCGACCGAGTACATGGCCAGCATCAGGCGCGGCGACCAGTCGAGAAAAGCCGCGCGGACCGACGACTGTAGCGACTTGATAATTTCGCCCGTCAACCTGCCGAGCCTGTCGTGGGCCGACGAGTCGTCCTCGGAAAGGCTCAGGCCGACATCCTCGATGAAGACGGCAACTCCTTGCATGGGCTCGTGGCACAGCGGCCCCTGCGCCGTCGCCAGTTGGAAAGCGTAGGTAATCTTGTCCGACAAGTGGGAGGCTCGAAGGGTCTCTTCTGCCCGAGGGGCATCATTGAAGCTTTTGTTGGCCGTGAATACCTTGGGCAAAATGCCGTCCTTGGTCGCGTCGACGAGCAGGTTCGGCCCCGTGCGTCGCGGCCCAAACGCTGCAATCTGATTCACGCGGCTCTTCCACACATCGCGCCCCTTGCCCGTCTCCAGCTGTTGCTGGAGCTGCTGCTTGAACTCGTCGACCGACAGTGTATTGCTAGCTGTGACCGCCGTGTCCGGCACAATGTTCTCCTCGCCGGCTCCGTTGCTGCCGCCATCCTCGGTGGATCTGCGTTCCGTGTACAGCCGCTTGATGGAGTCGCCGTTCTTGATGAGAAATTCGGTGACATCTGCCGGCAGTGGCCGGACGCGAAGTGTAATTGTCACCTGTTTCGAGCTCGTAACGCCGACAACGGCCCCCCGTCCGAGGTCTTTGTTTGCCGGCGGTCGCATCTCCTCTGCACGAACGATCGTCTCCCTGTAAGGCACGATGGGCGCGCCCGCCTGAATGTCGCAGCAGGCAAATCTTTCCTTGAGGTCCAGGAGGCATCGCTCGAGATGCAGCTCACCGGCGGTCAGCAGGACGTGCTCGCCGCTGGCAAACTGTTCGTACTCGGCGCAAGGGTCGCTTTGCACGAGAAGTTGCAGCCCCTTGATCATCTTGTCGAGGTCTGCTGGGTTTTTTGGCTCCAGCGCTACCCGCACAATCGGCTTTCCAGTCAGGCTTACGCCCGCGAGGTTGACGGCGCCTTGCAGGCGGCTGCAGAGAGTTCCGGATTTCAGAATCTTGCCTTCCAGCCCGCCAATGCCAAACACCACACCCGCCGGCACCGAATCCAGGGGTTCTAGGTTTCTGCCCATGAACATGTAGAGCGCGGTCACGGTGACTTGTTGCGGCTTAGCATCCGCACGAGGATCCGCAGGAGACCACTTGGGAGGCACAACGTAGAGAGTGTCGCCGACGGAAAGGTGGCCAGAGTATATCCGGGCGAAGCCCACCAGGCGCTCAGGGTCCGCCTTCTTCTCCTCCGTCTCTGGGACAGCATCGTCGATGTTGGCGGAATCGACAGCCTCCGTGAGACTCCCGATCCCGGTTTCCTCCCTGGCAGCTTGTGCTCTTGTTGCTTCGGCCCTCTTTCTCCGGGCCAGCTCCCGTGCTTCTTCTCCGCTCATCTGGCCCGTGGTTCTCCTTTTGTTCTCGGGGAGCTCGTTCTCGGGGATGGAGACCATCTTGCTGACGTACGCGACGACTGGATCTGACTTTTCGTCTTTGAACGACACCACGGCGTCACGGACACCCTTGTCAATGCATTGCGACCCCGGCGAATGCTCGAGCAGGTCGGGCAGACGTTCGGCTTGCGCCACCGGTGGGGATGGCAGGGATTCGACGACGGATACCAGCAGCGCCGTCGACAAGGGCAGCCACGAGGCAAAGACGGTCGTCAAAAGCAGCCTCGAATCTCTCGCCCGGATTACATGAGGCGGAATGGTAATGCTCAGGGACTTTGTGACCTTTTCGAGCATGTCCGGGTCTCCCTTACCGCTGTCTCCGCCGCATGTAGCCTGGTAGACGGTCCAGATGGGCTCGAGAACGAGCTGCACAAACATGGGCTTCAGGTTTCGTCCTTTGAGGTGCTTTGGGCCGAGAATTTTCTTTGTCTTGGGGTCGAGATAAAAGTTGCCCCAGAGAACTTTTTCCATGACGCCTCTCCTGATGCCGAGTTTCTTCTCGTATAGACTGGCAAACTGCCGGCAGGTAAACGCCCAGCCGTCGATGGCGCTGCTGAAGATGACGTTGTTCTTTTCCGGCGCAAAGTAGATGTCTTCGTCGTCCCGTTCTTCGAATTGGAGCTCTCCCGTCTCGCTGACCGTGTCCTCGGCCGCAGATGCTTTAGCGGCGGCCGCGGCGTTGACGCGCTCCTCCATGGTCTCCCTCCAATTCAGATCCTCCTCCATTCGTTCGCCTTGAAAGAAACTGCCCAGCACGGCATTGACCTGCTCAAGCAGCTTGCTTAGATGAACATAGGCCTCTGCGGGGGACATTTTCAGCTCCGTCACCAGCCGGTCCATCTTGTTAATGACGAGCAGGGGCTTTAGCTTTTCCATCCACGTTTGGCGAAGAACAGTGACGGTTTGGCTGCAAACCCCTTCAACGGCATCAACGAGGACCACGGCCCCATCGCATAGTCGGGAAGCTGTGGAGACCTCACTACTGAAGTCGATGTGGCCGGGTGAGTCAATCAGATTGATGAGATACTCCTTGGGGACAGGGTCCGCGCCAGGGGCGGATCTCCGGAGCATGGAGAAGTAGAGCGAAATGGCCGACGACTCCATGGTGATGCCGCGGGTTTGCTCATCAGGGCGCGAGTCAAGGTACCGGATCTTGCCGGCCAGTTTGGGCGAGATGATGCCGTTGGTGGCCAACAAGGCATCAGTCAGGGAAGTCTTGCCGTGATCAACGTGGGCCAGAATACAAATCTGGCGCAGAGCATTAGCGAACAGCTAATCTGCCGGGCGGGCGCGTGTCCTACATTGCGGATATCATGGGACTGCCGCTGCAGGCTCGCGAGCCGTTCAGGGCTGACAACAGGCATGATGGGTGAGCGTGTGGCGAAGCACAGAATATGTCAAGCTGAACAGGGCGATGAGAGATGCTCTCGAGCTCAGGGTAACGGCAGCGTGGGCCGCCTCTAAGGTCTCGGGTCTTGAAGGTTATGTTTATCTGGGAAACAGGGCTCTCGAGGGCGGCGGTCGGGAGTTGTCCTCGGCTGGTTCATGATCATCCGTGACTCTTGTCCACCCAAAATTGCCGCACGGCCAAAGGGGATTGGTGGTGACTCGTTGTGACTCAGCGATGACTTGCAGTTGGAGCTGAATCGGTAGATCCCAGAATCCAGTCACACAAGGTCGAAGACACATTAATTCCCCTCTGATATTCACGGAAGCGGCGGAGCATTGTCGAAGCACTTTTTCGGCCTCCCAACTTGACTCCGATGCATCTCTTGCCGCTGCCCCGCTTTGAGATGGCCCATGCCCCACAATCATAACACCCGATACGTGCATGGGCCATGCATCTATGCCGTCTGGCGTCACTCGGTAAGGCCATATCGGCACCACAAGCCCTAACACACTATCGGTCACCAAAATTCTGCCCGACGAAGCCTCAACGCCCCTCCGCGAGCGCAGAAAATTCGGTGCCGCGCTGCCTCTCTGCCCTCTGCTCCCTCGGCCCAGCTCGCACGAGGCGAAGACGAACCTGCCTGCACACGATGGCGACGTATCAGAACGGCGTGGCTCCGGCCCGCGCCCTCAATGTCGACAGCGACGACGAGGAGGCCTTGGTGGCCGAGTACAAGGAGCACGTCCAGTACGAGGACGGCGAGGAGCTGAGCCAGACCACGTCATTGACCATGGCGCAACAAACAGACGATATCCAGGCACGGCTGGTCCAGGCCGCGCAGCCGCTGGACTTTTCGGCGCCCCTCGAGGTCAAATTCCAGAGCTACGACTCGTACTGCAGCCTGTTCCACTTCATCCTCAACTCGGAAGGCCCGGTTGACCTCGAGCCCCCGTCGGTGCGTATGAAGCGACCTTTGCGTCCAGAAGAAAGACTAACGTCGGTGCGCGCAGTACTACTGGGCCTGGGACGTCATCGACGAGTTCATCTACCAGTTCAACTCGTTCAGCTCATACCGATCTCGAATCGCGCGCCAGGCGTCCAACGAGGAGGAGATGCAAATCCTGCGCGAGAACCCCAACACGTGGGGATCGTACAGCGTTCTCAACGTACTGTACTCGCTCATCCAGCGGTCGCAGATTACCGAGCAGCTGGCTGCCATGAAGCGCAACGAGGACCCCATGGCCGTGGCTGGCGAGTACGGATCCAGGAACCTGTACAAGATGCTGGGCTACTTCTCCATCATCGGCCTGCTGCGGATCCACTGCCTGCTGGGCGACTTTAGCCTCGCCCTCAAGACGCTCGACGACATTGAGCTCAACAAAAAGGCCATGTTTGCCCGGGTCATGGCGGCCCACTTCACGACGTACTACTACGTCGGCTTCTCGTACATGATGATGCACCGCTACGCCGACGCCATCCGCATGTTCAGCCACATCCTCGTCTACGTCTCGAGGACCAAGAACTTCCAAAAGAACGCCCAGTACGACTCGATTACCAAGAAGAACGAGCAGATGTACGCCCTGATTGCCATCTGCGTCGCCTTCCAGCCGACGAGGCTCGACGACACGATCCACGGCGCGCTGCGTGAGAAGTACGGCGACCAGCTCCTCAAGCTGCAGCGGGGCGGGCCCGACTCGCTGCCCATCTTCGAGGAGCTCTTCCGCACGGCCTGCCCCAAGTTCATCTCGCCGGTACCGCCAGACTTTGACCACCCTGAGTCCAACGTGGACCCGGTCGAATACCACCTGGCCGTTTTCATGGACGAGGTCAAGACCAACATGTGGAGCCCGACCATCAAGTCGTACCTGAGACTCTACACCACAATGGACCTCACCAAGCTCGCCGGCTTCCTCGAGGTGAAGCCCGAGGAGCTGCGGTCCTGGCTGCTGGTGACGAAGCAGCGGACGAAGCAGCTGCGGTGGCAGGACCAGGGCCTGCTCGATGGCGATCTCGTCAATGTCAGCGACCTCGACTATGCACTGCAAGGGGTAAGTGGAAGCCATGATGCGATTCCGGATAATGGCAAATTGCTGACAAGGACGCCACTATGCAGGACCTGATTCACATTTCGGAAGCCAAGGTTGGCAGGAAGTTGGTGGACTGGTATCTCCGCAACCTGTCCCGCACCTACAACTAGATGATGCCGGGAGGGCCCCGATGAAGCATCTCGCCCCGACCTCGTTGCGGTCAGCTCCAAGGGAAAGTTGGTGGCAGGAGCAGAAGCAGGGGGTTGGGCCTGGTGTACGCAGGGCCATCTGGCAGGTCGCATGGCACTGGCGTCACGGAGTTGGGGAAAATGTCGCTTGCACGGAGCTCGAGGCCGGCCGCCGGGAGACGATGTAATGCCGGGACCTCGTGGCCTGGGAAAGGCCGCAGTTACATAACAGATTAAGAAGAGAGCATCATCTCGTCGCTGAGAGGGAGTTGCATACAACGAGGGCGCGGCTTCTTCCGCCACGTCTTGGCCCCCAGGACTGCTGGGTCGAAATGCGCACTGCTGCCGAAACGCCACGCGGCGGGATGACAGCACGAGACATTCAGCTGCGAACCTGTGCAAGGCTTGGCAGCGTAGGGGGATGATGCTTCTGACGAGGGTCTTGGTCCAATGAGGGAGATTTGATTTGTCACTGGCCCACGCGGCCGTAGACATGGTGGGGCTAGGCTTGCCCGTGGCCTCTGTGCGTTGGACGGGGGAGAAGCGTGCGTACAGGTCAAGCATGTAGGGAGAGGTCCGGACGATTCTATTACGACACGTTGCGGCACCGTCGGATTGACGAGAGGCCTCGTTAGCTGCGAGTAGAGTTAAATTAGAGTCCCGGGCTCGCAGACGATGGATCTCTGATCGATGGTGACCTCAGCCCTGGCCCCATGCAGCCAGCTGCCGAGGGGGACGCCACTAACAGCTCCCTAGCTTCCTCCCTATTCATCCCAGGACTTGGCTCGACTTGTTAGGCGGGGGTGGCGGCAGGCGGGCGGGCAGTCGATGACGAAGCAATACAAGCCCACGACGCATTTGGCTGGAAATGGCCGCGTGATCGGGCAGCCGTGGGGCTTTTTCTGTCATTACTTGGCCAGTCTTTCTTTTTGTTGGTCTTCTCGGTTACCCACCTTTTGTCTTCGACGCGCTTGCTTGCCCCCCTTAGGGTTTGAAAGGCGCGGGGGGTGGGGAAGCGAGGGACAGCACACGCGGACTCGGTTTACCCCGTTTTCTAGTCAAGTAGCTTATTTTGCTAGTGGCTCTCGTCCAGCAGGCGACTTACACGGGGTTGCGATGACTCATGACAAGGGCTACCGTCGGATCTGCCCTTGGCCTCCTCTGAGCTCCGCGTCGTTCTCCCCTCTCTCGGCCTCATGTATAAAAGCTTCTTTCTGCTATTCTCGACACAGACAGGCATCGATGCTACGGTACCGGTAGTCCCGTCCTCATCGTGGGACCCACCCGCGCCGCCAGGCTTCGGACCCGAGGCAAGACATCCGTCAACCAACCCGCGCAGCATCTGCCGCAGTGCCGCTCCGGTTTGATCGCCACTTCTGGCGCCTAGCACCCGAGGCTGTCCGCCCCCCCGCCTCAGCCCCGGACGAGAGCAGGGCATTGCACATGCTTTGTACATATCCGTACTTGCATCCTTGTCTTCCCCGGGGCACATCATGCACGGCTGATGGAACCCGACGGTGCGGCGGCGGGCGGTGGCCTTGGCGACGTGCGTGCGTGTCTCGGTGTCGACCAGGCCTTGACTGCAGCAGCATGGCACTAGGAGTACTCTGCTGCGGTCCCCAGAAACTGCTTGCCTGTAAGGCGGTGCGAGGACATGTGGCCTAGCGCCTGTCACGGATTCGGGAGCTTAGCCTTGGAGATAGTCTTTGAAACGAAGCTGGAATGGATAAGGTTGGTAGGTAATTAGTCGTACTCCGTGGATGAGGTAGGTAGGGTTGGGCTGGGCCGGGCTGCTCTGCCTCTTGCGTCTTCCCCTTACCTCGCCGATTATTTGTCCCCATTTCCTTCTTTTCTTTCCTCTCGCGCAGACGTCGGTTGACTCACCTCCATCCCCTCGGGACGGTTCGTATACTGGAATGGAGGGGGAGCTGCGTGGCGGGTGGCTGGTGGTGGTAGTGGTGGTGGTGGTAGTGGTGGTGGTGGTGGTGGGTGGCATGACCCAGGCTCTCAGGCTTCTTTGCCTGCACAAGTCGACACGCCTCGGGACGCTGGGTCGGTCTTGGCAAGCTCGACTGCGTCCAATGGACAGCCGGCGGACGAGTCGGGCATGAGACGGCGCTTCTCACAACTGGACTCACGCGGTGGAATGCGCTGGTATATAGACCGGCGCCTTGTCCAAGAGGGAGGGGCGGGACCGACTCTGCACCGGCCGGCCTCGGTTCTCACTCACGCTCTGGTGTCTTCCCGGTCCACGGCCACCACTTGCCATCGCTTGCTGTCTGTCAAGTCCTCTTTGGGCAAGCCCGAGGTAAAGGAGAGACTCGAGGTAAGGCGCGGGCTTCCCCCACGAACACATGCATGTCTCCGCCCCCTGGCCCGACCCGTGGTCCTCGAGCGGTACAAACAGCACCGCGTGTGTAATTATATCATCTATGCATCCGGTACATGGCCACCGGACCACGAAGGGGACAGGAGGAGGGAGAGGCGGCGGGAGGGGCCCTGCGCGCATATCTTAACGGCGTCTCATCTCATGGCAAACGGCTTGGCAGTCGAGGAAATCTGACACGTTTTGACTATAGATTGTCCATCCTCCACCCCTAAAAGGTTGCACGCCGGTTGCACGCCGATTGCACGCCGATTTCCCTGCAGCGCCGCACCGTATCAATCAAGCCCCACGATGCGAGTCTCGGGCCCTCGTCGCCGTACCGCTGTCGTCATTGTCACTCCATCGCTGCAGCAAGAGGCCGTGGCCGTCCACTGTATTTCCCCGGGGGCCTGACATTGACTGAACCCGAAAGCGCTCTGGCTGGCCTGGAGATTGGCGCGTGCCTCCCGGCAGCAGCAACACGGCTCGTTCTGTTGGGCCTATACCGACATATATATGAGACGGACCGAACTCGTCAATCAGCGCACATAGAGCCCGCCGTCTCGGATCGGATATCTGACCAGAGGCCTCCATCGACTGCCGCGGACGAAGACGACCAATCCCCACGCAGGCCGTGTGCGTGAATGCGCGTGGATGTGCGTGTATGTGCGTGGCATGCATGCACATGCGTACATACAGTACATGCAACTTACATGTGGAATAAGGTAGACGCAGAGTAGCGAGGCCACCAATATAAGCCTTGGGAGAGGAGACGGACAGAAAGCAGAGACGGGAAGCAGTGCAGACCTCGCTGCCTCGTGCAATTCTTCATCTCGCCACACAGGACACAGCAACGCCAACACCGCGACAACTGTCCTCGGGAGGGAGCCAAGGCCAAGACAAGCCAAAAGCCCAGACCCAAAGGGGGGAAAGTCACAAAAGGAACTGTTGCGATACAGGCGAGAAATAAGCTCAAGCTCGAGCCCGTCGGCCATTGTCTTGTGTGTCCGCCTCGGCCCGTCCGTCAATAGCTGACCGGGGCAAGTGGACAGACGCGGTTCACAACGCCAACTGTCAGGAAAACTTGCCATTTTCCCCCATCATTTCTTATCTTGTTGACCTGCTGTTCCTCCCTCTTCGCTGTGCAGCAGCGGCAGCAGAGTGGCGGTGCTTTGCTCGTGGTCGTCCTCGGAGGAGAGCTGAAGACTCGAGGCAAAGTTACTTTTTGGGGTCCTCAACCACCAGCCGCCTCATTTCTCGACAAGTCAAGGAAGAAAGAAGAAAAGAAGAAAAACTGGAGGCAAAGAAGGATCGAGAAGCAGACAGCGCGAGTGCAAGAAGCAGGCACTCTCCCTCAGCCTGGCTGGCTAGCCCGAGGTACCTTGCTCGGTGCCTTGACTGCGCTTCTCGTTTTTCCCCTGCCTCTTTTTCTTTCCTTTCCCTGCTTGTTTTCCTTCTCCCCCGCGTTGCCCCTCCTCTCGTCCCCTTTTCCGCTTCTGGGCTTGTTGATGCCCCTTTCTTGTCTTGACTTGTTGGCGCCAGTGGCTGTCGCTTGGGACTGCCCAACAAGGCGCCGCCACCACTGCATCAGCAGCAAGCCGCAGCAAGCAAGCCCTGAGGAGCACTGCAAAGCCCCCGAACCTCAGGCACCACCAGCCCTGGCCCAAGCTCCTCCTCCCCTACAGACACCCACCCCATCTCCAAATACCGACACCCCCCCCCCTTTTTCTTCCTCCAACATATCCACCATCCCGGCACTGCAGCTACCACAGCGGGACTCAACAGCAGATAAAGCATCCTTTTTTTCTTCTTCTCTTCTCTCTTGAGCTTTTGGACCGACGACTCTGGGGCTCTGCCCTTCGGATTCGCTGTGGCGCGCCATCATCGCCACCACCATCATCGCCTCTTCTCGTCGTCGTCGCCTCGTCTCTCGCCTTTCCCCAACAAAGCTTCCTCTTCTCATCTCCCGCAGATTTCGACTCGGCTCGCGGGCTCGTCCATCTTGACCCTTGCACCGCCTCATCTGGTAGTGCTCTTGGCATCACGAGGGACCCTTCGATTCTTCGTCGTCGACGTACCTTGGCCCGGCCGACATTGCAGGCACAAATCTGCCTTGCCCTGGTCCTCCTGCCTTTGGCTTGCCTAGCCGGGGCCTGGCATCATTCGCCGTGCAGCAGCTGCGCCTTGGCCCATCCCCGTCATTCGGCTTTTGTCTCTGCGCCTTCCCGCCTTGTGCTTCCCTGGTCGGCAAATTTATGCCGAGCCGTGACACAAACTGATCACCCTGTCTCATCCTCCCGCTGCTCTCGACCTCGGCCAGCACTCTCGCAGGGGCGGCGACGGCAGCACTTGCAGCAGCAGCAGCAGCAGCAGCGAGCACTTTGCTGCTTCATCGACGCGGCGACGACTGCATCTCTCCCGTCGTTTGCTGTTTTCTTTGCTGGCTTCATCGGTCTTTGCTGGCTCTCGCCCTCTCTTCACTGCTCTCCCTGGTCCTCATATTCTGGTTCTGGCTCTCTCAAAACAAGGCCGCTTTGACGCGAGGTCAGCAGACGAGGCGGGCAACCAGCCATCGGCAGGGCAGAAAGAAAAGGGTCAAGGGAGGAAACAGCAGAGCAAACTCGACGGAGAGCCCATTCGCCTTGGCTTGCAAGGTACAGTCAGCACGCAGCTGAGCTCCAGCCAGTCCGGAGGCAGACAGCAACCGCATAGAGCCAATCATGGACTCGCCCAGGCCGTCCCCCAGCCCCGAGTCGGATGTCTCGCCCATGTCGTCAGCTCTGGCCTCGAAGCAGCCCGAAGTCAATGCCGACTACTTTTCTTCTTCGTCAAACACGTCCAAGAGCCAGGATGGACCAGACGCCGGAGCTGGCACCACCTCTACCGCTAGCAGCAGCGCCACCGTCGACTCTCCGCTCGCCTCGACGCACCCGCGGCGCAAGTCGAGCGTTTCCTTTCCTACCGACCTCCCGAAGTCCGATCCCCCAGCAGCCGCAGACGACGGCTCGGAGGGAGCCGCCGGCAGGAAGTCGTCGGCTTCGTCCATCACCTTTCGACCACCCAAGGATCCCTCCCTTCCGCAAGGGCACCAGCGGCAAACGGGTGGCTCGCGTATCCGCGCGAGCTCTCCGCCCTACCAACGGTAAGCTTTTTTTCTTCATCGTCTTCCTTGTTCCCCATCAAGACTCGGAAGGATTATCTGCGCATCAAGAAGCAACGTCGTCATGTGCCTGCTGCGGCGAGTGTTCCACGCAAGAGAGCACTGCCTGGACGTCAGCGGGCTTGTGCATGAAGTAAGAACTCTGCAGCGGAAAGATAGATGGCTCCCGCAAGTGCGCCGTACTGGGTATTTAATTGGCCTCCGGTTGCCCCATGTGCTGCACACCACGTTCGGCATCTTGATCCGGCCGCGACACCCTCTTGCGTCCGCTCTTCTTACCCGTCATGCCTCTGGCGTGTCGGTGGTTGCCGGGCTCCCCACACCATGGGTCGTCGTCTCGGCTCGGGTGGAGCGTCCCGCGGACTCGGCGGCGCGGCGGGCGCCGTTCACTGGCCGGCCCGTTAACCTGGATCCCTGGCCGACGGCTCTTGTCTCAGGAGTGGGGGATGAGAATCTGCCCTCGGGGCTGGGCTGAGGAGGAAGGGTTCTCTGCCGCCCGCTGCCCGTGGACGCGCTCCTCCCACATGGAGAGAGGCTGTGCAACGCCAACTCGCTCGGGGCCTCCTTCGAGCCGTGCTTCTGGGCCTACAGATGGGTTTCGGAACGTCGCCAGAGGCCATCTTCGCCCCACACGTCACTGCAAAGGGCATGGCGCCCTCTGAGGACCAGCTGCTTACCCCGCCGGGAGAAACCTTCGCTGGTCGGCTGATGACTCGAGGCGCCGCAAGCATTTCATTTGTTGTGCCTCGTCGCGCTCTGGGCTGGTTGAGGCTGTGCCGTTGCAGTGCACCGGGCGGCCTCATGCTCCACCTCCGAACCCGCACTCACATGCCCAACCCGTTCCTCTTCTTCCTTGGTTCCCTCCTCCCCAAGTCCCTGTTTCAAATCGTCTTCGCCGCACCTTGCATAGCCGGCTCGACTGTCCCGTCTACAGGCCTTTACTATTTACTTGGTGGCGATATGGCGACGCTAACCGAGACATCCAACGACAGGTTTCAGCAGCATGTCGGCTTCGACAACCTGCCCAGCGGCGAGGCGACCAAGAACAACACCCTCTCATTAACTCTCAACGTCAGGCACAAGGGCTACCAGGCGCGGCGCAGATCGCGCACCTTCATGGTCGGCGTCGACGAGCACTCATACTCGGACTATGCGATCCAGTGGCTCCTAGACGAGCTGGTCGACGACGGCGATGAGATAGTGTGCGTCCGTGTCAATGAAAAGGAGATTCGCTGCAACGACAAGCAGTACCTGGAAGAGGCCAACCAGGTCATGGAGGGCATCCTGGCCAAGAATGCTGCCAACCGCGCCATCAGCTTTACCCTGGAATATTCCGTCGGCAAGCTACACGCGACGTTTCAGAAGCTGGTGCGTCCTGTCTCCCAAAGGTGCGAGGCGGCCAGATCGGCGACTGACCCCGTGCCTCCAGATCCAAATGTATCAACCCGCCATGCTCGTTGTCGGCACCCGAGGCCGGTCGCTGGGCGGCATCCAGGGCCTCGTCAACTCCCGAAACTCGTTTTCCAAGTACTGCCTCCAGTACTCGCCAGTCCCCGTGGTCGTGGTCCGTCCGACCGAGAAGCGCATCAAGAAGAAGGTTAAACGTGCAAACGATTCCACTCGGCAAACGTACCTCAGCATGCTGGCCGCAACCCACGGGCGACACGAGGCCGACAGCGAAGCTAGTAGCACCTACGAACTCGAGATACAAAACTCGCCCGACGAGGAGGCGCACCAGGTGGCCAAGGTGCTCGGGCTGCCGGCCAAGTTTGATCCGACCATTAAGCCCCTCGCGTCGTCCCTGCGGCCTCGCTCGCGCCCGAGCAGTCCCCCGCCCAGCGCCGACCCCCAGCGCGCCGCCGACGCATCGCCCACTAGCGCGGGAGGCGAAAGCTACGACGACGACGATGACGACGACGATGCAGAGTTTGAGGTGACGGATGGGCGGCAGGCCCTGAACCAACAGCAAAAGCTGGCGCAGCTGCATAAGATGGAGGCGGGAGAGGCGGCCGCCCTTAGGCAGAGATTGGACGAGGACGACGAAGATGAGTCGGACAAGGCAGAGGACAAGGCAGGAGACAAGCCGGAGCAGAAAAAGGACGCTAAGAACGCATCATAGAAAGTGCAAGCTGGCCAAGACACCGGCTCGGCCGACACCCCGGCCGTGCTCGATCCTCCCAGGGGCGACGGGTGCGAAAGCCCAAGACCAAGAGACACGCCATCTCCAAATGAGGCCGACGATGTTGACGTGTATGCCGACTGGCAGATTTACGCCGGGCAAGGGAGCGATGAGACCCCGAGACAGGAACTACGACAACCAGGCTCAGGCGGCGAGATCCTGGAACGCAAGCGCTCCGTAACCGGAGAGACCAGCAGCATCACGAGACAAGGCGAGTCGGACGTCGATACCGGGGATGGCGGACAAGCCGAAGCCCGAGAGCCGGCTGTGGCATTGGGTCGACGCTCCGATGCCGAGGCGGGATCCCCGGCGCCCGAGACATCGCCTGCGGCGCCGGAAACGGGAAGCGAACGAGGCTGCAACCCGGCTGCTCGAGTCGCTGCCGGAGCTGATGGCGGCTCCAGCTCTGGGATCAGTGGACCTGCTCTCCGCAGGCGTGGCGCGATTTCCTGCCGTACCGACTATCGGTACTTGAACACCCGGGTGGAATTCATGCTTCAAGGCAGCGAGATCAGGCAACACGTGGCACGAGCCGATGCGATTCAACGGCGGCAGGACCTGGCTGCCCATCGGATTGCCGTCCGAGACTTTGCCTATGAAAATGGCGACGGGACGGCCACGAGTCCTCAAGGCTACTCGAGGGCACCAAGGATGGTGACGGGCCTCGAGGAGGGCGCCGAAGATGCCGCCGGAGATGCCGCCGAGGATGCCGTCGAGGATGCCGTCGAAGATGAAGTCAAAGATGAAGTCAAAGATGCAGTCAAGAGGCGGGGGAGGGGACGATGATGACGAAGTGACGAGCAGCGAGTAGGGTTACTGGCCAAAAGCATCGCAGCTGTTGGGCCAGTGTTGGGAATTTGGTGGCCAAGTGAGGCTAGGGTTCGAAGGCCGGGCGGATGCTGGGTTGGGAAGCACTCAGCTAATCTGTGCGTTTTGGGGCTGTTGAAAGCGAATTTACTGTCTCCTGGGACAGAAAGCGAAAGTAAATGTAGTAGTATATGACAAGAAAGCGTTTTGCACGGTGTGACTTGGGCTTGAGGTGATTGCATTACTCGGTACGCGGATATGCAGGGAGAGAAGGCAAGGATGGATGGCCAAGGAGTCATGTTGAAGTAATTACGTAGTGTATTCATGGCTCGGTGGGGTGAAGCGGGTCGAAAGGAATTCATGATAATGCCGTGAAGATTTTCGAGGATGGGCTCGATAACCGGTAGAAGCAGGGATCTACCGGCGTCATCGACAGCAGGCTTTGCATTGGCTTGAAAAGACTTGAACTGCGTATACATGGGGCGACTATAATGACAGAGTTTGTTAGGGAAAGTGTCTTGTTTACGGTACGAGGATGGGCGTAAGATGGAGGAACACGGGAACATGAATGGCCGACAGAGGGTGGGAGAAGAGATGAAGCAGCAAGGGTCTGTTTCTGCAACCCCGCAGCAAATGTGTTCAACCAGGGTCTTGTTTCCCTTGTCTTGAAACGGGCGAAGAAAAGAAAGGAAAGCCGTAGAGGCTGGAGGCGGAGTGATTCGAGAGGCACATGGCGGGCCGGGATGAGGCGACAGTGCATGGCTCGCTGTGCGGGGTGGTGGGAGTCGAGAGGGCAGAGTTCTAGTACCGGTACGGAGTACAGAGCATCTGTACTCCGTACTTGCAAGCGAGTAAAATTCGGCAGCCCACTCCACTGCCAGGCCTGAACCTTGCTTCCTGTGGGTACTTGTACTCCGTACTCCGGACATGGGACGGCGCTGACGTTATCGCCTAGACCCCGAGTGCCGAGTAGTTAGTAGGTGTGCCATAGCAAAAGTTATTAGTTGTCCCACCTCCATCCTCACTCAACCTTGCCTCGTCCGGCCTCGCTCTCGACTTTTCCTCTCCCCGACTGCGCGCATCGCTTCCCGACCGGAACTCCTTCACACGAGCCTGAATGTTCGAGACGCACGTCTGCTGCCGGTAACTTGGGCGACGCAGCCCTCTCCAGATATCTTGTCGGCTGACGTCGGCATCTCGACATCCACCGGCCGTGTCATGACCACGGAGACGACTTCTTGAATCTTTATTCGAACACAACTCCTTCTTCATAGTCTACCCGCCCGGATGCCCGCGAGACGGGCTCGGCGGCACCTCGACCCGCTGCAGAAACACCACCAAACAACCCATCGCAACGCGCCATCATGTGGCCGTCGATGATCTTGTTCTCGTCGGGCTGCGACGACGCCGACGCCTGCGCCCCCTCGGCCCCCGGCGCCTCGTCCATGTCCGCCTCGACCGTCCTCGCCCTCGTCCCCTTTGCCGCCGCCTTTGCCCTCGTCGACGCCCTGGCCGTCCGCCACGTATTCCCAAAGCTCAGCTCCGACGACGGCCGCGATGGCCACGGCCACGTCCTGCCCGAGCATGCGCCAGCTGCCCTGCGCCACGCCCACGCCGAGCATGCCGCCAAGACCTGGCGCCGTCGCGCCGTCGCCTGGACCTTTGGCGCCACCGTGGCCCTGGCCGCCACCCTCGGCCTGCTCATCATGGCCGAGATTGTCGAGGCCGTCGACCCGGCCGCCCGCAACCTCGCCCTCGCCCTCACCGTCCCCACCCTCCTCTTCCTCCTCGTCCTCCTTGTCCCCTGGCTCGAGTGCCGCTCGCTCGTCACTGCCGCCGGCTGGACCTTTCATCCTTCAAGGACGGGCTCCCCGCCCCGCGTCGCCTGGGCCCTGAACCTCGTCCTCTTTGCCGCCTGGCTCCTGGCCTTTTGGTCCGTCGGCAGGGCCGTGCCCGTCACGGCGACGTCGACGCCCGCCTCGGCAGCCCTCGGCCGGCCCTTCTCCGAGACACTGACGCGCGCTTGCCTCGAGAGGGTCGGCGTCGTCGGCATCTCGCTCATGGCCCTGCTCGCCGGCTTCGCCTCCGTCTCGTCGCCCTGGCACACCCTCCACGACACCGCGTCGCGACGCAGGCGGAGACCCTTGACCGAGGTCGATGTCCAGCGGAAGCAGGTCGGCCTCGACGCGGCCAACGAGATGTTGCTGACGAAGCGCCACCAGCTGCAGGCGCTCGAGAGAAAGGCGTCCCGTGCCGCGCCCGCCGTTGCCGCCGGCAGCGGGCTCATCGGCAAGATGCTCGGGTCGCTGCGGGCCGTGGCGGGAGGCGACGAGGCCGAGATGCGGGCCCTGCGCGTTGAGATCGCTGGCCTCGAGGCCATGGAGGCCAGCCTGGCGTCCAAGCTGTGCCTGCTCAAAAACGACCGGGCGGCGGCGGCGCGGGCCTCGACACCCCTCGGCCGGCTGCTGCTGGCGCCGTCGTACGTCTTCAGCGTCTACTGTCTGTACCGCATCGTGGCCACGTCGCTGACGACGCTGCGGCGGGCGTCGTCACCCTCGGCCAGCTTCGCCAGCAGCGATCCCATCAACCGCTTCCTCGGCCTCGTGGCGCGGCACTGGGACCCGACGCTGGACCAGGCGGCGTGGGCGCGCACCATCAGCTTCGCCCTCAGCGGCGTCATCCTCGTGGCCAGCGCAAACAGCGCCGTGCAGACCTTTCACCTCTTTGCGAGGTGGACCCCGGGCCTTTTACGCCACGCCCAGGCCAACCTGGCCCTCGTCGTCGGCCAGATTGCGGCCACGTACGTCATCTCGGCGTCGCTGCTGCTGCGCGGCCAGCTGCCGGCCGACGCGGGTGGCGCCGCCGTGGGCGGGGTGCTGCGCGGCGCCCTGAGCCCGCAGTTTGTCGACGGCTGGTTCGAGGCGTGGTTCCTGCTCGGCAGCGCGCTGACGGCGCTCGGCCTCTGGGTCGGCAGGCGGCTTGCGGCGGCGGGGGGCGCAGGAGGGGACGAGGTGTGGGACGACGACTATGGTGCCGAGGAGATGGGCGCCAAGAGGATGTGAGGGCCATGTCTTGTAGCAAAAAGGGGGGGGGGGGCATCTGGTCGGCGTTTTGTCACTTTCGTGTCGTTGGTATGCTGTTTTTCCGCATTTGCATTGGGTGCGAGCGGGGGGCCGGCTGTCCAGTCCTCCCTCGGTGTTTTGGTCTTTAGAAGGGGACATGAGTCGCTGTTAGTGTACTATACTATAGAATGTAGGCATAGTCTGTACGTGTATGGCATCTGTGGTGTATGCGTACATTGGTGACTTGCTCGACGAGAGGTGAAGTGAAGCCAGGTCATGCCGGACAGCCTCGAGGACAGCATTTTCCTGCACAAGACGGCGCGGGCCACGGCTTCTCCCATCCAACTACGACGCCACTCCGTGTCACGGCAACAAGGGTAGATGAGTAGCAAGCCAACGGCCGCACCCTCGGTGTGTGCGTGCCCTCAACGTCAAGGGCCCAGACGAGACCAGGCGAGCAAACAGATAGTGGTGGACGAAAGACCGCGGACTACTTACTGGTCTCCCCCCCCCCGCGGGCAACGATTTGAAGAAACAGAATAAGGGAGCAAGGCGGAAGAAAGCAAGGCTTTTCGAAGGGGGAAAAAGCAAAGAAGGCGCGGGAGGAGAACCGCCGGCGACGCGGAGGGCCGTGCCGGGGCGGGGGGGCGCTGTCCTCTGCCTTGGGGGAACAGCTGGCTCCCCGAGCTGCGGCGCGGGGAGGTGCAAAAACAACGTCGTCGTCGTCGAGATGGCTCCTGACGCTGCGTGTTCGCTCTCCTCTCAGATGCGGGACGACGAGTCAAGGGGAGAGGCTCGGCACTGAGATGCACGCCACGAGAAGCAGAACCAAGTTTTCAAATTAAAGGGAAAATAGACAATTCTCATCTCCTCGTCGGCTTCGTATGCTATTCTCGTCGAGCATCCCCCCGTGCCAGGAAAGAAACAAGAGGGGAATCAGACATCAGGGCAGTCTCTCCTCACAGGCTTCCTCTCTCCCTCTCTGAAGAGCCCTCGTCCATGGCAGCGAGCTCCGCTGAGCTTGAGACACCACGAAACCCTCCGACCCTCGAAACCGACAGCCACCATGGGAGCCAACAGAACCCCCCCCCCTTCCGGCATGGGAGCCATGGTGCGAACAGCGGAGGCAAAGGAGACGATGCTTCGTCAATACGGCCCGCCCACCTCACTTGGCCCGGGGGCAACCCGCTGGCTGGCGCATCTTGCGACACCATCTAAAGTCGCCAAAGCCCCCAAAATAAGCCGGAAATGCGCACTAAATGTACAGTCTCCTTTTCCCTCAGTCCTCGCGCTCCCTTTTGTCTCCGAGCCTTGCCTCTTTTGTCTCTCTTTGGTGCCCTCACGACGCCACGGGGCGGCCTTGGCGGCCCTTTTTGTTGGGCACCGTCGTCCAGCCATCCTCGTCTGGCGAGTTCGGGGACTCGACCGGCGACTCGCCCGCCGGAGCCGCCGGCTGCGTCGGCGAGCCGTTGGTGCGGCCCCCACGACCCTCGACACGGGCGCCGCGTGGGGCCCCGCCGCCCCGGCCGCCCCGTGGTCCGCTGGGCACCCCGCGGCTCGCGCGTTGCTCCGTCGACGCCGACCTCCAGCTGCCGGCCTCGGCCGCTCTCGACTTGGGGTTTGCCACTTGGTCCTTGGGCTCGCGGGGCTCCTGGCTCCGGATCGGCACCTTTTGCTCCGCCGACTCTCCGTTCTGCTTCTCTGCTTGCGCGCTGTCCGCCTTGGCCTCGGCCGCAGCCTTCTCGGCCGCCGCCTTCTCTTCCAGTTCCTTGGCACTCTGTTCCTGAGCGTCGGCCTCGGCCTTGGCCGCCGCCGCCTGCTTGGCCACGCGTCGCTCTTCCTTGGCCTTCTCCTCAGCCTCGCGCTTCTCTCGGACGCTCTGCTGTCTCTTCTCCTCAATCTCCTTTTCCTTGGTGGCCGTGTCGATGGGGCGGGCGGCGCCAAACGGGCTCGCCTTGGTGTCGCCGCTGCCCGTGGGAGTGATCACGGACTCTGTGACCTCCGACACGGTCCGCTTTTGCAGGTTCAGGCGCGGGCGCACGGCTGGGCCGACGGCGGCAACAGCCGACGGCATAGAGGGGGATGACGGGGCTTCGCTGCCCTCGCGGGATGGCGGCGACGACTTGACTGGCGCATCGGGGCGCATCCGATCTCGCCACTGCGTGTCCTTCTCGGCTGCAGTGACAACGCGCTCGGGCTGATCTCGGCGGGGTGGGCGAGAGCCCTCTTGCCGGCCCTCGCCCCAAGCGGGGGGCCCTGGTCGATTGCCGCGGAACGATTCGCTGCGTTCGCCGAGCCCCTCCGGGGCAGGACGGGGGCGGCTGTCGTCGCGAGGCCGGGGTGCAAACTCCTGCTGGGCCAGCGGAGACAGGGGTCCTCGGCGCTCCCAGGTCAGCTCGCGCTGGGGTCGAGGCTCCGCGGCGGGCTCACGCGGGCGGCGGTCACCAAAATCAGACGGCTGGCGGCTGGATCTCTGGCCAGGAAGGTCGGGAAGCGGGCCCTTGCGGGTCCAGTCGGTCAGGTCGCGGGAAGAGTCCATTCGCCCGTCGCCTCCGCGGGCTGCACAGATAAGTCAGCGGGATGAAGAGCGTAGGGAGCAGTGGAGGGAGCAGGTGAGCACGTACGAGGATCGGCCACCTTGATCTTGATCATTCTTCCCTGGAAAGACTGCCCATCGAGGTCGAGGGCCTTCTTAAGTCCGTCCACGTTAGCAAACTCGACATAGCCGAAGCCCTTGGGGCGCATCATCTCGCGGTCCTCAATGATTCGGACGCTGGCAACATCGCAACCCTCAAAAAATTCCTCCACGGTTTCCATCGTGGCGTCATAGGAGAGATTGCCAAGGTGAGCAGTGTAAGGTGGCTTGTCGGGGATAGGCTGGGGGCCAAAATCGCGGGGAGCGTATGCTGGTCATGGTCAGCGGGGAGCCGGAAAGGGCTAAGACAAGCGCCCATGATACTCACCTCGGTCCTGCCAGGACGACATGCCACCCATGGGGCGAGGCCTATCGCTGGGCGGCAGCGGCTGGGTGCCTGGTGAAGAGTCTGATCAGCACGTCGGCCGAGGACGACAGGCGAGGGCAACGTGGCACGTACCGGTAACTACATCATCGCGTCAGCGTCAGTGGTAAGAGACAGGACAGTAAAAAGGCACTCACCATAGGTCTCTTCAACCTCGTCGGCCCAAGAGCCTCCACCGAAGCCTGGCAGCGTGTTAGCAGACGCTGGATTGAGACGGGGGGAGCCCCAGAAAGCACGGAACTCGTCGGCAAGGGGCAAGGGCATGTGACGACGGTGCCGTGAACAATTCGGCGGGAGGTTTGCGCGGGATGACGGACCTGAGTCAGTCAGAAAGTCCCCGAGGGACATTTTCTGCTGTTGTTCCTTCTTTTTGGGAGCTGTTGAGACGGCATCAGCAAGGCTTGCTCGGGGGCCATCGAGAGACAGGGGGCGTACCCATGATTGCGGTTGGGCAAAGGCAGGACGGCTACGCGCGACGGATTCGAGGACCGCGGCGCGTAGGCGGGCGGGCTGCTGCTGACAGAGGAGGGGCTTCCACGACAGCTCCGGTGCTCTCTCGCAGCGGGGACGAGAGGGAGGTCGGAGGGATCCTGATGGGAGGCTCGACTGAATGGTCGGAAGCGCGCGGGTGTCGGTGCGTGACGTCTTTGGCGTCAAGGCGGTGCCGTGACGTGGGTAGGTCAAACGAAATTTGCTCGGCCTGGGGGAAAAAGAGGTCGTGAAGAGGCAGGACGGCGAGGGTTGCCCTCCAATTTTCACCCGCCAGCGAGTGGGAGCCGCTAGTCCGGTTGTGGAATAGCCTTTTCCTTCGTGCAAGCTCCGGGCCCTCCAACTGCTTTCTACAGTGAGCTCCAGCGCATCAACGGCCCGCGGATGGGCCTTTTGGCGCTCCGCACAGGGGCAGCCGCGCCGTGAAACCCCACCTAGCCCTGGCGGAGGCTTGCCTTGGTTGCTTGAGTGAGGTATCTGTCCTGTACCGAGCTCTTAGGTACACACCACGCAGATAATGCTACCTCTAGACAAGAGTCAGGTGCCACGCTAACTCTCAGACATCATCCGGCAGGTACACACTCACTGTGGCGGAAAAGGCATCAAACTCATCATCATCCACCCTCATTCCAACAAAGAAGCCGCCTTGAGTGGTCACCAATTCCTCCTGAACTCGGCGCGGCTCTCATCGGGGCCTCATGGTCTGCCGCATCTTTAACGCCAGACCCTGACTTCCTCCAAATCCCATCTCGATGGGCACGACTCCATCCCAGGATGAGCCCCGGCCGGCTTCCTCGGCGCCACAGCATCAGAGGCGAAGCCTGCTGCCCCAGGGGGTCGTGGAACTCCTCGTCCCTCCCTTCAAGGTGGCCGCTGGGTGCGGTACGCGGTGGCTGTCCAGCTCTTATGCCGAGTTTCTGACGCCTACTCAGGTACGGCCGGTGTCCTGGCCGGAGTCGGGGCAGCCGTTGCCAGGGACACGAACCCTTACATGAGCGGATTTGCTTCGGGTACCCAATTCTTTACTCTCGGATACAGTTACTGGTGTACGTCTTTGTCCCAGCAACTCTGTTGGACATGGAACCTCGGCTCACAGCGCGCGTCAAGTCGCCAGGACAGTGGCGATTAGATCGTGGGGAGGCGAGGAAGGGATGAGACCCGTCGACAAAATCACGGTCAGCGCCACGGCAGGCTCGGCGGCCGGTGCAGTCGCGGGCTTGATGCGTACGCTTCCAGGGTCTTCCCCCTCCCGTTGCCGTTGCCGTTGCTGAAACAGCCTCAGGTGGCCCTGCCAAAATCCTACCAGCCATGATATTCTGGGGGGTTCTCGGTGCCGGCGGACAGTCCGTTGTCAATCACTTTGGCTCCAAGCCCAAGGGCACGGGCGACAAAGAGGGCTGGCTTCGATGGATCCCTCTCAAGAAGCTCACAGATGACGAGTACATGGACATGATGAATGAGAAGCTCTTGAGGGTCGAGGCAGACATTGCACTCATCGACGAGAGAATAGCAGAGCTTGCGGTAGCCGAGAAAGCAGAGATGCGGCGTCAGGACGTCTCGACGAGAAAATGTACGAGGCTCTGACCTCAGACCAGCGCTTGCGGTTCCTCATGGGCTTTGGACAAGTACGGCCATGTCAGAGGTTGCCGCTGTAGTATGGAATGCAGCTTAACAGTGACGCCGCGAGTAGATGTGACGTAGTCTACAGTGAGTACGGCGCATGCGCGTGAGAAGCAAGATGCAAAGTGTAGACGACCCCAGGACCCAGCAACTCGACCGAGAGAGATATAGACAAGCCTGCCCCGCCTTGCTGTGCTTTTGAATGTCAGACTCCCGTACCGGTGGTTCAGGGCAAGTCTGAGCAGCTGCCTCCTTCTGGGGAGACATGGCACGGCTCCAGGCTCGATTGGAATTGCAGTCACTGGCCGCAGATGGTGGGAAGCGGGTGATTGACTTGTCCATGCATGTACAGTTGGTTTTCCTGCCGTGATGCGCCGCGGGACGGTCCAGTGGGTCCCCGAAACTGCACAGCTCTATGACGCCGTCGCCGCCTCGGGCTTCGGAGCTGTCCGAGCAGGAGCCTGAGCTCGAGAGCTTTCTGGACGTGTGCCTAGAGAGGCGGGTTGGTAGTTGAGTAGAAAATGTCATCCTGCAATTCGGATCGTCACGCAAGACATGAAATGATTTCCAAGGTCCATTTTTTCTTTTCATCACCATTAGCGCATCTGCGATGACCTGTTGAGCGTGTAGCAGTACCTGTAGTGGGGGCGAATTTGGCGCCAAGAGCTCGGCTGCTTGCTTTGCGATAGGTTCCGGGTACCAGAGACAAGGTGCCTGGGGATAGCAATAAGTCACGACTCCCTTTCCAACACCATCGTCATCATATATTCGGAACTGCAACCTCCTCCGCCTTGCTCTTCACCTCGAGCACCGCCCACCACCTCTCGACACCGCCGCCAACTCCATTCCCCGTGTCTCCAATTATATCGCTTCCTCGAACTCGGCCGATCCTTGCGACTCTCATCTCCGCGCCCGTTACGCTTGGCCTGAAGCTCCGACGAACAGACAAGCTAGCTCCCTGCGACGCCGCCGCTGCTCTCCGCGCGCCGTCTCGCTGGACTTCGGGCCTGGCTCTCCCATACCTCAATCGCATACGGTCTGCGTTGCTCAGCGCTCACGAAAACCGCTTTCTGTTTCGTACTCGACCTTTCAAGTGCCAGCGGTACGCGCTTCAAGAGGCCGTCGAGGGCGGGTCTGCCACCGCCTCCCCTATCAGACGAACCTTGGAGTTCGAATACCATATATATCCTCCTGGATGGCATAATCATGTTGCAGGTCACTCGCAGCCACCTCTAACGATTTGTGTCATGGTCCATCTGGCAACAGCCCAATGTATGCTTCCGCCACGTCGCTCCAAGCTGCGCTCTTGCTGATGCGTCCTACTCTGAACAGTGACATAACTCTCGCTGGCCCTCGCTGTCCTGGCCATCATGGCGCTCCTCAACCCGACCTTTCTCCTGGGCCTCATCGTGCTACTCTACCTTTCGTCCTTTGTCATCTTCGCCGTGATTCGAATCATCACCGGCGTATCCATCCAGCGCATCGGATACCTATCGCTACGCCGCCTCGCATACACGCCCCGAGACGGCTTCACGGTCGAAATCCGGGGCCTGGGGCTCAACATCCACCGCCCCACGTTTGCGCAGCCGACTTGGATTAGCCTCGTCCTGAGTGAGCTCGTCGTGACAATCGATGTTCGAGAGATTCAGCGACGAAAACAGACAGGGGACAGAGAGGCCGGGAACGAAGCAGCTTGCGAGGATGAGTCTTCTTTCGAGTCGGCACCGCTGCATGAGAAGCGATCCGCACACCCGAATGCGCAGGCAGCGTCTCGAACCGCCATCTGGAAACATATTGTCAAGTCAAAGCAGAGGGTCCAGCGGCTGCATCGCAATATCAAATGGCTGCGCATGGTCGACTTGGTTGCGACAAACTCAACCATCAGCGTTGTGGACGTGGGTCACGTCCAGGTCGGCAGCTTCACCATTGCCGTCGACACTAGACGCAAGATGGTCGACCGTGCCCGCTTCTCCTTTCAGAAATCGCAATCGCAGAAACAAGACCACCGCCAGGCCGAGTGGATCGTCACGTTGCGAAGCCTCTTGTTCACTGCCGACGGCAACGAGTCGCTAGAGGTACTCGATCACGCGCTGCTCAATATACACGGCTTTCTATACGAATCCAAAGACGGACTGCGAGAAGCCACCGTCGCCCTAAAGCTGGGCAGAGTCCACATCCCCTACGACGACATCCAGCTGTGTGTGGCTAAATTCAAGCGGTGCCGCGGAGCCCCTGCGACCTCGCCTTCGGACGAGCCCCTGGACATTGCCATGAGTCCAACCGTGCCGAAATCGGACGAGCCTGGCAGCGAGAGCGCGGACTTGATGAGGACTGTTTCCGACTCGAAGCAATTCTTCAGCTCCATCTTGCGGGGCATCAAAGAGGTTCAATTCGCCGTCAGCTTTGTCGGCCTCACAAAGAATGTCACCTCGGTCAAGCCCGCCTCGAGCCCCATCCTTCTCAACGCCTCGATGAAGGAAGTTGGCTTCGACCTCCACCGCCTCGACTCCAAGTCGCCGGCCCATCGCATGTACTTTTCGTCAAAGGACACTGCCCACGAGGCCCTGGCTGCCGCCCTGTCCATCTCTCTTGGCATCGACGACGGGCACGGCAAGCTGGAGAGGCTGGTCTACGTCCCAATGGCCACCACAACCGTCCGCACCACGTTGCCGTCGAAGACGGTCCAGCTGGCGCAGGATGGCATCATTGATGAGAAGAACGCAAACATTCTGTTTGCCAACTCGGTCGTCACCTCACCATCGGTTGACCTCGATCCTCGCCACCTACCGCTTCTCATTGCCCTGATGCAGCCGGAACCGGCACCCCCCAAGGCGCGGCGCAACAGGCATTACAGCCTCATCTCACGACTCTTGCCTAAGGCCAACATGAAGCTCTCCATGCATGAGCCCGTGGTTCGGATCAAACTCAAGCCCTTGCAGGACACACAAGATCCGGACGATTTTGACCTCATCATTTCGTCGATATCATCCGTGTCACTAGACGTGGAGTCGTCTCATTCCTCGGTCGAGGACCTGCACTACTTCCTCGACGGTGCAATGAGGTTACAGTCTCATCGCCTCTACTACCAGACCTGCTCCGGAGAAATCTTCAATCTCATCACAACCGAGTCCCTGGACCTCAGAGTCCATCTGGGGGCCCACCCCGACGTCTGCGTCGATGTCACCGGCAACATTCAGTCCTTTTCCATCAGCATGGTGAGGCAGGAAATATCGGATGGCCTGCGGCAGATTGTCCGGCAGCTGCGGACGGACGTCGAGCCTGAAAAGCGCGCCACCTCCAAGACGATCCACCGCCAAAACTTCCTCCGCTCCATGCCTGACTGGCTCATCCGCTATCACTTCGAGGCAGCAGATTTCAACGTCGAGGTCGCCGGCGTGGACGAGGACATCTCGGACGACACGAGGGGTGTTTCTCTGCACCTCGACTCCTTCTCTGCCGAGTACCGAGCACACAAGTTTGAAGGGCCGCAGCGGCAGCCGACGAGGAGGCGGACGCACAGTCGGTCCATTAACCAGTCTGACTCCGACTTGGCCTCCACTCCGACGTCCCCGAGATTCAGGAGGAAACCGCAAAACACCGGCGATGGCCGTCGGCTCGCCCTGCACGCTCGTGGTATGGAGGCCCAAATCGTCGAGGCCGCAGACCGCCTCGAGGCCGAGCCGTTTGTCAGTGTCCCGCGCCTGGAACTCGTTTTCTCGGCATCGAGCGACGGCCATGGCCCGGTGTTTCACATGCAGTCGTCGGTTCGGACCGTCATGATGCAATATTCCCTGTACCGACACTATGCAATGGGCGTCGCCGTCATGACCTTGCGAAGGGCCTTCCTGAGGACGGGCCGAGACGCCCCAAGGCCTCGGCAGCAGAGCTCGTACCTGAGCCCAGACCAAATTCCTGCCTCGCCAGGCGTGTCCGATACGATCAGTGCATCGACGGTCAATCCTGAACTCTTCACGGTAGACGTCAAAGCCGCCTTGGTCCAGGTAAAGGCGGAAATGCCCCACGAGCCGTTGATGATGCTCCATGTCTATGGCCTAGAAGCAGGTCGCCATCGATGGTCCACTCCTTACCTATCTGCCAAGCTCGTCCGCCTCTACGTCGAGCCCCCGCGCACGCGCAATGTGTGGGCGAGGATCGTCAGCGTCAAGAACGGGCGCATTGATTGGCGCGAGTCGAGACACAAGCTGGCTCTCGGGGGATACGCCGAAGAGAAAATGATTGACGTTGCCACCGAGGCTATCCGAGTCGCAATTCCTCACGAAGTCATTGTCAATCGAATCACGGACAACATCACTAACGTCATCAAGGCGGTGCAGCAGCTTCATCATCGCTTCAAGACGGGGACCAACGAGTACATACTGGAAAAGAAGCCCCAGGGTCCCAGGAAGGTGCCCAAAATATCCTTTAGGTCCCGAGCCCTTCTCTTGGAGCTAGAGGACGGCGCGTTTGAGTGGAAACTGGGCATCATCTATCGCACCGGCCGCGTGGAGCAGATGCAGAGGCTAGCCCGCCAAGAGGCTTTCCGGGTCAAGTCAAAGAAGGTACGCGAGGAGGCTGCGGGACGGGGAAGCAAGGTCCGCTCCAAATCGGCGCGGCCCCGTGGCCGCCCAGACCAGTCATCCTCGTCGTGGTTCAGAAGTCGAAGCCTGGACAGCTACCAACAAGACGTCCACGGCCTTTCTCGAGGGACCATGCCGCGATATGACCCAGACGGCGAGAGCCTTGGCATCCACGGGCATGCAAAGGTGTCGGAAGACGAGGCGCGCGCCCACTTGGATCTTTTTGACGCCCAGTCGTGGAAGAAGCGGATCGACCGTGCGTACAAGGCGTCTCAAGCCAGCATGAGGGAGTTGCGTGGAATGTTCTGGGGCCTCAGCCAGACGCCCGAAGACGTCGAGGTGACCGAGAACATCCTCGAGGTGCCCCAGAGGCCTGCTCTCATGTCCACTATGATATTCGACTTTCACCTCACCATTGACAAGCCGACTTTTGCCATGAAGGACCTCCCAGCATTCATCCACAAGGTCGGCAAGGGGATGCCGCTGGACACAAAGTACAGCCTCCTAGTTCCCATGCATGTCTCCATCGGCATGAGCGAGGCTCGGTTTAACCTGCGCGACTATCCGCTGCCGTTCCTGCATATACCAGCCTTGAAGACGGGACAGTCGTCCAGGGTGCAGTCCGTCTTGCTCAAGGCCAACTTTGTCGTGGGCGAGGAGTTTCGAGGTGTCGAGTCGACTCGGCGGGTGAGGGTCAACGTGATTCCCCCACGGAACGCCGACGCCGCCTCACCCAATGACGGGGGCTTCGCCATCGAGGTCCGGCGCACGATTGGGCCCATCAAGTCGTTTTCGGACGTGTACATGGACATCAATACGGCCCTGCCAACCCGAATCACGTGGGGCCCTTGCTACCAGCCCGCCGTCCAGGACATGATGATGGTGGTGGAGTCCTTTACGAAGCCGCAGGTCGACCCGTCAGAGCGAGCAGGCTTCTGGGACAAGCTGAGGCTCAACACCCATTCTCGCATCCACTTGGCGTGGAAGGGGGGTGGCGACATGCACCTGTCGCTCAAGGGCACCCGCGACCCGTATCGGGTGACGGGCAACGGAGCGGGCTTCCTGATGTGCTGGCGCAGTGACGTGAGGTGTAACATCAACACCGAGGACGACGCGAAGCGTTTCATGACGATTGACAGCGGCGAGTATATCCTAGCCATACCAGACTACAGCCACCTGATCCGGGAAGCGGCGCGCCGACGCGAGGTCGACGAGGGCCTGCTGACGGAGGACAGCGTCAAGGCAGGCGCCATGTTTAAAAAGGTAGTCATGAAGCTCTCGGGCAAGGTTCAGTGGATCACGGGCATCATGTTCGAACGCGCCATCGAGGACGGCAAGCGGAGCTTCGACTTCAAGCCACACTACGAGGTTGTCCTGCGGAACCCCATGTACGCAAAGTCGGAGGACGGACTGCCTTACGACGCCCTGCGGGGCTTCCGCAGCCGGCACATCCACTTGTCCGTCGCGGTGCGTGCGCCTGCGGACCGTGACTGGATGGCACAGAACCCCGAGCCGTCGAGGAGCTACAACTCGGTGCATCTCACGCCTCGGTTCTTCACGCACTTTTTCGAGTGGTGGGGCCTCTTCAGCCATCCCATGTCGCTGCCGATCCGTCAGGGTCCCCTCTTCCCCGGCCGCGAGAGGAACAGCAGGAAGTTTGGACGGCACATGGCGACGGTCAAGTACAGCCTACTCCTGGCCCCCCTTTTCCTCAGCCACATCTACAAGCACAAGGACGCTGAGGACTACTCGGAGCACGCCGTGTCGGCAACTGGTCTCAAGGTCCGGTTCGATAGCTTCATGCTCGATCTTCACCAGCGAAGGGAGGAGTTCAACACGCTCGGCAAGGGCAAGAATGCATCCAACAGGACATCCGGCATCAAGGTCCACGCCGCACAGCTCGACCTCGTCAACGCGGACGTCCGAGCCGTCTCGGCTAGCCTCAAGGGCACGACGACGGAAGCAATCAAAAAAGGGTCCACCACGATGCTCATAACCGAGCAGGACGAGAAGCCTGACCTGTCAAAGTTTACCATTCCCGACAACGACTTTAGCTGGATCGACATGGACGACTTTGTCGAGCTGGACTGGATTCTCCCGACGGAGCCTCACCCGGAGACCCAGATCCTGCCCCTGGCCTTTGCCCCTCGGCTGACGTACTTTGGCCAGACGGACATTGGCGGCACCATTGCCGGGGATCCCATGCGGACGAGCCCCTTTGGTAACGAGCCGACACACTTTTGCATCATGACGCACGATGACGATCCCAAACGCGTCCAAGGCCAGCTGATCCAGGAGCGGCTCGACCAGCTCGAGGTGCAGATGCTGACGCATTCGAGAAACGTGGGCGAGGCCGAGTTGAAGGCAGTGCAGACGGATTCGCAGGATCCCGAGATCATGGCGGACCTGGAAGCTCTGAGGAAGCACACTGGTGTGTTGAAAGAAAAGAAAGCGTCTCTGGAGAACATGCTCGAGCAGATGAACGCCCCGACGCCTGCAAACGGCGACGGCAAGCGAGGGTCGGCGATGTCGGCCGAGAGCGACGGCGTGCTCGACATACCCTCGGCAGCCGAGTTTGAGAGCGACTTCAAGAACCGCTTCGTTGTGCACAACATGCAGCTCAAGTGGAACAACTTGCTGCGCAACATTGTGCTTCGCTACATTCACCAAAACGGGCAGCGGCGGGGCTTCATCTACTACCTGTCCCGGCCGGCAGTCAAGTTCATCCTGGACATTGTGGAGGAGCAGAACAAGGCCAAGTCGAGCAAACCAGCCAGGGCAGCGTCGGTGGCGGGCACGGCGTCGCCTAGCCTGAGCACCGCGGAGAGGGACAGCATCCACGACCTCGAGGACCGCATCAAGAACATCCTGGGCGATAGGCGACGAGGCACAACGGGCGCCAGCTTCGCGGCCAACGCGGACGGCACGTGCACCTCGATCGAGGACCTGGAGAGTGGCATCTCCAAGGAGTTTAGCCCTCAGCACGGCTACCACGTGCGGCTGATTGCGCCGCAGATCCAACTGCAGAGCGACAAGAACAAGAAGCACGTGGTGCTGGTGACGGCCAAGGGCATGGAGCTCAAGGTGCTGGAGGTCATGGACAAGAAGCGGATCTCGGACACTGTTAGCGGCCTGGTACAGCGCCGGTTCCTCGTCAACATGGACAGCACGCAGTTCTTCGTCACCCACCAGAAGTGGTTCCTGACCAACCTGGTGTCCATGTACGCGGGCAGCAAATACGGCACGCCCCGGGGCTCGTCGTGGCCACCCTGGGTGCCGATGGAGGTCATGTTTAACTTCACGGCGGACCCCTTTGGCTTCAAGCGCGTCGTGCAGAAGACGTCTGCCATGCTGCGCTACGACAAGTACAACAACCTGCGTCTCAAGTACAACGACGAGGTAAACACGGACGAGGGGGCCAGCCTGACGTCGCCGGAGAGCACCGAGAGCCGCGCCGACAATCTCTGGGTCGAGTTTCCCCAGGCGCGCGCGCTCTGCAACTCGTCGCAGTACTACGCAATGTACGTCATCGTGCTGGACCTTCTAATGTACAGCGAGCCGCTGGAGAAGACGCGCAGCGAGCGCCTGGAGAAGATAATCCTCGCGTCCGACTTTAGCGACCTCAGCGGCGCGCCCCAGATGGTGCAGCGGCTCCAGGAGCGCATCAAGCAGCTCGAGGAGATCAAGCAGCACTTCCAAATCTACTCGAAGTACCTCGACAAGCGGGCGTGGGAGGACCGGCTAGCGCTGGAGCGCGACCTCGCGGCGTGCGAGGACGAACTCTTCTTCATGATGAAGGCCATCACGACGTCCCAGCGCAAGTACGACATTGACAGCGACACCAACGCGTTGCTCAAGTGGAGCATCTCAGCTCGTGAGATCGTGTGGCACCTGATCCAAGACTCCAACGAGCCCTTGGTGGAGCTGCAGCTCAAGGACGTCGAGTACGACCGCACCGACAACTCGGACGGCTCGCACATGAACCTGATTCGCGTCGGCAAGGTGCTGGGCCTCAACTTGCTGCCGGACGCGACGTACCCGGAGATCATCGCGCCCTACTACGGAGACGAAAGGGCGTCGTCTGCGCCGGCCGCCGGGCAGCCGCAGCAGGACAGGGACATGGTCCGCGTCTACTGGCACATGCTGGAGGCGATTGCGGGCATACCCGTCATGGACCGGTTCGAGGTCAACCTGTTTCCCGTCAAGGTGCAGCTGGAGCGCGAGGCGGGCAAACGGCTTTTCGACTACATCTTCCCCGGTATGGACGGGGACAAGGTGGCGACGGCGAGGAACCACTCGCCGTACATGATCAAGCAGGACATGGTCGGGCTGGAGGAGGAGGACAGCGAGTCGCTGGCGAGCTCCAACAGCCGGCTCGGCACGCCGTCAACGGGCGACCGGGAGCCGGCAGGGTTCTCGACGAGGGCGGGGTCGCTGGAGCTGCGGCTGCGGCCGACGCTTTCGTCCAACGCGGTGCAGGAGCGCAGCCCGAAGAAGGCCCTCAGCGTCAACAGCGGCGAAGGCCACGGGTTCCGTCTGTTCCGCTCGGGAGGGACGGGGCGGACAATGCTGTCCAAGAAATCGTCGCACGACTCCCTTCGCGGCTCGGGAACGCCGCGGCCCGGGACCTCGATCGGGCGGACGTCGACGGGCTTCTCGTCGCGGGACGGGCGCGAGCCGGACGGCAAGAAGGGGACGCGGTTCGGGCTGCGCGGCAAGGGGCAGGCGGACGACAAGCAGCAACAGCAGTCGGACGACCTGAGCAAGATGATTACGCGGGCGAGCAACTACATGACGTTTGCGTACATACGCATGCCGTCAGTGGTGCTCTGCCTCAGCTACAAGGGCAAGGACCAGCGCAACTTTGAGGACGTGCACGACTTTGTCTTTAGGCTGCCGACGATGGAGTGGCAGAACAAGACGTGGTCGAACCTGGACCTGGCGCTGGCGCTCAAGAAGGCCGTGGTCAAGGCGCTCATCTCGCACACGGGGGCGATAATCGGCAACAAAATCTCCAAGCACCGGCCCAACGCGGAGCAGCGCAGCAAGCTGAGGGAGCTGGCGAGCAGCTCGGTGCTCATCTCGGCCATGCCGGCGGCGCAGCACTACGCGGGCAGCGTCAACGACAGCGACGACTCGTCGAGCATGTACGGGACGTCGCCCGTCGACTACTCGCGGTCGCCGCCGCAGTCGACGCGCGGCAGCACGCACAGCAGCATCCCCGCGCCGCGATCGTCGAGCCGCAGCAGCAGCGTGGCGAGCGGGCGGTCCCGGCGGACGGGCGGCGGGGGCGGGGGCCTAGTTGGCAACGTGCCGACATACCTGACCATGACGCCGCCCACGCCGGTGGAGGGGAGGGCGGAGAGCCAGGGACTGGGGCTGGACCTGCTACGGCCGTCGTCGAGCAGCAGCCCGGGGCCATCGCACCGGCGGGCGCTGAGGAACGTGGGCGTGGCCGACAGTCGGCCGTCGACGAGCGCGGGCCATCTCGAGACGGGAGACCGGCGGAGGACGACGGGGGGTGGATTGAGGGACAAGCTCAGCGCGCTGACGCATAGGAAGAGTCACCGCGAGGATCACAGCGGCGGCGGGAGCAGCGGGTAGGGGGGCGCAAGAGAGGGGGGGGACTGTTTGGAGGAGGGGGACGGTGACACGCACGACTGGACACAGCGGCAGCCGCAGCGGGCGCTGAGGCAGCCTGATTTACTTTGACGCCCCCTTTTTTATAAATCCTTTTGGAGTGAAGAGAGATAGGGGTGGGGGGGCAAGCTTGGTGTTTGCGGATAAGCGGGGAGCATGCATCCAGGATGGGACGGCGCGTGTTTTTGAGGTTGAAGAGATGGGAGATGGTGGAGGCGGCGCGTGCGTTTGTCTATCTGATGTGGCGGCAGAGGGCGGTTGATGGAGGGCTGTACATATTGGACCTTGATGACGCATCTGTGAATACAAACAGGATACGCCTACACTATCGTCCCTTGCAAGTACGGACAGGTGGAGCGGGATGTGGTTCCTTTTTCATGAAGGGTTGCGAGGGCGAGGGGGAGGAGGTGCGTTGAAGATGGTCATGGTCTGTCTGCCGGCTCGGCATTGCACCGTCGACGGTTCTATTCCGTCTCTCGGCGTGAATGCCCAGCCGGCAGACGTCTTGCTTGACGGGCCCGCGCGCGGGACGGTCTTGGCCACCCCTTCCATTCGTCGTCATCCCCCCCCTGCAGGGTCCGGGTCCGAGCGGGGGAGCACCCCTTTTCCCTGAATGCGAAGGATGGTCGCTGTGAGGTGAAGTCATGCGTGACATGGCCTGGGCTTGGCGAGGCACGGCATCAAGCCCGGCCAAGAAACCAGGGACGTTTGTTTGGATCTTTGGATTTTCCAATCTATCGCCAGAGGAGAGCGGCAGAGCTTGAGAGGAAGAGAGTGATTCGGATGGAAACAAGGGGGGGGGTCACGGAGCTGGTCATCTGGCCACACACACACACACCACACACACACGCGCGCGCGCGCCCTGTTCCGGAGACAGACACGATGAGCGTGTCGGGGGCTGCGGGGGCGCTTCAGGTTTCTCTTTGTTCATCCAGACTGGCCGGCTGGCCATGCACACGAGTTTATTGTTGCGGCTCAGGCGAGCATGTATCTGGACGGACGGACGGCTTGTGTCGGCTTGGCTTGGGGAAGGTGGGCGGCGAGATGATGGGGGTGAATGAAGATGTCGAGGACCAGGCATGCTGAATAGGAGGCATGTACTGTACTGGAGGAATACACGTGCAGTACAGTAACGGTACAGTGAAGGAAGTGGAAGATGACGAGTTGAAACAGGTAAAGGGCCTTCTCGAACGGAGGAGAGAAGGGTGGGAGGATGCGGGGGCCGGGCTGTTTGGAGACACTATGGGGTCAGGTACTGGGAGGGTACCGGAGTGGTACAGGGCGAGTGAGAGGAATACCGCTACTCTACCGGGTAGCAGGTCGATTGTTAGCTGCCCTCCGTCTGTCGTGTCCCCGCATCTTTACACCTCGGTTGCATCAGCCGTTGTTTTGTGGATGAGCAAGGGTCCAGAGAGCCGAGGGTATTAATTTACTGTATGAAGTAGTGGACTTTGGGCATGATGGCTCTTGCTGAAGCATATGCACATTTATTTATACTGCAGACTGTACAGGCGTTGTTTGTATCTCGGCCAGGGCGAGCCGGACGCAACGCTCCAGGACGCTCCAGGACGCTCCAGGACGCGTGGTTGCGCAGAGAGACGGGGGTGCTGCATCCGCATTCGCTTTGCCAAGATGCATTTAATTATACCCGCGCCGTCTTTGGCCACACTCTAGAATCCATCTTGTTAACTGTACAGTACTCTCTCGTTGGCTCGGATGGCCGGAAAGGCTTTCTTCGAGGTGTCACGCGGCGGCGTACAGAGGTAGAGGTGCCTTACAGTGAGTGGGATAGATAAGGTGCAGCAGGACGGACGGACGGACGGACGGACGGACGACCGGTGGGCCAACCAGCAACAAGCTTAAAAAGTTCGATTGCAGACTGCGACGGCTGCCTACCTTGATGTGTGTCTGTTAGGTAGAGATAAGGCAGTCGGTCCCATGTGCGCCGCCTGCTGCCGTGTGTCCTTGGCCGTCGATAACGGCGTGCCACCGTGCGAGCCAAGAGCGCTAGTACAGATGTCCAGTCCAGTTGACTGACTGGGCGCTATGGCACAGGTGATGAGCACAGGGCACTCATCTCTTCTCTTCCCTGTCCAAATGCGCTGGCGCGAATGGGGAGGACCTGACAGACGCGCATCTACCCAAGATGCCTCCCGACCCCCCCGTCCGAGGCAATGCGTCCTCGGGCCCTTTTTGCTGCCTGATTCCCAACCTGCAGCGACGATGCTTACAGTCAGGACCCCTCGGCAGGGGACATGGCGCTACCTGCTCCGAGCCCGCGGCCCACCGTCGACGCAGCGCTGGCCGTTGGACAGCCATGTAGCTCGAGGTGTAGCTCGAGGTGTAGCTCGAAGTGCCCTCCACCACCGCCTTTTTCGGCTTCGAGAAGCGTCTCTCTGTCCTTTAATTAGCCTCTTTCTTACTTGGGGGGTATCCTTAGTAGGGCCTGGCCTCCGAGTTTGACCTTTGCTTCAGCCGGCGACTCTGCCTTGCCACAAATACAGCACAAAGACAGACGTTTTACCTAGACATATCTCTTGCTTGCTTTTACTTTTTCTGCTTCCTTTTCTCCGCCTCATCCTTCATCATCGTACCATGTTGAATTCACCTCCTCCCTCTTTTGGATCCCGTTTGCTGCCTCCCCGCCAATCGACGCAGCGCCTCAGACCCCACACGCACTACCAAGCCGGCGCAAGTCCTCAAGTCACTACATACACCCCCCAATCGCAGTGGGGCAGGATTGGCTGGCCCTCGTGTTTGTTGCTGCTGATAAGGGCCCGTATCATCATTCACACCCCTTCCCCCGGGGGCTTGATTCATCGCCCATTCCCTACCCGGGCTTATCGAGACCAAAATCCTCCTGATCCATCCGTCCTCCTTCTTTTCCAGCTTCTCCTTCATCCCTTGAACCGTCGTCTCTTGCCCTGCCCCTTCCTATCTTCCTATTTCTTCCTATTTCTTCCCATTTCCTCCCATTTCTTCCCCCTTCACCCACGCTCCATCTCTGCTTCAGCCCGGCCTCTGGCGTCTGCCGCTGCAAGGCACCCGTTCCGTCGCCCGTCGCTAGGGCCCTTGCTGGCGCACCACCGAATCCTCCACCGTCGTCGCCTTACGTACTCGCCGCGCAACCTGCAGCTCTAAAACCCATCTAGAACAAAAGTTACAACACCGCCCGCCGGTGCAACCGCCAAACCTGCCACTGCAGCAAACCAACGGCAGTGGGTGCCTGGCGTCACAGCAGCTGCCGATCCCCGCTAACAAAAACAAGCCACTGGGTCCTCTGCTTCCACCCTGCTTCCATCCAGCGTCGCACCACCTCGAAAACCCTCTCTTCCTCGTCAGCGTCTCTCGTCCTCAAACGACGCCGAAAGCATGCACCAGTCCGTCGCCGCCGCCTTAGTCGCCTCCACGCCGCAATGATGAAATCGCTTCTCTTTTCCCGGCACTCGTCCGACTCGCCCATACCCTCGTCGACTGGCTCCCCGGCTTCCGCCGACTCCTGCCGCCCCGAGGCCCTCGCGACCTCCAAGCCCGCCGCAACTCCGCCCCAGCAGCGAGCCGGCAGAAGCGGCAGAAGTAGCCCGAGATTCACCACCAAGCACGCCCTGTCCAAACCCGACGTCAGCGTCGTCGCAAAGTCGGCCTCGTCGTCGTCGTCCGACGTCGACGTCGCCATGTCCAGGCGTGGCAGACCCAAGCGCGACTCCTCCACCACTCCCTCGCTCTCCAACCTGACCGAAGCCTCGGCCACCGTCACGCCCACCGGCCCTCTTCAGATCCCCAAGCACGCCAACCGCGAGGCCAAGCGAGGCCAGCCAACGCACCGGAGGAGATATCCGCGACACGTCCACTCGACCGAGTCCATGCACCCCTCGCTCGCCGCCCTGCTGGCCCTCACCGACATCCCCCGTCACAAGCGCCGCCTCCGCTCCCCCGACCGGCCGCTCATCATCGACGACACTATCGTCGACGACCACCAAGTCTCGGAGAAGGAGTTGAGTCTAACGCTCGGCCGCGGCGGGCCCCTCGACCTCCTGCTCTCGCCTCCCCAAGATGTCGCCGACGACGTCGTGAGCCTCGCCGAGAGCACCGCCAGGTGTGTCCTCGCCAGGACCACGTCGGCCGACTCCATACCCTCCCTGGGCGGTGACTCCTTCACCTCGGATACCCTCTCCTCCCTCGACACGCCGGCCACCACTGCCTCTTCGTTGCCGAGGAGGCGACCCAGCCCCGTGCGCCGGTCGCTCGAACCCGTTACCTGCCCCTCGGACGCCGCTGATGAGCACCCGCTCGCCGCCGACGTCGTGGCCGCAGCGGACCTCGACGCCGACCTGGGTGCCTTTGACGCCGACGACGAGCGGCCCGCTGACGAGGCCCCCAAGCCACTACCGGCCCAGGCCTCCAAGCCGCTGCGCTCCGTCTTCAGGTCCAACCTGACGGCATCTCTACGCGCGCTGCGCTCTGCCGCCCGCTCCTTCTCCAGTGCCAACCAGCCCGCGGTCCCGGCCGACGACCTGCTGACCCGCTCCGTCCTCGCCATCGACCCCAAGGTCCCCTACGCCGACGAGCGCCGACCTCCCGTTACCGAGGAGATGCCCTCGGCCGAGCTGCGTCGCTACCTGAACCCGACGACGAGCAGCCTCATCGACCCCCAGCCCCAGTCCTCGCGCGCCTACTCGGCCTCGATCCAGATGCAGACGTACAAGGTCCAGCGCTCCCGCTCCCTGCACCCATCGTCTCGCTCCGCGGCGGCCCCGGCGTCGGGCACCGGCCCGCGCCCGCCGTCGCGCGCGGGCAGCCCGGCGCTAGTGCCCGGCATGCGCCAACGCGAGATGCGGGAGAACTCCGACTTTATCCGCATCGCCGTCATGGAAATGGCCATGCGGAAGCGCGGCAAGCTCGACAGCAACAAGCCCGGGCGCGCGCGCTGGGCTCTGCCGCCCCGGCGTCCGCCGACGAGGCCCTACGAGATTGGGCCCAACGGGGTACCCGCTCGCTGGGCGCCCATGACCTGCTAACGCAGCCCGCACGCAGGGCTCTCTCGATTGGGCCCACGTGTATGCCACCGGGGCGAAAGGTCATGTCTCGCCCATGCTGCGCGAGGGAGGCAAAGGGGAAAAAGAAAGTTGGGCCTGTACTGTGCAACAGGCTCGCCCCCTGCAGGGAGACCATTCTAGACTTGAGGCGCCCTTTTTCCACGTTGCCATCCCCACTGGGTTCCGCAGCTGGTTGCAGACTGGTGGCCGGCGCGAGCTTCGCCAGAAGCTTTTATACAGGCGGGGCGATCGCACGACTCGAGAGACAAAAGCACACTGGCAGCGCTTGTGCGACGCGGCAGTTGCGCGATTGCAACGGCAACCTGCACGCGGGTGCGGTGCAACGGAGACGGTGACATGCCATCGGCCCGGGGTCGGCTCGTTGGATGCCTCGGGAAGCATGGCTGGCTGCAGAATTCCATCACGTCGCGCCGATTGCCGAAAGTCGATGGTCCCCACGGCAAAGCCGGATCTCCCCGAAACATGGGCTCTCTGAACATCACGGCAGGGGGACCCTGATTGTCCAGACTACAGGGCGGCTCGTCAGCGCCAACGCTTGCGCCAGCAAAGACTTTCGAAGGGGGCCGAGTGCGAAAAAAGAAACGACAACACGGCGCTGCCAAGCCTCCAGCCCTCGCGAGGGAGGTGAGTCAGTGTTTGTCGAACAGGTGGCCCAACATGCCGTCTCGAGGCCCCTCATTCTACGGTTTCGTCTTGGTCTTTGACGCCTTCTTCGGCATTGCGGCTGTCCAGCGCCTGCAGCTTCAGCAACAGTCGTTGCGACTCCTTGGAACTCGTGACTCTGGCTCAGGAGCCGTGACCGAGAGTCACGGGCGGCCTCCGCTCCCGTGGCGCATTGAAGTAGGGAGAGAGTGGCAATATTGTACTCGTCTCACCCAACTCATACTTTCTCCCCTTTGTCTTTCCTTGGCTTTTGCTTTTTGTTCCCTTGGCAATGCATTGCGACGCGACGGGCAAGAAACGGCATTTTCTTCATCACTATCATCTAGCGGCCTGGAATTTCCGAGATACCTTTTTTCATTTCCTCCCCCCCCTTCGCTACGGTATTTCGCCCGACACTTGGGCGCGCGCGTCTTGATGGGGCCCGGCCTCTTTCTCCCTTGCCTCTCTCCCTTGATTTTCTTTTCCATTTCCTCCTCGCCTGGCACACCTCTTTTTATCGTTCCGGTACTACAGTCACCAAAGGCGAAAGCCCGACTTGTTTTTTTCTTAGCGGGAGCAGGCGACAAGTAGGTGAAGAGACATGCGGTGCGTGCCAAGTCATGCAGATGCAGACGTGCCCAACTCGTCGTGGCCGGCTCTGCAGGGCCAGGGACAGTCTGAGGCGCCAGCCCACGGGCGGGCTCGGTGTATGATTGGGACGATTGGGGCAAAAAGAAGAGAAGGGATCGGTGTGGCCGCGAGGCAACGAAAGGAAAGAGATGAGTGGGCGCGACAGATGACATGTGCTGACACGGACCGGAATATACGCCGTGTATGTTTGGCAATGGTTGGCTCGTAGGCTGCGACTGGTGCATGCGTGGTTGTGTTGTAAATGAATACTCTCACTCCCCCTCCCTCTGTGCCAGAACCTGCACAGAGCTCTCTATGTACTTGGACGAGCGCTGCTCTCCTGGCTTGTGAAGTCGGCAAAGGGTGACGCCAAGCCTCTTATCCAGCGAGTCGGCGGCCACAGGAACGAATTAGGCAGATGCAAGGACGCCCCCGAGGGCCGCCTCCTGATCGCGTGCGACGCACGGGAATTCGCAGTCATCCGGGGGGCTCTTTCTGCACATGCATCATTGCCCCCCCCCCCGTCTTTCAGTTTCTCGTCTGGCTTTTCCATCACTTGAGCTTTTCAAGGTGGAAGCCTGCCTGCCAACTTGCGACCGGCGGCTTTGATGAGCTTACAAACCGGATGAAGATAGCTCATGGGACACGTCGTGACAGTCGTCGTGACTATGTAGCAGCCGAGGCCGACCACGGGACTTGATGACAGGCTGCTCTCTCTCCCCCGGGCCCCTGGTGGTGGGGCACGGCGCCGGCGGCGACAGGAGTGGGGCCGGCGCGGCGGGCTTTCGGGGCGTGGTCCGGCGCCGGGGCGGGGCGAAGAGGAGGGGTATAAGGCGCCCTCTTTTCGTTGGCGTTTCCCCGTAGTGAAGAGGCACTAGGTCTCTGCTTGATCAAGGGCGGAGGCTAGGGCCACTACATGTTCCTCTGGGGCAGTTGAGTTGCTCAGTTGAAGAATCAGCGGTCCTCTTGACCTCAGCGCACTGCTTCCGAAGGCGGCGCAACGACGGCATCGTCCACGCCCCCCCCCCGACGGCCTCACATGTCAGGGAGAGGACCACAGCACGAGGGCACCCGCAACGGAATTGGTCGTGAAACCCTCGATGCAATGGAGCTGGGGGCGGTCCCTCTCTCCCCTCAGAGTCAGCTCTGCCCGAGACGGAGGGGCGGTTCTCTCTAGCAGGGGCACGAGCAAGATGGCACCGTGAGGGCTCGTGGTCGGCCGGAACGACTTGTTCATCACGTCGGCGAGTTCCTGAGGGAGAATGAGAACCGTCTTGGGAGAATTGCCGGACCTTGATCACTCGCCCGGGACGCCATCGAGCTGAAGAAGCCAGAGGTTGAATTGATAGTACCACATCATACACACAGCATCCGCGGCATCCTCAAAGCTTCCGCACACTCAGCCGTAGAAGCAAGCCGCCGTGACTTGTCGACTCGGTCAGGCGACGGGCTTTCCATCCCCCGCGTCGGAACCTAGACCCCGGATGTTCTGCTCACCGTGTATACGTATGATCAATCGTCAGTCGACTCTGCCGGCCCTGCCTTTTCTTCGACCAGCTGCTGTTTTTCAATTAACCCGGCAACTGCTTACCCCTATAAACGATTGCTGTTTGATGGCCTCCCTGTCGAGGGGGCGCGTTCAAGACAGGGCCTCAAGGGGGTTGGGCCTGCTTTGGATCCTCACGGCCCCTTTGGCGCAGCGTTTCCTTACTCAAGACCGACACCCGAGTACACCGTAGAGGGTGGACATGCCCTCCCCGGAGAACCGAGCAGGCGTGAATCATGTCGCTTTTGCGGGCCCCGGCCAGTTACAGGATCCGGCAGTCGCATCTGTTGTCAAGGGGTAGGATCCTTGCAGGGATCAGGGTGGTTGACAAGACTTGTGTCTCCGCATTGTCTCCAATGACAGCGAGGCAATAAACAATCAGCCCTCAAAAGTCACGCGCGCAACTCGAATTACCAATCATCCGCCCGCCTCGATCATCGTATACCGAGAAAGCGGAAATATTCGGCATCCTCTTGATTGGTCGAGCCCCGATGCCATGGCCCCTCGTATCGCGTCCGCCCGGACTCATGATATGTCCGAGGAGACCTCCGAGGCCATGCCCTCGGGGCCTCCATGGTACATATGGAAGCACCGGAGAAGCAGCTCGCAGACAGAGGCGCCGCCGGAGGAAACCGGCGGCTCGCACATGCAGCCGGGCTCGATGCCCTCAGCTGCTTGGGTGCAAACACTGTTTGTCCGCGGAGTTTGACAAAGCGAAGCAAAGAATCATACGAGGCATGGCCCAGAATCAAGGCCGTAGGCGACTGACGAGTGGGAATCGTGTAGGGAGCAGGAATTCTGGAAATGCAGCGGCGCAGGACTCGCCACGGGGGCTCAGGAGCCGTCCGCAGTATATATTCAATATAAAACGCCTCAAGGCTGCTGTCTAGGCGACAATCGGGTTCAATCTCCTCATGGTTTGATCTGCCCTCAACTCTAGTAACCTCACCCTCTGTTCTCGCTGCTACATACCCTCAGCCAGTCACTCCTGCAAGATGACGACGGAGCCACCCAGCTTCCCCTTCCAGCGGGCCTCGGCCATGGAGCCACCTGCCGAGTACGCCCGGCTCCGCGCCGGCCCTGATGCCGTCTCGAGGATCAAGCTGTTTGACGGCAGCGTCGCCTGGCTTGTCACCAAGTACAAGGACGTGACGGCTGTCGCAACGGACCCTCGGCTGTCAAAGGCATGCACCCCCCATGGCCACGTTGTTCCCCGTCCCCGCGACTCTCGGCTGACCCTGGTCCGCGCAGGAACGTACGCGGCCCGGTTTCCCGGAGCTGAGTGCCGGGGGGAAGGCGGCGGCCAAGGCCAGGCCGACGTTTGTGGACATGGACGCGCCAGATCACATGCGACAGAGGCAGGTCGACGTTTCCGGCCCCCTGGGGCTTTGTGTACATACATCGATGGTGTGCTGACCATGGGAGACAGGGGCATGGTCGAGCGGTGGTTCTCATCGGAGCACGTCGAGGCCCTGCGGCCGTTCATGCAAAAGACTGTCGACGACCTGCTGGATGGCCTTGCAGCCAGGGGGTGCGCGGAGGGCCCCGTGGACCTGGTCAAGGAATTCGCGCTGCCCGTTCCATCATACGTATGTACTCTTTGCGGCATCGAGTTTGCGAGGCAGTCTGGACGCTCACGCAAGCCACATGTGGGCAGATCATCTACACGATTCTCGGCATCCCTCCCCAGGATCTCGAGAAGCTGACCCGCCACGCCGAGATCCGCTCCAACGGAAGCTCGACGGCACGAGAGGCCTCTGCCGCAAGCCAGTACGTCGAGCGGTGTCCTCTCCCCCTATACCGAGATGGCGTGACGCTGTAGGTCCGGGACGGCTGATGCAGCATGCTGGTTCAGGGGGCTGCTCGACTACCTCGCCAAGCTCGTCGACCAGCGAAGCAAGCAGCCCGAGGACGATCTGATCAGCGATCTGGTCGTCCACCAGGTGCGGCCCGGGCGCCTCGAGGCGGCCGACGCCGTGCAGGTTGCGTTTCTGCTGATTGTCGCCGGCAACGCAACCGTGGTCAGCATGATTGCTCTGGTACGTGCCGCCAAACGCAACCCGCATGAGTCGAGCCACGGGACTAACGAGCGCTGACGACGTTTGCATCGAAACAAGGGAGTGGTGACGCTGCTGCAGCATCCGGAGCAGCTGGCGCGGCTGAGGGCCGACGCATCGCTGGCGCCGCTGTTCGTCGAGGAGCTCTGCCGGTACCACACGGCGTCTGCACTGGCCATGAAGCGGACGGCCAAGGTCGACGTCGAGATTGGCGGCAAGGTGCGTGTGCGACTCTCCCCCCTTCTCGAGACGCGGGCCAACATTGCCGCCCCGGTGCAGCTCATCAAGGCCGGCGAGGGCATCATCGCGTCCAACCAGTCGGCCAACAGGGACGCCGACGTCTTTGCCGACCCCGACTCGTTCGACATGTTCCGCTCCTGGCCAGCGGGCAAGGACCCCCTCGGGTTCGGATGGGGCGACCACCGCTGCGTCGCAGAACGGCTGGCCAAGGCGGAGCTGGAGACGGTGTTCTGTAAGTTCCCGAACCGCCCGCCCGCCGCCCGGTAGACGGAGCCTTGGCTGACCGGGACGGATGTGCGGCCGTATCAGCCACCCTCTTCCAGCGGCTGCCGGCGCTCAGGCTGGCGGTGCCGTTTGACGAGATCAGCTGCACGCCCCTGCACAAGGACGTCGGCATCGTCGAGTTGCCTGTGACTTTCTAGGGCTGTCATCCAGCGATGCGGCATCTCTTTGTCTTGGTACGCGTTCGGGCTGCTGTAAAGCCTGCCAGCACATGGAGACCTGGGGAGACGGCTGTCAGATTGAACCAGTGGCTGGCTGTTTCAGCGCCCTGTATTGTAACTTGGAATCACTGTGCGGAAACTCCCCTTTTTCAGTTGTTTTATAGCCGTCGTCTTGATCGAACGTATATGTCCAAGGACGACATGTTGAGCAGCCAGACCGGTAGAGACGTGCATCAGATGACAGCGCCAGGCATGCGGTCGACGACGGGTCTCGTCTAGAGGACTCATGAAAAGGACGAGCCAATCGTCGTCAACGCGCTTCGGGTGAATGGACCCGTCAAAGTTATAGCCTCGCTCTCAGCTCACTTGCAGTCTCCAATGCTCCCGCATGGCTTCCCCGGGTCCTGGACAGGCCATGGCACATCTGCGGCCTGTGCTCCCAGCAACCCGAATTCATCAGGATACTCCAACCTATACCCGGTGCAGCGGAATGCAACAAGGAGGCACCTCTGCCCCGTTGTGGCAACAAGAGACGCTTCTCCCATATTCCTGCATCTCAGCCTAGAGTAAAGATGTAACGAGATGCATGTACCCTCCAGCCCTCACGTCAATCGGCCTGAAGAAGTCGATGTCGGTGGAAAACATGTACCAGGGGGCATGGATGTCCAAGGCTCGCAAAACGTCATCGGCAGATGTAAGTCCGACGGCGCTTACCCTCCAGCACGAATAGTCAGGTTCGAACTCGTTTGATCCAAAGCCGAGTGTCGACCCTCACGCCGAGCAGTTCGTCTCCGAGAGGTGGCGTTCCAGGACAGAAATGGTGGACAAGACCGCCTTTGTTCCCATTTCCACCGGTAACTCAATACGCATGTTTGTCTGCTCATATAGTCAGCTAACGAGGCCTTAGGGGCTCATGCTTTCATTGGAAAGCCTCTGGCGATGCAAGATCTCGGCGACACAATCTCGGAGGTAGTTCTCAGATTCGACATTAGGGCCGGTCCTAATCAGGATATGCAAGAGTTTGAAGGTGGAATGAAAGACAACTTCGTTATGAGATTGCCCCCCTGGAGACTGTTCTTTTCAGAACTCTTGAATCAGGCGGGAGAGCAGTCAGTCAGGGGGAATAGATCGCCCAAGGACAGTGAAGAAAGGAGAGGGGAAGGGGGCGGCCTCCCCTTGACCAATGCTTCGCGTTGGAAGCAAGGTCAGTTGATGAATAGTCTTACGAAATGGGCCGATGGCGTTTGTGTGCCGCAACGTGTGGCATGTAGTTGCCGTTGAGGTCAAGATGGGGTGTGAACGGAATGGAAACATTGAACAGGTTGATGCATTATTTTGGGTACAATTCTAACTTTTACCTGCATTGAGAGCCACCCATCAAGACACCTTTCACAGGATTGATTCGGTACCGTCACCCAGTGTCGTAAACAACCTTCCTCCAACCCCCGTACATTAAGAGAACCTGCAAGATCCACAGGTGCCAACGCAAGGCCTGCATGGCCCGGCAAACAGAAACGAGCACTACCAGCTTTCCTAAGTTGACTTGTGCTAACTTCGGCACCTCTCAATGGCGTCCCTACATTCATCCTCGTCCTGTGTCCTTGTCAGCACGGTTGCCCGAGGGTCAGCAAGGACGTCGACTTGCCTTGAGATCGTCTTTAAGCGTGCCGATGTCGTCCTCAGTCTCGTCCGTATCCTGAAAGATCCGAATGGCGTTGAAAGCGCGGGCGCAGGGTTCCTCCACGTCGGGACACTGAACCAGTGTCAGGGGCGATTGACGAACTCGATTGTTCGTGGCGGCGTTGTACCTTTTCGGTCAGGTCCTCGATGGCGTCTCTCTTGGAATTACCTTGCCGGGCCCGGTCTGACGGTCTTCATCGTTAGCTGGTGTGTACTCGTTGGCTCGGGAGACTTGGGCGGCGCGTCGCACTGTGAGGAACTTGAGAAGTCGTCATCGCCAGAATGCCGGGAACGCAGAGCGCGACGCAGTAGAAGAGGGATGCCTGTCGAGTGGAATGTCAGAATTCTCGGGCGGTGCTTTGGACTGCTCTGTTGGTTGGGAAGCTCACTTTCATCTTGGCGATTTGATTTGGCCTTGAAGAGTAGCAGTAATCAAACTCACATCAACATGCGATAGTGGGCGTGGGCCGAAAGAGGGCCTCAACAGGGGGGGGGGGAGGCACGCTTTATACTCTTGGGGAGGGAGGGGCGTCTCATATAAAATGTCTCACGGGCAGTCGATGAGACAGGACAGGTACTGTATGACGTCTAAAGCCCGCCCTGTCCTGCCAGCTGGCCGGCCAAGTCGATGGATAGGGCTTGCCTGGAGGGGCTAGGAATGTGGCCTCAGTCGAGGAGAGGAAGGTTTTCCGATGAAGCAGATTATCTAAACCCCCCACGGCACGTCCAGCAAGATTGGACATGGGAAACGGTATGTGGCAGGCGGTAGGTTGGAATGCAGGAGGGCCTGAAGCATGAGACATGCCATCTCTGCTGGGACGCCTCTTGTCCCGTGAGCACTGTATTTCGACCTCACTCGTGTCTCTCATCGGGGGCAGGCGGCGACGCGTTGCTCGGGCACTGACTTGGCTGTCCGGTCCAAAGGGGCGCAAATGCTCCTCGCAGGCCATGCCAGACAAGGGCGCCGCCATCCATTGTGCAGAGACACGACGAGAGGCTCTCTCCGTGCCCTCCTTATCTCAGCTATCAAGCCTCTTGCGTGCTTTGTCTCCTTGCCGAATGTCTTTGGGCCTTGGCTCTTGGTTCCAGGCGCATGGACGGACGTCTTTACCTGCGAGACTGATCTATTTTTAGGTGGTTTTCCTTTCCCCTTACTCTTTTTTTACTTCTTCCCTAAGCCCTGTCCGCCTTAACAAGGGGCCCGGTCTCCAATGAGTGAGTCTCCTTGGGGTCCAAGTCAAGACGAATGCGCCGACGTGCCGGGACCCGCGGAGGTCATGCCGGACGTCGACGACTGAGCGCCGAGGGACATGCGACGGCGTAGTCATGTTGGCCAGCAACAGCCAAGGACCGGAATTCCAGTGGCTTGTCCGCCTTGTTTTCCATCATGTCTCATTGTGCCGGTACTATAATGACGAGAGAGAGGGGGGGGAAGAAGGGAGGGGAGACGCGACTTGAATCCCCCGCGTAATCCAGGACGGGGAGGCTCCATCATTTGCTGCTTGATTGACATGTTTCTTTTTCCTGTCTCCTCATTTCGGCTTTCGCCCCATTACGCGCAGCCGGATCAATCGGCCTGGGACTTGATGACTGTCTCAGAACTATTGATTACCTGGCATTCGTACACGGTCTTTCGGATGGCTCAAGTCCCCCCGGCCCCCCAGAGTCCACAAAGGCCTGGACGGCCGACAAGGACATACGATTCGATGTCCGAATCTACACAACGGCTTGGGGGAAGATCCATGCTGCGAACGCACAGACAGGGCATAGCACGCGCTTTAAATGCCTGCCAATGATTGATCCGGATCCTTGTTTGAGCGTCTCTGTACGAAGTAAGCCATGTCGTTTTGGCTTTTGGCCCTCGGCCGAATACAGTCGTCAGAGACCAGCCCGTCGAGTCGTGCTACTTGGACTTGTACCAAGGCTTCCACGGGTCACGGAAAGCGTTGGTCGAGCGACGGAGGTCTCCGGGTCTCGCAACGAAGAAGAAGTCTTCGGCAAAGTCCACCTTGAAGCCGCGTTTACTGTACCCCCTGACGACAGCCTCCTCCAGCATGTCCGTTTGTTGTTTATGATGAGCAGGCTTCACTGCTTGGATGCGACATAGACTAGTCGCCCAAGACGAGGCCATTGATGACACTGGGACAGATGTATTCCAGAACGTCGTTCATGTTGGTTAACCGCCTTATGAGGTTCCGCCTGGGGTTTCCACTGTGCCGTTGAATCTCAGGCCCGGCAGCCGCCATTTTCGAGATTCTGGTGCGATACAGCACCGGGATCCCGAAGATCTCGTCATCCGTCCGTCCAGTCTCTTGCTTGAGGATTTCGACGCTCTCCTGGACGTGCTGCTCTCTCCCGTTGTTGGCTTGAACATGCGGCTCCGACCTTCGTCGATCATCAAAAAGGGGTGCGGATGGTCAGTTCGCTTCTGGCAGCATTGAAGTTTGGCGTCTGCGAAACTCTTCGGGTGAGCTTCTTCCAAGACTCGGACGGCAGCTAATGGATCGTTGACCATCAGGCACCAGCGCCGGGAAGTGTTTGCTGGCAAAAGTTGTGGGTATTCGTCAATGTACTGTGCGTCTAGTCATGAAGAATCCATAACGAAAGGCTCGCGGACCCGTCGATCGCGGAAATAGCTAAGCATGCATGGCGAAACCTACCCGTTACCACCAATAATGATTCTCCCAGCCATTTTCATGCTCTGCTCAATGTCGGAGAGCATTCTCAGTCTCTCCACTATCAGTTTCGATTTTCCCACATCATCTCCAAAGAGTTCAATGCTGCTGGCTAAGCCTTGGTCTACCATTTGTAGATGGTGTGCTAGAACCGGTGCGGCACGCAAGTCGGAGCCTTGGGGTTCTTTCTTTCTTTCCGAACAACGTCCATCCGGATCTTCAATGTTATATAGAAACAGAGGACCGGCCGGTTCCAACCAGCTATCTCTGCCTGCAATATGAGTCAAGACCTCTATCAACCCAACTGTCACGGCTGGCATCTGCTCGAATGACCGCTGTGGCCGCTATCGCGAACGAATGTTGGCCCACGGCCGAAGTGGAAGTAGACAGACCGTTGACAAGCGGCATGCCGCCTTAAGCTTATCGAGAATAAAGGCAAATACGACGTGAGACTTCACAATCTGCCCTCTTTGAAAGTTAAATGTTTGTTAATGTCAACGCAGACCCCAGTGGAACCATGATGGAATATCACTGATGTCAAGCTGGTGGGAGTTGGCGGTCGTATCTCGATCTTATATACAACTCGATGGTTCGGAACCACGCTTCATGTGCTCGTGGCCAATATATGTCGTAGGATGCGTCCAGGTAACAAGAAGCATTTGAGGCGCTACTTGCTGACGCAGGACAGACGATCACGCGCCGAATTCCTGATATTGTACACTGAGTAATTGGTATCCTATCTAGTGAGATGAGCCTCAAATGCGAGAAGCAGATACGACTCGGGGAAATGCCGTTTGAAGTTTTGAGCTACGCTTTTTGTCGTGCGGCTGTCACGTATAGGATATGGGGTTTCGAAGGTATGTATATCACAGGCGTCCAATGAATAGAAGAGAGTTTGTTATTCATTATTCATCTTCACCCATTCGAGGCATATCCGGGGAATCTAGTATTGCCCGGGCAATGCCTCGCCGAACTTGCAGGCTCATCCCTTCAAAACTCAACGAGGTCAGTCGGACTTGGCAATCGAAAAGGGGGTGTCAAAACAGCGCCAATAACGGAAAACAACTCGCGTACCTGTATGCATGGTGCAACGGTATTTCCGAAATTTTAGCTACACTAAAAGAAAGTAAAGGTTAGGTTTAAAGAGGATTATTTATATTTATATAATATAAGGATAGCACCTTAATAAATAGGAGGCATTTATCCAAGGCTATAAAGATAGCTCTTCAATAAAAAGGCAAAAGATATGTAAAGGGTCCTTATTCTACTTATCTTACACCAGCTAGGCTAAGTCTATATAAACAAGGGGTAAAGGCCACGCAGAAGCACCACGCGCTCAGTCCGGCCTTTACCGGCCATCAACCCAGGCCTGCCATATCTTCTGGCGCACCTCCTCCTCCCTCTTGCCCGAGCCGAAGACGCCTAGCTTGCCGCCCTTGTCGACGAACCTGGCCAGCGCGCACGCCCGGGGCCGGCCGTCGCGGTGCAGGCCCGTGTCGTTGGCAAAGTTCCACCTGACGTGGCACTCGGCTTTGCAGCAGCACTCTACCCAGTTGCCAAAGGCCCTGAGAACACGTCGTCGGCCGGCCGAGCCGCCGGCTGGAACCGCTCCACGTGCAGCATGTAGAGCGTCGCCATGACGAGGCCCTTGGCCTGCCGCGAGTCGGCGATGCCGCTCCCCTCGTCGAGCAGCCGGCTCCACGTCCTCGAGATAGTCTCGGGCGTCAGCTTGTCCCAGGCCAGGAACTGCGCGGTGAAACTCGAGTCTTGGCGCAAACAAGAGTCAGTAAGACATCTTGGACAAACCCCCGCGATGCCATGACTTACAAGGGACCTCGCCTTGGTGGTCGCGGCAGCGGTCGTATATCCGTTCGTATATCATATAGGCATCCAGGGTCAGGTAGCGCCAGTACGACGTTGCGAGGGGCGCCATGTGCTCTGGATCACCAGTCAGGTTGTAGAAAAGTAAAGCCCCCTGAGCGAGCCCTGATGCGGATAATGTCAGTACGTACGCTATGTCTGGGGTGAAAGGGGCCTTCTCCCACCTTTAGCGAGTTCCGGTGACGAAATAGATGCGCGCGTCGGCCGCTCAGAACTCCGCATCTCGGGTCAGCGCCGCAAAGCCTCGCGAATCAGAGTAAGACGTCGAAGGAAGTGATGCTCATTTCATCGTACATGCAACGACCCTCCATCACATGCAGTCTGGGCTTGCTGCAACTCGTTGCATCGCCCTTCATGACTTCCACAGCCTCTAGCTCGTGAATGTGGCCGCCTGTGGGCCACTGTGCAATCATGTCAGCCCTCACGAGCGCGTCAGATCATCCGGCGAGGGGGCGAGCGGCACTTACTGTCTCTGGCAAGAGAAGAGCCGCCGGTAGCGAATCAGCTAGACTGATGTCGCTGACTCTCGCCCTCACCTCTGGTCCTCTCGGCCCATCCCTCGACAGTCGAGGGCTGACTTTCGCTTCCCGTCTAGCGCACTGGTCGCGCAGCAGCCTGACGACTGCCTCGTGCTTCTTCCCGGCAGCTATCAATAGCGGCGTGTGGCCATCATTGACCTTTGTCCATGGATCGGCACCCTTGTCCAGCAGCATCTTCACGATAGCTTCGTGTCCCATCTCTGCGGCCAGCGACAGCGGGGTTCGGCCCTTGTCGTCTTTGGACTCTATGTCGAGGGAGCCGTCCTCGAGCAGCAGCCTCCTGGCAGCGGCCTGACGGCCGTTCGCGCCGGCCCACGACAGCGGTGTCTGACTATGTATGATACCGAGACTGTCTGGCCTATCCGACAAGTCGACGTTGATTCTGCCTGTTTCAAGCATGCCCTGGAGCATCCCCTCGAGCCAGGTGTTCTTTTCGTAGTGTTCGGGCTCGTTCAGTTGTTGATCAATCGCTGATTCCCTGTTGGAGAGCCTGTCTTGCTGCTGCCTGAGTTTCTCCAGACTGGCCGTGAGCTGCTCCAGTTTCCGGTCCGCCTCCTGCGTTTTGAATAGCAGTACTCTTCTTTCGTCATGCAGCCTTCTAAACTCTGCATCCACCCTGGCCAGACGTTCTCTCTTCGGTTCTAAAACGGTCTTCGTTTTCCGGTACTGCCCGTCGGCTTTTTCGATGTCGGGAAGCAGGCTGTCTTGTTGACGCAATATCCTCACCAACTGCAGCCTCAACTCCAGCTGTTGCAGCTCCAAACTCGCATCGACAGTGGTTTCCGGAAGGCTACGTACGATGGCTAGCCGGACAATAAACCATGGCTGCTTCACCATCAATTCTTCGTTGACCGTGACCGATGTTTTGAGTCTGACGTAGCTGGCCCCCTGCTTTCCGAAAGCCTCCTTCCTCATAAAATCGAGATTATTGGATAGATGTTGTAAATCGAGAACCCTGCAGCATGTCATGACGTGGCATCGGGCGGAGGGCCGTGATCCCTGTGCCTCGAAGTCGAGCACCACGACGACGTCTTGAGACTGTTCATCCTTTGAACGGAATCGAGCCAACGATCGCTGTAAGATACTCCCGTCCGAAGCGTTGGGCGTCGCAATCATGGCGTTCTCTTCGTCCCAGAGAGAGCGGGGATGAACGTCGACGAGTGTAAGATCGTCATTGGTGTCTTCAATACAGAACCAGTAGCGCCGATCTATAGCCGTGACTTCCCGCTCAATACGGACGTAGACGGACGCGGGGGATAAGGGCGATTCGTTCTTAGGAAGTGGGATCGAGAAGCGTCCTTGCGGTCTAATGAACTCTTTGAAAGGTGCTCGAGAATCGGCGCCGCTAAGGGGGATCCCCACAGCATCTCCTGGGCGGTGCTTGGGGCCGCAGTTGAGCAGGCCGTAAGTATCGCCAGTCGAGGTCGTAAACAGAGGGAGGTGCGCCCGGAGATGGTCGACTGTTATGTTCCGGCGTTTTATCAAGCTCTCTCGAAACAATGGTTCTGCAATTGGCGAAATCTGCCGGAGAGATGGCGAAAATGCCCCCGGAAAGGACATCTGCTGCTTTGCTACATGTAGGCGATGAGGCCTCTGGGTTAAAGCCCCATGCAAGGATAGAATCATCTCTCGTCTTCTTCATGATTAACTCCTGAAGCCGATGAAAGGCCTTGTCACCCTCGCCGTAGGTCATGCTCATGTTCACCTGGAAGATCCCTAGCAGGCAATACGCAATCTCCTCCCTTCTTTTGGTGCTTCTGTTCGCGGCCCAGGACATACGCTGCGCCACGCTGGCCTGATTCAACTCGACGGAGCCCAATAGAAACAGACGGGGTATACCCGTGATCTTCCAGACGGGTTTCCACAAGGTCGATTTAGTTCCCAGGAAAGTCCAAGTTTGGTCGAAGAAGATCGGCAACGACATGGTTTTGTATAGTACCGCGCGGTAATCTAATTACCAGATTACGAGTGTGCCAGCCCGGGACCTATAACACCAGTCAATGCGAAATCATCTGATCAGATGCTTCCATTGATTTTCAGTCACTCATTTACATCGCCTATAACTACACATTACCTTCCCCCCTTTAAATGGTCCAATCAATAGTTCGTCCACGTCTAGATCCTCATGCTTGCTGGCTCATCCTCCCGTGTGATATGCGGGAACCAGAGTCGGCACGAATATCAGACCACACATGTCATACAAAGAAGTGACCATCCCAGTCCTGGGGTGTCGATGATGCTCCGACGACCGGAAACATTCAAGTAATGAGAAGACTTGTCGAAACAGGAGAAGCCACCAGCGTGGCTAAACAAGCCATCGCGGCGACTCGGCTCGATGGATGGATTTCTTGGGTGAGTCGAGGTGTGTAACGACCGATGACGACCGGAGAGTACTCATCGACGCTTTACTAGAGACTGCCGTACGTGAGAATGCTGCACAAGAGTGTGGTGGTGGAGGGCACAATACTCGAGAAATCATCCCCTATCCTGTCTCCCAGGAGCGAGTCGCTCAAGATCCAGGCCAGTCTCTTGCGCAGCGGCGTCTTGCTGTCGGTGTGAGCCTCGGGGCGACACTTTTCGACGATGCGACTGGCCTCGGCAAGCCCGCCCTTTACCTCGCTGATGACCCGGTTGACTTGCTCGAGGTCACCGGGCTTGGTCTGGAGAAGGGCGAGGTGTTGGTGGCGGAGGTCGATGAGGCGCTCGAGGTCTTGGTGGCAGACTCGGACGAGCTGGAGGCTGCGGCGGATCTCGTTGGGGACTCGGCCGCTGTCGACGGCGGCACTCATGAAGCCGCCATTTCACTGCCCGTGGTGATGGTTTGCATGAGCTTGAGGCCACCAGACAGTTGTGATTCGTGCTAGGTAGGGGAGAGGGTCTGGGGCGGCCAAGGATGACATATCTGGCAGTAGGAGACCGGCTAGGAACTTGCACTCGTTCGTGCTGTTGCACTGTGTCGGCATCTATGTACGGTGCAAACGGGTTGTTGCAACTTCCTTTAGCCTCAGTGCGTAGTGATGGATTATCCTTATGTTAATATGTATGTGTGGTTCCTTGGGCCCTGCTTATACAGGCATCCCTTGCCTAATTAACAGTTGTTGCCCAACACCTATACATGCTAGCGACTGGCAGTGATTCCCTTCGCGCGACATTAGGAAAGGAAGCTCGGGGGTGGCACCGAAGACGATCCCTTCCGAGCCGTCCCAAAGAGGCATTACTGGATGCCCATATATTTTTATTTTTATATTGAAAATACACTAGTGACCTAACTAGAGGTATCTATAACTTCGGCGTTAAACAAGAGGGAAAAACCAGAGTGCCTAGAGGAAAACCCTCCCCTCTTTCGTAGCTGGTCCGCCCATACGCAGGGTCGCTATTGCAATAGAGGCCCTAGGAATAATATGTATAAGTAATAACCGGGGAAAAGTGCACGCCATAATATATTTTTAGCTTTAGACGTATGATGTCTCTAATCTGTTTTCGCCCTTTTACCTAGGCTGAAGTGCGGCCGAAGACGAACATTCGTACAAGGCGATATATATGCGTCCCGTCCCACATCCCAGAACAGAGGAAAGCAGGCACCTTAGCAGAGATATATACGGTCCCTACTTATCGCACAGTCTATGTGTAGTTGTCAAGCGGTGACGAAAACACGAGCCGGGGTCAACGAGTGCGAGTTGGGATATAGGCTGCGAGTTATATGTTCCGAGCTCGGGGCCCCAATTTGCGTCCCTAGCTCCCTCCCAAGGCGACGAGGCCGCCATTTTTAAGAGCTAGACTTGGACGATCCATGAGCCGACTTGTCGAGATACTTCTTCGGATTCTCAAGCCGGTCGGCGGCGGCCTTCATGTCTGCATTGGACCACTTCTTGGGATTGGCCCCGTGTCCCGAGTTGGAATTGGCAGGCTGGCTTGAGGCGTCCTTCTTCCCCCCTCCAAAGGCTTTCTTGACGGCGTCAAATGGCCTCCCGGGGAGAGCGGCTCCTGTGCTGGGCCACAGAGCCAGGCAGATTGCCATGGTCAGGAAGAGGATGACGGAGAGGCTGCGCATTGTGTCCGGCTGTCTATCAGAGAAGTTGGTGGTGTAACAAACAATAGGGTGTGGAGAGAAAGATGTAGTTATTGCTAAGGTGCGAGAATAGTGTGGGTTGCTCCGTTGATCCAGTCGTGCAGGGTTGGTCGTCTTTATATGTGTAGAGACACAACTCAAGCAAGCACTTGCATGTATCCGAGATTATAGGAATTAACTTTCCGGGGATGTCGCGCAGCGCTAATGCCGACTTACCCATCGTATGACCGTACTATGCATTCTGGTTGTCGTTGGCAGGTCTTCTAGCGGCTACAACTTTAATGACGGCCCGGTCGCGAGCCAAGTCTCTCGGCTCCTATACAGCACCACGAGCCGCAACCTACTCACGGGGGAAAGGGGCGGCTCATGCCGGCAGCTGTTGGAAGTAGAGGACCCGCTTCCGCACAGCCCGCCGCGAAAGCCCGCCCCTGGCCCCGGTTGTCGTGCCGAGACCGCGCCGTGCCGGTGGCGATTCTAGGCTATAGGCCGGGATGAGTATGCATTGCCGAGCCGGCCCGGATAGTACGGCAAACCGGTTTCTTCTTCAGGACCTGCGAGAAATTTGGCCTTGGGATGGAACGCCGCCCGTGTGCTGCGGAAGCTACATCATAAGGTTTCAAAGTCCGGTTCAGACGGCAAGCAGATGCCGTTATCTCGTACCACCACTCCGCATATCCAGGAGAGAGTTTCCTCGGTCTTTGACTCTATTGTCCATTCGACACTTTTGCTATCACCACGTGCCCCTTTGCCATTTCTCACCCCACCCCGAGGCCTCTCGTGGGTCGGCTCTCCGCAGTTGGGTTGCAGAGTGCAGAAGGTTATCAATCCCCAGTTCCGGTGAGACCTCCTGACAAGGCCAATGAGATTTATGCAGCTAACAATATCAAACTCATTAAAAGGTTGGGGCGGAGGTGACTTGTAATTATGCGGCGAGAACATGATACTTTGCGGCATCAGAGAGCCGGATAGGAGCCATGTTGGACTCTCGCTTGTCCAGACCATCAGAAAAATCATACATGCCTCAACATGCAACTGTGGGAGTGCGTTCGGCTCTCGCCTGGCCAAGCAAATGATGTCATACACATGGCGCGAAGCCCAGCCGGCAAGCGAAGAAGGCCCTCGGAATAGTAGCTCCTTTTCCAATTGAGTGACCAAATAGCATGGCATTATATAACTCTTTCACCAAACAAAATAATCAAGACGTCGATGGAATGGGGGATATATGAACGAGGGCAGTGAATGTGTGTCGTCTGGATACAGATTCATGTGGGCTGGCCCTTTGCAACACAGCCCAATGCCAAGCTAGCTTGGTAATACAACGACCGGCACTCGCATCATGGCGGATGTGCAACTCGGAAGCCGAATCATTCGCGGCACTGGTAGGCTGGGAAACAGCCCGTGACGATGGGGCTGCGCCAACGTCGACCTGAGTCTGGGGCCTCCGCCCAAGTCATTTGCCAGACGGCGACTGAGTAGACTCGGCCGGCTTGCGCAACAGACGCCTAGCGTCGGCTTGCGGCCGTTCGGCATGCGCCCACCACTGCCAGAACATGGCCAGCACAAGCACAAACAAAGTTATGGGGATCGCAATCCACCACGTCAGCCAGAAGAGCGGCGTGACCATGGTGGTCCACGACTTGGAGTCGTCGTGCCAGCTCGTCGTCAGCAGCTGCGATCCTACCACGCTGGCTACCCCAGTCGTGGGGAGAAAGACCATGGTAATGGCCGCAATCATCTTCATGACGCTCGAGTCGCGCGTCACCACCATGGAGTCCTTTTGCGTCACGACGTTGAACGCCAGGGTGAGGGCGTTGTCGATTCGCCTCTGCAGGCTCGACAGGCGGAGCTGCGTGGAGCGGAAGAGGGAGCGCCGGTATCGCACGCAGTCACGCAGCTGCTGCTGTACACGGATGCGCGCGGCGGCAGAGCCTGGGTCGGATGGGTCTTGCGAGACGCCCTCGCTGTTGATCCCGACAGCATCCACTGCCATGATGCATGCTTCGAGCCCCTCGGAAAGATAGATGATGTGCTTTGCACAGTTGTGAAGCGCTGCAAAGGATATTTTGGAGCTGAGATTTGCATACTTTTTGGTGTGCGCCAGTTCAAGAATGGACTGTTTGCAGTGTCAGAGGCACGACCGACATTACAGGCTTTTCTTGGTGACGTACAGTCGGGTGACAAAAGTTCCGGTCAATCCGGCCCACCCACCACAACGCCGCATCAGAGCCCTCTTTTCAACAGCACATTACTTTGCCAAATGAACGTCAATTATGAAGCCGAAGATATAAATATATAGAGAATTGAGTGGAGATTATTGTTGTTTCGGCTAGTATTTGGTATACCAGCCACGTGCAGCCACAACAGCTTGAAGGCGCCGAGGCATTGATTCTATTAGGTGATTGAGGGTATCCTCTTCAAGGTCTTCCCACGCTCCAACCGCTGCAAAACAGAGCTTCTGCTTGAGCTATAGTTCTTTGGAAGGTCTGAGAGCTCAGGGTGAGTCTCCATAATGCTCTCTTTAAGCAGCTTCCATACGTTTTCTATGGGGTTTAGGTCAGGTGAATATGGCGGCCAGTCGACCAAATCTACCCTGTTTTCTTCGACCCAGCAGCCAAGCCACGCCTGCACAATGGCCGCCGTATGTGTTGAGGCGTTATCTTGGGCGAATGTATAGCCTGGCTCTGCAATTGTAGGTAGGCTTTCTTGTAAGGTCTCGAGCACACGGCGTGCAGTAACGCCACCACGGGCTGAGTCGGGGTCTCCTAGCATTGGTGTAAGAGAAGTCCGCCGATTAAAGGAGAAGCCGCCCCAAAACATCTGGGAATGTCGAGTAGGTTTTCCTCTTGCTTGTACGTTTTTCGGATTTAATCTATCCCCTTTTGCAATTAGGAGGATTTTTGAAGTAAGGGTATTAAGACGTACTGAATTGCAAAACCCACTTCTGTCTCTCGCCGTCCCCACGAGCGATTGACGTCTCATCAGAGAAAATCCATGTATGCCAAAAGGAAGCTGGCTTTTGATGGTATTGTAGTGCAAATTGTAGCCTCTTTGCAGCATGTTCTTCTGTTAATTTTGGACGTCGAAGAGCGCGTACATGTTGTATGCCATGGTGTCGAAGGTACCGTGTTAAAGTACGTGTAGAACACTCTAGAGAAGCCTCACGAAGAAGCTGAGCATTCGAGATGAAAGGGTCTTTCGCGATGCATCGAAAGATATATCTTTTATGGTGTCATTGAGCTTTGAGGGTCTCCCAGAGCGCGGCAAAGATTTCGCACTCGACTGTGTCCTGTAACGCCTGACGATTCCGTAGACAGCTCTAGGAGAAACGTCCTCTTTGACGCCGACGAGGGCAGCTGAGAAGCCGCAATCAAAGAGGGTCACAATCTTCGTCCTCTTATGAGGGCTCCAGTGTTTTTTGGGCGTAATTGGGCTCATTTTGAAGGCATGATGGTGATTTGAAGAGGAAGGGTTGGAATGTGGGAGACGCGCGTACGCGACGCGCTAGCGTCATTGACCGGAACTTTTGTCCCCCCACTGTACATGTTCCAGGGGCCCAAAGACGGTGTTCATGTTCCAGACCGTCTCGTCGACTTCAAAGTACAGGCCATCGAGCACGAGGTCGAAGAGGACATAGGGGTTGATGCCGGCGTCGGCCCACTTGCCGCTGTCGATGAAGAGCTCGATCCTCTGCCACACTCTCGGCTGCGCCCCAAAGCAAACAAGCACTGTGCCTCCATCGTCGTGCTGGCGGAGGAAGAAGCTGGACTTGAGCCAGCTGTAGTCAGCTTGAGGAAGCGTCGACGAGGCGTATCCGGCGCTGGCGGCGCGATTGTCCACCTCAGGCAGTTTGCCGTTTTGGTGCTTGAGGCTGATGTTCTTGAAGAGAAAGTGAAACCACGAACAGCAACCGTAGTTGTCGGTCTTGCGGCCAAAACTGTGACAGACGGACTGCAGGACGCTGGTCGTGAAGTCGCTAGGGACGTGTAGGAGACGAAAGAGCGCCAGGACGCTGGGCAGAGAACACGGTTCAGGGTCATGGAAGGGTGCAAAGCTGCTCGGTTCGACGCCGTCAGACAATTCGCCTGCATAGAGGACCTCGTCATGAGTCAATCTCACACTATGCGCAGCCGTGCCTTGCTCTGAAGACTTTGGGGATTCGACTCGACATGCCAGACGCCCTCAGGGTTTTCTTGAACCATGGTCAGCGAGTGGACGGTTGACGGCTGTCGAGTCCAACGTGCCGTCTGTGACGTCCCATACGTGTAGAAGCCACGGTGGAGGTAGTATTAAAGCATGGCCGTGGTGCGCAGCTCTCTTGAATGCTTCATAGTCATCGTCTATTGCCCACGACATGGTTGGCCGAGGAGCTGGTGAACCGGGACAGGTCGCTGCCTTGGCTTGGGTCTCTGGCCAGGTGAGAGGAGGCTTTGGGCAACAGACAGTCAGTCGTTAGCGGGAAAACGGAATGCTGACGGCGACTGGGGTCATGTTTCGCAGCATGCCCATGCCGTGCCTAGATGGTCAGCAATCAGCCTTTTTGGCTGGCTCCTCGGATTGTGGCCAAATAAGCCAGTCAGCTGGAAAGCAAGCTGTTGTGCGGCCTGTCCGTGAGGGTCCATGTCGGAAAGCAACCGGACGTTAACCCCGGGTGCAGGCATGCATCTAGCTTAGTCGAGACTTGTCTTCTCGACCATGGCGGATGGACGGCGGTGTCAACAAGTCGGGGAGATGCTGCAAGGGCTGGAGATGCTACGTATCCCGAGATGTGTGATAATTATCGATAACACTGCACACCAGGAGCGGGGCTCCCCCGGCTCCCCCGCCCCAGCTCCAGCTAGCCCCCAGCTCCAACACCTCGCCCACGAACCACCTCGCAGCAGCTGCCTCTTGCCAGCAGCACCATGGAGACAGCCATGAAGTCGTGGGGTGAGTTTCTCCGCGGGACACTGCCGATACGGGGCTAATGCTGCGTGCCTCGCACCAGAGCTCGACAACAACGTCCGCCTCATCGACCCCAAACGCGATGCCCTCTACAACTACGACCCGGCCGCCCAAAAGGCCGCCGCCGCCGCCCGCCCGTGGGCCAAGGACCCCAACTACTTCAAGAGCGTCCGCATCAGCGCCGTCGCCCTCATCAAGATGACCATGCACGCCCGCTCCGGCGGCGATCTCGAGGTCATGGGCCTGATGCAGGGCTACACCGACGACGACACTTTTGTCGTCACAGACGCCTTTCGCCTGCCCGTCGAGGGCACTGAGACGCGTGTCAATGCCCAGGACGACGCCAACGAGTACCTCGTCGAATACCTAGACCTGTGCCGGGCGCAGGGTAGGCAGGAAAACGTCGTCGGCTGGTACCACAGCCACCCGGGCTACGGCTGTTGGCTCAGCGGCATCGACGTCGACACCCAGGCCGTCCAGCAGCAGTTCCAGGACCCCTTCCTCGCCGTCGTCATCGACCCGGACCGCACCATCAGCGCAGGCAAGGTCGAAATTGGGGCCTTCCGCACCTACCCGAGCACCTACGAGCCCGATGCGTCCAAGGCGGCGGCGTCGTCGTCGGACGGCGGGCAGGCCGTGCCGCTGGCCAAGGCGGCCGAATTTGGGGCGCATGCGAGCCGATACTACAGCCTCGACGTGTCGCACTTCAAGAGCACCCTCGACTCGCACCTCCTCGAGCTGCTGTGGCACAAGTACTGGGTGCAGACGCTGAGCCAGAGCCCACTCCTGACGAACCGCGATTTTGGCAGCAAGCAGGTGCTGGACCTGAGCTCCAAGATCAAAGAGGCAACGGCGACCCTCTTTCGTAATCGCGCGCAGCAGAATCCGCTCCTCAACGCTCTCGGCAGCTGTGGCGGGGGGAAGGGAGCCGAAAGGGCCGTTGAGAAATTGGCTGGGGACAGCAATCTAATTGCCACCAAGGAGCGGTCGGGACTCATGGCCAGCGAGATCAAGGCCAAGCTGTTTAATGGCTTGGGCACTTGAGTACAACTCTTTAGACCGCTTTTGTTTCCTTTATAATGGCTTTGGCTGCGAGGTTTCATGGCATAGACTGGGCGTTGGGGGGATATTACACGACTTGAGCCGGGGCTGTCGTTGGTGCTTTCAAGGTTCAACTGTTTTGCATCACACTGGCTGATGAGAACAGTCAAAGATTGGGCATGCACGGGAGATAATGAAGTGGCCGCAGCTACCCTATACACAGAGTAGAAATGGGAGCAAACCCAACTCAATGGTGGTGGGTGGCCCGAGGGTTCCCGGCTGCTTCCACTCCTTGCCCAGGATTGCCAAGCGTCATGATATGCGTGCATCACGGCGTGCGAAGTAGCCGGAGTAGGTAATGTGTGGATTGCAGGCCGCCCTGAGGACTTGTTGGCAATTGATGTCGTTGCGTGACGGACCGGAGCAATTGGACCGGGGGCGATATGTACGATGATGCTGACGTGACGGTAGGAGAGGCAGACGCACTTTTACGAGACAACTTCGAGGCAAACGCAAGAGCTATTCGCGCGTGGCAGTGCCTGGACGAAAGGCTCATGTGTAGCGACAAGGGGGGATACGGCATACTGTAGATTTTTGGCTTCCATTGCGAATGATGGCAGGGGCTCACACTACAAGTAGTGTATTTCAAATGGCGAAATCTTGGGTGCAATGTCGATGACGTCGGCGCGAAGAAAAGAATTGGGTTATCGAAACCGGACATTCCAACGCCCCTAAGCTCCCTGCGTGTTGGCCGGCGGGAGTCCCGACTCCAAGGGCGCGGGCTGAGAGAGAAAGGTTCAGGCGAGAGGCCGTGCGCCGGGTCATGATGAGCTACGACGACGTCTGTGCCGAGCGAGCCTCTACAGTAGATGACATGCAGGCGGACATGACGTCTGCGTGTTTGACGATGCACGGCAGACGAAACGTGTGTGCAAGGCGGTGCTGTCAAAAGAGATGAGGAAATGCGTGCACAATGAGGGAAAGAGGGAAAAGAAAGGCGAGTGAAACACACCGGGTCGCTGATGGAAGTGTGCATAGCCACGGTGAGGGAGCTACAGTACAACAAAAGCATGGGCACGTTGCAGCATACCGAGCAAACTGGCGATGACCGCTGGCAAACACGTCATGGGCAGCCTTGATGGCCACCTCATCCGCGGGGTCCCACGCCCCCTCTGTACGTTAGTAGCCGGGGCAACGAACAGGGGAGAGCTCCAGCCACACCATCAATAGGCCCCGCAAGTCCGCACGGAGGTATGCATGTACAGTACACAATTGTGCACTCGAGAGGTGACAAAAAGGGAAAAGCCGTGTACGTCATAAACGTGGCCGATGATGACGGATGTGCGACGGACTGTACCCGAGAGCTGCAGGCGTACCCAAATGTAGACTGGAAACCTCGAGCCGAGTTGAGTCATGTGAACAGAGGAAGTGTCGGCGCCGAGTCTCTCAATACCTCCCGCCTGGACACAGCCCAATTCGTTTCTTTTTATCTTTCTCATGCGGTCATCGAGTACTCCGTACGGATACGGAGTACGAGGACCCGGTACCGGCACCTGTGTGCCTGTGCTGCTGAAAAAAGAAAAGCCGAAACGCATAAAGGTAATGAAGGAGAGGGCAGCTGAAAGAGAAGGAAGCTGATGAAACTCACATGTACCGAAGGCCAAGCCGCTAACCATCGGCCCCGCCTGGCATCCACGGGTCGGCAAAGTGTCTGGATTGGTTCGGTACTAAGTTAGTCTGCAGTCTGCTCATTTGTAATTGGCGGATGGAGGAGAATACTGGGAACCTACAGTCTTGTACTCCGTACCTTCAATGGGATGAGGACCGAGTTTGCTGCGCCGCTTATGATCTGTACTATACTGTTCTGTACATTATAGTAGAGGGGAGAGCTGGAGATTGCTGGCGAATGTCGATTGCCGACCAAGAAAAAAGTGGCCATGAATCATGCCGGCTTCTCTTCTCCAATTGGCCACCAATACTGTGCTGAATACTGTGCAGGGCCATGATGGCATGATGCCGTGATATCTACGGCGCCAGCGGCCGGCCAATGAATCGGAGACAGACGCACTCGGTACATGCATTAGAGGGCATTTGTACATGCTTGTGGCCAGACATGTGCTGCTAGCGAGACAATGGGGCCTTGTTCAATCAGCTTCTCCTCCTCGCTACCCCACGCAAACGGCCATGTCGTTGAGCCTGGACGCTGGTGCTGCACCGCGTGTGCGTGCTCAATCAAGCATGGCTGAGGTCTCCGATCATCACCGATCTCTCTCTCGTGCTTTGTGCAATCTTGTGCACGCTTCGTATCCACAGCGACAAGCGACTGTGGAAAGTACAGTACGTGGCTTTTCATTGTCTGTCCCGCCAAGCACTGTAATCTCCATCCCGGCCTTGTTTTTCGCTTCCTCTCTTCACCTCTTCTAGCAAGAAACTCGACTGTGTCCATCTCAGCAAAGTCAGTGCAGAGCATTATGAATCAGGCCCGTCAGATGCACTGCCACAGCTGGCCTGTACACGGTACAAGCCCGTAATGCTGCACATGCAAAGCTCCGTGCACCGATACGTACCCAGGGCCGATGACGTACTTGCCGGCCCTGCCCAACGTCACCACGCCAATCGCCCCTCCCTTGTCTCTGCGTAAATCAAGCTTCAGATGAGTCTCGGCCGCGCCTACCTCTGCCTTCCCGCTTGCAGCTAATTAGCGGCAGGCCCACCCACGCACACCGTACTGTACCGCACCTACCACACGGCACCCCACTCTTGCCTGCCTCCTCACCTCTGCGGGCTACGATACCGGCAGGTACTCCCGTGCCCGTACCTGCCCTGCCAGCTCACATTGGCTATAAACCTCCATTCCCTCGCGCCCGCGCCCGCTGTTTCTCCCTCCTACCCTTTCTCCTCTTTCCCCGTTCACATACATCTTTTCCTGGCGCTTACGTACGGAGCTCCCTGCCCCAAGATACCCCTCACGCGTCACTCTGTAATCAACCACCGACGAAACACTCGAGATACCCCGAGCCTGAGTTGAATTCGCCATTGCTCTTCCCGCTTCCCTTGTCAACTCCCTCTTATATCCTCGTCGCCCTGATCCTCGACGCTCGTCATTGATTCCGCTTCCTCAGGCCGTTCGAGTCACCATCATAGAACCTTTTCTGGCACGACAATTTGAATAACGAGCATTGATACCACGCAAACAATAGCCCATCATGGCCGCCAACGTCAACAAGCCTACCGACATCAAGCAGAAGGAGGCCGACATCAACAGGAAGCTCCAAATCTACGGCATCGTCAGCGCTTTCCAGCTGGGCAAGGTTCCTTCGGTACGTCTCGCAACCGCTCATCAGCAGCCCGAGTTTCGCTAACCAGTGTCGCAGAACGATCAAATCGATGTCGCACTCAACAGCTTCCTCGCTTCCAAGGCCCTCAGCAGTCCCCACAAGGACCTCTCTGATGATGGCAAGAGGCTCGTCCAGGATGCGCGAGACGTGGTGCAGCAGGCAAAGAATCTCTTGCTCTCCAAGAACGACGGCAATCTGATTCAAGACTTCGTCTGGCAAACGACGCAATTCGACGCCAAGAGTATTCAGAGTCCCAACGCCCCCGTCTCCAAGGACACCGCCAAGCGCGATGGGGACGAAGCTCTCCAGGGCCTGAGGACGCTCGGGACATTGCTCATTACTAATGGCCAGTTCCGTAAACTCCGTATGTGTCCTACATGTCCCCTCTGAGCAGACTGTTTTTGCAGAGAACTAACTAGCGAAGTAGTCAAGGACTCCACCACGCTTCTCCGAGACATGGCTGGAGACGCCGCCACCAACGCCGCCACCCGCGTTCGCCCTTCAGAAGACGAACTGGCCCAGATTGATCAGGCTGCCGCGGACAACACTTGGCATGATGCCCCCGACTTGTCCAAGGATAGCCTTCGCAAACAAGCCCAGAACATCTATGGCGGAAATGCAAAGAAGGACGCCCAGGACATCGCCACTTCCGGACGGGACGCGGCTGCCCCCCCGGGCACCTCTGACCCCAAGGCAGTCGACCGAAATGCTGGGCAGAACGCGGCGGTTGGCGCTGCCAAGCAGAAGATTGACCAGAATCTGGATCCCGAGACCAAGGAGAAGATCAAGCAGCGCAACGAGGAGTATCGTCGCAAGGCTCGCGAGTACTTAAACAAAAAGATGCCGCGGGAGCGCAAGGACCAAGTCATCTTCCGTCTGAAGAAAATGATTCTCGAGTGCCAGCAGCACCCAGACTACTCCGAGGCAATTCAGACCCTCCTCCGACTCGCCGAGTCGTACGGTGGTCACGGCCGCGCCCTCGGTCAGGGATCAGCTGGCTCGGCCAAGCAGGCTCGGACGGGCTTTGCCGCCGCCGAGTACGATCTGCGAACCCTCATTGAGCGCTTCGCCAACGGTACCTCGACATCGGAGCTTTGGTCCAACATCAACCAGATTTACAAAGATGCCGATAAGGATCAGGAACTCAAGGGCTGGTTCAAGAGCATGGATAACTACATCCGCCGCTGCCTGCTCGAGCAGGGCTACATCCTGGAAGAGTCCTCGAGCAAGGAATGGGACCGCCTCTACGAGCATGGTAGGTACTTGCTCCGCGACAAGTACCGCAACCATACCGACCAGGTCTTGGAGGAGCTCAAATTCATTGGCGACCAGTTCGACCAGGACGCTCACAACAAGGCATTTGCGCAGTCTGTGCAGAGGCTGTTCAATCACCTGGGCAGTGACGAGAGTGGCAAGTCAGTCTTCAAGCCTCACCTCATCAAGGATCTTGGTGAGGTAATCATCCCGGGCATCCTGCAGAATATCAACTACATTCCCATCCCTCGCATCGAGTATTCAGATCCCCAGTTCGATGCCATTATTGAAAACTTGGTCTTGGAAAGCGACAACTTCATGCCCAATGTGCTGGAAGTGGCGAGCGAGCACTACTTCCGCTGGGGCCGCAAAAAGATTGCCAACAAGAACCGCAACATGATCGATGTGAAGGTGGCCGGTATCCAGATGGACCTTCGCGATGTCAGCTTCCACGTGAAGCGTAAAACTGGATTCCCTTCACTCTCCGATACGGGCGTTGCCGACATCATGCTGCCCGGCGATGGTTTCTCGTTCCGCATGAAGGTGTCGACGGCGGATAAGTCTGACCGCCAGAACTTTTTCAAGGTGGACAAGGTCGACGTAGACTTTAAGGGCCTCAACATCAAGCTCAAGAAGTCGAGCCACAAGCTCTTGTTTAGCCTCGTTAAGCCGCTGATGCTCAAGGTGCTTCGCCCGCCTATCCAGAAGGCGGTGGAAAAGGCCATCAAGGACCAGTGCAATCAGCTCGACACCATCGTCTATCAGATCAAACAGGATGCGGATCGTGCTGCCAAGGAGGGACAGTCGGATGCTGAGAAGAAGGCCAACTTTTACCAGCGCTACTACCAGGCGGCGCAGAAGCGCTTCCTCGACGGCAAGAAGAAGACCAAGAGCGCCACCGACGACAAGAAGGTCAATGTGGCGATGACGACCGAGGACAGCATATTCCCCGATGTCAAGCTGCCGGGCGGCGTCAGCTCGAAGGCCAGTGAGTACAAGGAGCTGGCTCGCAAGGGCGAGAAGTGGGAGAGCCCTGTCTTCTCGATTGGCAGCGCCCAGAAGAGTACCGACGTGCCGGCGGCGCCGCGCATCGAGAAGAAGACGCGGCCTGCGGCGGGGGTGACGAATGGCAGCTCGGCGCCCCTGAATGGTAAGGCGCCGGTGACGGCCAACGCCAACGTGCACGGGCAGACGATGCTCGGCGCTCACTAGGGTCCCGCCCACCGACGAGTCTGAGCTGTTTGCGAGGGGTGATGCGAGGGAAGGTAGTGGTGGTGTACGGACGCTATACCCAGTGAATTGCACGTGAAAAGGGTTGAACGGCCTGTCATTGGCTGTGTGCTCGATTTCCTTTGTTTCATTTTCTTCTGTCGCCGTCAGTTTCCGGTTGTGATACCATGGGAAAGAGGAGAAACTCGGAGATGCCGCGTGTCGCGGTGGTAATGAAGGGACGCCTGGAGAAGGATGGAATATTAGTCTCCCAATACAAAACAACGATGTCTCCTTTGCCGTCAACCTTAAACGCGAAAGATGAGGTTGCTTGACTCGGCGGAGGGTCTGGCGGAGTAACGCTTTCGGCCGTGAGCAATAAGTGTCTGTGCGGCAGTCGAAAATCTGGAGGCTCGTCAACCACTCGCAAAGGAGCAAGGGATGAAACGGGGTCCAGGAATAGAGGCGACAAATTTGTCCCGAGACTTTTAGCGCACGACGAGTGCCCTTGCAGAGTTCCGGGAAGACGCCGTTGCCGCAGTGAGGATGAGTTGGAGCTCCAAGGCGGCCAATGATGATGAGTCAAGTGACGTCTTGTCTACTTTGGAAATGCTATATTTCGACGACAGCCAACCTCCCGCCTGTACCTCTCTCTTCTCGACGAACAAAGCCCTGTGTCTATTGTGCACTGGATTGCTTGTTGGAGACTGATTTTTAACATCTTGACTCAATTGATTGTCTTTTGTTACTATTTCCCCCCCTCTTGGAAGGCAGTCGTAGAGCTCGAGAACTCCCCCCCAAGAGCACTCATCATGATCATGGCATGCCCCCAAGAGGCTGCTCTGGCGCCGGAGCAGCGCAGGGCTCTCTTTGACATCCTGACGCACTACCAGACATACGCCGACATTGTGGCGTGCAAGGAGCCTGGCGTGGTGGCGCGCTACGGATATCCCTTCGATCGCTCGTCGCCATCTTCCTCGCCGCCGAGCGCAACCTCGTCGCCCACGACAATCGTGTCGTCCTCTGTGGCGCCGCAGCTAGCCCGGCTGAGCATTCGAGGCAACAGCGGCGATGACGACGACGACGACGACTTCCAAGACGCAGACGACGGGACGCAGTCGTCGGCGCCGCTGCTGCAGACGCTGCTGACGCAGTTTGTGCTGCCGCTGCCGGGTGTCAAGGACATGCCGCCCGAGTTCTGGAGCGTGCGCGTGCACGGCATGATTATGCGACTAGCCCAGGCCGAGCTTTCCGAGAGCTACGACAAGGGCGCGCTGGGGACCCGCAAGACGTTGGCGACGGGGTCCAGCGCCTTGCTGGAGATGGTGGCGCGCGGGACGTTTGGGGGCGTGCCGCGCAAGCCGAGAAAATTTGTCTTCCATGGAGAGTACGACTGTAGCCGGGCTGAGGATTTGGAGCGGGCGTGGGAGGATCTGGTGCAGGGGCTTGTGTATGGCGACATGGTGGATGACTTTTTCGACCACATGGACCGGACCGAGGATCTCGAGAGTCACTCGCCAGGGCTCAAGGCCGTGGCCGAATATGTCCTCATTCAGTGAGTCTCTCTCTTTGCCCCCGACGCTCTGGTGAAAGAGGATGAAGCTGACAGACGTCCACAGGCTCGCGGCGGGCGCGCACCACGTCTTCATCCGCTCGCCCGAGGGTCCGTACTTGCTCAAGCTGGTGGAAAACGTGCACGGGCTGATCCCCTACAAGCTCATCAAGCAGACGCTGCGGGTGGGCAACGCGGCGACCATGATGAGCGGCATGATGCGCATCCTGCTGGCCAAGCTGAGCGTGACGAGCGTCACCAACTGGATAGGCATCACGTCGAGCGCCGACGACGGCATGAACCTGCTGCAGCGCATCATATCGCTCGTGCTGTCGTGGGACGCCGGCGACTTCCGCAAGAGTGCCGACAAGGTGGAAAGGGCAAAAGAGAGGGAACGGCCGAGCGACGAGGTGCTCCGGGCGCTTCGCGACCACGTGGCGCGCGCGGAGCGAGCTGAGCACGAGGCCGTCAGGGCGGCGAGCGCGAAGAAGTCGCAGTCCATCATCGTCGCCATCCTCGAGGCCTCGTCGGTGGACGCAGCGTCGTTGACGGAGACGCAGCATGCGCAGTGCCTCGAGTACTACTCTGCGCTGCTCTCCGTCCGCGACCGCGACAGCATCACGGCCGCGCTGTGCCGCGAGCCGCCCGACCTGCTCACGCAAGCCGTCAAGGACGCCGTGGCGGCCTACGACCCCATGATCCGCAGCGTGCACGCGCGCGTCGATCTCAAGGAGCACCTCGACGCGCTGCAGGGCTTCATCGACGAACTCATCAAGGCCAGCAAGCCCAGCAGGGGGCTCGACGGCAAGGAGAAACTGCCGACCGTCGACGACTACGTGAAGCTGCTGCGCAAGAATAGGGGGCTGCTCTATCGCTGGGTGCACGCCATTGCAACAAAGGCGCCCGACGTGTGGTCGTGGTTCCGCGACTGGGCGAATGCGTCCGTTGTCAAGTTTCGCCAGGCCGAGACGCCGACTGGGGTGAGCGCAATGGAAGCCCGACTGGACCACCTGTTTGTCTCGCTCGACCCGCGTGCCCAGCGTCCGGTGCTCGACGCCCTCGACGCGCACGCCGCATACCTGTCCGCCCTGTCCGACCTATCCCTCTCGCGCCTCCAAGCCCTCGTCGACAGCGGCAAGCCCGACAAGGCCAATCGCAGCGTCGACGCCGCGGCCCCGGGCATGTACCTCTCGCGCTGGCAGGCCCTCCTCGACGAGACGCTCATCACGCCCGCGGCGCCAAGCGGCGCGGTGCGGCACGGCAGCGACGTCAAGCACATCACCACCATGGGCAAGACGGGCGCCTCGTGGAAGCGCGGCTTGGCAGCAGCGACACCGACACAGGGGCAGCAGCCGCAGCAGCAGCAGGGTCCGGTGGCGCCGGACGTGGGCGTGGTGGTGCGCGCGCTGGCGGCTGGGTTTGGCGGCGTGATTAGAGAGATGGCGGCCGAGGTGCAGGCGAGGGACGCTGCGGCGACGGGGAGGTAGGTTTCGGGTGTCCTATCTTTCTGATGCTTCCGGGAAGAGGGATGTAGAGGCTGACATGTATTTGCACATGGCGTTGGTCACATACGATGGGGGTTTGTATGCGTCAGCATATACTGGGACCATGGCGGTCTGATAGACTATAAGGCCCTTTGTCTCTCGCTCTTTTCGTCCATCTTGATATAGCCCTCCTCCATCCGCAGTGTAGCAACAGCGATCTTTCTACCACGTTGAACCTCCCCTCCATCGAGCCACTCTGACTCAACTCAGCCCAACGTGAACCGCATCATCAGCCTCGCTCTCACGTTCCTGCCGAGCTTTCACAACAAAAACCCGCGTCTTCCCTCCCAGTCTCTCACAGCAACGCAACAACATCAGCGCCCCTCATCTCCCTCACCACAATCGTCAGCCACAAAACGTCCACGTCTCCCATTGCCCGCCGCGTGCCACCGCCTCCTTGACCGCTCGCGCATCGCCGGCGCCATCGACGCGGGGGGCTCTGTCTCTGGCGTCGGGGGCAGCGGCTTGGCGACCCCCCCGGCGATGGGGCGTGGGGTATGGTGCTGGGCTCGCGGGTGGCGGCGGGCGCGGGTTAGGGGAGGGCTGGTGTTGGAGGAGGGGGAGCTTGCGCGCAGCGGGGGGGGTCGTGGCATGCTAGGCCACGGTGTTGAGGGCTTGGCCGTTGCTGTCCTTCTCATCCTTTATGAGGGTGGTGGAGGGAGCGGGAGCGGGAGCGGATGTGTCGGGGTCGGGGTCGTTGGTCAAGTCAATGACCTGGCCGTTCGTTTCCACGTCGTCCTCGCCATTTTCGTCTTCGTAGTCTTCGTCGTCCACGTCCATCTCATCCTCCCAATCAAGGCCATCGCCACTCCTCGGCATGGACGGGTCTCCCGGCGACTTGGCTTTGCGACCCTTACCCTGCGCGTATACAGCCGGCACCAGGCGCTGGCCCCATATAAGCCGCATCTCGATCCCCGTGAGACGGGACAGGCGGGACACAAACAGGCGACACGTGACGCAGCTCTTGTGGGAGAAGACGATATCAAACGCAGGGCGCGAGCCGTCACTCCAGCGTGCGCGGCGGAGCGCCATCAGCCGGCGGCGCGTGACGATGGCATGGCCGTCGTCCTCGCCCGTTGGTCTTCCCCCCTCATCGGTGGTAGTGGTGGCGGCGGTTGCAGGAAGCGAAAAGAGTCGCAACAGGACGTGGACGGCGTGAGCCGCCAGCTTCACCTCGACGTGCGAGGCCTGGAAAATGCCCCGCTGCGCGTCCTGCCAGGGACCTCCCATGCTGTCATACGGCCTGTCGAGACGGAGCCCCAGTAGTCGGGCGAGCTTTATAACCCGTCGGGTCCATAGGCCATTTGCAAGGACGTGTCTGCCTGCCCCCGCGTCGATGTCGTCTCCCCACCTACCGGCGCCGTGGCCGCTCTCCGCCCATGTCAGGACGGTGTGTCGGCCGCGACTCAGACTCGGCTTCTGCCCGCTGCCGCTCCCACTCCCGCTCGTTGGGGCCGGGTTGGGAGAAGACGATGGAGACGAAACCAAGGCGATAAAGCCTGTCGTCTTACGGTCCAATTTGTTAGCCACCTCGCGTGGGGTAAGATGGGCTTGGGCATGCGAATGTCTGAAGGTGTAGCCGATATTGGTGCCTAGAACCCGAACCTCAAGGGTGGCTTTGTCTCCATCGATTATATGTAGGAAATAGAGTGACTTCGAGGAGTCGGACAGCTTGAATCTACTGTCGAAACCATCGCCGACGTCCGAGTCGCCGCCCGCCACGGCTGCCGAGGTGTGCGTGTCGTCACCGCTCATGTTCTGGTTCTGCTTTCGAATCCCTTTTCGCTTTTTCTTAAATCGAAACTAATTATCACAGCGATCTCAGTCAGCCGGTCAGACAGAAAATGTCATCACGCCCCTCAGACGTTCAGACTTCACCGAAGCTGGATCTGCGGGTGCACCACCTCAACGCAAGCTCTCACTTACCAGGAACACCGGTCTCGCACAAAGCAGAATGTCCAGGAGAATCTTCCCAAGTCACTCCGGGTGATGAGTAGAAAAGGTTGTTCTCTAATGCAGGCCTTGAATCTCGTAAAAACCGGCGCCGTGTTCAACCTTGTCGGGGTTTCTTGCTGTGGCACTCCGGCACCCTCGGCTTTGGTGTGATGAGTCGAGCGCAGGAAGGATTGTTTCTTGTGCTAAGATTTGTGTTTTTCGAGCTTTGTCCGAAACAAAGACTTGGAGGAAGTCACAGGCGTTTGAATGCTCGCTCCCCTACCCGTGACGCTTCACCAGCTGACAGGTCGATCCAAGTGCAACTCAAACGATAACGAAGAAAGGAAAATCATAAGACCAGAACAAGGGCGGAGGAAGGAAGGGTCTCAGGCATGGAGGACTTCCGACGAGATAGCGATGGCTTGAAGCTGCGGAGGCGTGGTGCAGATTTAAATCTCAAATGACCTTGCTCCGTCGATCGCGTTTTGAAGAAAGGTTACCGCGGCGTAGTGTGTAAGGGGAGAAGTTGAGCTCAGCGAGCATAGGCGGATTGGCAGGCACCGCTTCTCCGTGGCCAGCTGCAGGCACTTGAAGCTGTAGCCGAGAAAAGAGGCAGCAAAGGGTACGCTGAAGAGAGTCCAAGGGTGGTGCTCGCCTTTGCTAAAGGGAAGTGGGTGAGGCAGGCCGAATATAAATAAGAAGAAGCTTGCTTTCTGCGCTGGGAAAGTTGCGTTGGCCAAGCAAGTTTCCCCGAGGCCTCGAAACAGAATCTCCGTCTCGAGTGAGTAGACGTTTCGTGGTGGGAAAAGGCTCGACAAGCAACCCCGAACACACGAAGTTGCTTTCTTGTGCACCGAGTAGTCAAAGTTATACCTTTAGGTGTAAGCTTTAGGCGTGATGAACTGCCAACAGCTGGCAATGGGTGCTGACCGCACAGGCACGTCTGACGATGCAGTCAACTCGGCCCAGCACGAGACTTCTCGGCATTGGAGCTGCCTTGGCCTTGCTCAGCTTCCCCAAGATGCTCTGTCCCCACGTCACAAGAGCCCATCACCAGCCACATCATCAAGCAACTCGGTCGATTTGCTGGGACGGGTCCGATTTGAGCGAGCCAGGCGACAAACTCAAGAGGGAATCTCATTCATACATTTCCCAAGAAAAATGAATTCTAAGACCGTACGCCCAGTTCCATGCCGTCAACCGTCCAAGGTTGCCTCACGCCCATTTTTGCCCGGATGCAATTTACTCGTCATCGTCATCCTCCTCCTCGGCCTCGGCCGTCGTCTGGGCAATGCGGTCCAGATCACGCTGGCCGGCCTGGGTGACGCGGCGGCCGCCCTTCTCCTCGTCATGCTCCAGGACGCCAATCTTCTCGAGGGCCTGCATGATCTTGCGGTCGACGGAGCCCGAGGCGTCGACGTGCTTGGACGGGCGGCTGCCGCGGTTCTTGGCAGAGCCGTGGACCTTGCGGAGGCGGCCGACGCCGACCGTCTTGCGCAGGTAGACGTGGCGGGCGACCGAGGCGGCGCGGACGTAGAACCAGTCAATGTCCTGGGGGGGCAGCTCCTTGGCAGGACCCGTCTTGACGGTGTCGACCCAGCCTGCGTTGCGTCAGTCACGACAGCTAGCCTGCACAAGGGGAGAGGGGAAAACATACCAGGGATGGGCAGCTTGCCCTGACGCTTCAAGAACGCAGCATAAGAGGTGATGAAAGCATGCGCCTGGCAGAGACGAGACCCATTAGCAAATTCCGTCTTCAGAAGTCTTGCGACCCCCTCGCGCCTGCTCCTCGATCTCGTATTGTTGTGCCAATCGCCGGCTCTTTGCCCTGCTGCGAGCGTCGGACTACCGGGGCGGAAGCCGAGGCTCGTGCCGCACGGGCAGTATTCGCCCGCATCGTGGTTTGAGGCCGAGAGATTCGTCGAAAGCATCGGAGGGTGGTGGAAGTCCCACGGGCGGCGGGGGCTTCACATTTTGACTCGGGGAGGACCTACATCAACGTCGCGAACGCCAACCATTTTTGCGGTGTTGAGCAGGACTGGGCGGGAGAGGATGGACGGTGTGTGGATGGTGGCGGTCGTGAGGGGACTCGTGAAGAAAAAAAGGTCGTCTCAATCGGCCGGACCCGCTCGTCGTGAGGGCTCGTTTGCGCTGGCGAGGTGGTAGGGTTTCGTGCCCTAGATGCAGGTGATGAAATATGATGACTAATCACGGGTGCATTAAACTTTACAGTGCGTGATCTGAGCCGGATGAACACACTGTACGGTTGAGAATGCGGGGCCAGTGAACCCCAGACTCCAGGACTTGGCCCTTGACAGTGAGAGTCAGCATCATGGACGAGACAACCTCGGGCAATGGAGGGTCTATTCCACGGACGTTGCTTCAATGCGCCCCGGAACGGAGGCTGTCGCAACGCACAAAGCTCGGATCATTCAGTCTTGGAGCCGGCAGAACACACCCGTTGCGACATAAGCTCACAACGAACATCGAGAGAGCTCGCTCATAGCAAGGCGACGACCTAGGTATCAAAATTCATCGATGATTTCTTGGTCCAAAGATCGCTGCAGATTCTGGAAAAGCACAGTACATACACATGCGCAAAGCGCTTTCATGTCCAAGGCCCACGCATAACAAGTAAACGTCCTAGACAAACTCCAGGGACGACATCATGTCCCAACCGAAACGAACCCCGTCACGCTAGACTTGTCCTTCACCATGAACCAGCAGCTTGCCCGGCTCCTAGGCCCACTTGGCGAGCAGGGCCATGATGGCGACGCCCAGGGCCACGCACGCAAACGCCGACAGCTGGATCCGCAACGGCGCCCTCCGCATGCGCGGGTTGAGCATGAACTCGTGGGCCAGCAGCTCCACCAAGCCCGTGTACATGAGGATGCCCGCGCTGATGGAATCGAAGATGCCGTTGATGAGCTTCTGGGTCGCCGCGTTGCTGGGCTTGGCGCCCATGCCGGCCGCGATGCCGATGGGAGTCGAGAGGCCAAACGCCAGCGCCAGCACGTAGGGCACCCAGCCCCGGCCTTGGGGCCACGGCGCGAGGGCCAGTCGCGATCCGAGGCCCAGCCCCTCGAACATTTGGTGAAAGATGAGGACGATGAAGAGGACGACGAGCTCGTTCTCAGCCGTGGTGCCCAGGGTGAGGCCGATAAAGACGCTGTGGAAGACGACGCCGAACTCGAGGATGAATATGGCCGTGAGCTGGCCGGCCATGTTGCTCCGGCCGTCGCCCTTGTTGTGGTCGTTGCCGCGGGCGACGTTGCCCTCTCCTGTTGGGGGATAACTGACATCTTCTGCCGAGCCTTGTATGGATGCGCCGCGTCCGCTCTCGACGTCGTCGGAAAAGGGGCTGGACGGCGATCGGGCCTTTTTCTTGGCCATCATCTCGGTGTTGGGGTCTGTTTCCGAGTCCGAGGCCGTGCCGTGGCCGTCTTCGCCATCGCCGTCGTCGCCGGACCTCGAGGCGAGAAGCTCAACCAGGAACATGACCATGATGGTCATGAGTGGGATGCAAAGGGCCCAAGGGTAGCTGCCCATGCTGGGCCACTTTTGCGCGACGCATTTGTCGCCCAGCTGTTCGACGGCCGGGGCCAAGAGGTGCATCCAGGCCGTGGCGATGATGACTCCAGTGCCGACAAACTTGCAGATGAAAAAGGTTGACTTGGGGACGTGCATCCTGGACTGTCGCGAGAGCATGATGGGGAGCAGGGCGCCGATGAGAGAGGCCACGAGGATGATGAAGATGGACGCGATGCGGAGGCCCTGTCTGCCAAGCTGGAGGGCCTCGACCTGGCACTGGTCCGCTTCCTGGTCCACGGCGGGCAGGTCGGTGCCTTGCCTGGGCAGTAGGAAATGGTGGCCGACTGCATCGGGCGGGATGTGAGTCGGAAACATTGCAGCAGTGTCGGGGCGAAGTGGCGGTTGAAGAGTGGTGAAGCGCGGAGACTCGCAACGCCGCGGATCAAGAGGCGGTGCTCGACAAGTTGGACGACGGCGGCCGTGTTCCTCGATGACGGCCGACGTAGGCAAGGATGAGAGCCAACGGGGAAAGAAGGCCGACGGTGATATCGCGGGAGTGGCTAGGAAGGCAGGAAGCACCTGGCGGACAGGCGAGGCCAGGGCAGCGGAAGTATGGGTGGTGAAGCAGCAGTGAGTGGGGTTCTACTGATGCTGCCGTACTTATATAGCGATGCTGATGCGTGTAAGGGCAGGGGGCGTGAATGGGAAAGTTGGGATGGCGCGCGGGTGCCTGGAGCGTCGACTTGGACGCTGCGGTGGCGTCGGAGGAGAGCGGATAGAGGCAGACTGGCTGGCACTAGCGCTCGTTTGGCTTCGTCGAGGCTGGCAGCGCGCAACCCTGATGGAGGCAGAAGGGGCGGGTGACGGAGCGGCGGCGGATGAGGCTCGAGGCAAGCCAAGGGTGCAGCACAGAAGTCGTCGGGGCTTGTTGTCGCGGCTTGTTGTCGCGGCTTGTCGCCTCCCTTTGCCCGGTGTAAGACACCCTGTCTACCCCTCCGGGTGCGTGTGGGCGGTGAGGCTCGGGGCCGGGAACAGCGGCACGGCACAAGGGGTCGAAGTCCGGGGACGATTGGACAGCAGGAGAGAGGCGGGCGCGAGAGGGGAAAAAGGAGCCATGTCGGAAGCCTGGAAGGCAATGGCGGATGGGTTGGTGGGAGGTTTCGACGACGGCTTGGCGAGGCGAGAACCTTGATGGCCCTTGGCCAAGGTGCTGACGCACTAGGGGCAGCCAACGTTTGCGGTCCGTGAAGCCCTTGCCTGCATAAGTAGCGTAAGTTAGTGTGTATATTGCTTCATGGCTTGGTCGACCATAGCTGGGCTTTCATATTGATACCGACCATGACACCAATTCTTATTTATTGGCAGTTCTCTTTTTTTGGTGATGCAGCAATCCACGGCATGGCTCGAGCGGCCCGTGCTGCCGCCCCATCCAGGAAAAGTCAGAGGAAACAGGGGTCCTGCACCTGTCGCTCACATGCCTATCCGTACTCCGTACACAGTGGAAAATCCCCTGGTCATCCCGAGTAATTGCTTGCGTGCGGTTCGGCAAGGGGGCCGAGGAGGCGGGGGCCCGACGCCCGGCAGCGGTGCGAGCGTAATCTCTCTCACAATCACAATAATACATACGGTGGGCAGCCTTTTCCGAGAGGCCACAGAGACAGGTGTAGATGAAGCGAAAACAAAGGAAATCGCAGAAGAAAATATACTTGTCGCATAGGGCTGTAGATGCGAATCATGGCCAAACTCTCCCCCAGCGTGGCTCAATGCGCCGTGGCATTAGGCACCCTTCTCCGCCACAGGCTGTATATACGGCGATGGAAGCTCGATAGCATCTACCGACTCATCGGACTGCTTTCCCCCATTAATATGGTGAGGTACAGTCAGTCATGCTTGTACATGGCATCCAGGAGACGATTCAACACATAGATGAGTGGCATGCAAGCAAATCTGCCGTCGTGTTTTTCACGCAAGAGCCTGGGGTCGCTTTTCAGACCTCTCGTCGATGGTTGGTTGGTGCCTGGGACAGCGCCAAGTACCGCCCGTCAAGGCTTGGGTCAATTGAGGCCATCACCAACCGCCAGGCCCTTGTCTCAGAGCACTGATGCAGACATTGCCCGACTACCTCCAAGTGCACTCCAATAGCTAATGAAGGAGAGGTCAACCGACGACGACGAGATGCGCTACCACTACAAGCACAACTCATTACACTCAAGAGTCATTGACAAACAAGATTACTCTTTTGCACTACTCATCCAATGCCACGACTTGGCCAAGCCACTTTACTGGAGTGTGCTTCTTCCAAGACTCAAATTGCCCGGGCCTGAACTCTCTCATGCTGACCTTGTGTATATAAAGTGGACTTGGGTCGGTTCTGCTCTCTTGAATGATTCGCAACAACGAACCTGGCACCTCCTGCACGCTCACAGCAAAAGGCAACTTCATCATCAGCACAAGCGGCTCGTTTACCGGGGACTGACCAACACTTGGTAGGCTTGTGCTTCGGCATCAACGCAATGTTTCGAAAGTTGTTCAAACGCCAAGCATCGCGAGTGCAGCCCACAGACCAAGACGCATCCCGGCTGGGTTCATCTCCACCACCGTACGTACGACTCTAACTAAGGCAAATCCCATACCCAGGACTCAAAATTGGCCTCACGCCCCAAGCCGCACAATTGTCCTGTCGATTCGACCAATGACCGACAAGCCGATCTCGCAAACATGCTCCTGCCAGATGCCAAGCCCCATCTGGCGGACGATTCGGAATGGGAAGCCAGACTAGAAATCTGGACTGACATTCCGCGTCTAAAGAACGAGGGCTTCCGCTGCACCGAGGCAAATGTGCAAGCACGATGCACGATGTGGATATTTCCTGCGCGAGAAGAGGCCCTCCCACCCACTGCCGCGGCAGATGGATGGAGGTGCTGGTGGTAGCTGACAGTATTTAACTATTGGCTCGGCGCTCCTATATGCTCTTTCAACACCGTTTACGATGATAAGCGGTTGGAGAACTGGTGGCAGACCAATAGGACCCAGGGGCAAGGTAAGTAACATCATTCGCAAACAAGTTTGAACATTGCGTATCGCTCGTACTTGTACACCTCGTCATTATTACAGTAAAGAACACTTCTTCTTAAGCTTAAACTGAAGAGATAAAGATCAATGGAAATATAATTTTCACTCCCCGCTCTTCACTCTCTGGTTTACCATGTCTTTCGTCCTCTAGAGATAACAACAATAGGTAACATCATCTCAAACCTAATCCCCTATAATAATGGTATTGGAGCAACCGGCCTTCGCACCGGCGAGGCCGATGGCCGACGCCGACGCCCCATTTCTTTTTCGGTACAGCCGGGCCCACTACGGCCGGCGTAATATTGGGCGCAGATCGCTGCGAGACGGGACGAGCAGCTCGGCAGGATTTTCCATGTAGAGCAGGGGTTTCCATGTAGAGAGTCCTCTTTGACCCGACCTTGACTGCTTGTCGGCCCGCGACCATCTGCCCAACCAGGGCGCGGAGGTGGCGTAGCGGGATTAGGGTGCTTCAGATCCCGAGTGTGGAGCCTGCAGGCCGCCCAGAGACTCGGGTTGCCAGGCCAGCCTATAACGAGAAGGGAGAAACAGAGAGGGCGGAAACATCCTGTTCAACTTGAATCATCCGACCGTTGTTGCTGCAGTCTAGTTCCGATGCAATTCGGTGCCGGCCTGCCCGCAACACACGGTAAGCCTCATGGCATCATAGCACATCATCGTCAGGGCGTCGACGTTCACGCCTGGCTCGCAAACGACACTGCCTCTTCTACAATGCTCCGCCAGTGGTCCAGCAGCCCATGCTCCGCCTTGAAGATTATGCGAGGCCAGCGGCGGTTTCGAAGCTGAGCTCCGAATGCCTCCGGCAGCGGGGCTGCTCATGCCGTTAGACTGTGGTGGGTGGGAACATGCCGAAGGCCATGATATAGTAGTTCATAAATGACTCGGTCGAGATGTACATGCCGCTCCGTGGCATCGGCCGCTAGCTGAGGCATTGATCGGCGCAGTGGTTTTCTGCCTTGTGCCTTGACTTCCTAGTTTGCTTTGGTCTATGCCCATACGCCTCGCCGGGTGGTCTCGCACTGCCCACTTGCGGTGCTGCGGCCGTCGGCTAACAAGCAGCATGCAAATGGACAATGTCCTGATCCGGGTGGTTTGAATTTATAACCCCCCTTCACCACCCATCAACGCCAGCGGTCGAGAAGCCAGAGACACCTCGTAGTCACTCATTATGCTGCCCAAGACTGTCGCTCCTTTACTGGCCCTTGGGTCAGCGTCGCTCGTTTTTGCCCAGAATCCTGTTGCCGTTACTGGCGTCTTGGTGAAGAACGGGGCTGCTCCTATTCGTCGAAACATCAATGACCTCGCTAAAGAGGCCGGTCCGCAGTGGTAAGCCTACTAATAATACTTGCCCACTGTTACGGCTTTCACTCCCTCTAACTACGACTGTGTCTACTCAGGGACCTCTATATCCAGTCGCTCTCGGCCATGTATGAGGTAAAATCAACAGACGCCTTGTCTTTTTTCCAGGTCGCCGGTATGGTTCCCTACTTCATTCGCATCGTCGGTTCCTTACCAAGAACAGGTATCCACGGGTGGCCGTTCGTCGAGTGGAATGGTACCGGCGCCGGGCAGAATAACAACGACTGGAACGGCTACTGTCCCCACGGCGTAAGCAGACATTATCATTAGACGCTACCACACGAGCCGTCACTTACCCGAGTTCCCAGGAGCCCCTATTTCTCTCATGGCACCGACCATACGTGGCTCTTTTTGAAGTGGGCTTCCCCGGCGACATTATAAGGGAGAGAGAGAGAAGGCAGCTGACATGGGACCCAGCAAATCCTGGTCGAGCATGCGAGGCAAATTGCCGCCGCGTATCCCAAAGATCGCCTCAGCGAGTACACGCAAGCGGCCGAGACGCTCAGGGCTCCGTTCTGGGACTGGGCATCGGCGAGAGCGGTTCCCGAGGCCACAGTTCCGGAGAGCGTCACCATCAACACTGCAGAGGGCCAAAAACAAGTCGAGAACCCTTTAGCCACGTACAAGTATCCACAGGAGGCTATTCAAGGCCAGTACGGGGACATGAATCGTATACGGCCCGAGGCCGGCCAGCAGCCGCAAACGTACCGATGCCCTTCTCCACAGTCGTATCCCAAGTCGGCCAACGAAGCTCTGAGTCTGACCAAGAACCAGGTCAGGACCAACGACTTGAGGGCCATGGTAGTAAGTCTCCGGTAACCGACTCCCCTACAGGCCCAGGCTAAGCATTCAATAGTATGACGTCTTCACCAACTCTCAAACTTTTTCCCAGTTTGCCTCGACGAGGAACAGGGGTTTCAGCCTTGAGCAGATCCATAACAGCATCCACGTCGAGGCAGCCTGCAGGTCAGACTTTCTTAACCAGTTTGTGGCTGGCTTCGATGTCCTCTTGTGAGTCCCCTGGCACTCCCGCAATGCACCGCGAACTTGGGCTGAGTCGAACTGCCAGCATGCTGCACCACGCCAATGTGGACCGCCTGTGGGCCTACTGGCAGGCCATTCACCCCGAAGAGGCCAACCTATCTGGCTCATACTCTGGAGGCGCACGCTTCACGACGTCCAGGGGAACCAGCATCAGCCTCAACTCGCCCCTCGAGCCGTTCCACGGTCAAGATGGAGAGCCCCACACCTCAAAGACTGTGGCATCGATTCGAGACTTTGGATACTCGTATGAAGGTTTGGAGGAGGGCAAATCTGACCAAGAGACGAGGAACGAGGCCGTGAGGTTGATCAACCGACTCTACTCAGGCAACAGTCCCCCTGAGCCTCCCTCGTCCAGTGGCAACCCGGACCGTCCCGGTCCTGGAAATGGCCCCGACAGCACTCGTCCCGGCAACAATACTGGCCCAAAGAATGGTACCCGTCCGGGTATTTCTCCTTCTGGGAGCCCCAACGATCCCCGTCCAAGCAACAACCCCAACAATCCCCGTCCTGGAAATAGCCCTAACGGCCCTCGTCCTGGCGACAATTCTCCCCCGGGAGCCAACAATACCCTTCCGGGCACTCGTCCTTCTGGTAACCCCAAGAGTCCCCGTCCAAGCAATAGCCCTACCGGCCCGGGCTTCCCCACCTCGAGCAATAATCCCAATAGCTCGGGCTTCCCTAATTCAGGGAGTAATCCCAACGGCCCAGGCTTCCCTAATTCAGAGGATAATCCCAACGGCCCAGGCTTCCCCCCGTCGGACAACGGCCTCAACGGCTCCGGTGACAACGGGGGCATCGACAGCAACCAGCGCCAATACGCCTATGTCCAGCTCGAAGTCGAGCAGGTAGAGCGGCCATGCTTTGTCAACATCTACGTTGGCGACAATCACGCTGGCAGTATGGTTGTCATGTCCCAGCCAGCAAGGGGCATTTTCAACGGTGCTGTTTTCCTCAACGGTGCCATTGACAAATTCGGTAGCCAGGCGAGCAATAGCACTTCGCGTGAGTTCAATAACAATATCTACATTGACATAACAAAGGTAGGCATAACCCTTGCATTGGTGGGCAATATGGGGGTGAATAGAGGACTAATAATCCTTCCTTTTAGCCCGATGGCCAGAGAATAGATCTCAGCTCCGTGGCCAGCTTGAAAGTCGAAGTGAGCCAGATCACCGTCACGCCTCCCACCAGCGATCACCAGTTCCCCGCAGTCGAAATCAAAGACCCAGAGCCGGTCAATGGCGGGCGCGAACTGATGCCACCACCTTCGTCAGCCCAAACCGAGTACGGGCCGAGGATCGACGGCGGCGGCAACAGTGAAGGAAGCGGAAGCGGAACAGGCGGCGGCGGCAAGAAGCCCGAGAACGAACGTAGCTCTGCAGTGGCCACGTTTGTTTCCCACTTATTCTTTGCGTCGGCCCCATTGGCAGTCTCGGGCCTTCTTGCAGTGCTTTAATCACGACGAGCATGTCTTGGGATCATAACGTTGAGGGCGGGGCGAACAGCGGGTTTCCGATTTGCGCGACTCGTTCGGCGCTGACTCTCATTGCTGCGCGAGGCCCTTGTCAAGCGCGTTAACCACCTTGGCCGCGCCCTCTCACCGACTCCTGCAATCAAGGCCGTCTTTCAAGGCCGTCTTTCGAGTCAGTCGTCTGCTACGGTCAAGACCCGCGTTTAGTGCCGACAACTGAGTCGGGATCTGAAAGACCTCTACAAAGGCGCTGCAAAGCAGACACTGTCCTTTTGCGGATGAATGCCTGCATCATACTAATCCGCGATGCACCTTGTGGGACACGGGATGGTGGCTCGGGAGATGAGGTTGCAGAGCCTCTGAGGCATAGTCTTATCCAGCTCGTGTCACGTACCGAAAAACAGATTTTTCGAGTCTAAGGTTGCCCACTAAGGGTTGCCCACTTACTCTGTCAGACAAAGCAACTGACCCCTAAATGACTCTCTTAGCGGCAAGGCGCATAAAGAGCATGGCTTCTGTAATTATAAGGACATATTAATGGCCTAAAAGAGATATCTATAAAGACTATTCCTACAAACACTGTCTTAACGTCACTCTAGATAGAATAGCAGATGCATCGCTGTTTTCACCCTTGTGTGGCCCCTTCTTGTTCCACTGTGCCCTCAAGCCCCCTATTTCCTCTGCTTGAGACTGAATTAGTCGTTTAGTTATCCCGACCAGAGGAGTCCAGCGTGCCACTTTGGCAATGGCTAAAGGCATGGGCTGGGCAACATGTTCACTGGCCATCACCTCCGTTTTTGTCTATAACCAGGCTGACTCAACTCGTGTTTGGGCATTCTCTTTGCTCATATAGCTTTGGTGAACCCTGCTGAGGACAGAGCGTCAACCAGAATGGCCCCGATTGTTGAGCTCACGCCTCCAATGCAACACTTTCCTGCATGCTTGCCTACAGTAGATGGCTGGCCGGCATCGTCGATAACTGTCTTCTCGGTCATGTAAATCATGGGTGCGAGCTCTCCAAGAATCCCGGTGATGTCGAGACCAGTCTCCTTGCGAACCTCACGGGAGAGCGTGTTCAGGTCGTCCGGTCAACCTTGCCGCTGGGGAGCTTAAACACGTTTGGGTAGTAAACTTCGTGGACTGCTATCTTGAAAAGGAGTATCTGTCTCTTCTGCTCGTCATTGTCCATCCTGAAAGCCGCCGCTCCGACTATCACCTTGTCGCAGGGGCGTCCTGAGGCGGACAGCTGAAGCTTCAAAATTCATGGGCTGACGAGTCCAGGACTGTCTCCTGGGCCGACTTATCGACCGGCAGGTCTCGGACACAATCTGGCATCGTCATGGCGTTCTATAACCGACTCCGATGCTTGGACAATATTTAGTTAGTAGAAGAGATCCTCTCGCTCGTTATGTGTTTACTTCGAGCTCGTCATAGGGCTGCAGCGAATGCCGCATCATGGCGATACGGAGATGCCCGCAGCAGCTATAACAAGGCCTACAGTCTTTCAGGCGTCTTTCTAGTCAGTGTCTGTTCGAGTGCCTCTCCACTACGAGCCAGCCGACTCCTCGTCCGTAGACAACGAAAGAGTTGCTCTGGCCCCCTAAAATACTTCTGCTACGAGCAAGAAAAGGGAACATGATTGAAATTTGCCTTGGTTCAATCAGTGAACAGGAGCATCGGACAGTCGGTCCAGATCCCGAACAGCGACATTTCACGACGAGAATTGAATTTCTAGCCCTAGCGTGCGAAACGGCTTGTCCAGCTTCCTCAGGTCAATCCCGCTGCCCAAGCTGAAGAGCAGCGACTTGACCCGCCCCTCCCACAGCACCCCGATGCGCAAGTTCTGGTCCAGCCGCGCCTTGAGCACGCCTGCGTACTCGCTCTTCTCGTCGGCAGCCCCGCCGTCCTGCCGCATCGCCCACGCCGCCGACGCGCCTTCTGCCTTGCCGGCTGCTGATGCCGTCGACGGTGACGAAGCATCATGCTCGTCGTCGAGCCTCCAGTCGAGCTTGGCCTGCCAGCTCCGCTCCCCGGGCCGCCGCCGTCTCCGCCGCCGCTTCCGCCGCTCTTCCTCGGTCCCGCCCTCCTCCTCCTCCATGGCCGCGACAGGCCGGCGAAACGGCTTCCTCCACAGCTCCATCCCCACGGCCCACGCGCTCTCGTAGCTAAAGACGTTAAACTCCATGCGCGTGGCCAGGCTGCAGTGCCGCCCGGCGACGACGGCGTAGCTGGCGGAAATATTGCCCATGAGCGGGTTGAGCGTCAGCGTCGCCGACAGGGGCGTTCCCTTGTGCTCCGGCAACGTGGCGAAGCGCCCGCCGAGACTGATGCCGCCCGACTTGTTTAGCGTGCCGTAGTAAATCTCGGCTCCCGTGCTGAACCGTCCGTAGATGCGCTCCCGGTCGTCTGTCTTACCGGTTGCGCATGTATTGTTGGTAGTAGCAGCAGCCGCAGCAGCAGCATTCGACGCTTCATCGACGTCGCCGCCAAAGTTGTAGATGCCGCGCAGGCCCAGAAGACCTCCGTCCGAAGAGGCGAGCCCCTCAAACGAGTACTTTGCGGTGTCATACTGCGCGAGCCCGAGGAGGGTGCCGCCGTCGCGCAAGTGCTGGGCCGACACGGCGCTGAGCTGGAGCTGCAGGGCGGGCGACACCCTCCGCACAGCCAGCGCCTCGAGCTGCGACAGGGGCAGATACAGCCTGCCGCATAGCAACGAAGAGGACGAGGACGCTCCGCGCAGGTTGGTGCCGTCGTTACAGCGCGGGGGCAGCGGCGACAGCGGGCGGTAGGAGCGCAGGAGGCGCGGCAGCGAGACCGTGTCGGACCGGGGCGTCAGGTGGACGTCGCGCAGGGCGACTGACGAGTAGAGGTACGAGATGGAGCCGTCGACGACGCCGACGGAGCCGAGCTGGTACGACGTGGCAAAGTTGGGGCTCGCGAGGGAGGAGAGCGTCAGCCGCAGGCCGCGAGGCGTCTGGAAGTTGAGGAGGGCTGGAGAGAGCAGCAGATCAGCAATCGACTCGAGATGCGAGACCCGGGGGGGGGGGGCCCACCGTCCGGGATGGCGTTGAGCGCGGCGTACGAGTTGTCGCGGCTCCAGCCCGTGGCCTCGTAAAAGGTGGCGTGGACATGGTCCATGAACTCGCGCATCTCAGCGTTCCGTCTTGGTGGCCGAGGATTTGGACGACAGGATGTCGGCGCTGGCTCTCACTGGGTGCTGCCCTCACGCCATGGCGGCAAAGCCTCGGCTGAGGTTCTCCGCCCAGCTATCCATGACTACCCTGGAGCTTAACCCTAAGCACACCAGCCCTTGAGCTCTCGACGACGCTCTCTTTCACGCCCAGGCAACGACAATATAGCAATAGATATGCGTATATATATATATGATATGTCACGTCTTCAACTGTATCTCCATGTATGGAGGACCTCTAGTTATCCACAGGCTGCACAATCGCCCCGGCCCGCCCCTGGTCCAGCCCATCCAGCGCAGCCATGTCGTCGCCATCAAGGTCAAAGCCAAAAACGTCGGCATTCGCCCTGATGCGCTCCGGCGTGTCGCTCTTTGGCAGCGGCACCCAGCCCTTTTGCAGGCAGTACCGCACCAGGACCCTGCTTGGCGTGACGCCGTGCTTGTCGGCGATGCGCACCAGCGTCGCGTCCTCGGCCTGGGTATTGCGCACCAGCGGGCAGTATGCCTCGACGACGATGCCGTGGTCCCTGCAATACTGGACAATCTCGCGCTGCTGCATCCAGGGGTGGAGCTGTAGAGGTCAGATGTCTGTTTCTCGAATCCTTGTAAATCAAAGGGCGCACCTCGATCTGGTTGACGTGCGGCGGCCACACTGTCGCATACTGCTTCAGTTCCTCAATGTGCTTGATGCCAAAGTTGCTTACGCCAATGCTCTTCGTCTTGCCCTGCTCATACAGCCTCTCGAGCGCCAGCCACATCTCCCGCCTCTGCGCCTCGCCGGCATTGGGGCTATGAATCAGGAACTGGTCCACGTAGCCATCCCCATCGAGCTTGCAGACACTCTCGACGCACTTGTCGTAGCTCCGGTCCACCGAGCCCGCGGCCTCGAGGATCTTGGTGGCGAGAAACACGTCGGCGCGCGGAATCTTGGATTGCTTGACGGCCAGCCCGACCTGGGCCTCGTTTGCGTAAAGCTGCGCCGTGTCGATGCGCCGGTAGCCGCTCTCGAGCGCTGTCTGGCACGACTTGACGCACACATCTGGCGGGGACTTGTAGACGCCGAAGCCCAGCTGCGGCGCCCGCACCGAGTTTCTCAGCGTCACGGTGTCGGTCATGGCCCCTTGCGCCATTTTCACGGCTGTGTTGAGTCAAGTTGTGGTGGTTCGAGACGATAGTTGGCTGCTGGTGTCAAACTGTCAATGCTGATGTCATTGGAGGCGCACAGATGCCCTCCGCAGACCTAAATCTCCACATCGCGAAGAAGCAGGCCAGGGCCTGGGCTCAATCCATTTTGGGGTGCGTGAACCAATAATCACGTGCGAGAAATAATAGCTGGGCAATCTTCTCACATCACGTTTGGACCTTGTCGTTTGTGAGATTTGAAAACGCCTATCAATATAATTTCCTCGTACCGAAGCGCTCTATCGATGCCTCTGAATCACGCAATACATGTAAAGACAAGGCAGGAACAAGTCGGAAGAATCGAGCATGTCGGCATGGCGAGTTGGAGGACATGCACACCGCAAGCCGGTGCCTGGCGAGAAGAGAAACAGAAGTGCAGCTTCGCAAATACAGTACATGGCTAGCACTCGCCGAGTCTCCCAGTTTTCAAGGTACAGGACGAAGGCTTTGGAGACATGGATTTCTCCGTGTACGTGGAGAAGGCTCTCGATGGAACAGACGGCTGTGCCCGTCTGGACCTGGAGCTCGGAAGCAGGGCTTGGCGAGCCGTGTGCGGCAGACACGGTTGGGCTTATTTGGGGCGCAAGCAATAGCACCAGTGGTAAATGTCAGGGTCGGTAGCCTTGCGCTTGGGCGTGTGAAGCTTGGCCATGACCTCGACATCAAAGGGCAGACGCTCGACGTTGAAGCCCGACGAGGAGTAGCTGAGAGAGAGCCAGACTGCCCCTGGAGCCATATAGGCCTTGATACCGTGAGCCATGCGCAGAAAAGGGGACTCACCGCCGCACGAGACGGCGTCGAAGGTGCTCTTGTCGATGACGAGGTCGAACATGCTGTGGGCGCCCAGGTTGCGGCCGGGGCTGAGCTGGGTGGCGTCGGCGAGGACGTATCGCATCTTGACGTCGCCGTCAAATGCCGCATCCTCGAGCTGGCGGCCGCGCTGGGCGGCGAGCGGCTCGTAGTCGAGGTTGGTGACATCGAGGAAGCCCCGGCGGCGCAGATGATTGTGCAGGTAGCTGGTGCCGGAGCCGAGGTGGAGGATCCGGGTGGAGGACCCGGGTGGAGGACGGGTCGAGCCGATCCAGGTGCAGCTGCAGGAGGGACATGAAGGCGCGCGAGGACAGCAGCCACTCAAAGGACGTTTCGGATGTGAATCGCTCGTGCCAGTAGCTCCGTTTGTCAAAGTCGGCCGCCATTCTTTGTTTCGTCCCTTTCTCTTTGCTGCTGGGAACAGTCAACCATTCCCCGCCGTCAACGTGAGACAGCCAACATCTATTAGCAGGTGGACTGCAAGCACTTCAGGGTCAAGACCAGAAGCGTTGGCGGACCGGGCCGCGACGCGGCGAGGCAGACACGGGTGCCGCTGCACAGTGGAAGTGTCGGCGCGTGTCGTAGTGCAGAATTGGCGGTTGTCGATGATTCCTTTTTCCTTCTGTGCTGTCTCGGACGTTGGAAAGCAGGCCTATTGCGTAAGCGATGATGGAATTGGTCCGGAGATACCTCGGTTAGCCGCCAAGAATAACAACGGCCAAGTGGGTCCAAACAGACACGAAACCCCCACCAGGGGCACTCTAGGCCTAAAAAAAGATGCCAGAGCTCAGCCACAGCACTCACGAGTCGCTGGAACAGCCCACCCGCTCTCGTTCACCCACCAACCTCGATGTTTCGACTCTCGTACCTCCGATGCAATTGCACACAAACTCTCTCTCCCTTTTCTTGGCTTCTCTTCCTCCTCCTCCCCCTTGCTCCCTCCCTATCCTTCCATATCTTGTCAACAACTTGACACTCGCGACGTCTAAACGGACGGACCGATCCCATCGTCAACATTCTTTGATTCTCGGCCGGAGCAGGCAACACAACATCCCGACCCTTTCGCGACCATGGCGCCGCCTCTCTCGTCCTTCGACGTCTTCGGTCGCGACAGCGGCTTGTTTCATGAGCTCGATGCCCGCGACCTCCAAAACCCGACGCGCACGCAGCAGATAACCCTGGGCGTCATCGGCGCATACGTCGTCGCCATCGCCATTCTGTGGAACGTGCCCTACGTCAAGATGATACTCTGGCCCTTCAAGGTGAGTGCCAACTTGGCCCGTCACGCTGCTTAATCTCGTCGCCAACGTCTTTCCGTCTCTTCTAGATGCTCGTCATCGCCTTTCACGAGTTCGGCCACGCCATCACCGCCGTCCTGACGGGCGGCCGCGTCAAGTCAATCAGCCTCGACCCCAACGAGGGCGGCGTCACCCACATGCAGGGCGGAATCAGCGCCATCACCCTCCCGGCCGGCTATCTGGGCTCTTCCATCATCGGCGCCCTGCTCACCTTTTGCGGCTTCAACATCGTCGCCTCCAAGATTGCCAGCATCGTCCTCGGCGTCTGCTTCCTCCTCACCCTCTGGTGGGGGAAGCGCGACTGGCTTACCGTCCTCACCGTTCTTTCCGCTGTCGGTCTCCTCATCGGCTGCTGGTTCATCGTCCATGCCGAGGCCCTCCGCTTCGTTGTCTTGTTCATAGGGGTCATGTCGTCCCTCTACAGCGTGTGGGACATCTGCGACGACCTGATTCTGCGCAAAGTCAACTCGTCCGACGCCAGCGTCTTTGCCAAACGCTACGGAGGCTCCTCGCAGTGCTGGGGGGTGATTTGGTCCATTATCTCGGTCCTTGTCATGGCCGTCGGCATTGTCGCCGGCCTGGCCGCCTTTTCGCAGTCTTTCGAGCAGCAGCAGGAGGACTCGAAGCACTTTATCCCGACGTAGGGAGAATATTTGCTTCATGCATACAACAGACGTGATCGTGGCGTCGACTGGAGCAGGGCTGTGTTTGGTAATGACTGGCGGCCGGCGGTTAAGAGATATATGGACCGAAGGTGAAGTCCTGAACGACCTGATTGACGAATGATACCCACCATGTTTCGGAAACGGTAATCCTACCATGTAGAGTAGCTTTAGCCACGTGCAAAGAATTTCAGCGAGGTTCTCACGGTGTACCCTAAATGGAATTGCTCGACTTACTTTCTCAGTGCTCGACTACCTAGTCCGGCTGTGACCACATTTCTCTTTTTGCTGGATTTTCTCAAGAATGAAGTGGATGGATGGTTTAGTTGGCCGGTTGGCCTTCGTTAATGTCGGCTTCAAAGTCACCACGTCATAAATTGCCTCGAGCGTACATAACTAAACACGCCATCACGATAGATTCACGCCATGCTGGCCGCAGCTACAACCATATCTTCGGAGGCAGAGTCGAGCCAACCTGGAGCGGAAGAGGCAGAAGACATTCCCGCTTGTCCATTATCGTTGATTCTGTCCCTCGGGATTTCCTTCCCGGGCGGCATCGCAAGCCGTAATGTGGGACCGTTACATCCGGCACCGAGGAGTCGGCGCACGGGATACACCGAAAGGGATTAGTGTCGCCTGCGGGCCGCGAATTGCGGGGTACATTAGTGCGGTTGGTCGGCATATCAAGACCTGCGAGGAAATCGTCGAGCATCATCAACATGTACAATCAATTGCTCAGTATACGCGCAGTACTATGTACAGACTGAACGCCAGTCATCTGGCACTTATCCACATATACCCTTTCGTTGCGCACCGCAGATCGCGCTTGCTTATAATCTCATGAGAGATCGCCCGCCACCTCGGCGAGGAAGCCGCTGTTGGCATAAAGCTGCGACATATCCCACATCATGATACCGCCGAAGCTGGTATAATTCCTCGAGTACGCAACAACTGCCCTGAGGCTCTCGCCACTGATATATCCACTTCCGGCGGCGCCGGAGCTGGCCGGAATTCCCAGAAGCACCTTGACGTTGGGGTTCTTGCTCCTCTTGGCCCACGAGTCCCAGACATCGAAGTTGAAGGCGTTCTGAGGGCCGCCGGGCTTGAAGTTGCTCCCAGAACACCAGTTGTTGTAAAACTGCGTGAAAACTGCGTCAAACGCAACACTGTCGAGAGTCGAGCCAAGAGTGGCATCCGGGAAGACGCATTGCGGCGCCGCTGTCAGGTAGAACTTTTTGCCGCCGGCGTTGTCCATGAGACTGCGGAGCCGGGCCCCAAAGGCGGGGAGGTTGCCCGTGTATGCCTCCATGTCAAAGTCAAAGCCGTTGACGACTGCGGAGCCAAAGGGCCGGTCGACGTTGCTGCCGGATTGGATGGGGCCGAACATGGCCCACAACATCTCGGCCGCCTTCTCCGCCTCGCTCGTCGAGGGCCAGCCGCCTTGGGTGTAAGTGGCACCGCCGAGGGAAAGGACAATAGTCTTGCCGTACGTGTTCTGGCAGGTCTTGATGTCGTTTCTGAGTTGACGAGCGTCTCCGTCAGCCGGCCGAAAGGGGGGGGGCGGGCCAAAGCAGGGGCTTTCACGTACTCTACCTCGGGGCACTTGAGAAGGTTTGGGTTGTCGGGGAAGGTACCGCATCTGTCACCGACATTGGCAAAGTTGACAATGGGCGGAGTGATGCCGTTCATAAAGGCAATCGGGATGATCTATCAAGCATGGTTGCTGACATCAGTCTCCGGGACACTTGCTCCAATCATGGGCGTGTCAACTTACGTTGATGTTGGAGTCTGTGAACAGGAAAACGACAAAGGCAGAAACTGCTTAGCCATGGACACTTATGGACAACCGCCGGGGGCGATACTCACCATTGCAGTACCCGGCAAGGTTGCGCTGCACGTATGGGCCACTGCCCTGACCATAGGAATTTTGGCCTAGAGAGACACACGAAGACAAAGAAAACTTAGCCTCTGCTCTTTTTCTCACTCATTGGAGAAACAAGCGCGGGACCATCTCACCCCAGTAGACGGCAATGTTCTTGGACGACCCCGGGTCGAAGCCGGCCAGGGCCGAAGGGACGAGCGAGAGCCAGCTCGCGACAGAGGCAAAGGAGCGGACTGAGAGTGGCATTTTGAGAAAGGAGAGAACAAGGCAAGTCAGGAACAAGGGTGAAGGTGAGGCACGCTGGCGACTACAGGCAGCATATCGAGTTGTCTCTCGGCGCTGGACATGTCGTCTATATATGTCCCGGACGCTGCATGCCACGACAAACTCAATGACTACTTACACGGCCGTTCTACCTCGGTTGTCAAGTGCCCGTCCATATGGAACAAGCATCCGCATGTCACGTTGGACCCTACCACATCCCTTTCTTGCCAGCATGTCCGGCCTTCCCCCTGGAGTGTAGGCAACAGGCAAAGCAAGACGTTGCGACGTGCTGTCATGAACAAGGCCGTTCGGAGAAGACCGACCAGGTCCCAGAGGGAGGCCCGACAACATGCGCGCGGGGCAGCGTGATGACCGTGGGGGATATGGGGGGCTCGGTGGCTTGAACGATGGTCCAAAAGGGGCGTATGTCACAAGAAGTCGGGGCCGGGGCGGGGGAGGAGATAGCAAATGTCAGTCTGCAAGACTGGTCGAATGGATGCTCGACTGGACAGGGTCGAGCGAGCGGCTGCCATGAACGGACAAAATTGGGGGGCCGCACGGGGGTGTCGGGTGAATCGTGATAGCGTGGCCGGAGTTTCAAAACCCCGAGAGGAAGACGACTGGGACCGAGACATCACGAGTCCGGGTTCACGGAAGCCATCCAGATGCTCATGATGAAACCTCGCGTCCTCTTTCGTCAACGGAGTAAAGGATGCAGGTCATTACAGACAGGCTAGGGAAAAGCTGGCAGCTTCCGCATTCGATAGCCCCATGGTGTCGGTGGCCAGGATCATTTTGGTACGATACTGTTTGCCATGGGGGTATATGCCTCCAGAGCGAGTGCTCTCGTGACCTCATGGACTCGGCAAGGATGCGGCTCTGATTGTACAAGTCGGCGGGTCCAAGAAAGCACTGCAAATTGTCGCAACCGGGATCTGTACTGCAACGTGAAGGACAAGGGGAAAACTGCAAGGGGCGACGCATGGTAGGGGCCCGGTCTCGTGGCATAGCATGGGGGCCAAGACGCACCCCCGCGGATCCAGACTACGCAGATATGAGGCAGGTACAGTTTGCGCTGGAGAGAGCCACCCGCCGCGTCAGCTTCCTCGTTCAGCCTTAGCCCTGGAAATGTGATGAGGGCGGCGCCGCCGACGCTCCTTGGGCTGCCGCATGATGGGACAGGCTGCCAAGATGCGTGACTGGACGGACTGCAGGCAGGACTTGTTGACGGTGGCGCACGTGCTTGAACGGAGGCTTGCCACAGCTGACAGGTAGAACACGTCTCTCCCACATGTAGGGCATGACGGTCAGAGACTAATTACCTGCCTGCCTCGAGACAAGGTCTCAGCCAGCCAGTCTTCTGCCCCCCGAAGCCATCGCGGCTTAGACCGGCGAGATATCGCCACGAAAAAGGGTCATGAAGACAGCTGAGCGTAGATGGTAAATCGCGGTCGGCAAGAGCATTTTCGGATTATAAAGGTTGAGGCATAGACACAAAGGAAATGGACGGCACGTCTTTGTCAAGTCGTCGACGTGAGGGATGGCGCTGGCAAGGGGCGGGACTTGGCCTGGTCACCTGACAACCCATCTGCCCGCATCACGTTTCTTCCCTCAACATCCGGAACAGCCTCAATGTTCACACGCTGGACCTGGACCTGGCCATCCTCTGCTCCGGCAAGCAGCTTGTGTCTTCCCTCGCAAGCACGCTCCAGTCTACTATGCGACATCGTCCGCACCGCCGTCTTGTCCTTCCTCAGTCTCAGCTCCTGGGCTTCCAGAACACCTGCTGCCGTCTTTGCTCCCCGTCTCATTGGGTGTAGAGAGAAGCTACGCAAAAGGGAGAGCGGAAGCCCAGACCGGGGGCATGAGACGTGTCCACGTGCCTCTCTCAAGCACCAAGCGGTGCGTACAGTCTGTACATGCCAGAGGCCCATTACCAAGTTTTCGCCTGGGTTCGCAAGGCCGCATCATCAAGCACCACATTTCATCCCATGCTCCGTCCTATCGGCAGCCGCGGCTCGCCCGAGTCCCCCAAGTCCCACCGAACCGAGAGGCTGCGACGCAGGCCAGAATCCCCTTTCGGGAGGCGCCCTGCATTGCCTGCTCTCCTGGGCAAGGCATGACATGAAGCTTGTTGACAGGAGCGCCAAGCCCGACGCCGCCATGCGCAACCGCTCGTGGCTTTTGGGAAGTTGGCCAGATGATCCCGGTCGAAGCAGCTCACCCCACGAGACCAGGGCGTCAGATTCCCCCAATTGAAAGGGGGGAAAGCACCCCCTCCTTCGACAAGTCGCCGCCAGTAACGTTACCTCTTTTCGGCTTTGTTATCACTTCTAGCTACTCCAAACTTTGCCTGCCTCTCGTCGCTGGAGAACGGACGCGCAGCTCGGGCAACGACAAACAAAGTGGTTGGCCGTCGATAAGGCCACCTCCCAAAAACAGCGTCGAGATGATTGCGACTCGGACAATCAGCAAGGGAATGCGGTCATCGGGCTTGCCGCTCTCTCGTTCACGTTGGTTGAGTAGCTTGCATCTGTAAGTGGCCTTTGCACTGTCGACATTGCCAGATTGCTTCGAGAACAATCCAGCTCTCCCTGAAAGCCACAGCCGAAACCGTCGCAGCATAAGTCCAGCAGTCACAGACCGTTTTGCTGCAAGTCAGTTCTCACCGTGGAGGCCTACTTACTTCATACAGGCATCCATTACCCCCAAACGCCATTTGTCTTCCATGTTCCCAGATCGTCTCATCCTGTTCTCATGTCGAGACGGGGTATCATTCCTCTTTGGGGCCGCTGGGAAAGGCTACCATCGCCCACGGCGTCCACGACCACCTCCAAACCCTCCCCGCCCGCCGGCGCCGCCCCCGGCAGCCATGCCTTGATCAAACCCGTAGCCACCTTGGTTGCCGCCGAAGCCGCCGAAGCTCTGGCCCTGGTTTCCTTGGGGTCCGGCGCCGCCCATGCCGTTTTGCATCCCGGAGAACATGGCATTCATCTGGCTGGGGTCCATCTGAGAAGGGTCCATGCCCGAGGCCATCATCTGCTGCATCATGGCCTGCATCTCCGGGGGCATTCCGTCCATGCCGGGCATTCCCCCGCCGCCGTTGCCGCCCGCGGAGCCAGGCATATTCATGCCTCCCATCATCATCATATTGTTGAAGTCCTCCATCATCTTCTTGTTGTTGGCGGCAAAGGCGTCGGCGCCAAACTCGCCCCGTATGCTCTCTTGCTTGGCGGCGTACAGGGCCCATGTGAATTCGTCAAAGCCATAGTTGAAGTAATCGCTAATGTCCGTTCCTGGTTTTCGCCAAGGCTTTTCGTTATCGGGGAGATCTGCATTGCGTAGAGCCGGCGTCAGCATGGGCAACCCTGAGCCCAAAGGACGACAAGGGTATACCGACCTTCGTCAATGTTGACCTGTGTTATGGGCTTGCCGGCGGCGGCATATACGGGGTTGGCGTTGATATCGATGGTCGACTTTGACGCCGCGGCGGATGTCTGGTCTGCACTGGGCGCTGCCACGTTGGCTGCGCTGGTTGACGTTCGTGGTGCATCGTCTTTCTTGGCCGGCGCAGGTTTCACGGGAGTGTCTGTAGACGTCGAACGCTGGGGTATGTTTCGGATTTCGCTGTACTTGGCTTGTCTGTCGATGAAATTGTCAGCTCTGCGCACTCATTGTCGCGAATTCGCTTGCAAGATGCGCTGTCGCGGCGGAAGCCCACGTACGGTGGAGGGGCGGCTTTGGTGCCGTCTTTGCGCTCCGTGATGATGTCTATATCCTGAGCGAGATAATGTTAGGGCAATAAATCCGAGTCTAGGAGCCGGGGATGCGCACAGAGTCGTCGTCATCCTCATCCATGGCGCCGCTCTCATCCTCTTCTTCTCCCTCCTCGAGCTCGTCGGCCTTGGGAGATGTCTCCTTGTGCTCGGCATCCTCGGCCTTGGGCTCCTCGGGCTCGTAGATATCGTCGCCCTCATCCATCTGTACCTCGTGTTCGGCCATGATGACAAGCGCAAAGCAGGGATTTACACAATGTCGTTTTTTGTAGGGAATTTCAAAGCAGGTGGTGACGAGTTGAAGCTCGCCAGGTAGAGAGAGCGCAGCTGGGCCGATGTTTCTCCGATCAACTGCTAGCAGACGACTGTAACTGGAGCTGGGCCCAAGCTCGAAGCGCGCGCCCGTTTCTTTCCTACTACCTAGTAGGTATTGATTATCAGCCACCATAAGCCAAACTCCACCCAAGCCCATCGATTCTTTGCGACTGCAAACCACGAACTCGCTGAATCTGCCGCATAGATGTTCTAGCCGCCCTGTCCGCGTCATTAATGTCTCTGGCGCGATCTGCTAGCGGACCAGGCGGTCTGACCATCAACACTGGCGCTGCGAACACACTGTAAGCAAATTCACGGCGCGAAACTTGCAGCGGCCTCGCCTCGTTTTTGAGAAGCTGCCTGTTGGTCGAAACTCCACTCCAAGACACTTGCCTCGTCTCTCCTCTAGGACTTGCCAGCTGATGAGCCGTCTTGCAGCGGGTCCCTCTCATCTCAACAACCAGCGGCGGGCGGGCTCCTTGGTTCCAGCAGCGCATCAGCGAATCCGACTCAGTCGACCCCGGGCGGCATGGCGACCACGGGCGGATTGTTTGGCGCGACGCAGCCCAAAATAGGCACGGGGATATTTGGCACCTCGACAGCGACGGCCGCGCCGGCGAGCTCTGGCAGTGGGCTTTTCGGGGCCGGCAACACTGCCCAGCAAAACCAGCAAGGCTCAGGGACCGGTCTGTTTGGCAGCAACGCGAACAATGCCCAGCAGCAGCAACAGCAGCAGCAGCAGCAGCAGCAACCAGCAAGCGGGGGTCCATTTGGGAATACTTCCAATACGCAACAGCAGCAGCAGCAGCCAGCTGCCGGCGGTCTATTTGCAAACACCTCCAACATGCAGCAGCAGCAGACTCAACTGCCCGCCGGCGGAGGTCTTTTCGGCAACACCAGTAATCCACAACAGCAGCAACAGCAACAGCCACAGCAACAGCAAAGTGGAGGCCTGTTCGGACAAACAACTCAACAGCCGCAGGCCCAGACGGGTGTGGGCTTGTTTGGCTCATCTACGGCCAACGCTCAACCAGCAGCAGGGGGAGGCTTTCTCGGCCAGTCACAGGCAAAGCCTTCGGGAGGACTCTTGTGAGTGAAAGACGTCGTTGCCTCTCACACCATGGATCTGACCGGGAAACCCTAGCGGTCAAACCCAGGCTCAGCAGGCTCAGCCATCGAATCAGGTTCCCGCTGTTCAGATCAACTATGACAATCTCCGGCCGCGTACAAGGTTCGATGATCTCGCTCAACCTGTCCAGGACGAGATTGCCCTCATAGATAAGGGCATCCAACGCGTCATCAAGATGAAGGACGAAATTGGCGAATTCATGCCGCAACACGAGAAGGACATTGTGCAGCTCGGGTGCGACGTCAAATTCGTCGAGTCCAAGTTCCGGACTGTGCAAGTCGCCCTCAATCGAGATATCCAGACGGTCAAGGTGCTCCAGGACATGACCAAGAAGAACATTGCCGACGCGCAACTGTCCTTCAAGGCCACAGACAACCTGAAACTGCCTACCCACTATCACCAAACAGGCCTTTTCGCCGGCCCGCCACCGCCGGCCGACTCCAGGACAACGGACGCGTCGTCTGCCCATGCTAGTGCCCAGGATCTCATCACGTACTTCAACCGAGTGTGCGACGACGTGGAGAGATACAAGAAGCGGCTGGACGAGTACCGCGGCGAGATTGAGCGCGATATGCCCGGCGTCGAAAATGGCCTGTACGAGCAGATCAGAACGTTCCGCGACAGGAATGCGGCGGCCGGCGGAGCGGTCCAGGACCAGCTCGGCCAAGTGCTGTCGGCGCTGCGGGAGACGGGCAGCGCCATTGTTGCTCAAGCAGGACAGATTGCGGACACGAGGGAGAGGCTGTCGAGACTGCAGGCCGGCATCTTGGACAGCGGGCTCTACGCCGCCGGCATGGCTGCATGATTATCAACTGCAACACGGTGATGAAATCGGGACATGGGTCGCCTGTGGCAGACGATGCGAACGACTGCACCCTCACTGGAAGGCCCTCGGCTAGGAGCGCCCTACAGAAACAGAAATGAGATTCGACCTCGTTGCAGCCAGGCGGAAGAGGATACCGGGGATTTCACGACTTGTACGATGCAGTGAGCTTACCCGTCGCTCTACCGCGGCAGGGTGGACTCACGACAAGGTGTAGAATAGACGGTATGCAGGGGTTCGTTTGAGCTCACAGAAGTGAGGAATCCCTCGACGATGGCATGGGTGGACGAGGAAATGTAACGTGAGGAAAACGCGGAGAAGAGGAGAAAAGGGGAAAGAAGACAATCATAATCAATGATTCCCCCTTTGCGCCGAGTATTTCTGCCGAGCTGTGAGCGCATGGGTATCATGCTGTCGGCCGACAAGCACCGGCGCATCCGCCTCGAGGGCATCCGGCTCCATTCAGGCCATGGTTCATCCTGTCGCAATACATGTTTCGCAGGCAGATCAATACGTGCCCTCGCCGTCATCGCCATCGCCATTGTCGTCGCCGCCTTCGTCTCCGTTCTCAAAGTAGAGTTCGGCATCGTAATCGCCCGCGTCCTCGTCGTCGTAGGCCTCGTCTTCATCCTCATCGTCCAGCGCCTCCGCGTCATCCAACTCGGCGGCGTCCTCGCCATCATCGTCGCGCATGGCATCGAGCTTATCCAGCAGGTTCCTCCCGGCGGGGGCAAAGTCGTCGGCGTCGAGCGAGGGCATGCCAAAGGCCTCCTCGGCGTTGGGCAGGGCGCTGACCGTGGTCAGCTCGAGCCTGCGCTTCTTGCGCACGCCGGCGCCGTCGTCGGGCTCGACCGTGTCGAGCAGCTCGGCGGGGAACAGCTCGCGGCAGACGGGGCGGGCGGCCCAGTCGGGCAGGGCGCGGTCCTCGCGGACAAACTTCTGCGAGTAGGTCTGGACGGCGGTGAAGGGGTCGAGCGAGGCCCTGTTCTTGACGCCGTGGTGCGCGTTCATCTGCGCCTGGCCGTAGAGCTTGCGCGGGGCCGTCGGGTCGTGCAGCGACGTGCGTCGCGACGTGTACAGCGGCGACGAGTGTATCTGGTGGCGCAGCAGCAGCATGTACTGCACGCCGGCCGATTCTCGCGCGCTCAGCTTCCGCGGCGTGGGGACGAGACGCGGCTGTGGGCGGAGCGAGGGTCAGCGGGCGCCGACTGGGCGAGACCATCGTGGCCGGCTCTTACGGGGAACAGCTCCGACGGACGGGCGTCGGGCTCGTCGCCCGTGTCCCAGGGGACGTTGGGCCGACCGCCTCGCGCTCCTCCGCGCCCACCGCGCCCGCCGCGTCCGCCTCGGGACATGCTGCGACGGCCTCGGGAGGGAGGGAGAGGGAGAGGCAGAGGCAGCGAGGAAGGGCCTCGTTGGCTGGGGGAGGCGGCGTTTTGATGCCGATTTTTTCCCCCTTCTCTTTTTTCAGGCGGGAGGTGGATTTTGTAAGAGTCAGGCTTCGGAGACGGACTTGATTGCCCCGCCATCCACTACCAGCTGCCGGTCCTCCACTGCGTATTATTACGCACCAGCGGCACCACCTTCGCCTGCCTGCACCTAAAGCCTCCCCACCTTTCTTACTTACTCCGTATACTCGATTCTATTCGTCTTCGTCTTCCCCAAGCCATGACGATGCTCGGCCGCCACGCCTCCCTCGCGCCCGATACAGACTTGTAAACCACCGAACCATGACCGACAGGATTGTCCCCGCCCCCACCATGGACGCCGTGCCCATTTCCGGCCTGCCAGAGCTCCAGGCGCACTTGCACGCGCTCGTCGGCGACGCTGCGCTCCCCATCCAAGCCCAGCTCCTCGACCAAGTCGAGCTCCAGCTCACAGGTAAAGAAGAAGGCCACTCTGCCCAACGACGCCGCAGCTAACCACGACCCCTCCTCAAGAGACCAACATCCCCCCGCTGCTCACAACCCTGCTGCCGCCCCTCACCCAGATCCTCAAGGCCACGTCCCAGGACCCCACGCCCCTGCTGTCCCTCACCGTCAAGCTGCTCACGCCGCTCTCCTTTGCGCAGACGCTGGCCATCGCCGATGCGCCCTCTTTGCTGACGGCTCTGCGCTCGCCCCTGCCCGGCGCCAACCTGCTTGCCTTGGCCGTCGTCCACAAGGCCGCCGCCGCCCCGGCCGACGCTGCCATCCTGAGTACCTTGCCCGAGGTTGTCGAGGAGCTGGTCCGGCGCTGGCTTGAGAGCCCCGACGTCGGCGTGGGCGAGCGTGCCGCAAAGGTGCTGGGCGATGTGCTGGAGACGGACTGCGACGTGGTCGGCAGCAATGGCGTGAGCAGCGTTGCCGGCAACGAGCTGGTCAAGCGCAGCGTACCCGGCCACGCTCGCCTCTGGCGTCTTATTCTCCAAACCAGGCCCCATCTCTCCCTCATCCAGAGCTCCTGCACTCCCAATCACCACCCATCTCGATCGACGCACGCCGTCACCATCTCTCAAGGCCGCGTCCTGCGCTTGCTCCCCCGTCTCGCCGCGCTCAACATCCGTGTCCTGAGCCAGTCGGCCTTCCCAGATCTGTTCCCGCTCCCCGACGCCACGGCCCAGCGTGTCGGCCGAGGCCTTCTCCAATGGGCTGCCCTTGGAATGGTGACCAAGTCGGACGTGCTCATGCACTTGAGCCTCATCGACTTCTTCGAGGCCTTTGTCAGCGTCATGCGCGTGGCCGACCACTCGACAGAGAGACACGACCTGGTCAAGAGCCTTGTCAGGACGGCGGTCCGTGATGACCCGGACCTGCACACCGCTCTGAGGTCGTTGCCGGATCGGACGGTGGAAGAGGAGGCTGAAGCGTTGAGGAGATATGTCGCCGACGTCTTGGGCTAGCCGACTTGATCAATGTACACATTACGCGCCATGCCGGGTCATGAGTTGTACCAAACTTTTGCTAAAGAAGTCAGCGCTGTCTATCATGTCTCCATCGTTTGCATGCACAAAAGTTCATGGTCCATCTACAACTGAAACGGGCCTCTTCTCCGCGGCTTCGAGATAGGCAAAAAACACCATGCTTCGGACTACAGCAGCCGTCAAATAGCAAGCCCCTCGGCGGCGTCGGCGGACTCTAGAGGCGACGTTACTCTTGTACATGCTTCGAAACCGAATGCCACCATGTCCCGCTGCTTGCGCAGAAACGCCGTCCTCACGGGAAAACCCGCACCAACAACCTACAGCATCCTCCGCGCAGCGGCTTCTTGGTCCCCCGCTACCGACCCCTCCCGGAAGTCGCTGATGATGCTGTCCTGCCTCTGCTCGCCCGCCTTGGTCATGCCGTCAATGCCCAGCCCGACCTCGCCCACGCGGCGCAGGACCACGAGAAGCGCACCCCGCAGGTCTTGGCTGAGGTCCTTGCTCAGCAGGTCCACCGCCAGCGGGTAGAAGCCGGGGATGTGCGCCTTGAAGGCGTCCTCGGGGAACGTGGCGTACCCCTCCAGCACGTCCACCACGACGGGCCGCCACGCCATGATGTTCCGGTGCTGACTCTCCTCGGCGAGCGACGAGTAGCCCGCGATGATGTCCTTGCACAGAGGGACCAGCGCCGCCTCGATGTCGGGCCTGCTCTCCAGTCTCTCCGGCGCGTTGTCCGCAAACATCCTGAACAGGATGGAGACGTAGGTCGCGGCGGACCCACTCTCCTGCTTGAGAAGATTGGGCGGCTGCTTCATGAACCCCTCGCGCCAGAGGCGCATACGAAGCTCCTTGTCCTCGTTGAATCGGCGAGCGAATTGAAAGGAGCGCTTCAGCAGCCCCATGAGCCGCAGGAGCTCCGCCGAGGGGATGTGGGTGTACACGGTGTCGTTGCTGAAGAGCTCGTTGACCGTCTCAATCATGAGCAGCTGCAGGACGCAGCGCGAGATGATGCGGTTGAAGAAGCGCCGGCGCGCCGCCGTCACCACCACGGGCTGCTGCTGGAGATTGGACGAGGGCTTGAACTCTTCGAGGGGGTGGCCGCTGGTCCCGGTGGGACTTTGCAGCTCGTCGTCCATTGGCTTTGGCGAAGGCTGTCGATTGATCAACTCTCCGTCAGACACGGCACCGTTTTCCTCATTGCCATTGATTCTCAAAGACTTTTCGTCCACAGTGGGCGGGGCCTCTTGGGGCGAGCCCAGGCTCGTCGGAAAGTCAAAGCCGTTGGATGGAAGCGACAGCGACGCCGTCGGGCTCATGTTCGTTGCCGTAAACAGCTGGTAAGCGGTTGTCCGTTCAAAGAGCTCACAGAACGCCCCGACAATCTTGGTCCAGTGTTCTGCCGTGAACTTGGTCACGTTTTTGAGGATGAGCTGCTGCAAGCAGTTGCTGCCGATCCGGGCAATCGTATCGTTCTCTTGGCAGATGCAGAGGGCGAGCAGTTCGAGAAACCTGTCGAGCATGTACTCGAGGGCATCAAAGTAATGCGTGAAGAGCGTGATCATATTGCGCAGCGCCTGGATCATGGTTGTCGACAACCAGACAGACAGCTCCTCGTGGTTGAGAACATTCGTCATTTCCGGCCGAGATCTCAACACCATGAAAATCGGGTACAGCTGCTGTCGCCATAGGATGTCCCAAAACTCGGGCGTGAAATCGCCGCCATACTTGACGAGTGCCGCAAAGAAATACTCCAGTGCGTTGGACCGCACCTCGAGGTCTTCACCGGTCATGAGCACGTCGTGGAAGGCAAACAGAATCGGGAACCAGAATCCCTCCTCGGCCGATGTTTTGGTTTGCTTCCGTTTTTCCTGAGACTTGCTGCTAGCGTCGGCCTTGCCATCAGCCTGCTTGGCCTGCTGGGAAAGCGGGCACTCTGGGGTCCTCAGCATCGTGGGGATGATGGACTTTAGGAGTTCCAGCGCGGCCAGGCTCTTCTTCTGAAACTTCATGTTCTTGGAGAATTCTGTCAGGCAGACAATCAAGTCCGTGAAAGCACCCTGAGAAATGACAACCCCAAGCTTGTCCTTATAAACTTGGTTGACATTCTCATACGCAAAGGTCACGATGCTCTCGTGCGGCTCCCTTGCGGCGACAGTAAAGACCCCAAACATTGTTCTCCAGCCAGAGCGGATGTTATCCCCTCTGGCCTGGATCATCTGGACGAGACACCGCAGCACCAGGTCTTTGACCGTGACGTTGTGAGAATTGGCGAGCACGAGCTCAAAGGGCTTCAAAAAGTCCTTTTGGAACTTGAAGCCCGCCAGCTCTTCAATCTCGAGGAACCTCATCGACAGTTGCCGCAGCGAATCCAAGGCAAAGAAGACAATATTCATGTTGTTGTGGCATCCGACCTGATTGAAGTGCTCGCCAAAGACATCCCAAATATGGCTCCACTCAAACCTGACACGGTTCATGTTGTAGTAACTAATCTCCACAATCTTCTGTAGGCTGTATGTTCGAGGGGAGTCGTTTGAGCCCGAGACTTTGATCTCATCCCAGCTGACCTCGGTGAGCGCCCTGGCGAAGTGAAGCATGGCGTCGCCGGAGAGATTGGCTGTGTTTGTGAAGATGCGATCGACGCTGCGAATGAAATCGTCTGAGCGGCTTTCCAGAGCAATCTCGTGGGAGAAGCCTCGGGGTCCAGTGCCAGCTCTTTGCCGAGGTTTCGACGGCCGTGAATGATTCGATGATCTCGATTCAGATGTGTCGGCCCGCGAAGGCGGCATGAAGCGAGCCTGAGAGACATCGGGAATCGCGTTCGCATCGACGCCTCCTGTTATCAGCTGCAGCCGATCTAGCTGGCTGATACACATGAGAATATCTTTCCAAGACTCCCGTAGCAGGTTGCCTTCGGTCTGCCCCAGGTCCAGGAGAACCTTGAGGGCCTCAATGTTCTTAGCTAGCATTTCTTGGGGATTATTGAGGTTGGTGGTGTTTCTGAGCGCCGAAACGAAGGCCTCCCTTGGGGTTGAAAGCTCAAACAGGCAAGCGATCCTGGTCGCGAGTTTCATGCCTTCAAAGCACAGTTTGCTGACCTCGATGTTGTGGGCCTTTTGCATCTGGCTGGAGAGGGCAGAGAAGAAGGACATCCAGGTAACGTCAAACATGGAGCCGACGTGCTTGAAAGACGTTGCCGGTATGAACTTGGGTCCGGCCTTGGTGGCACTGCGGCGCTGGCTTTTGAACAAGTTCTTGAAGAGCTGTTCAGATCGCAACGAAATCTCCTCCGACTGCTGAACGTAGGCTTCGCGCTGCAAATCGCGCCCGACATTTGACAAAGCGTGACCGAAGCCGGCGGCGAGGCCGGTAGGTTGCGAGGTCAGCGTGCCGGCCGCCGCTGCAGCCTCACGTTCACTGTTGAGAACGATTTCATTGCTCGCAATGTCATCGAAAATACTGATGAGATACTCGTCTGGCAGATCGGCGTTGTCGTTGATGCCTCGGTTATTCTTGATGAACTCTTCCTTACTCATCCGCTTGGCAATCTTGCTGCTGTGCTGGTCCGTGTTGAGCAAGATGACGGAATATGCCAAGACATAGGCCGTGTCAGCATTGGCAAATGCATTTGGGTTTCCCTTGACGTATCGCTCGGCGAACTTGAGCATGAAACGGTCAATTTTTTGAGCCTCTCCCGGGAGCCTGAACGCTTGTAGAAACTGTCGCAGTGCATCGACAAACCTCTTCCGGGTAAATTCCATTGCGTCGACAAAGGCATGCATGATGTCAATGTTATACTGGTCTCCTTCGCCAAGGAATTCGCCAATCTGCGCCTTGTCGAGCTTGTCCTCCTTGAGCAGGTAGTTGCCAATCTCCTCGGGGCTGTCCCCGGGTATGAAGCCATCTCGCAGCAGCAACTTGATACCCTTCTTGGGCTTGAAGTTGAACTGCGCAATGGCTTTGGTGAGCGCCGTCTTGCGCGCCTTCTCCTTTTCCAAGTGATCTGGGTCGTCTTCGACAAGAGGAGTCGACGGGGCCAGCGGTGTCTCTAGACGAGAAGCGCTGTCGCTGGCGGTGGGATCGATGGACGGCCGGACTTCATCCAGAGAAAATTTGTTTTCGCCCGTTGACTTGAGCATCTCGCCATCGGTTCGGACCGAGGCAGACCAGTTCACCAAGGACCTCAAGGCTTCCACCAAGGCTTCCAAAGACATGCGCTTAATGGCATACTCCTTGGGAAAGTCCGGTTCGCTCTCCTGGTGTGGCACGATCTGGGCCACAGTCAGCGGCGGGGGTAAGATGCCTTTTAGTTGCCACTCGCTCGCAGGCAGCGTCTTGGCGCGAAGATCCTCGTATATCTGTTCATTAGTACTTGTAATGGCAACCGGGGTCGTGGAGAACTTGGAGAGATCCTCGACAATGGTTTGGAAGATGTTATCGACTGTTTGGTCACAGTCATAGTTGAGGTAAATCTCGACCAAGGCGCGCGGGTCAGCACACAGTCTGTTCAAAATGGTCACAAAACAGAGCTTCTGCGTGACTGGCGCATTACGTCGAGACAGGAGCGCCAGGTAGATCTCGTTGAGGAAAACTTCAATCTCTTTCTGCAGCCAGGTTAGCAGCTCGACGAATGAGACTGGGGATGCCAAATTTGGACATGACTCGCCTTGAAGGATGGCCGCATGTACTTGAGCATAAGCCAGAATATCTCACAGCAAACGTCGAATATGCGGTCAACCGAGCTGGCGCCATTTCGGGTGATGCTGAGACAGAGGTAGAACTTGGTGGCTTGCAGGAACGAGGTGGGTTCGGTGCTCTTTGAGCTTTTGATGGTACAGAGGGGCGATGTGAAAACGGTAATGTTGTTGTTGAGGAGGGTGTGGATGAGGTGGAGGGAGATGAGCTTGGAGCGCATGGCCTGGCCGCGTAGATCAAAGAGTTGGTCGGGGGAAAGGACCTTTGTGGACAGGTTGCAAAAAGAGCGAAAGACGAGATAGGCATCGCGGACGTAGACCTCATCCTCGGCGTCCAGAGCATCGTCGTCTTCAGAAGACTCGCGCGCCGACTGCCCCGATGCCGAGGCATCTGTGTCGGCCTCCTTGGCGGGCGCCAACCTGGTCACCATGGTTGGACCGTCGCCGAGGTTGGAGTCGTCGAAGCTTTTGCGATGTTCTAGGTCCTTCAAAGTGAGTTTAGCACCATCGCCGGGCTGGTCGATGGAGTCGGGGTCGGACTGGGGAGTAGGCGATTCGTCTCGATGGCTAGGGGGCCCGGCGAGGGCGACAGCATCGGAGGGATCGAAGGTGACGTTGCTCGAGCTATGCTTGAGATTGCCCAGGCTCAATCTGGATTCTTTCATATGCAGCCTCGTCTTGACTCGCTCGAAGACTGTGCCGACCATCTGGGTCAAGGTGCCCTGGGCGACTTGCTGGTTGGCGGTACTTCGGGAGAGGAGAAAGACATTGTAGACTTGGCGCACGGCCTTGAGCAAGCCTGCGCCGTGGACGACGATCTTGTCGTTGAGGACGGCGGCGAGCAGGGACTTGACGATCTGTAGCTGGATCTCGACGGCCGTGGTCTCGCCTTGGAAGCAATCGCATATGGCATCGATGGCGCGCTCGATGAGAGGGGCCGCGGGGGCGGCGGCGTCTTGGGGGGCATGGCCATTTGTCTGGAGAGAAAAGAAGGAGTAGGAGATGAGCTTGCCGATGCAGTCGAGGGCGGCCGTGGTCAGCTGGGGGTTGTTTGACCTGGTGGCGAGTTGTAGCGGCGCAAAGATGAGCTCGGGGTCGGGAAGCTGGTCCTGTTCCTTGATGGCGTCGAGGGCCTTTTTCGCCGAGTCAACCAGCTGCTTGTTGCGCTGGGCATCTTTGGAGGTTGCGATGGCGTCCAGGGAGGACACCACGAACTTGAGGGAGCTCATCAGGGAGCACGAGGACCACCAGGGGCCATTCGCGAGCAGGACAAGAGGGCAGCTAAAGGATCGGAGCCGCAAAGGGGCCGGGCCGGCCGCTCAGGAGGCCCAGGACCAGATGGCTCCTTGTTCTTTCGTTCGGGGCAACGCGCGCGACAGATGCGGCCTGGCTGTGGTTAATGTTGGTGTTGCGGCGGTGACGAACAAGGTTGAAGCCTCGGTTGGAAAAAAAAAACCCCCAAGGTCGGCTTTGGGGATCGTTGAACCTTGAGCCGTTTTGCTTACATAGCCATCAGGAAAATGGACACCTAAGGGATGCGACGCGTGGGAGCACGGGAGCACGGGACCTGCGGCGGAGCTGCTAATAAAGCTAGGGGTCCTCCGTTGCCGGTACCCGCTACCCGTGGTATCTACAGTGGGGACACAAGTACCCGACCTTGGCTTACCTCTCCTCATACAGACATGTCGCAGTCAGCTCACTTGTTTGACAGCGTCTTCTCACGCGCAGGTTGGTCCTCGACAGCCCGAGGTACCTGCTCGCAGCAGTGGGACAGGTGGTTTCCGAGCTGCGGACACGTCGCCTGGACTTGAGCACCTTTGCAGTAATTTTCAGGCAGAAACACCCACAGGGCGAGGCTCGGAACTTACTGTTAAGTTTATGCGGGCACTCATTACTGTACAGACTTCTTCATGCCCTATCCGCTCTCCTAAAGGTCAGACTTGGACTCTCGTGACTGCACCCGCAAATTCGTGGCGCCGAGTTCCAATCCCGTGGTCTGACTCTGCGGCGATGCTATTCAACAGCACGACAAGGCTTGCCGTGCTGTCGAGGGTTGTGGCTGTCAGACTTCCAAGTACTTCGAGGTACCTACCGTGCCATGACCGCCGAGTATGCGCCTCAACAAACTCGAAGAGAGGGGACCTGGCCGCTGGGATGAGGCGTGTCTGCTGCAAGTAGGTACCTAGCAGTACCTGCCTGGGCTTTTGGCAGCGCCTCCTTCAGCCCAGTGCAAGAGATGCTTTCTCAGCTACAGCATCCTACCAGAAACCCAACTCTCCCTTACTTGTGAAATCTGGGACGAAGCGCATGGGCTCGCCAAAGACACGGGTATAGAAGGTGTTCCCGGTCTATAACGGTCATTTCTCCTCGTCTGCAGTCATTATGCCTCTCAAATGCCGCAAGCCCATCAGGTACCTTGTGTGTACTCACAGGCCACCCACGTCCGAAAGCGGTCTAGGCCGTAGCTCCAGCTGGCGACGGAGCTCAACGCCAGAAGGGAAAAAACTAAACGTCCAACGACAACCCCAAAGATATCCCCGTCTCCTGCTCGCGTCTCCCAATCCGCCCCTTCGTCGTCAACAATCTCGGTGGCGCGTCCGCCTCGGCCTCAACTGCTCCTCACCCTGCGCCAGACCCGGTCTGTGAGGTCCTCCAGTAATCCCCTCGCCCGACCCGAGACCCTGCTGTCCCCGAGCCATTTTCCTTCGACATGCTCAGCGCCGCTCTTCGGAGGCGAGCTCTCGCTCCAACGCGCTGCGCCCTGCGTGCGGGCTTCACCCCCCATGTCGTGCGGTACTACGCCTCCTTCCCGGACCACCAGGTCGTCAAGATGCCCGCCCTGTCGCCCACCATGCAGGCTGGCAACATTGGCGCCTGGCAGAAGAAGCCCGGCGACTCAATTGCCCCCGGCGATGTCCTGGTAGAGATTGAGACAGACAAGGCCCAGATGGACTTTGAGTTTCAAGAAGAGGGCGTCATTGCCAAGATCCTCAAGGAATCGGGCGCCAAGGACGTCCCCATCGGCAGCGTTGGTTGCCCAGCCCCCTTCAGCGCCTCGACCCTCTGCTAACGTCGCATGTCTACTCGCAGCCCATTGCCGTGCTCGTCGAAGAGGGCACCGACCTCTCCGCTTTCGAAAAGTTCACCCTCGAGGACGCCGGCGGCGATGCGAAGTCGGCGCAGCCCAAGGAGGAAAAGTCGGAATCGCAACCCAACGAGGCTTCCGCCCCTGAACCTTCCCCCGAGCCCGAACAGTACGCCCCCTCCGAGGGCAAGCTGCAGACTGCACTCGACCGTGAGCCCAATGCCTCCCCGGCAGCCAAGCGCATTGCGCGGGAAAAGGGCATCAGCCTCGACGGCGTCAAGGGCTCCGGAAAGGGTGGCAAGATCACCGAAGAGGACATCAAGAAGCTTTCCAGCAGCCCAGCCGTCGCCTCGCCCGGCGCCACCTTCGAAGACATCCCCATCAGCGGCATGCGCAAGACCATTGCCAGCCGCCTGCAGGAGTCTGTTCAGAAAAACCCCCACTTCTACGTCACCAGCTCCATCTCCGTCTCCAAGCTGCTCAAGCTGCGACAGGCTCTCAACAGCTCGGCCGAGGGCAAGTACAAGCTGTCCGTCAACGACTTTTTGATCAAGGCCATGGCCGCCGCGTGCAAGAAGGTCCCCATGGTCAACTCAAGCTGGCGCGACGGGAGCATCCGTCAGTTCAACACGGTGGATGTCTCGGTTGCTGTTTCAACGTCTTCTGGCTTGATTACGCCCATCGTCACTGGCGTCGATGCCCGAGGCCTCGAGTCCATCTCGACCAAGGTCAAGGAACTGGCCAAGAAGGCTCGCGAGAACAAGCTCAAGCCCGAGGAGTACCAGGGCGGCACCATTTCCATCTCCAACATGGGCATGAACAATGCCGTCGACCACTTTACTGCCGTCATCAACCCTCCCCAAGCCGCCATCCTGGCCGTGGGCACCACCAAGAAGGTTGCTGTCCCCGTCGAGAGCGAGGACGGCACGACGGGCGTGGAGTGGGACGAACAGATTACAGTCACGGGCAGCTTCGATCACAAGGTTGTTGACGGTGCCGTCGGCGCCGAGTGGATCCGCGAGCTGAAGAAGATCATCGAGAGCCCTCTGGACCTCCTTCTCTAAGCGCCGCCATGCCAGCAAATCAAACTCAAGCGTACGGACGCGCGAAGGGGCGTTTGTGTGAAGAACTTATAGACTTTGTCAAGAGCGGGATCCGGACAAGCAGTGAAGGGTGTGAGGGGCGGGAGGGGCGAGGCTGACTCCCGAAACTCGCCCGAGGAGGATGACGAGGCGATATGCCTATGTACAATGACCCATTGATTGATTAATGCTGCGTTTCCGAAGGGGGTGAAGTCCAGTTTCCGGTTGGCTCACTCTTGTCCCTCGCCAGCAATACAGAAAGTTCATCTCCATCCGTTTCCCCCACGCAGTGCCGAGGTTTGCCAGTTGGAGGGACCTGTATGGTTGAAGAAGAGACCTGGAATCTAATGGATAGTCTAGTCAATGACCCGATGGCGGCTTCGGAGGCGGATAGGAGTATAGCTTTTGGATGTCGTCCATGCCAGTGGTCATGACGCATATTGACCAGGCCCAAAATCATGCATTACGTGCCCCCGGCCTCAGCCTCGCGACGTCAGCACGAGCCGCATATCTGGCTGGACGGACGTACGGATGGCGGCATTCTGTCGGATGAGCATTGGGCGGACGGCATTCGGCAAATGTACGGAAGACACCAACCAGCGGCGTCTACTCCTCGGTGAATCCGATTGTCCGCCCCCTCTCTCTTCTCCCTTCTCTTGGGCGAGTGCTTCAACATGGTGCATTTGCTCTTGGTTCCACCACCCCCTTTCACTTGCAACCCTATGCGTGACGTGTGACTTGACTTGATTAGAGCTCTTTGGCCCTCTCTGTCTAGGACCTCGCATGCGGGCCGCCACGTCGGAACCGCACCCGCGTCTTGGCCACCGGGCCGCCGTGGACGACCAAGCAGCATCAGAGCCGGCAAAATCGCAAGTGTCCTCCACATCAGCCATGGAATGGAATGGACAAGGCGTGGGGGATTGGATCGAGGCCGGTCAAGATCCTCTCCGGCACCGTCCTCAAGACGCGTTATTATGGCTTGACGCACTGCATGAGCGTCAATGGGCTGGTAGGTTCTGATTCCACGGCAGCTCTCCGGCCGGCGCCCTGTATTTTGCCTGGTGTCTGAAAGAAATGCTTGTGTAGCTTCCCATCAAGTTCAATCGCCGTCATGAGCAACACCTTCGAAGCGGTGGCGAAAGGGCCGCGGGATCAATGAATCTCGCCCCAGACCGCTGTCGTCTGAGAAGGTTGGCAAGCAAATCCGTCGCGGGACACTGCAGGCTGGCTCTGGCTACGTTTGAGGGCGTCTTCCGAATCCTCCATGTGCCGTCCTTTTGCTCCGACTACCAGCGCTACTGGCAGCGCCCTGGAGCAGTCAATGGGGCTTTTGTCGTTCAGCTGCGGCTCTGCCTTGCGATAGGCTCGACTCTCTACAATGAGCACTTTACGATGAGGGCCTTGGAAGCGCAGTGCATTTGCGGGGCCTAGCTATGGCTGATGCTGCCCCCGGAGAAGAGCAGGATGACAGCCTCAACTGTTCAAACCATGTCTACTGATCCTGGTCAAGTCGACATGCGGAGCCGGCCATGACCTCGCGTGGATCACTACTGGCAGACTTGTTAGGCAGGCCATACTGATGGGCTTGCGTCGCGAACCGAGACGTCTAGGCCAGATGGCGACGTCCCAGGCTGAGATGAGGCGGCGTCTGTGGGCGACCATTCTCGAGTTGAACCTCCAGTCTTCGTTTGAAGTCGGCTGCCTGCCGCTATTGTCCAGCACCGACTACGATACGCAGCCGCTGGCCAACATGGATGACGATCAGCTCAATGACAAGACTGATGGCGAATGTTCGCAGGGGGGACCGGCCGAGGTGCCGACTCAGACCTCGGTCCGGTCGCCTCGGTGGAGTCGCAGGCCGACGTGCTCAGACAAGTCAACGACTTCCGATCGAGCTGGTCATACGACGAAGTCCTCGGATTGAACTCGGAGCTGGCCAAGGCTTGTCGAGAGCTGTCGCAGAAACTGCCGTGTCCCGGCGAGCCCCGAGGAGGGCGCCGTCGAGTATTGACGCATCGCCACCAACGACACCGGCGTATTCCGATAATGTCCCGGCCACTCTTCTTGGTCGCCATTGAGCTCATCCGCGAAAGGAAGGGCATCGAGGCGGCGATGCTGCAGGCGTGCACGGAGACTGACGGGGGCGAGGTGCCGGCGAGGTGGTTTGCCGAGATGGCCGCGGGACTGGATGGGGGATTGGGCGTGGGACGACTTGGGCGCGCTGCTGTGGCCGTCGGGACGTCTGATGGCATGGCTGCTGGACATTTCTCGGGTCGCCGTCGAGCCGTCTTTCCCGGCCGCTCCGACGCCAACCACCCTGCCTGCCGTGGCTTCTTCCCCCGATGGCCCAGGCCTCGAGGCGCGGTCCAGCAGAGTCGCAAGATCTCGTGCTTTCCCCGATCACCTCAGCCGCGTAAGCGCTTGCAGGGGCTTGGTCGTCCGCACGGCGCCGCTCCGCAGCCAGGGCAGCGCTCGATGCAGCCAGGGACAACTCACAAGGGCCCTTGCCGTCGCTGCCGGGGCGATGGGCCCGTGTCACCGGCCCATCGGCGCGCGGGAAGCGGACCCGTAATCGGCTCTGCGATGCCGAGAAATGCACGGGCGATGCATGTACGAGGCAGGCAGGGCATCACAACTACGCACGTCTGACGGGCTGTCGACGCTACTCGGCTATCCGTACTGTAGGCTACGTGCGTCCTGTCTATATGCAGGCTATGTATGCGCATATAGACTGCACGGGGGCGCAGAAGGAGAGCGACAGAGGCCCGCTCCACCACGCTGCTTTTAAGCCGCCACTAGACGAGCCGCCTCTCCTGCCCCGTGCCTGGCAGCTGTCTCTCCCCTCGACGCATCGCGGCCCGTCGTGCACTGCCCCGGCCGTCATGGTGACGGCGACGACGCGGTCTCGGGACGGCGGTGTCGGTGAGATGACGCCGAGCCATTGGGGGCGGGATGGGTGTCTGCGGTGAAGGGTTTGGTGTGCCGGCTTGCACAGCAGACGGCCGGGCAAGGGAGGCGAGAGGAGAGACTCCCGTGTCCGCCCCATGCTGTTCTTCTTCCCTCGGTCTAATCGAGCCCCGAGTCCAGGTCATGGCAACTCAAGCATCATGGCAAGAGAAATAAGCACTCGGAGTCGTTTCCGTTAGGTAACTCCCCCCTTTCCCCATACTGTGCGCTTTTCCCACGAGAAGCCGCAGCAGCCCGCCATGTCCTCCGGGGGTTCTTCTGCCTCTGCCCGCCCCCCCCCAAAGGCCCTGCAGGACGCGGAAGACGCTCGACGAGAATCAAGTCAGCCCACGCCGACCGGCACCCCGTCGTCATCCCCCATCCGCTCTATACGTAGTCTCACCAAGCCCTAGGGCTCTTGGTGCAGGACGTATCTCGAGCTCGCTGCTGGAACCCCGGCCTTTCTGCACGTTCGGCGGCCCGGGGCTCGTCGGTCGGACCGAAGATGGGGCCACGGGGCTGGGGCTGCCCTTGTCCTTACACATACCTACGTATCATTATACATACGTACATGCGTGGTCAATCAATCCCAGGCTTTCCTTTCTTCGTCTTCGCTTTCCGTATGCTGCGCGACAAAGCCACCCTCGCTCGCATCGGGCCTTTGGATCCGAAAGGGCAAAATGCAGCGAGGGCCGGTTCCAGCTTTCCCCCCTGTTTCTTGTTGTTGTACACCGGCTTCCCCCATGGCCACGGGCATCAGCCATACGCCTGAGAGCCATCACCAGGCCAGTTGCAAGCCGAAACTCACAGATGGCTCTCTCTCTCTCTCTCTCTCTCTCTCTCTCTCCACACCACTTCCGAAGTCTTGGACTCCAACCCCGATCCGGCGTTTTAACCTTGTTTTGTTTTAGCCCTGCCCGGTCCAGACTACGGGATAATAAACTCGGGCCAAAGCCAGGTCAAGGCTCTACTGTACCTGTATATATTATATCGACGGTGTTCGTGACACACGCAAAGTATAACCAGATATGCTTCCTACGCAGCAAAGCCAAAGCCAAAGTCTCGGCCGACCCATCTGCCCTAGAGGGATCGATGGTCATGAAGTGCGTACTGTATGTATGAATGAATGTATGTACAGTATGTACGTGTGTGCATGGGCTGTTTGTGAGGCCACCATGTGATTCGTCCCGTTCCCTCTGCATCGACGGATGCACAGGATATCTGTACATAGAGCGAGACACATGTGCATTCGATAGAGACGGCACGCGCATGTCTCGGACGCAGCCCATCTCGCTGCTCTTGGCATCGAACCCTCCTCCAACGTCCCGACGGTAACTTAATTACCTACCTCTACCTACTTACCTGTCCCCCCAACGGCCGTTGCATTTGTCCCATATACATACAATACATACGCATACATACATCATACATGCACACATACAGACAGACAGACCAGAACAGACATTCCCGCCCGTCTCCATCGCCACTGGCCCGCGCAGGCAACCAAGCAACCAAGCAAGCACGCACGCCGTGCTCCACCACGCACGCAGCCTTCCCGAGTCCAGCAACGAGGCGGAAAAAGTCCCTCGCAGGCCGCCTGGTCCATCGAGGCGTCCTTGCCGGCAGCGTCTGACTTTTGCTGTTACGTACAAGGCAGGGAAGAAAAAAAAACTCCGAGCCACGGCATTTCCAACCGCCCTCCTCTGGCTGTGAATTCCTCGTCTCCTATATATTGTAGCCTCTTCGCGTCCGACCAGCCCTTCTTCTCCTCCTCGTCTCTCATCGTCCTTGCCAGGTATTAACACATACACACAATCACACAACTCACACACTCACACACTCACACACTCACACACACCTCTCTCTGCCCGGCCAACCTGGTTCAAAGTCATTCATCCTCTGGAAACCATCATCAAGACACACACCAACACCAACAAACACATCATGGCTCCTTCTCTGCGTCGCGGCGTCCTCCTGGCCATTGCTGCCTGCCTGGCCGCCGTCTCGGCCAACCCCCTGCCTGCCAACGAGGCCGCCGCCATCCCAGAGGCCGAGATGCTGGTCAAGGAGCAGCCAGACGCCGTCCGCGCCAGCGAGTGCACCACCACGGTGCCCGTCTTCCCCACCTTCACCTTCGGCCCTGTGCGCACCGTCTACACGACCACGACGACTGCCACCCATCTCGTCGACTGCGGCGGCTGCAATCACCTGGCCCTGTCCTACGTCCACCTCGGCGTCGGGCCCGTCGTCTTCTTCACCACCACCACCACCGCCCAAACCCCGGCCGCCACCACCGTCCTCGAGTGCGGCAACCGCCCCGCCGAGGCCACTCCCGCCCCGGCGCAGTAGTGTGCGCCCTCCTCTGGCCCCGGCCACGGCCCGCGTTACTGGGAAGGCCCCTGGGACCTGGAGCCGACCGTCGCGGCCCCCCCGGGCCTTCCGAGTCCGACGTGCACATGCAGCACCTTGCTTCGGCCACAGCTCCCTGACGGGACCTGCAGGGTGTTCCCTTCGCTTGTCACGTCCACCAGCACCGTCGACTGCGGCTCCTGCGCGCTGGCCTGGTCCACCGTGGTCATCCCCTTCTTCGCCCCAAACCTGTACACGGCTACCGTCTCGCCTGCGACTCCCACCACCAAGACGGACCTGGTCTGCGCGCCGGTGGAGACGGCAGGGTCGGGTTGTTGGCTCTCGGGTGGTGTGCGGCTGTCGGGGGAACCGGTGGAGACAGGTCGGGGGAATGGGGACGAGGCAGCTGTTTGATACCGTCTTCAAAAGGATGTCTGAGTTAATAGTTAATCAAACAAAAAGCAGTCGAGTATGATCCTGGTTCGGGCGAGCATGGGCACGTATCCAAGAAAAGCCCCTGTCGGCTCATCCTTTCCCTCTCTTTGTGTCGATCCAGTCGCCGTCTTCTTGCAAGTCACCATTGCCGGCACTCCGGTCCTGCTCCGGAGGCGTCGCGCTCTTGGCTAGCAGGTTCCGGGTCACGTCGAGCCTCCAGATGGCAGGCCCGCACTCGCCGTCGTCGTGCCGGTTCGCCTCGACCCATGTCCGAATCTGCCCGCGCACCTCCTTGTTGGACGTGAGCGTCGCCATGCCCGTCGCCCAGCCGTGCATGAAGATGGAGAGCTTGGCGCTCTTGAAGTTTGCGCAGCGCGCGACGTCGAGCGCCACGCGGGGGAGGCGCGCCTCGGCGACGCCGCGGCAGATCGACGGCCACGTCCAGTCCTCGTCGACAACGCGGATGGGCACCTGCACCGATGCCGGCAGCGGGTAGACGGACAGCCGCTGGAAGCGAGCCCGGAGCACATGGTGCGGCGTGCAGCGGATTTCCGGGTCGACGGGCACGAGGTACCTTGCGCGCTCGCGTTCGGTGGCCGTGCCCACGGTGCCGAGGACTTGGTGGAAGTGCTCGGCCGCCTCCTTGGTGCACACAAGCGCTCGTCCGTCTAGGATGGGATACAGCGTCCGCGTCATGAGCCCGCCGTGCTGCGTCTCCTCCAGGATCTGCGCCCTCGTCGTGGATGCCTGCCACGGCTGCGGCTGAAGACGGAGATGGGTCAGGTCCGAGACGAGATCCACGAGGATGGTATGGTCCATGTTGAGCGTCGCAGTCAGGCCCTCGTGCTCGTCCCCGACGAGGCTCTCGATGGCGACGTCGAGCGGCCGAGACTTGCCGTTGGCCAAAAAGGCCGAGCCGCCGTCGTCCAGAGTCACCTGCACCAGCGGGTCCACGCGCGAAAGCTGGTCGAGCAGGGCACCGACGTCCTTGTTCCCGCGGCCGAGGTTGGGCAGCACAAGCCGCACCCGCGGGAAGCGGTACTCGTGCCGGTTGAGCCGGGCCGCGGCGACCAGCCGCCTGACGTGCCTGGCCAGCGGAATGTCCTCCCACTCGCGCTCGTCAATGTCGTCGCCGACCTCGTGCTCGCCCCAGCCCCAGCCGCCGTCCGTCATCTGCCTCGCCAGCCGGTCCGGGCGCAGCGTCTTGATGTCGAGCCACTCGCCGCCGCCCTCGACGACGTGGACCTCGACCTTGGCCTGCTCCTTCAAGGCGCGGTGCAGCTGCTGCTTCTCCCGCCCGCTGAGCGTCATGCGCGCCACCTCCTTCTTACGGGCCTCGGATGCGGACCCTTGAAAGACCTGGTTGACGGCGACTAATGAGCGGCATCGCTTGAGCATGTCCCAGTGCATCGCGCCACGGGACACGTCGATGGATCCCGTCGCGAGCTTCTTTTCCAGTCTCGTCAGGGCATCCGCATCCAACGATGCTCCGCGCAGTTCCGAGAGCGCCAGTGTAAGAGACTTTTCCGTCCCTCTCAGATGACGCACGAATGCCGGGAGTCCAGTCGCCTGAGACGGCTTGGCTCTGTCCTGAATGCGCGCCAGTAGACTCTCAACCTCGGGGAGGTACGACTGGGCGAGCGACAAGCTTTGCCTGACTGCGCGAAGCATCATATCCTGCTGGGTTCCGCTTGTTTGCAGCGGTGGGCTTCTCATTTCATCATCTGCTCTCCACGATGGTCGAACATCCTCCGGGTCACCAGGGGTCGTGCCCATGGCCACGGAATCCCGGCTGCTGCTACTACCTGGGTCGTCCATTGTCCGCGACTCGGCGGCAGCCGCCATGTTTTTGGTCGAGGAGCTCCAGTGGCCTCATCATCGGTCCACGCCAACCCGTTCAGGCCACCAGAGTCTGTGAAATGTGCGAATACAACCTCCGGATGGCCGTTGGCCAAAATGGTCGGCGTAGGAAGTTGAGACTTGGCGCCAATGTCGGCGCATGGTTCGCCCGTTCCGATCATGTTCATCCCATCTTCTGGTCTCCACCATTGAGTTGTTTGACCACCTGTGGAGTGACTGGAGTCCATGACAGGCTCCCAGCTAGCCGAATGGAACATTATTTGGCACAGAAGCGAATCTATTCTGCATGGAGCAAGGGAACAAGGTCCATGTCAACAACAGGTCGAGCTCAGTCGGGCAAGACGGAGACGAGGGTGGCAGCTCCCGCTCTGTCAGAGTGATTGCCCGCCTTTGCTTCACAACGTTTAAATCGGCGTGATGCAAATGTATGTATTCGTGCTGTTCCTCGGCTTCATATGAAGTCGTCTTGAAGCTGGCCACGGCTCGCCCATCATCAACAGTGCACATGCTCGTCGCGTGAGTTGGCCTCGGCTTCTGGCCACGCACGGCACACTTGCGTCTCTCCCCGAACAGGACAACCAAGCGTGTACAGTATCACGTTCATATGTGTGTGCAAAGTAATATTTGTAGACGCGTGCAGGCCGTATCTGCGCTGCCACCCGCTCAGCACCCCCTCACATCCAGACCCAAAGAAACCCCTCCCCTTCTGCATCCGCCACATCTCCTAATTCCCCCCAAACCCCGCTGTTCACTTTCCCGTCAATAGTTGACTTGGACTCCATAAGTGATCACTTCAAACGGGGAGAGGCTGTTCTCGGCTGCTTGAAATTGTCACTTGTAAACGCTTGGTGTCTTCCCACGACTGATAAAACCATGCTGAACGGTATTACCTAAGCATGAATTTGAGTGTTGGTCACTCTTGGTCCATCAACCGCGCGCCCATTGTGATGGTTCTTTGATAGTGGCAAGTGCATGTTTGGCGTGCCATTGCGGCAGTAGGCCCGTCTGGACAGTCACTGGAATAGACGTCGGAAAACACACTGTATTTGCTCTTGTTCAAAACAAAGTATTTGTGGACAAAAAGGTGCTATGTAACCGTGGTGGCCGACGGCCGAGGATCAAAAAGTGTCCCAGAGCCTCAGCCGCGCCAGTGGCAGGCGCGAGAGTAAGCTCGAGAAAGAAGAGAAGGCCCAAAATTCTAATGGTACCGCGCACCCAAACACCACGCCAACAGCAAGCCTCGCCACCTCCTGAGTGCTGTCGGTAGTCAAGAAACCCACGACAATTTTCCCGTCCCACGTAGTCTCAGCATTGGTAGTCGACATCTGCGACAATTCTAACTGCTTCATTGTCGGCACTCTTGATGTTGAGGCCGATACCATCCTTGGCCTCGTCGGCCTGGGACAGGTACGCGTTGTAGCTCTGGTTCGACCCTTTGGGGCAGACGGTGGACGCCTTGTCGGTGCTGCCTTCTCGGTAAACGTGCAAGCCGGGAATATCCATGTTCGCCATAGAGGCGGTGATGCACGAGGCATCAGCGCCGGACCAAACACCACCGGCTGCTTTGCTGTTGGTGCTGCTGGCAAAGTCGAACTCGACCCAGGTGCCGCCCCACTGGCCATACGCGTTGGTCTTCAGCTCGTTGGGCAGGCACGTGCAGGAGCCCTTCGTGTTTGGAGCGGCTGCCACGTATTGGTACTTGCCTGCGGCAAGCTTGAACATGAAGAGCTTTTCGTCCTTGAAGGAGCCGTTGACCTTAAGCTCCTTGCCAACCTTGAGAAAGCAGGTGCACTGTTGGTCCCTTCTGTCTTTGCCGACGTTGTTGAGCTTGACTGTATACTTGAACTTGTCTGGGTAATCCTTGACAAACGAAGACGGGACCGGCTTGAGGTTGCAGCCGAACTGACCCCCGGTGCCGCCAGTGTTGCCGGGCTCGGCAATCTCTGCGAGGGTCGCGCGCTTCTGCTTGCCGCCTTGACACAGCTCGTCTGGGTCGCTGATGCCCTGACCGTTGTCCTCGCCGTCGTCCGAGTCGGAACCGGTAGAGCTTGGTTGCTCGTACTTGGGAGAGGGCTTCGCTGGCGGGGTGTATGACGGCGGAGGTTCCTCGGGGGCCGAATAACTAGGTTCCGGGGGGGAATCATGGCTGTCTCCGAGGGCGTTGTTATCGACGAAGTTGACTTCTTTGCTTGACGGCCCCACACTCTTGAAGAAAGTCTTGGAGCGGTGGAGATGCTGGTGTAGATGGCCGCTGGGGTGAGCCGAGACACCGAGGGCGGCGGCGAGGATGAGCGTCGTGGCGGAGATCTTCATGGTGACTGAAGCGAGGGATTGTGTTGTAGGATATGATATGCGTCGCTGCAGTCGTGGTCGGGAGACGATTGAATATTGCCAGAATATTCAGGGTCGTCGGTCGGGGTTAGTTAAAGGAGCGTCAAAAGTTGTTCAAGGAGTGCAAGGTGAAGAGAGCGTAGACGAGTTGCACAAAAGGCGGAGGCGGCGATGTTGGGTTTGTAAAGAATGACTTGGCTGGAAGCCGGAAAGGTTTGCAACAGAGCACCGCCGAGGGAAGATGTTGAAGGGGGAAAAGGGGGAGAGAGCGGGAGAAGGGGATGAGCGTTATTAAGCGGGCAAGGGGTGGTTGCTTATTTACCTGGGATATTGACCAGCAAAAAGGAGTCGGTGCGTATGGGATTCGGGAGGGGCGTGTTTGGACGCTGGCCAAGGTGTCTGATTAGCAAGCTCCCCTGTCCACCATCCCCTGTCCACCATCCCCTGTCCACCATCCCCTGTCCACCGTCCCCTGTCTTTTGTTCCCTGGTCCACCCTCGCCACGTCCACCGCAAACGCCGTGTCAGGTTAGTCAGTCAGTCGGTGACGAGGTGACGGGAAAAGGGATTGGAATTCCCACACGTCACCTGGTGGACGGCGGCATCGTGCATTTTGGCAGTCCACAGTGCTGGTGCGCGCTCACCGAAAGGGGGCGGCGGGCTGCCAGGTACCAGCCAGTCCCCATTGGCCCGGCTACCGAAGGGGCGTTTTGCACAGTGCACTGAGGGCCAATCACACAGCCCTGACGATGGTGCCCCGGCCAGCGCATACCGGGTGGACCAAGGTGAGGCCGAAATGGCCGATCAGCTTGGAGCCAACAGTTCTTGCAAGAGATTGCTCAGACAACGGTAGGCTGACAGGCCGGCCAAGGTCAACAAGGCAGGTGGATGACAGGAGCCGCCTTGTCTGCGGCGCTTACCAACAGTGCGGCGGGTGTGCTCTGTTCTAGTGCGCCCATGAACGGGAACGATGGGGGGAAAACCCTCCCGAACCGCAGCAGATCAGCGGATGAACAGGCGGCCCCCCCCCCCCCGTGGATCGCTGGATCCACCAAGCGCTCGCACAGTGCGCGCGCGCCGGAACCAAAACATGTGCGTTTTAGCCGCCGACCAGGCCAAGAAGCATATGCAGGAACGTGGCATGAGGGTGCGCCAATATGCGAGGTGCCTGGCGTGCTTGCCACCTCGAGGCCCTCAGCCCGATGCATGCAGCAGCCATGCCCGTCCTTGCAGCATGACAGTGTGTCCACTGTTGTGCTGGCAGTCTTGATTGCTTACAGATGCCTATCTTGGCTGTTGGATGCCGCGTCAAGGTCGTACCCGACGCTGGAATCTGCTCGCGCCCTCTCGGCCTATCATGCCGTGGAACTGGGGAGGGCGCTTATGAGATTATGAGATATAACCTGATTATTTCGCCCTGTACGCGCCGCCAGCCCCCACGGGGCCCTTGACGGCTTCACAGTGCGCACACGCGTGCCCCGTTTCGTGCCCCGTTTCGTGCCCCGTTTCGTGCCCCGGTACTGCTTCGGCCACGCCTTGAAAGAGGCAAGCCCCAAAAAAACCACGTGATCCAAGCGCCCTCGCACGGTACACCGCCAAACGCCTGTCGGGCCACACGTGTTTTGTTTGGAACGCCACGAATCCAGCTCACCGTCGTCTGCCTGCTGTACAACCGACAAGCTTTTCCGTTGGCGCTGCCCGCACCGGCCACCCCCCCTCCCCTTTTCCGCCTCTCCAGAATGTTTGGAACCTCGAGAACCGTCTATACACTAACTGATATGTACTGTGCAGACGTCGGCAGCGTTAAGTTGCACATGCATCGGTCTGGTGTAGGCGCGTCTGTCTGGGCACTCGCCGTTTCATCTGGTCTTTGTTTGTCTTTCTCTGCAACGGCGCTCCAGGCACATGCCGGGAATGAACAACAAAAGGCTGCCGCGGCATCGACCTCTCTGCATGCCGCCCCCTGTGCCGTCTGTTCCCCTTTTTCCTTCTCGCCCTTTCTTTTCTTCTTGCCCCATTGCCGTGGCAGTGTAAGGAGAGAGACAGGGGGCAACAGGAAGAGTGACAAGGCGGTCAGGCCTGGCAGGTTTCCCGAACGGTCTCCCTGATTATCCAATATACCTACCTTACACCTTACATACAGTACATGCGTTCTGTACGGAGTCCATGAGTCCATACTTGGCAAGCAATCTGCCCCCTTGCATCGCCCAACCGCCAAGGTCGGCGACGGTGGATGGACACGTCTCTCCATGCACGGCCCCAATGAATGCAAAGCACTCATTTGCAGCGCAACCAAACATCTTGTTAGCTGACGATCCTGGCTCCACTGCAATGCCCATGTCAGCGAGCAACAACTCACCACTCTCACTCGTGGCAGCAAAGCTATGGCTGGCCGGCCGTTCGTCTAATCTAAAAACAGCAACGCGTCTTCGGGTCCATCCACTCCCCATCCACTCCCCGTCTCTCCCCTGAGACATCAACAGCAAACTACCGCCTCTGGCCCCGGCCCTTCCGCCATTCAGTGGCATTCAATATCGTTACTTCTCCGCTTCTTCCACGTAGCTTCTACCGCGAGGCATAGGAACCCAAAGCCCAATGAATGGCATGTCGGTGGCTGGCTCGGAGACATGACGGCACAACCTTGTGTTTTTGTCCATTGGCACGTGCTCGCCATGATGCGCGCCCCCCTATCCTCCTCCTCCACATCGCCCTCCGTCGGATATTCTTGTCTTGGGGACCCCATACAGCCCGATGCAATCTCTCCGTCATCGCCATCGTCACAGCGCCCGGAAAGGAGGGGGTTGACAGGTCCTTGGGATCTGTCGCCGTAATTATCCATCCCCCCTTATTCGTAGGCTCGCCATTCTTGCTTGAAGCCCCACGGCTATGCCAGGGATCCCGCCCCTGCTCTCTATCCACCGCCCTGTTTCGCATAGCCTACTGTATGTACCTACTTGATCCCACCGACTGCTCAGAATAGTAATGCCGGCAGTATTAGACATGCCCAAACTTACGAGCTATTAAAGATATAAAACCGGCCGCGTGCGAAACCAACACACATGTTGTGCACACACACACCCCTCTCTGCCTTGAAGCTCTTGAGACAGGTCCGAGATATCACTCTCTGGTGAAAAATGTCCAGGAACGCAACTACGTCGCAGCATAAGACCTCATGAAATTCCAGAACACCGGAAAACAACAACCGCAACCACCGACCGAACCAGCTCTGGCGGAATAAGGACAAGGACACGGCCGCCTCTCTCCAGCCAAGGAGGCCCCCGTTTGCTCGGGCAATGCGCTACCTACAGGCCTCTCGAGTTCTGGCCACGTCATCTCACAATGCTCCTATCCTTGGCTGAGCACCGTAGTATAATTCACTGTCAACAAGTACACATTACCTGTACACCAGATGTATAACAGCTTGATAGGAGGTAATCTGGAAACGCCCAATGCTCCGTGAATCCTGTACCGTGCGTATGCTGCGAGCCGTGGCCGTAAAGTCGTGCATCGTCAATCTTCATTGCTGCTCATGACCCTCACCCTCGTTGCCAATGCCTACCGCCTCCTCCGCCACCAATCCCATCTTGCGCCTCGTCGCCTCAAAAGTAGCTCCTCATTGCGTCCTCGTACCCGGCTCCGCCCCGGAGGTCTCGACCAAACTTGGCGTGCACGTCCAGGACCTGCCTGATATGCCGCATGCTAAACGACTCACCCTTGCTAACAGCCAAGTCTTGAGCCGAGCCCACCACATTCTTGATCTCACGGCCATTGAGGTCGTGTCTGGCTAGGTCCTCCAGGTCGTCCTCGCTGAACGGCTGCAGCTCCAGCTTGCCGAAAGCCTTGATGCGGTCGATGAACATCTTGAAGATGGTCTTCTTGGCCTTGGCATCGAGCGCGTCGTACCGCAGAGCAATGTGGATTCGTGACTGGAAGGCCTCGTCAAAAGTCTTTGCAAACGTCATCCACGGTTAGCAGGCCGTCCACGAGCAAGGGGTCGCAAGTTCGAATACGCACCTCGACACGGTTGGTCGTGAGGAACAAGATTCCCTGAAAGTATTCCAGCTGGCGCAGAAAGATGCTCACGAGGGCGTTGCGATGTATGTCTTGCATGTTTCGCTTCTCCAGAAACACGTCCGCCTCATCAAGCAGCAAAATCGCGCCCCACGCGTGACAAATGTCCAGAATCTTTTGCAGCTCAGCCTCGAGATATCGCGAGTCGGTTCCCAGCTCGCCGGCCGAGGCCATGTAGAGCGGACACTTGAGGAGCTCGCTGATGCCTTCTGCGGTCAACGTCTTGCCTGTACCGGGTGGCCCGTGGAGAACAGCTGAACCAAACGTCAGTCCATTGTCGGAGCCAAGACGATATACTGGCCCTTGCGAGACTTACTGACGAGCCCTTTGCCTTTTCCCTGTATCACATCGTCAATCGTCTGCGTTGGGTGATACTTGCGAGACTGGACGAGCGCTTGGATCAAATCCTTGGTCTCTGGCTCGAGTACAAGAGATTCCCATGCCTTTTCGTTCCACGTAATGTCCTCGACGGCCGACACAGACAACTCCAGCCACTGCTTCTCCGAGAAGGAGAAGCCAAACACAACCGGAGACGCAATGAGATAGTCCTCTTCGGAGAACTCGGGCAGCACCTCGGCAGCCGTCTCGGCGGGGGTTTCAGCTGCATCTCCCCCGACCATGGAGCTTCCGCTCGACGACTTGCCCTCTCGAGGGACGGCCTTTCCCGGGAGCGATTGCAAGATCGTCTCCTCCGTTCCCGCCTCCGTCTCGTGCTTCGGAATCTTGGCCACGAAGACGTCGCCCTTTTCGTTTTTGAAGACCTTGGAGACGTATTCCACTTTTTCGCGCTGTTCGCTTCCATCCGATTCGCACTCGCAGCAGCCCGACTCGTCGCCTGACCCCTCGTCGGACAGAATATCGTGATCCTTTGGCCGAACAGTCGAGACGGAGTAGTTGGGGTTGATACGTCGGAATATGGCAGGATCCACCATCACTCGGCTCTGCTGGACGTTGAATTTGATTATGGAGCCTTTCTTGCGCTTCATATACGCGATGCCCGAGTAGCACTTGTAATGCACGCCGTTGAGGGCGACAAATTTCTTGCCCCTCGCAATGAGGTCCTTTTGAACCTGGTCCTGTTCCTTGTGATACCTCAGAGGGTAGCAGGGCAGGCTCGTGATCTTTCGGGCCCCCTGAAAGTCGGAGATTTCTTCCGCCACGGTGCCGTAGCCGAATTTCTTGCCGTCGAACTCGAGATACTTTCCCTCGATGAAGTAAAAGTCCCCTCTCATAATGGTGGACTGGTGATATGCCATGTCCACCTTGAAAACCCTAGGATCTTCCACGGCTCCGTACGTTGTGCCGTAGATGAGAGTGTTGGGCTTCCACAGCGCCCACAGCAAATCGAACGTGATGACGCCGCTGTCGAGCATGGGGTAAAGGCTTTCCTTGACCTTGGCGTAGTCCTTATCCAGATACTTGATGAGGACCTTGAGCTGTTTTCGTTTGTTTTCAAGGCGGGTTCTGTTCTTCTTGCGCTCCTTCTTGTTGTCGCCAGCTGGTCTCGCTTTTTTTAGGTGCTTTAGGTGTGTACGGAAGTCTTCTAGGTATCTACAACAAACATCAGTCTCATCAGAGATGGATAGAGCGACAAGCCGTGGGGTTCGGGAGAGGGAAAGGAGTATTCACATACAAGAAGAGTAAATTGGGATCCAGCTTTGGAGTTTCGTCAACCAGGCTCGCTCCTCGCACGTTGCCAATGACGTCCTGCAAGCACTCGCGCAAGAGTTTGCTCCTAACATCCACAAATGTTGCACGATACTTTCCTTCGCAGTCGAACGTTCGTCGAACGTGAAAGATGTAATCATCGTATAAAGAGCTCATGGACATCTCGGCCGTGTCCTGGAGTCTGTAGGTGTACAGGGAACTGTCCCAGACCCAGTCAACCCGTTTAAAGTCAACCTTGGTCCTCTTTCGCGTAGCCTTTTTCGAGCTGCCTCGTGGCTTCTTGTTGTCGCTGCTGGTATCGGGCTCTTGGAGATCCAATCTCGGCGCAGATGGTGCACCACGAAATCCTCTTGCAGCTCTCGGGCCGAGACCAAGGCGTCCCAGGCGCTTGGAAGGCGGGGTGACAAAGGAGGCCGGCTGGTTGGAAAGGTTGCCGTTGTGAGCAGAGGGCAGGAGATTGCCAAGATGGCCGCCCGGGAGACCGATTCCCGCTGGGATACTCGGGACCAAGCCACAAACCAGTCCGCCAGTCCCCAGGTGGGGAAAGGGCGTAGTTTGGGCCATTTGGGATTGAAGCTGGGAGATCCTAAGCTCCAACCGATCAATGTGGTGGTATATGTCACCCTTGGCGGCATCCTTGCCGCCCGGGCCCTTGCGGTTGTCTCCATGTGCGTCGGTCGATGTCGTTGAGTCGGAAGAGTCGGAGTCAGAATCCGAACTATTTCGTGTCTGCCTTTTCGCTTTTGCCGAAAGGGAAGACTTGGGCTTGGCTTTGGACTTGCGGGACGGGGCCCGTGCCTTGGAGCTGCGAGACGATTTCTTTGATTTCGGCGCGTCTCTCTCGGTGAAGGGGTCCGAATCCGTGGAGTCGCTGTCGGAGTCTGACGAGCTCTCCTCGCGGTCCTCATCTGAGGATGAGCTGGAGTTGTCGGCTCGCGCAAGTTTCCCCGCACGTTTTGACTTGGCGCGAAGATGGTTTCTGGACCGAGCGGCCTTTGTCGGCTTGCGGGCCGGCGCCTCTTGACGAGTGGCCCTTTTCTTGGACTCGATTTGAGAGGCTTCGACTGATTCTGGATCGTTACTCTTGGTCGGGCCCGTTTCGGCCTTTAGACGCGGAGTTTCCTCAACTGGAGTCTGCAGACTACCAGTGTCTTTTCGGCGATCCGATGGACCAGCGGTGACATCATGAGGCTCCATACTCTGCACGAGCCTGGCCGGTTGGTCGGGGACAAGGCGGATGAAGAGAGAAAAGGAGGCAATGGCCGGGGCGCCAGTTGACGGGATGCAAGGGTGAAGTTGGTGTATAATGTGGGCGAGGGTTCTTGAAGTCGCCACTGGCCGCCAGAACGTATCAGTCAGTAGCAAAGCTTGCTTCAGAATCGGAAGAGGAAGCTCACCTCGCGATGGGCTGGCAAGATGTCACCGACCAAGCGATGGTGTTGAAACGGGATAGAGCCGCAAGCAGGCAGACGCGACTTGTTGCCACTTGTTGGAGGCGATGGCTGCCTTGAGGGCGGTCTTGTAGGCAGGCACTTGGGCTCGAGAGGAGCAGCAAGGAGGGAAAAGTCGGAGAGACGGGGAAGAGAAAAAGAAGCAAAAGGGCGGCCAGCAAAGGAGGTTGGCAGGAAAGAAATATATACCTTGGCCGCCTTAGCTGGGACTGCAAGGCAAGGCAAGGCAAGGCAGATAGGTAAGGTAGGTAGGTAGGTAGGTTAAGGTAGGTATGCTAGTAGGTCAGGGTCAGACGATAAAAGACGGGGTACCTCCCATTATCTATCTACACGCAGATCTACACGCAGATGGGTACCCAAAGAGTCATGTACAGTAATTGATACAGTAGGTAGGCTCCGTCTGCACCAACCAAATTTTCTGCGGAGGCCCTGATGCCTTGTGCACCGACAGGCACATCAGGCAGAGAGACTCCCACGCAGGCAACCGCCGACAGCAATGACCCGTCAGAGATGCAGACTGTCGAGGAAGCGGGGCGAGCCAAAGCAAGGCGGAAATCGAGGTTACGTGATGGGATTCTCGACTTGGGCACAGCTTGTCGGCAGTGGCGGCCCAATAAGACGGCCTTGCGTGGCTCGTCGACGTCGCACGCTTCGTTCGCGTGTGCTACAGGAACGCCTCGTCCACGCATTCGCACAAGGACTGATTTGCTGTGTTCGAAGCCTTTGCACAAGTGCAGCACCTGGTGCGTTGTTGGCCCGTCGAGAACGCTGGCGGCGTGTGTTGCCGAGCAAGCTCTCTGTTCCTCCGCTGGGGGGGGTAGCCCGGGGGGTGGGGGGGGAGAAGCGCAGCTCCGGATCGGCAGCAGTCGAGGGAGCGGCCCGTCGCCACTAGGCAACTTAGCTGGTCTAGAACAGCCCAAGAAAAGACGGAGGATGGCTCCACTTGGTGTCTAACGTCCACTGCAGAGAAGGCTGCCTGGATACTCGGTAGCATTACTAACTAAACGTCGGATATAAACGTTGGATATGAACGTTGGAAATCTGCAGGTCCTCCTCTCGGCCATCTGTCACAGGGCGAGGCTTGCAAGGTAGGCCGAGTGTCATCTTTTGCTGGCAGCCTCATGGGCCGTTGGGCTCATGCAATCAAGCAACGACATGTCCATCCGCAAAACGACGCAGAAGCAGCTTGCCTGCGGTGCGGCAACGGCGTATTGACAGGAACCTGCGGTTACCCGCAAGGTACGGATAGGTAATTACCTACCGGTACCTCCTTTCTACTAAGGTCCTTGCTGCTGTCGTCGTCACCTTACTAGGTACTTACTTATTAAGTTAGTTAAGTACTACCTACCTTAGGTAGTAAGGTAGATGCTGCGGGGTCCAACTGACAGCGCCTACTAATTACCTACTAGGCAGTATCACGAGGTACTAGGCACAGTATTCGCCGTTTGTGACTCAGCCCAGGTAGTTAGTTACCTTATGTATGCAAGCATCGTCTTCATCGAGGCAAACGTCTGCCTTTGTCTCACGGCTAAGCTAAATCCCGTTTCACGCCGAGACCAATGTCGTGGTGGCAGGTACCTAGAAGTGCCTCGCAATGACTTTGGCTAGTCGTGTGGCTATAGCCGCAACAAGTCGTGTTCCCTGACGATCCCCGTGCGCGACAACGCCCCCTCTTGAGCCCGTCCCCTCGTCTTCCATGCTCGTCCTCCATTCACCGAGTCTCCATCCACCGAGTCTCCATCCACCGAGTCTCCATCCAACGAGTCATCAATTGCTGGTCGCGCCCTTGAACGCTCTCTTGGCCTGAAAACCCGCCGGCAATCTTCTCTGCATCGTCGCATCTTCAGTCGCCCCCCCCCCCTCCGCCATGCCCAGCCTTTCTCGCTGGACCGCCATTGACCGGGCTCTGGGCTTCAACCGAGAACCCGACCAACATGGCCGTGGCCGCCGCCGCTCTCGTCTTCACGAGGAAGAACAAGCTTGTGAGTTCCTTCCGCCCGACCCGCGACTACCAGCTGATCCGTCTCTTGCCAGTGCTTTCACGCTTTCACACTGACCATGGACGATCCGCTGTGCCACCCGCAGAGGCGACAAAGGTGTGCCTGCGCCTGCGGCACTTGATCCAGGAATGCGTGCCGTGCGAGATGGAGGAGAGCCGAATCACAACCCCGCACAGTCGAGTCATTACAACCAGCGTCATCCAGGCGGCAAAGGACGCTGGTGGCCAGGAGCACGCCGGTTGTGTGGTGAGCTCCTCTTCCTCTGTCCCCACCTACACGCCTTGCCATCGTCTTACCTCCCCTAGGTCTATTGCTTGCTCGTCAATCAGCGCTGGTTTCGCCATGAGGCACTCGTCGAGCTCTGGGATTCCGATCTCCACAAGCTGCGCGCCGAGGCCTGCGGTGTCATTGCCAAGGCCATGTATGCTTGACAACTTGGGCAATGCTGCTCCCCGCTGACAATCGACCTGCCGCACAGCATCGAGACCGAAGAGGACATGGGCTATCTGCTGCATGCTGTCCTGCTCCGTCGATATTCAATTCTTGCCGACGGCGCACCCACGACTCCCGCCAACGTGGTTGAAAAAGCAGTCGACCTACATGCCGTCCGAGTCATCGGATCCTCAGGCTATCAGAAATGCATCAGCCATCTCTGGCGCGGCTGGCTCGTTCAAGACGAAGACGACCCCTCCGTCTTTGTCGACTATCAAGACAAGGACAACACCAGTTTCCTCGCCCACATGGATCCCGATCGCATGAGGGCTCCGAGATACCAAAACGCCGCGCAGCTGCTCTTCTCCCTCGTCTACCTTGGCCTCTACACGGCCGCGATCAACTCGGTCAATCCGACTGGCGTGCTGGATACGGCCGAGGTGGCCATGTACATCTTCACCTTTGGATTTGTGTGCGATGAGGTCATCAAGTTTTACAAGGCCGGCTACCAGATCCTGGGCTTTTGGAACGCCTTCAACGGTGTCTTGTATGCCTTCCTGACGGCGTCGCTTGTTCTTCGCATCATCGGCTTGACCGCTGCGAGTGGCTCCGACTTTCGTAGTCATTACAGCACCCTAAGCTACAACATGCTGTCCTTCATAGCTCCCATGTTCTGGACGCGCCTGCTGCTCTACCTTGACAGCTTCAGGTTCTTTGGGGCCATGCTCGTGGTCCTCAAAGTCATGATGAAGGAGTCGGTCATCTTCTTTGCTCTGCTCATCATCATTGTCATTGGCTTTCTGCAGGCCTTCATCGGCCTTGATCTCACCGACGACAACGTCGCTGGCGACGCCCTCTTCATCATCGAATCCATGATGAAGGCCATTCTGCAGAGCCCCGAGTTTGATGGCTTTGAGACTTTTGGCCCGCCATGGGGAATCATCCTCTACTACTGCTTCACCTTTGTTGTCATGGTACGTTGCTCAGTTTTGGCCCGAGGGGACCATCACCGCCGTCTAACTCTGGCTCCTTCTCCATAGATCATCCTCCTCAACATTCTCATTGCTCTCTATAACTCCGCCTACGAAGACATTTACGACAATGCCGACGACGAGTACCTCGCGCTGTTTTCTCAAAAGACACTGCAATTTGTGCGCGCCCCCGATGAAAATGTGTACATTGCGCCCCTCAATCTCATTGAAATTGTCATATCGGGATTATTTGAATGGTGGATGAGGAAGAGGACATATGAATTCATCAACGACTGCATCATGGGTCTTCTCTACTCCCCCCTCTTGTTTGTTGCGGCCTACTTCGAAACCCGGACAGCACATGGAATCCGACGAAACCGAGCTCGAGGCGAAGACGACGACGACGTCATTGAGGAATGGGAGCGACTGGCCCAGGAACTTGACTTTGCGGCGGAGGGGTGGGCGAAAACATGCGAGGCTGTGAAGCCGAATCTGGACGATGATCCAGCAGTCCTTGAAGTCAGGAAGTTGCGAGCCGAAGTCGATGAGGTCAAGGCGATGCTGGCAGAAATAGGCCGTGCAGTCGGCATCAAGTCTACCAAGCAGCAAGGGTCCAAGAACGACGAGCCGTCAGACGGGCAGCCACTAAACCGCAAGTCTGGCACATCAGATGTCAGCTCAGACACGACAGCAAGGCAGGGCGATTCAAGATCTAGCAGAAGCACGGGCGACTAGCTAAGATATTTCGTGGGAGGGACGCTGAGCACTGATGAAACGAGGGAGCCAGAGATGAGTGATACACCTTGTATTCTTTAACATAGATGTGCGCGGCAATGGCGCTTATGGGGGTATCATGATTGGAAAAGCCGCTGGTAGGCTTGCACTGGAACTCCCCAACTGCCCAACCACACTGCAACTCCAGATAGTGCAATGATGTCACTTGTCCTCGGCTTCCTCCTCCCTTCCGGGGGGGAAGTACTTGCTTTAGGTTGGAGTTGCTGCATCAGCAACTGCGCACAACAGATCGTTGACATGGCGGGAGGGCGAACGGGTGAGTCGACTTACGGGATCATCGCTTCGTAGGAAGCCACGTCCTTCTGTTCAAATGTGACAAACACAACTCTCTCGATCTTGCCGGCGTCTGTCTCTAGAAACTTCCTGACAGTCTCGCAAGCCACCTGGGCGGCGTCTTTGCTGGGGTATCCATAGACTCCGGTGCTGATGCAGCTGAAGGCAAGCGATTTGACGCCTTTCTTGGCCGCCACCTCAAGGCTTTCCTGGTAGCAGCTTCGCAAGAAACGCTCGCTACGCTGTGGATCCGCGTGACTGTACACGGGGCCGACGGTGTGGATGACGTTTCTAGCAGGGAGGCGATAGCCGCGAGTGATCTTGGCCTGGCCCGTGGGGCAGCCGCCGAGGCCACGGCACTCTGCGAGGAGCTCGGGCCCCGCAGCGCGGTGGATGGCGCCGTCGACCCCGCCTCCGCCGAGGAGGGAGGTGTTGGCGGCGTTGACGATGGCGTCGAGTCGCAGCTTGGTGATGTCCCCGCGGGTGAGGCCGACGCGGGCGTTGATGGCGGAGGAGGGGAGCGGGGCATTTGCCGATGGGGGCGGTGCCTGGAGGGGAGCGGTAGAGTGATAGAGCTGGACCAGAGTCGGTATGTCTCCGAGAGCCTTGATGGTGGCCATGGTGGTTTGGAGGAGCCTGGCTTGTACCGAGTAGCTGCAGTGTAAGCTGCAAGTCGAAAGAGTTGGGGTTGCGGTGTTGATGTGATAGCGTGGAGGTGAATCAGAAGACGAGATGGGCTATTCACGTTTGAGATGAGAGATGTCGTAATTCACTGGTTAAGAATTGTATGAATCATTGTTGGGCGAAGTTCAATAAGTTGGGGTGTAGTTGTAATTATCGTAGGGGAAAGTCTTATGTGGTCGCGCAGGAGGGCCTACCCTATAGCTAGGTAGTAGGTAGCGTCAGACCGATTGCCGTTTTGGCGACCCCTCCTTGAAGAAGGACCAGCCACAATCAACCCCGCTATCCTCTGACCCAACGACCCTTGGATTTGACTCATTTATCCCTGGACAGCACAGTTTCGCTCTCGCCTTATAATATCTCATCTGCCACTCGAAGCAGTCCCTGACGCGCATCCTCGTTACCCGGACCCTATCCTACGCCACGCCGCAGCAAAATGGCTGACGATGTATCCAAGTCCATGGCCAAGCTCCAGCTCGACGAGGAGACTGGGGACGTGGTCTCCAAGGCCGAGTTGAAAAAACGCCAGCAGAAACGAGCCAAGAAGGCCGCGCAGGAGAAGGCGCGACAAGAAAAGGCCGCTGCCGGACCCAGCAAGCAGGCGCCGACCCCTGCCCAGAAGGCCGAGGAGCAGCCGATTGACCCAGACGCGATGTTCAAGCAGGGCTTCCTCGATGACGTCTACAAGGAGCGCCCAGTCAACAATGTCGTCACCCGATTCCCGCCCGAGCCCAATGGCTACCTGCACATTGGCCATGCCAAAGCCATTGCCGTCAACTTTGGCTTCGCCAGGCACCACGGCGGCGTCTGCTACCTGCGATACGACGATACCAACCCGGAGGGAGAGGAAGAGAGATACTTCGCCTCAATCCTGGAGGTGGTACGGTGGCTGGGGTTCGAGCCATCCAAGATCACCTACTCGAGCGACAACTTTGAGAGGCTCTACGAGATGGCCGAGAAGCTTGTGACGCTCGGCAAGGCCTATGTTTGCGCCTGCAACGGTAAGTAGGACCTGTTTGGAGCCTAGGCGCCTCGAGAAGCCTTGTCCCGACTCGTGACTGACGTGCCGGGAGCCTAGACGCTGAAATGAAGCTCCAGCGTGGGGGCCTGGGCGCAAATCCCCGGTATCGCTGCCAGCACGCCGAGCAGTCAGTAGAAGATAACTTGGCCAAGTTCCGAGACATGCGCGCCGGCAAGTACAAGGCCAAGGAGGTGATTCTACGCATGAAGCAGGACATTACCGATGGAAACCCCCAAATGTGGGATCTTGCGGCCTATCGCATCAAGACGGACCAGCCTCATCACCGAACCGGTTGGGACTGGAAGATATATCCCACGTACGACTTTACCCACTGTTTGTGCGACAGCTTCGAGGGCATCACGCACTCACTCTGCACCACCGAGTTTGTCCTGAGTCGCGTCTCGTACGAATGGCTGAATAAATCGCTCGAGGTCTACGAGCCGATGCAGAGGGAGTACGGACGGCTGAACCTGTCTGGCACTGTTCTGTCCAAGCGGAAACTCATCGAACTGGTAAAGAATAAGATTGTGCCAAGCTGGGATGACCCGCGACTCTATACCCTGATCGCTATCCGCCGACGCGGCGTTCCTCCGGGCGCGATCCTCGAGTTTGTCAACGAACTGGGTGTCACCACGAGCACCACCACCATTCAGATCCAGCGCTTTGAGCAGACCATTCGAAGGTACCTGGAGAAGACGGTCCCTCGGCTGATGATGGTCCTCGATCCCGTACCGCTGGTGATTGAGGACGCCGCCGCCATCGAGGTCGAACTCCCGTTCTCTCCCAAGGACCCCAAGATGGGCTCGCACAAGGTCACGTTTACCTCGACCGTGTACATTGAGCGAGATGATTTTAGGGAGGTGGATAGCAAGGACTACTTCCGACTTGCGCCTGGCAAGACTGTTGGGCTTCTCAACGCCCCTTTCCCGGTCAAGGCCGTCTCGTTTACCAAGGACGAGGCGACTGGCAAAGTTACCGAGATTCGCGGCGTATTTGACAAGGAGACGAAGAAGGCCAAGGCATACATCCAGTGGGTCGGTACGGAGGGGTCGAGGAAGGTCGAGGCTCGTGTTCACAAGTCGCTCTTCAAGTCGGAGAAACCGAGCGAGGCAGAAGGCGGTTTCCTGAACGACGTCAACCCGGACAGCCTGGACATCTACCCCGAGGCCTTGATCGAGTCGGGCTTCGACGAGGTGAGGCGTCGCGCGCCGTGGCCCGAGGCGGCCGGCGAGAGCGAGCTCGGAAAGGGGGGCCCCGAGAGCGTGCGGTTCCAGGCGATGCGGGTGGCCTACTTTGTGAGTCACTATCCCATCTGAAGGACGATTGCTGGGGGAGATTCATGTCGTTGCTAACGCGAGACGTCTGTTAGGCCATGGACTCGGACACGACGGCGGAAAAGATTGTTCTCAACCGCATCGTCAGCTTGAAGGAAGACGCAGGTAAGAAGCAGTAGGGACAACACGAAGAAGGAGGTTTTCACGGCGTTGCATGGTGGGAAAGCTTGTCGGCTGCATCACGACTGGTGGGGAGGTTGGCCGAGGAGTTTATGCCCAGACTTTGATGGCTTGACCGAGGCGAGGAGAGTAAATGCAGGGGAAGGATGTCTTGATGAACGGATGCCTATGTGCCCAGCATGTTGTTATGCATATATCCATCTCTACATAGACGTGGATGTAGACATATCTTGACCTGGAACAGCGGCTCAGCTCTGCCAGGTGACGATGACGCGACTTATTTAGGCTCGTGCATGAGGTCTCGTACTGTGGCGCTGTTTGACGGCCAGTGAGTTGTCTTTCCTATCTTGGCTGGCGAGAGCCTAGTGCAGGACAAGGTTCCTCTCCGTTGATCGTTCAAGGGAACTCTAATTTCTGCCTGTGAAATGAATGCGATCGGAAAATGAAGTGATGGGAAGACATGTCAGCAAGGGGCCTGGGCAAGGGGAGGGAAGGGAGCAGACGGGCAGAGCGGGAAGGGAACGGGGCGGCTGCGTGGGCCGTGGAGGACTGGGCAGGTGGTGCGGAATCGTCAACGAGTGAGGTGTAACCGGAAACTTGACGACACGACAAGATAGTGCCTGGCATACATGATGATACAAGGTGAAGCGTGGTCTAAGTGGTGGGTGCCTGGCCGACGAGAGGTCATCTACACTGCACCTTGGCAATTTTGTTTTCAAGGACACAGTCAACGGTTCGCTTGGTAGCACGGCCTGAGACACTCCACGAGCCAGAGCTATCGAATCGAGCTGGATCTTGACTTTGATGAGCCGCAAGTAGTGACGGACAGGGCTGTTTCACGCCTGGTCGTGTTACAATTCTGACTGGACCGGCCAAGCCAGTCGCGTGCTGAAAGTCTCAATATTCTCGTGTACGTTGCTAGTGACGAACATGTCCCGATGGGCAAGAATGAATGTCTTGGGTGGGACAAGTGTCTGAGGGCGGGCCGAAAGAGTCACTGCGCAACAAAGTCGGTCAGGCCTGAGATTGGTGTCAGAGGGCAAAGAGGAGAGAACCTGCTCCCTGGTGAGAGGTCGCTTTCTCCGCCCCTGCGCCCCAAGGGGGAATTCAGCCTAGGCCGGAGTGCCGGTTTTCTCTTGGGACGGACCAAGTGTCCGTGTTTCGAGAATGTCGACTGTACCAAGCACTGTCTTTGGTGCCTTGGCCAAGCAAACTTTTGCCACAAATATTTGACGTAGGCGGCCAGCGAGGTCGTCGGCGAAGACAAAAATTAAAATTTAAGTAAACAGCCGCCAGGATGCGGACCTATAGAGGACTGCATTTCCCATCATTGCCAATCATCCGTATCTGGCTGGCTGCGCGCCGGACAAAGACTCACTCACCGCCTTTGCCGTCTTACTGCCCTTCGGGCTTAGCGCGTCCCGATAAAGTCCGATAAGCCTCAAACCTTGCGAATTTTTTTATCTTGTACCCCTCAACCCCCCTCTGCCGCCCATGTGCAGGCCCCAGCACTGAGGGGTTACATGCGGCAAAGAAAAATCTACCTCGCCCTGGGAAGAGAGTCGAGGGCCTCCAATAAGAATCAAAAAGAAAAAAAAATTGTGCCCCCAAGGGACAAGGCATAAAACTAATCGCCCCCGGCGTCTCCCTCCCACTTTTCGTCTTCCGCCCCAGTCTTCCCCCCCATTTTTCTCCCTCTCCCCTTTTTCCCACTCTCTCCCTCCGTCTGTCCTCTTCGTCCTCTCTCTCTCTCATATTCATCCTCATCTTCTGTTCGTCTCCTCCAAGGCGAATCGTGGACCCATCCGCTTCCCACCACTCCTCCTCGTCGAGCTGTTCCCCTCCATCGGTGGACAGCCCCGCGTTGCCGATCTACCAAGACAAAAAAAGCCGCGATAAAGCAGAGTCGACTCTGTGGGCTTCCCATCCTCACGATAGACCAGACTCTCGAGTCTCCGAGTTCATCCCAAAGACGCCAGTTCGTTTATAGAGCTTCGGTTTCCTTTTCCTCTACGTGACCCTCGTCGACCGACTTATACCCATCACCATGCCTTCCGAAAACGCCCAGTCCGTCAAGGTTCTGGACGAGCTCTTCCAAAAGCTCACCGTCTCCAAGGACGCGGCAGAGGTCAAGGAGTCATCCATTGAGCTCGCCAGCTTCATCAACGGTCGCATCGAGGACCAGGCCGTTCCTGCAAAGTGAGTATTTCCTTACTCCCTCGCCTCCGGCGCACAAGGTGCTGGGGGATTTGGGGAATTTTTTTTCTTGTTTCGGCCAGTCGCATTCCCCCCCGCCCTCACTGTACAGTACATGCGTTCCCCCACCTCACCCCTCCCAAATTTCACTGTGGCCGCTGCACGATTCGCCTCCTCCTTGTTAGTGTCGCGACCTTGGCCCAAGTCTTGCCGCCGCATCGGGACCCTGCACATGCGTGCAAGGCGCTAACGGAACCTCTTCCCCAGGACTTTTGAGAGCTTCAAGAAGCAACTCGGCAACAAGAAGGATGCCGTCGCCCGCGAGAGAGCTTGCACGGCCGTCGCCGCCATTGCCTCGCACTCGGAAGTCTCGGCTTCCGTCGAGCCCTACCTCGTCGTCCTTCTCCCCAGCCTTTTGGCTGCTGTCGGCGACAAGATCACGGCCGTCAAGAATGCCGCCTCCGCCGCCGTCCTCGCCGTCGCCGGCGCTCTGAACGGCAATGCCGTCAAGGCCGCCCTCCCCGCCATCATGGACTCTCTCCGCAACGCCCAGAAGTGGCCCGAGAAGATGACGGCTCTCGACTTCATTGACACCCTCATCAAGACTGCCCCCGCCCAGCTGGCCTTCCGCGTCCCCGAGCTCATCCCCGTCGTCTCCGAGTCCATGTGGGACACCAAGAAGGAGGTCAAGGAACGCGCCTACAAGACCATGGAGCAAATCTGCCAGTTGATCGTCAACAGGGATATCGAGCGCTTCATCCCCGAGCTCATCAAGTGTATCGCAAAGCCCGAGAACGTCCCCGAGACGGTCCACTTGCTTGGTGCCACCACCTTCGTCACCGAGGTCCAGGAGCCCACTCTAGCCCTCATGGTCCCCCTACTGGATCGTGGTCTGGCCGAGCGCGAGACTGCCATCAAGCGAAAAGCGGCCGTCATTGTTGACAACATGTGCAAGCTCGTCGACGACCCCAATATTGTCGCCCCTTTCCTGCCCAAGATGATGCCTGGCCTGCAAAAGAACTTTGACAACCTGGCTGATCCCGAGGCTCGCGAGAAGACCAAGCAGGCCTTGGACACCCTCAGCCGCGTCGGCAACGTCAAGGACGGCAAGATTCCCGAGGCCCGCAACGACGGTGACCTCAACGTCGTCCTTGGCAAGGTCAAGGAGGTCTTCACCGGCAAATACGCCAACTACCTCGACAAGATGGGCCCCGTCGCCGAGCACATTGCCGCCATTGCCGGCCAGCTCATTGACGAGAAGGAGACCGAGTCCGCCGTTTGGGTTGAGAGCCTCAAGCCCTACGTTGCCGTCGTCACTGGTATCGACAACGCCGAGTCCATGGTCCATAACCTGCGCAAGCGTGCCTCTCCAGGTGCCGCCGAGGCCGAGGAGGGCGATGCCGACGACGAGGAGGGCGAGGATCTCTGCAACTGCACCTTCTCCCTCGCCTACGGTGCCAAGATTCTCCTCAATCAGACTCATCTGCGCCTCAAGCGCGGTCAGCGCTACGGTCTTTGCGGCCCCAACGGTTCCGGCAAGTCAACTCTAATGCGCGCCATCAACAACGAGCAAGTCGAGGGCTTCCCCAAGCAGAGCGAGGTCAAGACCGTCTTCGTCGAGCACGACCTCGACTCGGCCGACACCGAGATGACCACCATCGACTGGACCATGAAGAAGCTGTCCGAGGCTGGTGTGACGACGACCCAGGCTGACGTCGAGAAGCAGCTGGTTGACTTTGGCTTCACCCCGATCATGATCAGCGGCGAAATCACCGCCTTGTCTGGTGGCTGGAAGATGAAGCTTGCCCTGTGCCGTGCCGTCTTCGAGGCTCCCGACATTCTGCTGCTCGACGAGCCCACCAACCATTTGGACGTGAAGAACGTCAAGTGGCTGGAGGACTACCTCACCAACTCTCCCTGCACCTCCATTATCGTCTCTCACGACTCTAGCTTCCTCGACAACGTTTGCCAGCACATTGTCCACTACGAGCGCTTCAAGCTCAAGCGCTACCGCGGCAACCTGGCCGAGTTCGTCAAGCGCGTGCCGTCTGCCAAGTCGTACTACGAGCTCGGCGCCTCCGAGATGGAGTTCGCCTTCCCCGAGCCCGGTTTCCTCGAGGGCGTCAAGACCAAGGCCAAGGCCATTCTGCGCGCCACCAGGATGTCATTCCAGTACCCCGGCACCTCGAAGCCTCAGATCATGGACATTAGCTTCCAGTGCTCTCTCGGCTCTCGTATTGCCGTCATCGGTCCCAACGGTGCCGGCAAGTCGACCCTGATCAACGTCTTGACGGGTGAGCTCATCCCGACCCAGGGTGAGATCTACCAGCACGAGAACATCCGTATCGCCTACATCAAGCAGCACGCCTTTGCCCACATCGACAACCACCTGGACAAGACGCCCTCAGAGTACATCCAGTGGCGATTTCAGACTGGTGAGGATCGCGAGACCATGGACCGAGCCAACAAGATCATCACCGAGGCCGACGAGAAGGCCATGGACAAGATCTTCATGGTCGAAAACACGCAGCGCCGCGTCATTGGCATCAACTCGCGCAGAAAGTTCAAGAACAGCTACGAGTACGAGTGCTCGTTTGCGATCGGCGAAAACGTGGGCATGAAGAACGAGCGCTGGACGCCCATGATGACGGCGGACAACGCTTGGCTGCCCCGAAACGAGCTGCTGGCCTCTCACCAGAAGATGGTTGCCGACGTGGACATGAAGGAGGCCCTGGCCTCCGGCCAGTTCCGTCCCCTGGTCCGCAAGGAGATTGAGGTGCACTGCGCCAACTTTGGCCTCGACGCCGAGCTCGTCTCCCACTCTCGCATGCGCGGCCTGTCTGGTGGCCAGCGTGTCAAGACTGTGCTGGCTGCTTGCTCGTGGCAGCGCCCCCATCTCATCGTTCTCGACGAGCCCACCAACTACCTGGACCGCGACTCGCTCGGTGCCCTGTCCAAGGCCCTGAAGAAGTTCGAGGGCGGTGTCATCATCATCACCCACTCGGCCGAGTTCACCAAGGACCTGACGGAAGAGGTCTGGGCCGTCATGGACGGTCAGATGACGCCTTCGGGCCACAACTGGGTCAGCGGTCAGGGCGCTGGTCCCCGCCTCAAGCAGGGTGACGATGACGAAGAGGACAAGTTTGATGCCATGGGCAACAAGATTGTCACGACCAAGAAGAAGGCGAAGCTGACGTCTTCCGAGGCGCGTAAGAAGAAGAAGGGTAAGTGGTGCATTGCGCGAGGCTCTTTTAAGGCGACGATGCTAATACATGTCCGACAGAGCGCATGGCTCGCCGCAAGCGTGGTGAGGAGGTGTTCAGCGACGAGGACGAGTAATACGGGCCCCGTAGCGACGACCGCGTATTTGCATTTTGTCTTGTTTGTATCGTGTCGCGAGGGTCGGTGACGAAAAAAAGTGATTGGTGACATTTTGGTAATGGTTTTATGACGGTCTACCTATAGACACGGCTAGATGCGGGTATTTGCCGAAGGCAAGACGCGTTGGGATTGGAGGATCTCGACGAGGCTGGCACTTGGTGGACCACGGCACAGGAGGATGAAGATAGACGGTACTCGGCAGAGGAGCCCGAATTTAGAGGTTACATGTTGACGTGCGTGTGGTTTGTGATGTCGAGTTTAGCCAGTCAGAGTGGCCTTGTTTCCTCGAGACGTCCGATGGGTTGGACAAGTTTCCGTCGGAACCTCTTGGTCTCGCCATTCATTTCGGAATGCAGGGGCCGCGCCGGAAAGCAGACATGAGGCTCCGTTACAGGCTCCGTTACAGGCACCCCGTAGCATACTGATGCGCATACACAATCCGAATCTCGACGTCGAACGATTCTTTCGTGGTGTATGCTCTCGAGCCGCCAGGATCCGCAACGCTGTGACACGCAATATAGTCCATGTCGGTTGTTGGACCTGCAGCCTGCTTCAGGCACGAGCGGTGGAGACGGCGGTTAAGAAGGTCAAGTGAGCCAATAGGAGCCGGTCCGCTGAGCTCGATGTGGCCGAGAGCCCGTCCCGAAGCTCAGGAGTCAAGAGGTAGCCGCTGCCACGAGCTCCCGAGGTGGTGTTGAGAGAGAGGCCCGGGGCAGCCAAGAAGTAATCCCGCCGAAGCCGATGGGGCCAATATTTGAGTCTTGCAGATGCGGCACGTGGCATATCACTATCTAGTCACCGAGTGTCTTGCTCTATTGATCCCATCTCTGTCGTCTTGACATAAATATATGGCTTCGAGACGAGACGGTTCCAAGGGGAGCCATTCCTCGGCCTGTGCCTTGTTGGACGCGTCGACAGCTCCTCTTGCCCCAAGATGAGGTCCGACACTTTGTTTCCCGTCTTGTTCGCCGCCGGCGGGCTTTGCAATCTCCACCTGCAGCATGCGGTGGTCAAGAGCTTCACATCCAGGCTGAAGCGCGACGTCAGGATCGACTGGGGACACCCTCCCACGTTTGACACTAATCTGGTGTCTGAGCCGACTGCTTGGCCGTGGACCATGACATGCAATCCGGTTGAATTCAAAATAAGAAAGGAGATGGCCCAGCCGCGGCCTTCGAAGCCGACCTCGACCCCATACCAGCCGAATGTCACCATCTACTATACTCCGTACATGGAGAACAGCATCATAAACATGGGCGACGACGACATTACGTTCTCGGTGGAGCAGTCGACGACCAGCATAGACAGCACCACCGAGGGCTGGCAGATTGGGGCGCAATTGACGGCGGGCGCCGAGAGCGTCGCCCTCGGCATCTCGGCGGGATACTCCAAGTCGTGGACGACGGGGAATTACAAGACAAAGGCAGTGTCGATTCACACGACGTGCAAGCCCGGCTATGACTGCCGCATCGAGACTTGGACCTTTCATCTCAAGATATCTGGATCCTGCAAGCTCCGGCCCATCATCGTCTGCGGCGCCGAGATAGACGCTTGCGTCGGCAAGTTCTCCCGCGCTCCATCCAACCAGTTCAAGGCCTTTGGGCAGAAGCACTGCCCGTCTCACCCGCCTAACCAGCCTTATAAATTCGAGGCCTGCGAGGTAAACACGCCCATCTTCGACCAAGTCGGGAAGCCCCTCACCCGCCTAGTCCGCATTTCCGAAAAGATCATACCGGAATCCGACGACAACGAAGCCACCAAGGCCCTCAAAGCGGTAGCGGCAGAGGACGGGTGGTACCAGCTGGAGAATGGCGAATGGTACGACCCCAAGGACGACATGTATTACGGCAACAACGGCGACGGTTGGTACTCCAAGCCAAACATGCCCAAGCCCGACCTTTCCAGGTTCCAGGAGGCTGCTCCGGCGAGGCGCGGGGAGGTGGGCAGCGCCCGCGGAGGCGTACGGCGCGCGAGGTCACTGGTTGCCGCGAGGAGGCGGGTTGAGATTGTGTTCTTGGACAAGGCGGGCTTTTGATGCGGGAGGGAGGAGATGCTTGTTGTCCATACTTGGACTCTCGATGCAAAATAACGAGAAATCTGCCTTAGCCTGGACGACATCAGTTCGAATACGCGTTATGGATACACAGCTAGTTGAGGACTGGGAAGCCAGTCTCCAGGGGTATTAGTGTGCTCATCTGGAACTATACAAACAATGAAGCATTATACCAAGCCGATGGCGACCGTAACACTTTGAGAGAACAAGATCAGACTCCAATGGACACATCGCAAGGCCCTGGGCTTCCGAGGCTGTTGCGCAAGGCCCTCTCCCCGTCGTTGTATTCCGTTGCCGGGGACTTCATCTTGCATATACCGATAATACCACCTCCCGACACGACCATCTCTACAATCGGTTCTTGGCACTTATAGCCGACATCCATGGCGTCCGGTAAGCGCTCCGGGGGCCCGCAAGGTTGCTTCGGCAAACCGAGGTGCGTCTGTCGAGGGCGCTTCTGGCGTCCCTCGACACTTGCATCGGTGGACTGCCGCCGCCGGAGACCGGCACGTATCCCCGGCGTTCGACCTGCAGGCCCTTGCCGGCAGTTTCTGCTCCCTATGCCGCCTCTTACAGAGCCGAGACACATGACACGTGGATGGGACTGCGGTGCGGTTTGCCAGCGCTGAAGGCTACTCGAACAAGACAGGAAAACACATGTACAAGACCGACACGACAATGTGTATGAGTAGATTCTCCCCCTCCCCCTCCCCCTCCCCCTCGCCCCCGTCACGGCACCCTGATCTTGGGGTTGCCGATGTACATCCCGGGCCGCATCCGTCCGGCAAAGAACTGGCAAATGGCTTTTTAGTATCGCCGTCGACCGGGCTTCCAAGTTTCACTCACCATCTTGTCGGGCCCCTGGGTGGCCATGCCGAGTTTCTTGCCCGGCTGCGCGGGTGGCTTCGACGTCACCAGGCCCGGGGCTTTCGACGGCTTGCCCAAGTTCTGAGCAGCCATGCCGTGGCCGAATTTCTTGGGGGCGTCTTTCAGCGGCTTCGACGGCGTCTGGGCCGGCCACACGTCGGCCACCAACTTGGGCGTCTTGGGCCCCGGCCTGTGGCCCGGCTTGCTCTTCTCGCCCGCCTTTTTCGGCGGCAGCTTTGGCCTGGTCAAGTGGCCGTCCGTGGCCTGGCCCTTCGCCTTGGCCACCATGTTCCGGAGGCCCTGGACTACTTTCCGGGCCGCCTGTCTGAACGCCCCCGGCTGCAGACTCCGCTGAAGCTTGTCCAACAGCCGGATCTGGTTCGGCGTCTCAACGTGGTTCTTGGTATAATCACCCGGCAACAGCTTCCTCGGCGACGGCTTCTCATGCTCGCTGTACACCTGCAGAGCCGTGACCATGGTCCCGGTGCGTCCATGCCCATAGCCACACCAAACCAGCGTGCCCGCCCGGTGCTCGCGAAAGGCCGCATAGCCCGTCTTCATGTCCTCGAGCGTCGGGGTGGAAAAGTCCTTCACGGGCAACGGCGTGTAGGCGATGTTGTTCCGCCGGAGAAGGTCCTTGATGGCCTGGTTATTCGCCTCCGAGTTCAGACTGATGATGTGCCCGATGTTCTGCTGCTTGAGGAACGCAATCGTCTCCGGCGTCAACCGTTGGTCGCCGTCGGCGCCTTTGTAGTACGGCGCAGACGAGCGAGCAAGCCGGTCGCCGCTCTCGAGAAAGCCGTCCACCCACTCGAACTTGGAAAAGCCCGCGTGCTGCGCCGCGCTCTTCAGGCTGCGCGGTTGGTCCCAGCGAGGGGAGAGACGCCCGGAGCGCGCCGTCGGCTCGTCGCTGGTAAACGGATTCCACGGCCGAGGTCCTTGAGTAGGCAATGCCTGCGCAAGGGCGAGGGCCTCGACGACGACGGCGAAAACGGGCAGCCACATGGCGTATGAAGCCTAAACCAGGGGAGACAAAAGGGAAAGTCTTGCGCTGTCGGTCTTCTTGAACCAGAGCAGGACAAAACGTCCGGCTCGTGGGACACCTTATATATCGTTAAAAATACCACCATGGCCTGCTGCCATGCAGGGCATAATTACACAGTAAACTCGGGTCAACTACCACAATGGGATACAGGAGCAGCGAACGTAGTAGTCTCGTCACGGGTGTCGTCTCGCACCAACGACTGACAGCGGCGGCTTTGAGTCGTGCTTTCTGCGGCATGCTCTTGGCGAGATGAAGGGACTGCATCTGTATGCCCGTGGCACACATGTTATGTATACCTTGACATGACAGGTGCGGACCGACAGGTATCATGGCAGGGGCCGGCTGTAATATTGGCTCTCGTAGCGCTGCGGGATGGATAATGAGCTTGGGGTGCATGCCGGACGTCGGTGACTTTCAGCCGCATCGGACAGAACATCATGATGTATCGACTATCAGAGCACATTCCACTTTTGCCCGGTCAAGCCGTTAATGTATCTGTGCCACGCCTTGCAGCGTCCCTGACCAGCCGACATGGACGCAGTATGTACAACACCCCTAACCCATCCCCGCCCCTGGGCCGTCGACGTGATATACCTATACAGACTATGAGAAGGGCACGAGGAGTCACCGTGGAGTTGCGCGGGACTAGGACGACAATCACAAACGCTCAAGGGTTCCTAGCATATACGTATGGAGTAAAGTCGCCGAGCATGGTGCCCGTCGAGTTCGTTCGTGAACGAACCCAGTGCTTCTTCCCCTGCTGGTTATGCCCACCCAGCATCGTCGTTTAGACAAGGCCGGTATCGCCAGGCAGTCATGTGCACGTTCACGTATAGATCCCGTTGCCAGCTCATGACACCGTCATCTTCAAACTTCTTAATATTCGCTTTCCTTATGTCTGTTGAGGGGTATATATAGTGCCTGTGCTCAACTCCGCAGCCAAGCCTCGAGGGCCAATTCTATGCCGACTCTTAGCCAATCATAGTCAAGTCATAGCACCGCAGCCCGTTGCGCGTCAAGACGCACGCCGTCGGCCGTGTCGTGATAATGTAGGAAAAATGTAACGAACGGGGTCAAAATCTAACAAGGAGAATGTAATGGCGGATCGCGAAGCGGCGAGAAGCCTGTTCTATCGCTGCAGCCCAACTTCACCCGCGGACAAGGCCAATGGCCTCACACATCCCCTTGGTCCCTCTTCTTCTTGCCGAGTTTGATGCCAACCAGCCGCAGCATCTCGGTCCAGAAGCCGACGGGCTCCTTGGTAAAGCTGGCCTCGTAGCGGTCGATGGTGGGCCGTTGCCAGACCAGGTCGGTCTCGTGCGGGCGGACAACGCGGGTGCGCTTAAGCAACTTCCAGCCAAAGAATAGAATGGGGGCGATGATCTGCATCGTGTAGTGGCGGAAGAAGCCGTCGACACTCCAGGGCGTAAAGGCCGAGTAGCCGTAGAAGATGACGACGATCGACTGGACGAACAGCGCAATGTAGGCGCAGTAGGGCTGGCCCCAGCCGTAGTAGGGCAGCGACTTGCGGTCGACGCCCTGAGCCTGGCAGGCGCGATAGTAAAAGATGAAGGTAATGGATACGACGAGGTAGTCGATGATGCCGCCAGCGGTGATGAGGCTGACGAGCCAGTCGAGAACCATGGCCGAGCCGTTGCCGACCTGCAGGAAGGACAGCAGCGGGAAGCACATGACGATGCAGAAGCAATAGATGGGCACGCCGTTGCTCCAGCACTTGCGCAGGAAGCTTGGCGCACGACCCTCGAGGGCCAAGCCGTAAAGCGAGCGCGTGGCGCAATACGTGTACGTGTTGCCGGCCGAGAAGATGGAGGTGAACATGAGGGCGTTGACAATGTGCGGGAGCACCTCGATGCCCATGTTCTGCATGGCAATGACATAGGGCGAGGCCGCGGCCGTGCCGCTCTGCGTCTTGCCGTCCTTGATGTCGACGAGCACCTGGTCGTTGTAGCGCACAACGATGCCGACAGCCAGGGCACTGCCAAAGAAGAAGATGGCAAAGCGCCAGTAGATGGTCTTGAAGGCGGCCTTGATGTAGATGCGGGGACGCTTGGCCTCGGCGGCCACCATGGAGATGTACTCGGGGCCGACAATGGCAAAGGAGGCGTTCCACAGGGCGCCGAGGAAGCCCTCGAAGCGGCCGAGCGAGCCCGTCGTGTGGTGTTCAGCGAAGGCGCCCGGGTCGTTCCAGTAGCGGAAGCCATAGCGGTCGTGGCTGGGATTGCCGCCGAGCATGGTCACAAAGGTGAAGAAGAAGAGGATGAAGATGAGGATCACCTTGCCTCCCGACAGCCAGAATTCAGCCTCACCATAGCCACGCACAGCAAGGATATTGAGAGCACTACAATTCACCACGTTTAGCATGGGGCCTTGACGAGGGGGAGAAGGAGAGGTCAGGGGGGGGGGGAAAGGGGGGAGAGAGGGTGGTCGTCGCCCAAAGCATAAGACGAGCACGGCAGGGTCCGGACGAGAAGGGCGCCCTCTCTTCCCTTTCCTCCCCTCGCCTTGGAGTACAAATCTTACGCATAGCATATGATGACGGCAGCACAGATGCCGGCGGTGGGACCAGGCTCCTTCATCTTGGGCTCCCAAAAGGAGAGGACCAGGTTGAGGGCCGTGATCTCAAAGGGGATCAGGAGGGCCTCGTAGAGGAAGAAGTTCCAGCCAGCCATGAAGCCTAGGGCATCGTCGACCCAGTGGCCGGCAAGGCGGATGAAGCCGCCGGACACGGGCATGAGGACCGTCATCTCGGCAAGCGAGTTGTTGACACAGGCGAGGACGAGCGAGTAGAGGGTGAAGGCGATGAGCAGGCTGCCGGGGCCGCCGAGGGCAAGGCCGTTGCCTATGCTGACGAAGAGGGCAGTGCCGATGGAGCCGCCGATGGCGATAAGCTGGATTTGGCGGTTGTTGAGGCGGCGCTGGAGGCCGTCGCTGTTGTCGCCGAGATGGTCGCCGCCTACATGGCCAAGCTCCGGGGAGCCGGGCACCTCGAGCTTGCCCGACTGCTTTTCCTCGTCGGTCATGGTCATGGCGGTGGCGGCTTGGGTTGTCGATGTGTGCGGAGGAGGCCGGGCAGGGGCTAACGACACGGTCTCTTCACGCTCGCGATGCCAGCGGTTCACGGTCGGTCTCAGTCACTCGCTTGACTCCTCAATTTCTGTCTGTCTCTGTGCCCTGTTGTCTCGCGCTCTCGCTGCCTCTTCCCCTCGCGAGAAGAAGAGACGGAGAGGTGAGGGTCGATGTTCCTCCCTGTGCAGCACCGAAGCCACGAGGATGTGATGTTATGAGGACGGATTGGGGCGGAAGAGAGAATGGGTAATGGTGTAAGGAGGAAGAAGGGGGATAAGGAGTCCTCAGAGGGGAGGTGAGTAAGGGTTGAGGGGGAAAAGAGGAAAGGAAGAAATGGATGGGGGTGGGTGGCTTGATGTAGATGGGGAGGAAGGAGGACTCCAAGTACGTCAGATCTATTGTTCACCGGACCGAGTCATTGGCTGGGGGAATATGGGGCAGCAAGAAGGTTTGTACAAAAGTGATTCTTCCCGGACGATTGCAAGTACATGGCTCTGGGCGGAGGCTGAGCCCTTGTGCTCGGGCTACACGACGGTACCCGGTGCCTGGTACCGCCACGATTTCCCTTTTAGCTCTTCTGCGCTGCTGCTGCTGCCGCTGCAAGCAACGGGGGAAAAGGCCGACGACGGCTTCGGCTTGGTGGTGTTTTGCAGCTGTGCAGAGACTGGCGCCCTTTTTTGCTTCCGGCCCTCTATGGTGGCTGTTGCTGTGCTTTGCAGGACGCTAGCGCACGCCCCCACACCCGCCCATCCACCTAGCACGGCAATGTACCTCGACGGTACCCTGCCGATACACACTCACCGAATGCGCTGTTGAGACTGTGGCTGCCTGACGGGCGGCGGCGTCTAAACAATTGAAAACGTACCAGTCTCCTTTCTTTGGGACGATTCATGGGTCTTGCACGTGCTTAAGCAGGGGAGCTCCGTCTCGACGCAGCCGAGGAGAGGCTGACCGAGATCTGAGCCACCATCTACTGCAGGGAGATGCTGTGGTGGCAGGTGCTGTGTTCTGCATGTACAGGACAGTACCGCTGCGTGTACACGGGCTCTGTGAAGCCGGTGGCGACGAGGCACCTAGAGAGATTTTACCTCCAGGGGCGCTGCTAACTGTGCCTAGATTAGCCGACGGCCAGGCACACCCATGGAAGTCTAAGCAGGGCCTCGCTATTACCTAGGTACTAGGTACCTTAGGTAGGGACCTACATCTTGCGAGTACTCCGTACCTACGTAGCCACTCGCCAGAAAATACGAGATCAGACCAAGAAGCTGATTAAGGTCTATGTCTTTCTCTGTCTCGTCGCCCCAAAGGATGGGCCTTTTGTACTCCTCTTTGCCCCTGATGGTCTCTTCTTGTTGTAGTGGTCCTATTGCCTTCCTCATCGCCCCACGCTGGCTAGGATGGAGAATCCCGCCGCATTAAAGACCAACTGCACACAGGATGCGGTACAGTACAGTACATGGGCTAGCAGCAACGGCGGGACCCCAAGTCCTTGTCTTCCAATCCGCGATAAGAGCTGAGCAACTTTCGTCCCACGACGTAGTGGCGCATGGGCTCGGCCCCCCCGCAGGTACTGAAGTCGGCCTCGAAGCTTAACACTTGTACATGGCAATGTTTGTATTTCCCACTAGCTCGCGCAAATACCCTTTGTGTGTGTGGTTGCAAGGCCAGCAAGAGGACCCGCGTACACACACACACACACACACATGCCAAGCCGCCGAGCTGGGGCGAGGCTCAGCGTGCGCATACACGTGAGCTCTCGACCCCAAGTGCGAGTTTTCTCCCCCATTTCGGTTGGGCTGGTCATGTGACCTCTCACTCATTGCTGGAAACGGACAAGGCCGAATTGCATGTACTGTAAGTTACCTAATAAGTGCAGTGCATTCTTTGGCCCCCAAAGACTCGTGAGAGGCGGCCATCGTCGATGGGCAGCAGACGACCTCGATTGCGAGACGCGCTGAAGAAACTTGGAAGAATTGCTGTGCAGGGTCGTCCCTGTGGGCAAACCCAGAAGCTCCCCACCAACACGTTGCTTGCGGCAAGTCGTTTCGCATCCGAGGCCCAAGCCCTCGTGCAAGACCCATCAGACCTCCCGCCTTCGGGGCACTGACGTCACAGGGCATGTTTTGTTTACCTTTCTTACTAATACCCTGTAGGTGGGAAGGGGGCACTGCCTGTAAAATTAGGCGCTACAACAACAAATAAGCGGTGAAAAGACTCACTCGTACGACGGGCATTTTCCGTAATATCATTCGGTCAAGTGTGAGCGGGGGCTATATAATTGCCATCCACAAGCAGTATGTAAGTTACATGCAGCATACAAATCCATCCGTCGTTAATGCTGCGTCGTCGTCGGCGCAGGACCCTTGTTAGGCCTCAGCCTTTGCTGACCGGCATCTCGTTGGCTCCGATGGTTGGTTTCACTGTCTCTCCATGCACCATGACTTGCCTAGGGACTTTGCTAATGCCATTTGCGGGCGGGCATGGCCGACGTCACGGTGCAGATGTCAGCCAACCGGGCTCTGGTCCGTCCAGCTGGGGTAGTGTTGCAGGGACAAAATGCCACCGCCCGCGCGCATCGTGCAGACTCTAGAAGGAGGAAAGCATAGACCGCCCCAGGCCACTTGGTAACGAACGAGAGAGGCTGTCTGCCTGCCTGCTTAGGGCAACCTATCTCGACGAACGCCATAGAATGGGTTGCGTGGGCCCGATGGCCAGTGTCATAGATGCTGCAGCCTACGGAGTTCAAAGCGCTCAAGTGCGCCGCCCGGGAATGGGCGGGGCTAGACACTGCCTGCTTCGGCCACCACCATGAAAACCCGGCCGGCGATGGCGGCGCGGACGGCGGCTGACCCGAGGAGGTGGACAGTGCAGCACAGTGCACAGGAGTCGGTAAGCAAGCCCTGAAAAGGCCTTGTCAAGTTGGGTAAGAAAAACACGGCCGCTCTCCCTACCATTTGCCTGCTGCTTTGTGCCTCGCGCTCCGCCAATGATGGCACTGTAGTTTGGGTACCTCTTGCATACGTCGTCCATGCGCGGATCTCTTGTACGGAACTGTTTACAGACGCATGTTTCTTTGAGCATTGCGTCAGAGGAGCGTCCCCGTCACGGGATGCCGTATGAAGAGGTGGTGAAACCAATAATGTGGGAGGCACTCGCTCCGCTTTATGAACGAATGCTTGATACGCCTAAGCTCCCAAGTTAGCAGTGTCCACAAGGGTTGTATCCGAGCCACATGTAAGGTACAAACGCAGGGAACGACGATGCAGGGTGTCGGCCTGTATACACCAAGCACGCGCCCACGCGTATCGTACGGCTCACGTCTTACAGGTGAGGTATGCTAGATCCTCATGGGCAGACCATGCGCGAGTAAGGGAAACAACTGTGGAGACGAGGAGGAAAACTCTTCCCTTCAGCACTCCGCTCTCTCGGGCGTCTTCGGTAGGCTGCCGGCACCAATCCGCCCCGCTGTCGAAGCGGGCTGTGGGATTGACATCTGCCGGCAGCGAATACTGGATTCTCGCTCTCAATTCCTGTCTGCCTCCTCGCCAGCGCATAGAGACTAATCCACGGCCATTCTGTTGTGAATCATGTGTGGGGCATTCAAGCAAGCAGAGGGAGAGGCGACGGTTAACAAGTGGGAAGAGTTGGACAGAGGCCGTCTCAATTCCGACGCAAGACAAAACCGGAAACGGGCTCGATCCGTCCCGAGATGGCCTCGACTTGGCTACAATTCCACAGACAAGAATGTGGTTGTTGTTGGAGAGTCCGGAAAATCTCGTCCGTCCCGCCGAGCAAGACCTGCCCCGCCCCCACCAACATCACCATCCACATCTTATCTTATCAGCAAGACCAACTTTTCGTTCCATCGCCAACATGAATTGATGCCCGACGGCGTGTGCTCGCCATGATCATCACGCAGGAACAGAGTCCCGTGGAAAGAGCTTCCACACATTTGCAGTAACGCCGCACCCTTCCCTGAGTATCTTGCCTTGGCCCCCAATCTCATTCCTGCCGGTATTTCTCACTCCCTCTCTCTTCCTCGTCAGTCTTGATGCAGCCACTAATCGCCCCTCCCACAGGAGGCCCCTCGGTTGTGGCCATGGACGTCACTAGCCAAGCATCTGGCGCTGTCCAACGATCCCTCAACGGCGACCCGACAGCGGCAACGACTGCCTACACACCCGAGAGCCATGGCGAAGCTGTTCGCGCACTGTCGGTCCTGGCAGATGGCAAGCTGGCTGGTGACTTGATCAAGGCTCACGTCTCCCAGCTTGCAAACTCATCGACTCCTACCCTGTCTCAGACTTTCGCGACCGGCACTCATGCCGCCGATATCCTGGCAGTCGGCCTTGCGGCCCTCGATGCATTCCTCCAGGCAAACGTCACTGGCCCCGTCCTCCCCACCAATCTCATCTCTTCCATCGAGGACCGCTTCGCCAATGCCTGGATCGCATCCTGCGAACAAGGCTCCCACAGCACTGCCCCATCCACTGCCATCCAGAACCTCCGCAGAGCCTGTATCGCAGACCTCGATGTGGACGGTGTTGCCCCCTACAGCCACATCCCGTACTTGGAACTCTTCTCCCTTGCGAGATTTGTCATCCTATATGCCCTAGCCAGTGAGAGCAGTCAGATCGTTATAGATGCGTCACCACAGGGCACCAGATGCAGTATCGGTTGGACGAAATTGCGAGTCAATGTCTGGCACTACAAGCTGCTCACGCAGCCTAGTCTGGGTCGTGGCTCCAACTTCACCAAAAGCTCCCAGTGGAGCGACGTGCCCACCTTGGCCTCGACCATTCTCGACTCCATGGATGCCTTGTCTGGCCATGTTTGTGGCGACCAGGTCTTGTCGACTGCCGAGATCTGGACTCGAGAGGAAAAGACGCATTTCCTCGTCGAGGCGGCCAACAACTACATCTTGCTTGGTTACCATGACAAGGCGCAAAGGACGCTCAAAGAGGCGGCGCAGACTAGCGGTCTGGAGTACGCTCTGTCGGGCGCGCTCGGTAAAAGGACAAGGTTTCAGGAGAAGAGCACCAGCCAGCTTGTTGTTCTTGCACGCAGTGGGGGAAACGCCGTCTCAATAGAAAATATACAAGAAGACGCCAAGCCTGACGCGCTGCCGCTCAACAATGACACCCTCTTGGAGCAAATCCACTTTACCAAGGAGAGCGACGGGACTGAAGCCGAGGCCGCTGCGCTGCCGCCGGGTCTGGCCGACTTATCTCCAGATGGCCAGCCACAGTTGTCTCCACTGGACCAGATCATCCTCCTGACGGAAGCCACTATTAAGGATTCTTTCTCGCCCGTCGACACCCTGACCTCGGAAGAAGTGCTCCCGTTTGCCGTACGGGTCTTGACCGACAAGTCGACCAACTGGCAGATTTATACCCAAGCGTTGCTGGTCCGGTCGAGGATAGAGCTTCACAGAAGCAGGACCTTGGAGCGTGGAGTACTCCAGCTCCAAGCAGTGGCCGATCAAGTCCTCGCCGACACTTCAAGTGCAACAAAGCAGCCGGAGAAACCCGCCGAGGGGGGATCTGGGACCCCAGATGTGCCGGACATTCAAGTGACAGCACCTGGAAGCGAAACGACAACAGCCAACAGCCAGACTCCTGCAACCTTCCTTCCCGCACCCAAGGTGTCCGAGTCGGCCCCGGCTCATATACGCCTTCGATATATCCATGCTCTTTCCACCCCTCCGCGCTGGCATCTAGAATCTGAGCTTGCCTACGCGTGGGCTGGTGTCGGGTCTCTAACCTCTGCGCTCGAGATCTTCAAACGCCTGCACCTGTGGGCCGAAGTCGCTCTCTGCCTGGCCAGCTCGGCTGCCTCCGACGACGAGCAAGGGAGGGGCAGCGGCGGTGAAGAAAAGGCCAAGGCCATTATCCGATGGCGGCTCTTCCACCGAACCGGAGATGAGGCCCCGAAAACGACTGACCCAGATGACGAAGGGATACAGGATGTGACGCTCCTCAAGCCCGGTGACTACGCGGGCCCCGAGAGAACGCCGCCGCCGCCAAACGCCCCTCGACTCTGGTGTATTCTCGGTGACCTCGAGGACGACCCTGGCTATTATGAGCGGGCATGGGAGATTTCCAGCCATCGTTTCGCCCGCGCCCAGAAGTCTCTTGGCGAGCATTACCTGCAACGTCAAGACTGGCGCAAGGCCCGCGCGGCATACAAGATTGCTACGGCCGTTAATCGCCTCAGCCCCGAGATGTGGGGCCGTCTCGGCGACATCAGCTTGCGTCTCGGCCTGTTTGACGAAGCCGCTGAGGCGTACGGCCGCTCCATCGGCAGCTCGACGGACATGGCGGGTGGCGAGGACGCGAGGACATGGAGCAATCTGGGAAGTGCTCTATGGAGCTTGTATTGCGAGGTGGCCGCCGACGCCAGAAACGGCAACGACAAAGTCGACTCTGACCCCGTGGAAGCTGAATGCGACGAGGGCGAGGCCGGTGCCCAGGCAACCCCCGGGATTTCGCGCGATCCCGGCACTCTCCTGTCCCAGTCTCTGGCTGCGTACAAAAAGGGCGCGTCCATTGCCCACGATAATTGGCGCATCTGGGACAACGTCCTCACCCTCGCAGCCCGCATGGAACCCCCCTCGGTGGCCGACATTGTCCTCGCCTTCAAACACGTGCTGCGCATCCGCCAAAGCGAAGACGCCATCGACACGGACGTGCTCTCGGCGCTGTTGCAGGACGTGGTCCTGACCAAGGACAAGGACGCTGGCAGCGGCGTCTACGAGCCCCCGCGAGGTTCCATGGAGCGGCTCGTGACGCGGCTCCTCGAAGACGACATTGTGCCGCTCATCACGCAGCGCGCCGAACTGTGGGCCCTCGTGGCGCGCCTGCGCACCTGGCGGCGCGATCACGCCGGCGCCATCGACGCCTCGGAGAAGGCCTGGCGCGCGGCTGTCGGGGCGTCGGGCAGCGGCCTGCTGCCGGGCGAGTCGGCGGCCGCGTCATCGTCGGACTGGGCGACGGGCGACGACGAGGCGGCGTGGGCCGAGGTAGTCAAGCGTACCGACGAGCTCGTCTCGGTCCTCGAGAACTGGGGCCCCGGGGCCGAGTGCCGGTGGCGCGGCAAGGCCAGGAGCGCGGTGCGCAGCGTCATGGGCCGCGCGAGGGAGCGCTGGGAGGGTAGCGAGGGGTGGGCGACGCTCGAGGCCGTCATGGAGGGACTCAAGCGGGACAAGTAAACTGGAAGAAAGGGGCCGAGGGTTGGAAAAGGGGGAGTGGATTAAAAAAAAGCCACACGTGATGCGAGGTCTAAAAGGGGCTTTACTGGGCCTAGAGCGCTTGGACGGTAGTCAAGGCTATGATGGATAGGTGAGGCTTTTTTGCAGAAGGCGACTTTTGCTCAGCAGCTGGATTGGGTACACGTGGACGCTGGAGTATCGTGGCCAAACCAAGGAGATCATGAGGCAATCTTCCCTCCCTGGACAGTGAGCAGAGAGTGCTTCAGTCCAGACGGCGTGCAGCCATCGATCCCGCCCGAACCCGATATCCTAAACCAGGCCAGGGCGCAGACATGGCTCTCATCCAGGACACCGCCTTGGATCAAACCACCCCCGACGCCGTCCCCGCGCTGCTCCTCTTCGTAGTATAGCGCTTCATGGAAGGATATTCGCTATCTGCGTCTGTGGGAACATGCTACTCATGGCCGCTTCCATACAAAAACATGACATCATCTGCAGCCTCGCTTGCTGCCAGCAAGCCGCCAACACCACACGCCTCGACTGCCCACCAAGCACCAATTTGCCCCCCCCCCCCCATGGTCGAGAAGCAGCCGGGCTTTCAGCATCTCCATCTCTCCGCTTTCCATTTCGCGACCCCGTGCAATCCCCCAACAAGCTCTTGCAAACAAGCAACCTCGGTGTCATCCGTCCCCCCACCGAAAAGAAAAAAGACAGACCAAGGCATGGGAGGCAGGCGATAAAGAGACGCAGACAGGCAAGCTTAAGAACAAGCAGGGCAGCCTCGAAGCAATCTCAAGCCCGGCGTTGCTTCAATACGTCAAAGGACAACCCGTTCTATTTCTTGCCCTTTTTCCGGCTCGGCACGACCTTGAAGCCTGCTCCCTGCATGCTGCCGCCGTCGTTGTCCTTGGGCTGCGTGCTGCCGCTACGCTTGGCAACCTCGGACCACCCGCCAGAGGAGCCGCCCGACTTGGTGTTGTCGGATGGAGGCTGCTTCTCCACGACTCCCTTGTCCGCCAGTTTCTTACGACGCACGTATTCTTCGGCAAAGTGGCGCCCGTCCATCGTTTTGGAGTTGATGTAGACAGCGTCGGCGATAACGCCCGTGTCGAGCGGGAGCGCCTCTAGGTCGCCTTGGAACTCGGAAACTGTGACGATTGTAAGCAAAGGCCCGTCCTCCGGTTATGGGACAGCAGGCACGGAACGGGTCCACTCACTATCCGTCACGTTCGTCAGGCCTCGAGACAGCTCCCGACGGACCCACTTGTTGAACTCCTCCGCAGCGGCATTGGTAGTCTCGGCCCGGCCGTTGCCGTTGTTCACAGCAGTAGGGGTTTTGGGAGCAGGCTTGGCAACCGTAGCTGGCGTTTTGATGTTGCTGGTGCTGAGGGACCGGCCTTGGGCTACTACCGGCCCGGTAGGGGCCTTGACTTTGCCACCGGCGCCAACCGTTGCCCAGCCGCTGCCCACCATCGCCGCGGGAGACGGCGAAGTCGAGACTGGAGTCTGGTTTGGCTTGCCTGCAAGGTTTGCATAGCTTTTGGAAGTGATGGCGGGAGGGCCAGGGTGGACGGTAACGTCCCTTGCCTTCTGCTTGCGGACTTCCTCCTCACGCTGAATCTCGGCCAGCGTTTTCTTGCTTGCAGATGATGCGGGGGTCTGAATGCCGGGGGCAGGGCCCTTTGCGGGGCCCGGCTTTGCCCATGGACTCGACGCGGAGACTGGCGAGCCATGGCCCCATGTGCTCGTGGACGGGAGGCCTGCGGCCACGGAGGCTTGTCGCTCCTTCTCCCGCAGCATTGCGGCCTCCTGTTCAATGGCGGCCTTGCGCACGGCAGCGGCAGCTTCTTCGGCCTTGGCTGCCTTGCGTGCCTCCGCCTCTTGGATCTCCTTGAGGCTAGGTCCCTTCTGGCCTTCTGAGCCGGGATCCTTGGCCCATGGCGCCAATGGTGGTGGGTGAGCGGCGTCAGGCGTTCCGCTCTGGGAGCGACTGTACTGCTCCGGGAGGTTAGACCGGACTCTCTGTGCAGTCGGCGCTGGAAGGGGCGTCGATGACGACGGGGGAGGAAACGGCATCGGCATGTCAGGTTCAGCGGGTTGACTGGCTGCAGCTGCCGCGGCCTGAGTCTTCTGTACCTGCTGGGTAAGCGAGAGAGCGACCTCTTCGAGAGTCTTCTTCCTCCCGGCCTTACCAGCCCTGCCGGCCGGTGCCGCCGTCGTGGCGGATTGAGTGGTTGGAATCTCGTAAGCCGCGGCCGCCTCCAGTACCATGTCCACATTCGCCAAGTCGTCCGTGATGCCGGCAGCCCTTTCCGCCTCGTGCAGGGCGCGCAGCTCCTCAAACTCTTGAAGGCGCTCCCTGAAGCCTTCGGGATCATCCGAGAGTTGGTCAATCTCGGGCAGACCGGACCTCAACTCTCCATCCCCGGGCAACAGTCCTCGCTGCTGAAGCGCGGCCAATTCGTTACTGGCAGAGCCGCCCTGAAGGGTAGCCAAGACTTGGCGTTCGGCCGGGGAAAGGTGGACCATGTCGTCCGGCCGGAAGGAGTCTGCGTTTGCCGGGCCGACCCGCATCGCCGACTGGGCACCAGCAGAAAGTTCATGATAACCTCCAGGGGGCATCGAACCGATGGGAGGCGGAGGCGGCTGTTGCGACTGCTGCGGAGGGATTCCGATGGGAGAGGCCATGCTGCCGAAGCTGGGCTGGCTCTGGAGACTGTGAGCGCTCGAATGGTGCTGCAGGCCGGGTCCTCCCTGGATCTGGAACTTGGTCATGGCCTGTTGTCGCAACATGAACTCCCTTTGCTGAGCCATGAGATATTGTTCCTCTTGCTTGCGTCGCTCCAGGTTGTTCTGCTCCTCGGCAGTCAGGGTCCTCCCGAAGCTGGGGAACACGCCACTGAGAGGGGGCACAACGCCTCCGCTGTTGGTTGCAGCAGTGAACGGGCCGCCCTGGGCTGGGGGCCCATGGGGGATCCCAATCTGAGGTACGAGAAACGGCTCGCGAGAGTTTCCTATGCGCCTGATGAGTTGCCCTAGCGGTTCAAACTCGGGATCCTCCACCTTCTTCACACGAAGGTCCGGTGTGAAGAAATTTGCCTTGTACCAGTCGTTCATCTCGAGGCCCGTAAAAGGACCTTGCACCTGGCCTTGAGGGTCCAGATAAACCCATCTCATGCGATCGGGCATGACCATTTGACGAACCTGGGCAGAAGGTGGCTCGTTTCCAGACTGAGCACCTCCGCCAAAGGCTAGTCCGCCGCTGACCGGCGTAAAGGACTGGGTTCCCGCGGCGGTGCCGGGCGGCTGTGGAGTCTCTGCGGCACTGAACGACCCGTGAGACCTGGCAGCCTCACTGGAGGGAAAGAGTTCCTCGAACATGCCGCGGCTGGATCGCATTGGACTCTCTGTATCGCGTACCGGGCCGGGCATGTTGCCTCGGCCAATGGCCCCGAGCGGGTGGCCCTGGCGGGGATCTGGCCCCGCCTCGGACAGGTTGTGCTCGTGCTCATGAGACTGCATCTGTGCTTGCATGGCCGGGGGGAAAAGGGAGCCGAGTTTGCTTCCGCGACTGATGTTGTTGGTGGCAAGACCACCGGTGCCTGCCGGACCAAACACGTTGCTGAGATTGGAGAGGCCGGGAGACTGAAGATCACCCACGGGGCTGAACAAGGAGTTGCCGAAGACATTCCCAAAATTGGGCCGCTCTCGATCAGGTGTCCCGACAGATGGGCCAGCCGTCGCGGGCCAGCCCGAGAGGCTGCCGAGAGAGTACCCTTTGGGGCCCACGCTCGAGGTTTGGCTACGGTCACTACCTTCAAAGGCAGTCGTGCCAAATCCGCGGGCGACAGATCCCATGGTTGAGTGCTGCTCGTTTTGAGTTGTAGCATTGTATCGTTCTGTGCCGCTAGGATCACCCTCGTCGTGGTCGTTACGATCGTTGGGAGGGCTTCGGTACGGATTGGTCTCTGACGGACTCACCGGGCCATTATCGCCCGGCTGGCCACCCAGACTCAAGCCCGACATGCCAAAGTCGCCGGTCGAGCCCTTGATGGGAGTTCCTAGGACGCCCACTCGCCCGACGTGGGGATTCCCGGCCACGCTGGTGTCTTGCGAGCCGCCAAGCACAGCGCTGCCGGACAGTTCCGCCTCACCAAAAGGGTCCGTGTCGGTGCGAGGGCGAGGGCGCCAAGACTGTTGACCCGAAGCGTTTTGGTTGTCGCCCGACTTTGCGGCAGAGTTGTCATGGCTCTCCTTGGGGATGAGATGTGCAAGTCGGCTACCGCTGGAACCAACGCCTCCTCCCACACGTTTGTCGCCAACAGCCGAGGAAGAAGGTAAGGAAAAGTTTCCGAACCCGCCAGCCCCCGGCGTCGTTTGGCCCGAGGGGGGCCAGATGGCACTCATGCTTACCCCCCCGCCAGCTGTGTTGGCTCGGGCGAGGCCGCCCGTGGACAGCTTTCCCAGGGCCTCGCGGGAACCCTGATCGGCGTCTGGGTCGTCAGGCTCTGATTCTCTCAGCTCACTGCTTTTACGAGGAAGCCAGGCCGACGAGTCCTCCCGCGAAAAGCGCCCGGCGGCGGTTGGCGAGACGAGCCCGCCACCGCCAAAGGGGTTCGATTCCATGGTTTCGCGACGTCGTGTTCCCGGTCGCGTAGCCGAGGAGGGAGAGTTGACCCCGAAGGTATTGCCAGAGCCGTGCGAAACCGAGGACTTTCGACCATTGAGGTTGGCCTGATGCCCCTCCTTGTTCTGCGCAGGAGGTTTGAGCGGCGAATTTATTTCGGTCAAGAAAGCCTGTCGGCGATGGTCAGATGGAGCTGCAGGCCGCAACCAATGATTTGCGCCTACCTCCTTCTCCTCGGCGGACAAGTCAAGCAGCCCCAGAGGTGCAGTGTCTCCATTTTGGTCCCAGCAGGCACCGGGTTCCTGCGGGACAGGATTATCACCGCTCTTGCCCCAGCCTCTGGAGCCGCCGCCGTTGAGGCTGGTAGGGTTCCACCCGGACATGAAGAGACGCGAGGGATCGTCGGCGGGGTTTTGAGAGCGGAACATGTCCAGAAGCTCGTCCTTTGTGTAGCGCGAGGGGCCCGGCTCGTAGGTTGGGGGCTGGGCGGCGGGCGTCTCGTCGATGCTCAGAGGTTGGACAGCGTTGTCGTGAGAGGGAGGGGGGTTCGAGACGTGACCCGTTGGGGTTGTCGAAGAGCGCCGGAAAGTCAAGGTACCATTGGCTGAGCGACCGTCTCGTCGTGACCTATTCGGCGTCACAGAATTAGCGAGGTGACGCGATACAAGGCTGGATCAAAAGTTCTCGTGCCGAGGCTGAGACGTGACTGGCCGACTGCTCGCCATCAAGCAAGGGCTCAGCGAAGCAATTGGGCCCGGGGCAATATCAAGGGTAGCAATTTCGTGACGGCGCGGAAGAAGCACAAGGAGCCTGAAGCGAAGACAAGACGTATGACGGAGGACAAACTTACCAGTCGCCTCCAGCTCCCCTCCCATCACCTCTTCCACCTCGCGAATCACGGTTCGCGTTCTGACCAGCCGCAGCCGAGGCAAAGCTCGAGGGCAGGTTTGACGGCATCTTGGTATGACCAGGGCGATTTTTCGGGCTTGGGCGTGACAGGTGGACAGAAGTTGGAATCGTGCACCCGATGCAGGTTGGCTCGGGCAGACGTGAAGTCGGAAAGGCGCGGAGAGAGAGATCAAACGTAACGCTTCTGGGATGCAGTGAGCTGTGAATGCAATGCTCGCGCGCAATGGCGACAAAGAGACGTGATGGATATTTAGATTATCTTTTTAATACAGGGCGTGAGAAGAGAGGATGGTGAAGGGTGACGGAATAAATGTTTGCCGGTTGGAAAACCCTGAGGTTTAGGTTTGGGAAAAAGAAAAGACGAAAAATGGAGTCGCGCGAGGTTTGCCCCAGTCTTTACCGCAAAGTACCTGTAATTACCCAAGGTACGAATTTGTAAAAATCTTAGTGGCCGGGAGCGTGCTGGCCGACTTGATTACCTACCTAGGTACCTACCTAGGTACTGTTCTCCGCACAGGGCCTACAGCACCGCTGGGGGCGCTTTTTGCTGCACTGGACCGGTTCGTCCAATGGCTGGGCGGGGAGAGGGCGGCTGGCCGTTTCCGGGCTTTAGCCGTGGCCTGACCTCGCCAGTCTGATACGTCAAGGTGATGACAAGGCGAGGCAGTCAATCTCTCTCGAGACACAAGCAGACCGAAAAGACTCGTCTTTTTCTGCATACGTACTTGGCCCCCATCCGCAGCAGCATCGCTTCCCTCTACCCGTGCTCCCCGAGTGGCCGCTGGAAACCATGACAGGGGCTGGTCGAGAAGCGGTGTGCTTCCCCTGCCTGTCCTTCATTGGCAGCATCCTTCCTTGCCCTGCGGCCGACATGACGCTTCCGTGGCGCGTGCTATGTCGATGCATCGCCCTTGTCCCGAAGAATCTGTCATGGTGGCCCCAGCCGTCTGGATATCCATCGTGGCTTGTCCAAATACGCAAACACGCACGCATACACGGCCCCGTTGAGTAACATGGCAAATAAACACCTCGGTCCCTGCAGCAGTTCCATGCTACCCTTTCCGCAGGGGATTGTTTGTGTTTGTACCATGCCATGCCCAGGCTGTGCACAAGATAACACGGCCTTTTGTGCGACAATGGCTCGTCTGCTATCCTAGTATCCCAGACTTTGCACGCCCAAACGAGAGCAAAAGCCCTGCGTGTTTCCGTGTGCTATAACAACATGCCATAGGAGGAACATTGCCATCTGACGGTACTCATTGAGGCCTCAACGCAGCGACAGACCCAACGAGCGCCAGCAGAAAAGCGTCGCCTTACGTACCAAGTCCCGCCGCTGTCGTCTTGGGGTCGTGCATCCGGACATGCATACCGTGGCGTCCTAGAAAGAGAAATTGTGAGCTAAAATGGCCTGCGATTGCGGCTACCCAGCCATCAGATGGCTATTTCCGTAGTTGCGAGTTCACGATAGAGCATGGTTATCGACTCACATTCGTCAGGCTCGCCTATGCTTTTGTACTAGATAGTTTAGGGCGAAAGAGAGGGCCGCCGTCAACAGAGCCGCGACTGCGGTCGCTGGTGCCACCGTATTGACGCGATTTGTGGTTCTAGTATGGGTGATGAATGTGGACGTCGTGGATGATCAAAGGTCAAGGAGGAAATGCGACTTGAACTTCCTGTTGGCCCGGTCCGCAGATCGCAGCATCAATTGATCACCAAGGACCTCAAAGGCAAACGGCCTCGTCTCCTGTCCCTGTTCTCCCCGCGAGTCGGCTGGAACTTCGATGCGGAACGTAGTGCCCTCCTTGGGCACAATCTTGAGCCCCGCCTTCTTGGTGATGATTTCCATGACGAACTTGCGGTCGCGCACCACAATGCCCTTGATGCCCACCCGGCTAGGACACCGACTCCTGACGACCTCGGTCAGAGCCCCGTGAAACTCGGCGCTCGCCAGCTTGGCGGCGGCACCGGGCCCGCCGGCATAGACGTCGTTGCCCAGGATCTCTCGCGCATATCCTAGCCAAAGGCCGTAAAGGGGTTCGTAAATCTCGTACTTATGGCCGTCTCTGGAAACGTCGTCTAGCCCGAGTCGGCGGCGCTCGCGGGACGACAGAGGCTTGGGCCTGACTTTTGACTTGGACTTGGCTTTGGCGCTTTCGCGGGCTCTTCGTCGGGCTGTTCGCGCATTGAGGACAGACGGAGGGGGCGACGTGGGCCTGAGATGGAGCGATCGGTGCTGGATCTTTTCACTGAAGATGCGGTTGGCGCTGTCGGGCGAATGAGCTCTGGCGAGAAGACTCTGCGTCGCAGTTTGCAGCTCTTGCAGCTGCTGCTGCGGGTCTGTCGTGCTCGTCATGATGGCGGACAGTCAGCGGGACGGATGCAGCCAAGACCCGATCGCGTTTTTGTCGCCGAGTCGGGGGGTGATTGTGACAAGAGGGCGGGCAGACTGTTGTTCATGAAGCTTTTCTTGAATTGGTTCTCTAATTAGCTCGAGCCAAGCCATGTCCGTGAGTGTTAGGTGTACTCTGTACGCAGCCCACTAAGCACGGGCTCAGATCAAAAAGTACCCCAAGCCTCTCGCATAACTCAGTTCTACCTCTTCACGCCCCTCCTCATTCGAGCAGGCTTGTACTAGACACCTGACTGAACCTCAAGTCACATGTTTTTCTTGCCCTCGGCCCGGCCTGGCCCAACTTGTCCGGCTCCGTGACGCCGGTGCCAGACATCAAGCATGGATGGAACGCTCCCTTGCGATACACGCGCCTCCTTTAGCGGCTTCATCTTCCCCGACGCCGCTGGAGACGATGCCACTGCGCGGGACAAGTCTTCCCCTCCGACCCCGCCCATTGTCTCTCGTCTCTCGCATCCTCCATCGCCATGGCCAACAACGACGACTCATTCGACCCGGCCAGCAGCTCGGCCCCCGATCTCCAGATCCTCGGCGACGAGATCACCCTGCAGCCCAGCGGCTATGTCGAGCCGCAGGGTGCCGCTCACGAGGGCAAAGAGCAGGCTCTGCTCAACCAGTTTGCTTCCTTTCGCACCGAGCCGCTTCAGTGGGTGACAACGTCTGGATCCATCCGTCAGCCCTGCAATTGCTGATGCTCCCGTCGGCAGATTCCTCCGTGAAGTGTCTCTATACGTGTCTGGTCAAGGATGGCGTGCCTACGATCGAGTGGTTGGACAACCCGTCTTCTACCCTGGCTTCTCCGACAACATGAAGTCTTCCGTGCTCTCCGCCCCTCTGCTCCAAGAACGCATCGCCTTGCTGGCCGAGAACCGTGTGGCCGTCGAGGAGAGGGAGGGCTTCTTCAACAAGAACCACAAGGACTATAGCATAAAGCGCGCACAGCGGCGGAGCGTGCTGGAAGGCGGCCTTCAAGAAGTTGCAGAGAAGCTCACCGACGACATGATCTGCAAGATGGAGAGCAAGACCTTTATCCGCGGAGCCTACTACCTCGTGACGCAACTCCTGACACGCGCTTACCACCAAGGCATCCACGTCTCCAGCGAAGAGGTGCTTCGCCTGCGCAAGGTTGCCGATATCGCTGCCAAGAAGAAGCAAAGCATAGTCTTTCTGCCCAGCCACCGGTCACACGTCGACTATGTCTCCTTGCAACTAATATGCTACCGACTCGGGCTCACCCTCCCAGTCGTCGTCGCCGGGGACAACCTCAACTTCCCTCTCGTCGGGAGCTTCCTGCAGCACGCGGGCGCCATGTGGATCAGGCGGTCTTTTGGCGACGATGCCCTGTACACCGCCTTGATCCAGTCATATGTAGACACGCTGCTGCAGGAGGGCTACAACTTCGAGTGCTTCATCGAAGGTGGCCGATCGCGCACCGGCAAGCTGCTCCCGCCAAAGTTCGGCATCCTCAGCTTCATTCTCGACAGCATCCTTTCTGGCCGTGTCGACGACGCCATCATTTGCCCCGTCAGCACCCAATACGACAAGGTCATCGAGACCGAGGGCTATGTCACTGAGCTCCTGGGCATTCCCAAGAAGAAGGAGAACCTGGCTGATTTCCTCTCGGGCGGCTCCTCGGTCCTCTCGTTGCAGCTGGGGAGGGTCGATGTGCGGTTCCATGAGCCCTGGAGCCTTCGCAAGTTCATCGATGAGCAACTGTCGCGGCTGTCCAAAGTTCCGGCCGGCCTAGACACGGATCACCACAACCCTGAAGTCAGGGCGGTTCGGGAGAAGATCTTGCGCACCCTGGGCTACAAGGTCCTCGGAGACATCAACGATGTGTCCGTAGTCATGCCCACGGCGCTCATCGGCACCGTTCTCCTGACCCTCCGAGGCCGTGGGGTCGGCAAGCAGGAGCTGATGCGCCGTGTTGAGTGGCTTACAGCCCGCACCCGTGCCAAGGGCGGCCGCGTGGCTCATTTCGGCAACGCGCCTCTGTCCGAGATTGTCGATCGAGGACTGGAAGTCTTGGGCAAGGATCTCGTGGGTGTGCTTGATGACCTGGCGGAGCCCACCTACTTTGCCGTTGACCGGTTCCAACTCTCATTCTATCGCAACATGACGATCCATCTCTTCATATACGAGGCACTGGTTAGCGTGTCCATGTACACGCGCGTCAAACGCGGGGGCGGGCCGTCGATGCAGGACATTTCCTTTGAAGACCTCAAAGCACACGTGCTCTTCCTCTCGTCCTTGTTTCGCGGCGAATTCATCTTCTCAGGGGCAGGTCTGGCAGTCAACCTGGACAAGACGCTGCGTGGCTTGGAAGCCGACCACGTGGTGCGTCTCGACCGTGACGCCAGCGGCAACATCACGACCGTTGGCCTGTCCAACGAGGAGCGGAAGGCGGGTCGGGAGAACTACGACTTTTACTGCTTTCTCCTCTGGCCCTTTATCGAGGCCAGCTGGCTGGCCGCCGTGTCTCTCATGGGCCTTACACCCCCTCTGGGTGAAAATGGCGACATTTGGATTGAGCAGACAAAGACGCAAGACAGCGCGCAGCTGGTAAGATGACTCCTTGCAGAGGCGCTTGCGGATAATGCTAACTTTCTGCAGCTCGGCAAGACGCTCTACCACCAGGGCGACCTCTCTTACTTTGAGGCAGTCAACAAGGAGACGCTCAAGAACTCGTACACGCGCTTCGAGCAAGATCAAATGGTCCACGTGGTCAAGTCCAAGGACCCCAAAATCCCGCCCCGCATCCAGCTGGATCCTTCGTGGCGGCCGTCTCGCGACTCCAAGACGGGAGCACTGCTGGCCGAGGGCAAGCTGTGGGACTTTACGGAGAAGATTGCAAGTGCCCGCCGCGAGGGTAAGAACCGGCGCGACGGCGCGACGGTCAGCTCGCGCGTGCTACACCTGACGGATCAACTGGGCCGCAGGCTGTTTGAGGAGGCTGCCGAGGGCGAAAAGGGCGGCAAGGCCAAAGTGCCGAGTCGCCTGAGCCGCGAGGACCAGGAGACGCTGAAGCGAAGCGTCCAGGAGGGGAGGCGCAGGAGGAAGCTGGACGGGAGGGCTCACCTGTAGATTACCCGGACACTAGCATACTGCCATGCCCTGCCGTACAGCAGAATGCGGGCTCGCGATATTTATACCCCATGGAAACTTGCTCTATATACGCTTGCGCAAGCGGAACTACGTGACGATTGTCGGCTGAACCGGCCGCACGAAATAATAGATGCACATTGCCCATAGCGGCGTGGTGCAAAATGCCTGACGTGCCGTCTATCCATCTCTCGCGTTGAAGAATAGCCGCCTCACCCTATCTCTCCCCTACCCCTATCCTATTCCTTGCGGGTACGCGCTTTCTAAATGCCATCTTCTCCCCTACGTGGCTTTTGGTGGAAGAATCGTATTGTCAATCAGTCTGACAAGTGGCCCCCCGGCGTGACCGACATCCTCGCCCTCTCGGGTTTGTTCCAGCGGCAGCATCCTAATGGCCCCGCTTACGACGGCCCCCCGTGAAGGGTCCACTGCGTCCAGCTCTTCAAGAGAGTCCGGATCAGCCAAGGAAATGTAGTCGATCTCAAAAACGGCCCCCTGGTCCGGCGGGAGCGCCATCTGCGCCTTGAGCACATCAGCGCAGACACCGCGCGCAGCGCCAAGCAAGGAAGCGCGATCAAGCTTCCCGGCGCGGTAGACAGCCTCGGCGGCACGCAGGGCGTGGTTCAGGACGACGGCGACGCGGCGGCGGCGGGTGCCGAGGTAGACGTTGCGCGAGCTCAGGGCCAGGCCGTCGGGCTCGCGCTCGGTGGGGCAGACGACGACCGAGGTGGGCAGCATGAGGTCGCGGACCATGCGGCGGATGACGACGGTCTGCTGGACGTCCTTTTGACCAAAGTAGACGCGGTCGGGCTGGACTATGTTGAAGAGCTTCATGCACACGGTGGCGACGCCGCGGAAGAAGGTGGGCCGGCTGGCGCCCTCGAGAAGCTCGCCCACGGGGGTGATGCTGACGAAGCTGCCCTTGCTGTCAACGGCCTGGCCAGGGAAGCCCGACGGATACATGTCGGCCGTCGCGGGCGCAAAGACGGCCGACACGCCGCCGGCGAGGTTGGCCCCGTCACCGGCGATGTCGCGGTCCAGGCGGGCGAGCTCCGCGGCATCGGCCTCCCAGGTGACCGGGTACGAAGCCAGGTCCTCGCGCACGCCAAACTGGGCTGGGTTGACAAAGACGCTGACGACGACGTGGTGGCAGTCGCGCGCCGCGGCCCGCACGAGCGCAAGGTGGCCGCGGTGCAGCGCGCCCATGGTGGGGACGAAGCCGACGCTGCGGTGGTTGATCGTGTGCGGCTTGCGCCACCGGCGCATTGCCTCGACGCTGCGCAGCACCCGGATCGACGTCAACGGTATCATCTCGGCCGCCGCGCCGTTGCCGCACAGCGCCCGCGACAAGTCCGGGGCTGCGCTGCGGGAGGCCACGGCAAGGTCCCCGAGGCGACGCAGCAGCATGGTGAGGCGTGGACAAACAAAAGAGAGGTGTGGAAACAGGTTGGACGGGGGCGCGGGGGCTGAAATCGAGCTGCGAGAAGACGGTCAGGGGGGTTTTGGAGACTCGGCCGCCATCCTCGAGGCGCAATGGCCCGCGAAGATGCAAATTCCCGTGATGTCTTGTGCAGCGGAGTTCTGAGGACGGCTGGAGGAGGAGTGGAGGTTGCCGGGCTGATTAATCACGACGCCAGTGTCCCGACTACCCTACACATTCTCACTTTTGCGGCCGTTTCGAGTTCACTCGAAACTGCCTGTCGAAAGCAGCCAGACATACAAGGATGCTAATAACGTGTCCGTGAGGCCCAAGGCTCCAGGTCATTTGATGGTTGTGTGCGTGACATCTACAGTATTGGCGAGCCAACGACGTCATCTCACTCACTTTGCCGATACTTCCGAAGTTCCGAGCCTGACCCAAGACACGCAAGCCTCGAGAATCAGCTGGTCAATTCTCGTTCACCGCTCTTGTCAGGTGGCCTGCCGCCGTTTCGGCATTGTAAGCGGAGTCAAACGAAGCCAGGCAGACCCTCACTCAAAGCAAACAAGGGGTAAAGAGACGTCAAGCCGCACGCCTCATCGAGGCCAACGACATGGCACAGCTGCCGTCGTACGGCGACGCCAACGAGCGGCTCGACAACCGCATCCTCCCCCCGGTCACCCTGCGGGTAGCCGGCCGCTTCGTCTACTCAGACGATCCGCAGGCACCGCCGCTGTACGAGCTCTCACACTCCATCGGCTTCCTCAGCGACACAGACCACGTCGTGCGCGTCCAACGCCTCCAGCACGTAGTCAAACAGTTCAACGGCGCTCCGCACGTGTCGACGAGAGCGCGGCACTTGTACGACCTGAAGCATCCCAGCCACGTCACCGCGCCCACCTTTCCCTTCCACGCCGAGGCCACCTCTCGACAGAGTCTCTGCTCTCTTGGCATCACCCGCTTTCGCCCCCGGAGGCTGTCAACGGCCAGGGGCTATCGGGTGCATCGCGCCGCCCGCGGGCCGAACCACCAGCTCGTGAGCCAAGAAGCCATCTTCACGGTTCTGCCGGCCAGAGACAGGGCTGTGACGTTTGAGTGGTTTGACGCGCAAAGCCGCCTCCTGGCGCGTGAGCTGGTCCAGGGCGACATGATGAGCTTCCTGATCGGCACCGAGATGAGCCTGGGGGCCCGAGACGCCCTTGTGGCGGCTTGGGTTTTGAAGGTGTGGTGGGAACTGGCCGGAGGCCACAACCGGTGGAGATGGTGGCAATATGGTAAGCCCTCTCCTTGACACTCGCAATCTCTAGTCTCGCGACTCCATGTCCCCTTGCCCGGTCGACACGGACAAAGTACGAACGAGCGACTGGTGTCCGGACTATGAGCAATACAGGGTTATTCACCCGTCGAGGGTGACAGCGAGGCATGAGCGCCGGTCAAAGCTAACACTTATACTGCAGCTGCTCATTATCAGTAGCCACTCATGCTCACCTTACGCAAAACGACACGGGATCATTCTCAGTAGAGATCCCACAAGCTGACTTTTCCGTCCTTGGCCCCGGCGACAATCCAATGCGTCGTCCTGGCCTGGCGGATCCGCCGCTCCCTGACGCTCACGCTGGCGGTACCGACAAGCCCATTGCTGCCGACCGAAGGACCGGCCACTTTGTCCATTGATGGCCCCGCGCTCAAATTCTGCGCAACCTGTTCGGCAGAGGACCGGCCACTTGCTGTGCTCTTGTTTGCTTGTCCTGCGTCGGCAAAGGCAACAGCGTATGCGCCGACCTTGTGCCACTGGAGAACGGCAAGCTCCTTCAGGGTCTTGGAAGAATAGACCCTGATCTTGGAATCCCACCCAGCTGTGGCAAAGACCTTGCCGTCGGAGCGGACCTTGAGGCTCTGCTGGCCGGAGTGCTTGGTGTTGATGATCTTGAGGGGATGCTTCCACTCTTGCAGACGCTCTGTTGGCCGAGACGCGTCGGGGTCAGCTGTGATGTTGGGTGCGTCTGCATCTGACACGAAGGGCTCTGCAGAATTGGCCTCAGAAGAGCCGGTCTCTCTGATGCTCTGCCCGCTGATACTCGCGCTCGAGGTCAGGCTTTGTTGCGCGGTGGGGATGGGATGCTGCGCAATGATGGAATCGGCGGACGACGTGAAGAAGCATTCCTGGCTGGGATGAAGGTCTAGCGACAAGATGGGCTGAGAGTGTGCTTGAGAGCGATAGGTCGTGACCCATGCGCCCGAGGCGCAGAGACGTTGCACCGATGCGCAGCCGTCCTCGAATCCCGCCAGCAGTGTCAGACACCCTGCGCGGTGAAGTAGTCGTAGGCTCATGACGAGGCCGTTCTTGACACTGGACTTGACGGTATAAAGGCGCGACTGGCCAGGCAGCGCAAAGACATCGATCTACGCCGTTAGATCCGGCTGTGGCTTGGGGTCCGAAGACTTACAGCTTCAGAGGCGAGCATATTGGGGACGGCCACGAGAATGTCCGTCGATGCGTCTGGCCCGCAGATGGTCTCCCCGTCACGTCTGGGGCAGGCTGCAAAGGAGCAAAAGTTTAGGGTGTTGACCTCGAGCAGGTACAGGATCCATGGCTGCCGGCGCGGCTGAGCAACGTGCTCGACTGGTAGGACGGTGTCGAGGGACTGCTCATCCTGTTCCGCCAGCTGCCAGACGATGAGTTTGTGATCCCGCCCATGGCTTTCCCCTCGGCGGGTCAAGTCAGCACACTCTCTACATACAAGGTATCCAGGGATGATTGTCACCCCTTACGTTATCACCTTGTCCCGCCCCCAGCCCCGGACGCCGAGTATGGAGTTTTCATGGGCCCTCCAGACGGCGGACGGGCGCATGATGACGAGGTCCCAGACGACGACGTAGCCCTCTGCGTCGGCGGTGACGAGGCGCTCATTGTCCCTGATAAAGGCGGCGGCGTGGACTTGGGCCTTGTGTCCGCGCAGGATGTTTTTCGGGGCCGGCGCGGATTCAGCCATTGTCGTTGCTGTTGTTGCTGCCTGGGCTTCTCATTGTTTGTTGCGCGGGAGCGATGGAAAGTAGCAGAGATTCATGGCTCGCAGAGTGCCGAGATTGGCTGTAAAAGAACGGGGGTGAGCTGCTATCGAGTATTGGGTAAGAAGTTCGTTATCAGATGATGGTGATTGACGGCAGTCACGTGCATGACACGCTCGCGGGGTCAACAAGTTGGGACCTGTCACCTTATATAAGCACCCTTTCCCTTTGGAATTACATAAAGATTAAACGCGCGTAGACTTGGAGACTGAGGAAACCACTAGGTTGTGCAGGCAAAAGTGAAGTGACACTCCAACAGATAACCTGGTAGTGGACCCTATATGCCATGAAGGTGCTGGTGGCAGCTGACAGAGACATTATTTGCCCTTATTAGGCGTCTATGCCTATAACAGCTTCCGCTACGTTCTATTAGACAGAATAATACCTGCATTACTGTTTACACCCATATGTCCCTGTTTGAGACTTGGCAAATTGATTGCATAGCGAATCGCGCTATAATTACCGCTGTGCCAACCAAACACAAGGAGGAAGTGAATCCGCCAGCAGTAAAAAAAAACGCCAAGGGATTTTCGAGAAATTAGTTCAAAAAGAGGTCAGGGTCGAGCAAGTTACTGTTGGCAAGCATCAACTTGGCTGAGCGCCAGAGTTGTGGTCCTGGGTCTCAGTCAGCCGAGACTGCGTCTCAATATTCTGTATATAGCATCCTTCTTAAGCCGGAAAGCATGAAAGCATCAACAATTATTACTATAAACGTCGCGCAAGCTGCCTCGCAGTCAAACTCAGCTCAAGGGCAATTTCTCAAACTTCAATTTCGACATCAACAGCATCTTTGCAGGTTCCACCACCAGCTGGACCATCACCTAAGCGTCCCATGATTGTTGACTCAGGAGATTCCACGTCGCCTATTCCTACATCGCCACCTCCTTTGCCACCATCATCAAATCGGGTTCCGAATAGCGATATTAACAACACCCCCCTCAAATAACGTAGCCGCTTCCTCCGCAGTTCCAGCGGAAATCTATCAAAGATACATTAACGAGAGAGGCTGTTTGTTTAACCGCAGCCGGCTAAGAGCATAACCAGTTATCGGTATCGCAGGGCACATGACCTACCGTCAAAATACGATAAAAGAGTTTAAAATGGTGTCTAGACTATAAGGAAATAGACAAGCGCTATTTCACCTCATTTGGTTTTCGAGAATGAACTCTAGAAGAGAAAATGGCGTATGTGAAAGGCCTCTAGTGAGTTGATACAACTAACTAGTCCCTATGCTGTTTACTATCAAGATAGAAAAGAAAGAAAGAAAGAAAGAGAATCTACTACATAAGAGCATAACGGCATTTTATAGCTTCGAGCCAATGGAAGGTTCTAGAAGCTAGGCGGCGCAGCCGCCGTTAAAGCGGCTTGCCCGTTACATTACTGTGACGGTACAAGTGCACGAACAAGGTCGGGTGCGACTTGGGTAAAGTGATTGTCTACGAAGAGAGAAGGAGGTTCCTAAGGAAGACTCTGACTTTCGCTATTTACATGAATCAAAGTGAGACATTTCATAAAGTATGAAAGTCACATGATCGTTCCTCACACATGGGCCTCCCTTACTCCATCGCTTCTGATTCTTCCACGTCTTGCTGAGCCTGTAGGCGAGCATTTTGCACTTCTTGTTTCGTGGGTCTGGGTTTGTTTTTGCTGTGCTTCTCGAAGTCTCTGATGGCGATGTGAGCGTTGACGACGTTCTGTAGTGGTTCCCATGTTGCCTGCTCAAGGTCGAAGCCTCTCCATAGTATATGGTACTGGAAGCCTTTCTGTTTTGTGCGTTTCGAGTCCAGTATTGCTTCAATCGCCCAGAGTTTCTCCCTTTGCATCTAGCGTTATTGGTGGGGGGTGTGTTGTATTGGCCGTGAGCGGGTCGTTTGGTGACGGTCGTAGGAGGTTGGCGTGGAATGAATTGTGAATTGAGTCTAATTCATGTGGCAACTTCAGTTGGTAGGAGTGAGGTTGAGCACGCGCTCGATTCGAAAAGGGCCAATGAACTTATGATCTAGTTTGGGGATGGGTCTGGTCGAATCGATGTTGCGTGTGCTAAGTAGCACCATGTCTCCAACTCGGTACGCTGGCGCCGGTGATCTATTTGCGTTGGCGAACTGTTCTTGTGAGGCTTGAGCTGAGAGCAGGTTTGTCCGAAGTAGATCAGTGATTTCTTGCATCTTGGCGACAAATTCGTTCCCCTCGTTGCAGCGTTCTGCCAGGTCTTTGGATGCCGCGAGTGGTATTGCGCGAGGGGGGACCAAAGCTCATTCGGGGGTGGTAGCCTGTGTTCGCAAAAAAATGGAGACATTCCCGTTGAATCGCTAACAACGTTACGGGCTGCGAATTCGGCCAATGGGAGCCACTCGTCCCAGTCGTCCTGAGCAAAGCTAACATACTGGCGAAGGTATTGTTCGAGAAATGAGTTAGCGTTTTCCGTCTGGCCGTCAGTTTCGGGGTGATATGCTGTGGAGAGGCTGATATTGATCTGTAGGCGGTGGCAAACCGCTTTCCAGAATTCCGAGACAAACAGTGGTCCTCTATCAGATACGATTGAATCCGGTAGTCCATGGAGTTTCCAGACATCTCGTACGAAGAGCGTTGCCAAGTCATGTGCTTTCATGTCGGTCTTGCAAGGCGTGAAATGTCTGTCCTTTGACAGCCTATCGACTACCACCATGATTGCGTTGAATCCACGAGCTGTGCGCTGAATTGGGCCAATGAAGTCAACGGACAAGTCCCTCCATCTTTGCAAGGGAACTGGGAGCGGTTTCAACGTCCCCTGGTACCGTAACCGGGAGGTCTTGTTCCTCAGGCATCCGTGGCAATTGCGTGTGAATTGTTTCGTATCGGCGCTAAGCCTTGGCCACCAATAAGAGCGTGAAATGAGTTCGTATAGCTTGTTTTTCCCGGGGTGGCCTGATTCGACGCTGTCGTGGGCGAGTTGAGTGAGAAGGGTCCGTAGTTCGCCTGCGGGTACGTATAGCCTCTCTCGGAAATATAATCGGCCTTCGTTTATCATGCATTCCGATAGAGAAACTTCCTTCGAGTGAGGAGTGCCATGGGGTTTGAGCATCTCGTCCCTGATTTTCATCCACCATTCGTCCTCCTCATAGCCCTTGTCTAGAAGTCTTGTGATTCTGTGGTTGATTGGTTCTGGCTGAATTTCGTCAAGAATGGCGGGACATAGTGCAATTTCTTGTTCCCAGGAGAGATTGGCAAAGAGTTCTGAGAGCTCGGGGTCAAGCTTTAGTTGTTCTTGTACGGAGGAGTCTACGTTGCAAGGCTTAAGCAGCGACTGTTGTTGGTACTGGATGCGGTCGTCATTTTCATCTTTCGGCAAGTCTTGTGATCTTCGTGTGAGTGAGTCAGGTTTTCCGTTCTCTTTCCCAGGCACTGACTTGATAGCGAATTGGAACTGTGATAGGAATTCGCTCCACCTGACTTGTCGTCTTGAAAGTTGCTTGGTTGTCATGAAATATCGAAGGTTGGCATGGTCAGTGATGACTGTAATCTGGTGGTGCGTGCCTTGGAGTTCGGGTCTCCAGCATTCGAAGCAGCGTACAATAGCCAAAAGTTCTTTGTCATAGATCTCGTAATTGCACTCAGCGGGTCGTACTTCTTGGACATGAAAGCCACTGGGTGTAGCACTCCTTGATCATCTTCCTGGGAGAGGATGCCCGAAGAGACAAAATCGGATGCGTCGCATTCGACAAACACTTCTCTTGCGGGGTCGAAGTGTCTGAGGATTGGCGCTGAAGTGAAGCTATTTTTGAGCATATCGAATGCTTCTTGGCACGATGAAGTCCAGTTCCATTTGACTAGTTTCCGTGTCAGGGCAACAAGTGGTCGTACGATGCGTGAAAATCCCTTGATGAACCGTCTGTAGAAATTCGAGAATCCTAAGAAGGCTTGAACATCTTTGACGTTGATAGGGCCTCCCAGTTGATGAGACAGTCGACTTTCTCTGGGTCCATCCGTACTCCAGTGGTTGAGATGATCATGCCCAGATATTTAACTTCAGTAGTCTCAAATTCGCATTTCTTGACGTCAAGTTGTAGGCCTGCGGCTTCAAGTGCTTGAAGTACTGATTTGACGTGGAGTCTGTGGGTGGCGAGGTCGTCTGAGTAGATGAGAATGTCGTCGATGTAGGCTGTGCAATATCTATCAAGGAATGGGCGTAAGACTTCGTTGATTCGAGCTTGAAAGGTAGCTGGGGCGTTTGATAGTCCAAAAGGCATCACCATGCTCTCGAAGAGACCATATCTTGTGTTGAACGCCGTCATCCACTCCTGACCCTCCTTGATGCGTATTCGATTGAACGCTGCGACGACATCGAGTTTGGTGAAATACTTGGCTTGGCTTAGCTGAGAAAGTGTCTCCTGGATTAACGGTAGCGGGTAGCGGTTCTTGATGGTTATCGCGTTAAGAGCTCGGTAGTCCACGCAAAAACGAAGGCCCCTCCTGGCTTCTTTGAATAACACCGGCGAGGCCGCCGGTGAGGTGCTAGCGCGTATAAAACCCTTGTCAAGGTTTTCCTGAAGGAATTTCCGGAGGACGAGAAGTTCGTCTTGGGACATCCCGTACAGAGGTCCATGTGGTGGAGTCGTTCCAGGTTGAAGTTCAATTTCGTGGTCGCAGTCTCGGTGTGGGGGGAGTTTATCCGCCTCTGATTGGTCGAATGCCTTCAAGAATTCATGGTAGTGTTGTGGTACTTTTGTTGCAGGATCGATCAAAGTCTTGGGTTCGAGGGCTTTGTGAATGTCTTCGAGTGATGCCCCTGAAAGGTACATATCGGCTGCTATTTTCCGGGAAGCTCGGAGTTCCTGTGTTTGTTGGTCCTTGGGGTTAAGGGAGGTGATTCCGTCCTGTAGCTGGAGCTCTCGGTTCATCTTGTCCATGTCTGTGAGTGCAGAGTCGAATCGGACCCGTCGGCGTG